TCGACGATAGTCGCTCTCGCAGAACACAAATGAAAACGTCGGCTACGTTGGCAGAGAACTGAGCTGCATGGTATATGGTATTCATGCTTGGTTATAACTTGGCAGCATCACAGTTAGTGGTGCTCAGTCAGTCTTTTTGCTAAATTACTTCTATTCAACGCTCTCGCGTTGTTACTACTACGGTGAGTGTACGAGATAGCAACAATATGAAAATCGTCATCTATGTCATAGTACTGTCTTTCCAAAGACAACGACAGCCCTGACTACCCAGTGAGACAGACCTTGCGCAATCAGAAGAGACGGAACAAAGGGCTATGAAAAAATAATGGTAATGAATAAAAATGGGGAGTACAAGAACAAAGACTACACACACGGCCCTCTGATGTCTTGATCAACCGCCACAATGAGATGGCAATGAAGATATTTGTTTCGAGAAATTTTCCAAACATTCAGTTGTTCAAAGTAATTTCCGGCGTACAGCTTCGCCCGTAATCGTCCCAAGAGAGAGACAGCAGCTCCAGGGCGCAACTTGAGACTTTCCGCCTTTAATCCCCCGGATCCCCACCAACGTTTTCTTCACCCGCTTGCTTTCCTGAAAGGGGGACATCCCAAAGGGGGAGTCTTGAGTAGAGAGAGAAACAAATACAGGCGCGCGGCGGTGGAGGGCGCCTGTAGATCCCTTCACACCGCCGCGCCTCACCGGTCGCTCACCATTTACAATGCGGGGGGGTTTGGATTCTGAATGAGCCCGGCAAATCGCAGATCCGAGGAGACAAGGCTGCGCGACATGAATTGGCCGAGTAAATCCATCGTCGGGTGGAGAATAGGGAGAATGCGGTCGTCCCCGCGCGACGAACTTGTCGCAGATAGCGAACTTGTCGAAATGACGATTTTCAGGTTTTTCAGTTGCGTGTGACAGGCGATCCACGAGCACCCTGGACCGTGATCGGCGGGCATAGGGTTCAGCGGGCTGGGATATGTGGGTTTTATTGTGTCACCTTGTCTGTTGGTTGCTTTTTCTCCTGTCACTTTTTCCCTTTTTTTTTTTCTTTTTTCAAACTGTCTCCTTTCGCCCATGTTGTGTTTTCTCTACACAGCTGTTTCTCTCGGCTACAGCCCCCACAGGGGTACAGGCGCCGAGAGGAGGTGAGAGTGTGAATCATGGGGAAGTCTCGCCGACATATGCTTGCGCGTGAGCAGAGAAACCAGGCTTCGGAAAGGTATCGAGCCGGTGGGTTCAGTGAAGACGCACCGGGAGATGAAGCTGTTCTACGGGATCTCGAGCCAACCGAGACATGATTTCGAAGGGCGAACTTAATGAATTTTCGGCTGGGTATGAATTCGGCGCCCAAGAACTCTTTTCTGTGTCTCGGTCTTGAAAGTGGACAGAGGAGTGTGTGACTCTCTGTCCGGATATCATTTCTGCCGAGGGGTTGTCATTGAAGATTGTGCGATTTGTTGCTTTGGAAAGCGAGATTGTGTCGGTATACGTCGGCTTGCGAAACCTTGACGGGAATCAGGGATAGACAATTTGATTCTCTTGGGCGAGGTGGTGAATCAATATACTGGATTTTGGGTGGCTTGAAATGTTTGGGTTGGTGTCTGGGAGGAGGGCTTGAAAAGCAAGGAAAGCTGTGGTTTCTCGTGTATGAGGGCATGTGCAGCGATAAGCAAGTTCGTCATGGGGCGTTAGCCAGCTCTTTGGGCTGCATATCGTAATTATAGGAATGGCATTCAGGCTTATGGCTGAAATCGAGAACCCATGTCATGTTATTGGATGTTGAGGATGGGGATGAGCATAGGAAAGTATTGTAACAAGACGGGAGGCTGAAAGGTGAGAGAACAACTAAAATCATCTAGGTTATTCGGGTACATTATTAAATTTGCAAGAGCTTCAGGGCACTTGTTGAATAACATGATTTGAATCCTACCTAACTCTAAGACGTATCCGCTGTAGTAATATATTCGATGTATAATCAAAACTTTCGTCGTTCTCCCTCATCTGTAAATGGAGACAGCGAGCGTAACCATGAGGAGCCTGGTGAGAGCCAGACATCGCCGCGAAGAGTTTCCGTGCCAAGTGATGCAACGTTCCCCACGGTAACCCTCGTTGCTATTGCTAATGGCAGTCCGAATTGTCATACTAACGTATTCGTTCAGGACACAAACAATCTATAGCCTGGATAGTTGCGATTAGAATATTTGAAGATGGAGCAACTGCCGGTATTATTAGGTGCTTGCCTACTCACAATTGCCGTTTTACTGATATTGCCATTCTATCCTCGACCATGTCGGCCCCTTGTTCTTTTCAGTATCCTCTTCATGTTCATCAAGTACCCTGAGATGGCATCATGCAGAAGTTGAATTGAATACAAACCTCAAGAAGCGCCAAAAGGCAGGTGGCAGCTGTACTTGATATCCATCTTTGTGCTGGTGAAAAGGCCAAGCGACGAGAATCATTATAGTGGCATGATTGATAATACGTTCAGAGTCTTGTTTTTAATGATCCCGGGTGATATTGGAGGGCAGAGAAACAGAACCTGGCGGTGAGCCACTGATGAAAGGCGTGGGCTCAGGAAGGGGCAAACCTGCTTCTCGTAACGTTCTTGTTCCGACTAGTGTAAAACCAGCAATGATGTATAAGGCACTAGTCTTGTCGATTCGCGCATATAAGAATGCGGTAACGCCCGCGGAGGCTGTGGTGATACTCATCGGTTCGATGCTTGTAATCTCTCGCTGCTCGTGGCAGCTCAATAGATGGCCTTAACACAGAAGCTTCATGTTATCACGCCTTATGTAACCTACAACTTTGAATTCGCGAAGCAGGCTTGCTTCAACACACCTGGTAATCACCAACCATAGGAATTGAATGCTTGAAAGCTTTTCGATAGCCAAGGGTGAGCTTGTCTAGCATGAAGGGTATATCATGTAACTCTACTGCTGATACCTTCATCGGAGTAGAAGTTGCACCTATGATCAACCTGACTATAGCATGGAGTAGTTGCATAACAAGAGATATCGGTCGAGTAGACAAACTTAGACCTGGCCATTGTCACCTGCAGTGACCGAGTATGCCGAACTAGTTACAAAAAGACCATGAATATTCCCACTTAACTGTCTCTCGTGGAGAGCCGGGCCACGACATTTTGCATGTAATCATTTCTGAGCTGTTTCTGTCGCCCGAGGGATGTGAAGAAAGAAAGGCAAATTAGATCTTCAAACAACACGACAGAACAAAGGTAGACGACTGATGTTACAATGCTTCACCTAGCAAATATCCAGAAATGTACTGGAAGGGTTCTGAATCCCCTGGAAGTGATGCAACAGGTTGGTTTCCTCTCAAGGCTCTTCCGCTATAGGCCATGTTGCATATGCATGGCTTGAGCGACCAGAGGAACAACCTCCATATTGGCGGGCTTTTCCATCTGACGGCGTGTATCCCAAGCTTGACGGTATGCTTCTAGCACTATATATAAACGCTCTGGATGATATGTTGGGAAAAATGATGTTCTTGTCACATAGGCAACCGAATACTTTTGTTGACATGTGCGATTCTTTAGTTTCATCTGTCGATGGTGGTGCGATGAATCCACCTCTGGAAACTTTCATTGAAGGGAGAGAAACATAATAACGCTTGATGGCTGCCCTTCCCTATATGGTTCTTCAGCCGATCCTCAGCATCGGTTTGGGAGAGCAAGTCTGAAGAGGACGACGACATGCCGCATTGTGTTATGGGTAATCGAGCCTCTTCGGTGCAAGAGCCAATTTGCATGGTTTCTTCAAGCGTGAGGCAAAATAATTCCAAGTCCTTCGATTAGAATAAATGCAATAGTTCGCCATGAAACCTATCCCGACAAGAACACGCGAAACTTAACGACTCCAGCATCGTTGGAGGACTTTCCCAAGTTTAGCCTAAAGGTTGTGCTGCGCGACTATAGTTCCTTATTGGTAGCAATCGACATAGATTCCGACTCATGACGGTGCTGAGAAATGGCTCTGAGCACAGATTCCGCATTTGATCCGGTATATTATCCTCGCTGATGGTGTTCATGGCCACGTTCTTTCTGCCCATAGGAAAGTCTGTTAGCATAGCGCCATGTGTTAGACGTTCTGTACTATTTGCAGCCCATCCGATTCCATAACGGATAGCATAGGCTTTTTCTTGAAAGCCACCGGGCCTTTCCGCCTGACTGTTCAGTGAGGTTATGAAAGGTCTTTGTCGGGCGCTGCTACTGAAGGTGGAAAGGGAACCATCCCATAGATAGGTAGGATAACGAGGTAGACTGCTGCAGAATTCATGAGAGTGCTCCATCTACTTCTCATACTTGAGGGATTCTTCTGCAGTAACGATATTCTGAATAAAAATGGTGAAGGGACTTGTATCGTGGGCTTCTATGTATGGCAAATATCCAGATAACCTCACATCGAAAGATATGACCAGTCGCCCGCGGATGAATCCTGCAGCAGTGCGAATCACAAGAATACATACACTACATTCAGAGTCGTTCTTCTGTCTGCGAAGCACAAATTCATAACGCGCTTGCTTTTGTGAAATCTGGTTAGTTTTGCTTCGAGTCGCACCCCTTTGTTGGTGATGGTAAACTCGTGTTGAGCACATGACTGCCCTCATGCGTGTACATACTCTTGCGTTTTTGAAACTCGCTGGCGGTTTCGCAAAGCGCCAGAAATTTTTGATATTGTGGCTGGAAACCTCCCACGCACATAGAGACAAGTCATTCGTTAGCTTGGCAATGTCCTCTTGGAGCCGACAAAAAAGCTCTGGGGCCTTCACTGTATATCATGGGCATATCTACACCGAAGATACTGAATAGAGAATGAGCTCTGTTCTCAAATCGCTTGTGTTTGCCTTCCAGCTGCCCAAGACATCTTCACTGCCACTGGTATGGCGGACAGTATTGAGGAAGGCACCAAATAGATTTCTCTATTCCAGTAGTAATCCGTAGTTCACTGATTGAAGTGGCGTTCTTGGTAAATATTTCCTAGCAAGAGTTGTAGGACTCGGTATTGTCAAGTAGTAAGCAACTCCTGCAAGGACCATCCACGAATGAACCACTTGCAAGCACCGAAAGTCTTTGTGTCATCAAGACACTTAAAAACCATGCGCAGGGGCTTTCATTGAGGTTCAATGGCGGTAAACCGTGCAGGGAAACGACGCAGACGGTAACTTGCTTGTACCATTGAAGTATGGAGTTGATCACCTCGCTCACCTCTGCGCTGTTCACCTTAGCAATGCAGCACGTACCAACCAAACGTATTCGAGACCTCGACTACGGGTAACCTTACAGGCCTTTACAATCTTCACGAAGCCAGTTTTCTTCTTAGCCAAATCAAGCTTTGCAAGGTCCAGGAAAGAAGCCTCGTTATATTGCCACGCATGAGAGAGGACGGCGTACTTGACTCCTGAAGGGTCAACGAATTCTTCCACCTTGAGGGTCTGGGTATTGATGAGATACATAATGCCTACGATTTAACTGTTATGTTGTTGACAGTGGGATGTGGTTCTTTGACAAAGCATATAGGAATCGCAGCCTAGACAAGTAGCTTCAACATCGCATGGTGCGTCCCGTTGTAATTGGTCGTCTGATGGCGTTTTCTTGGCAGAGGAATGTCATCTATCAGAACAAGGAATATGGTATATCATTGCTCGCTAATCCTTGATGATTCAATTGGGGCTAATATGTATGCTTGTGGCAACTGCGCTGTCGACTTGCTGAAGTGGGATGATTGGGAATTCCGCCCACATTCAACTTGGAGTCATGGCAGAAGTGTCTGGTTATGTAAGCATGTTAGTCGAGAATACGAATGGCACGTTCGTTTGCAAAACAGCTTGAGGCCGCTTCAATAACCTAGGGAGACTTCGGCAACACAAAAAAGTATCTATCTCCCGGAGAACAGTCCGAAAATGGCAGGTTGGCGGGAGCGTGCGGGTTTCCACTCCTGTTGCTCGGAGGAGAGGGACACCTGACTCGACTCTTGTGATAGATTTGTCCTCCAAGATTATCTGGCCAGCTGCAGGCGAAGGTTGAAATACCCTTTGAACGATGAGAGACCAATGGTTCCACCCACGTGTAGGAAATCCGGGGTTCAATTGGCCCATATGGAGAAATGGAGCCCCGTTCTGGATCACACCCCAGATGCGCAACTGAAGGTCCCATAGTACTAGATCCCTGTCTAGCTAAGAAGTCTGGACGCCGACCTAAAACAGAACTACTGTAACTGGGGTCGCTGGGCGAAGAGCACCGGAACTCTCGAGAGGGTCTTGGAGTGGATTCATTATGGTATCACTCTAACAAGCTGGTTGATAAAAATGTATCGTTAAAAGGTGGTTGTGATGGCTGCAAATATAGTTGCAGATATATGCAACTATGACCTTTCCCCAAAGCCAAAAGACTTGTTAAGGTCAGTCCTGTACAACGCGAGAATCAATGATGTACTTGTTTAGATCGCCCCAGGAAAGAAACTGGCTCACAAAATTTGATGTGATGACGAACAGGATCACCATGAATGGTCTCTAATGAAGCCCTCATCATGGGCAAGGATATCATTTTCAAGCTAGAAGCTAGATGGAAAGAGACAGGGCATGTAACATATGCGTATGCGTCATACATGAGCCCTTTAATTACGCCAGATGATTTTGAATCTGCCAACAGGGAGCGCCGTCCGAACACGTGGGCGCAAAGATGCACTCTGGCGGAGCGAGAAGTCCATAACGAGGCAACAAGCACGCGACACTTGCGCTCTTCGCTATCGACATTCCTAGAAGGGCGCCGCCGACAGTTTACCCTAGTGCTTGGCTTCCTCCTTGGCAATCGCATCATTGCGCCTTGTGAGGTAACTGTCCGCGCTGCCAAGTGCCAAGCAACGGCAGCGAGCGGGAGTTCCAGCAGGGGATCAGGAGCCGCACCGGGATGACGCTCGACGACATATCATCATAGATGGTGAAGCTATCATGACGTTTACTCAGGTTTAGAAAATCTCGTTAAGAGAAATATACTGCATCGTCTGTTTTTTGAAACTACTGTTGTCGAATGTGGTTAATGGATGGGCGGCGCAGTTACAACGTGCTCCAATCCCGCGATATGATTGGTCGGGCCTTTCAGCTGGAATCGTTGTTGAGCTTCCCGGCCGTACTCACGGAAGTATCGGCAGAAGTCTGCCTGACAGTAAAAATGGAAGTGTACACATGCGGCAGAGGGACATGTCGGGCAACCCTTCCGTTGTACCTACCACTGAGATTGATCGCCTGGTCGCTCGGTAGATGAAAGAGGCTAGATTTGACAGTCCTGGGGTGGTCGTCGCCCGACTTGCCACGATTTTGCTTCTGCAGCAATAGAAGTGCACTACTGTAGCATCCTAATAGGATCTTCCTTCGCCACAGGCAAATTCGATTATTATTCAGTGAACCAATTGTGACGTACAAACTCTAGCCGATACGAAGGCTTAACAGATGAACAGGCAGAGTGCCAAGGTATGTTGCGTTGTAAACTCTGTGCCAAGATTGACCGGCTATAGCCAAGATTGCTTGTCAGGTCGACAAAAAGCTTGACCGAGGGCTGGCTGAGTAACATTTGATCCTTCAGCGTGATCGGTTTGATGTTGTGCTAGGAAAACCCAGGCCAAAAAGAAGCAATGTCAAGAATTGTTAAGCCGATACTGTAAGGGTATTCGAGGCCGCGTCCACGACCCGCCTAGCATCCCATGTTTAGCCCATGTCGACTTAGTGGGCCTCCGCAATGGTTCCAAGGTTGACATGAGCGGGCCGTTGCAACTTTGGCTGTGAGCTGAGAACTCGCTTTTCGCTTTTTTCCATGACTTGCGAGGTCACTGAGTCTTTTCTTTTAAAAGTCCGAGGAACCCGATGCCTTGTTTGAGCGCAGCGTTGCCGGTGTCAGAAGCGAAAGTGAAAATAAAGGGTAGCCAGTCGGGAAGCGCTGTCTGAAAGTTAGCTGAAGTACAGACGAAGGACGAAGTCTGGGAAAAAGTGAAAAACATGCGCCATTCCCAATCGGTCGCCGAAGACTGCTCCGCCCATACATACAGAACAGAAAACATCCCTGACAATATGTGTGCCCATCTAGGAGCCGACCTTTCTTCTTAGTCGTCCGCTGGCGTCTCCGAGTTATTGGCCCCAGCCGCATCCTGCATGTCCCCATGTTCTCACCAATAGGTTTGTTTTCCCAGTCCGACATGGTCGGCTCACGGCCATAGAACAATGTCGATACTCTTCTGGAGCTTCGTACCTTGTCCTTCGCCTTGCCAGGTACAACGCTCTCTAGTTCACCACGCTAGCACGTAGTCTCCGAGGTGGAGGCTGATCTGTACCATGTCTTCTGGTCTCCCTGGTCGTCGCAACTTTCTGCCTCCACCTTAGGCGTTCGTTTCCATGCACTTGGCCCTGAGAAGTCCACCCAGCTCAGATGGAGTTCAGTCCATGTCGACGCCCCTCCCGCCATATAAGACAGAGTCATGCCCGGCCTCATCTGTTTTGACTTTCTCTGCTCTTGCGCCTCTCATTCTTACCAGTAGGTAAAACAAAGCCTTCTCTCTCCGGTCAAATCTCTCTCCATCTGTTTCGTCCGGACTCAGAGGAGATCGATAAAATGGCTGGCATTATTGAACCTACCAGCGCTCCGGCTGAGGAAGCCCACGCTCCTCGCACGCTCACTACCGCCGAAATCAACAACAACAAGACCTCCGGTGGCAACGTCGCCTTTCATAACTTCAACAACGACTTCGCTCATGTTGCTGATGCTAACGAGCGTCGTCGCCTGGCCCTGGCCGAGATTGATAAAGCTCCCTTCGGCTGGTACCACGTCCGTGCCATCATTGTTGCTGGCATCGGTTTCTTCACCGACTCGGTTTGTCTAACGAACAACAGAATCAACTCAAGTCAAGCTAACGTGTTCCAAGTATGATATCTTCACAATTGGTCTCGTTACTTCTATGCTCGGTATCGTGTACTATGGCGGCACTCTCCCGACAGAATACGACACCGCTATCAAGGTTGCTACCTCTGCTGGTACTGTTATTGGACAGGTCGGTTTTGGTGTCCTTGCCGACATTGTTGGCCGTAAGAAAATGGTAGGTTGAAATACTCTGGAAGCAAGAAGAGAAATTAATACTTAGCAGTACGGTGTTGAATTGATGGTCATCATCATTGCCACTATCGCCCAGGCCCTCTCTTCGTCTTCCCCCTCCGTTTCTATCACTGGCCTTATCGTCTTCTGGCGTATCATCATGGTAGGTTTTGTGCCACATAGTTTTAGACTGTTGCTAATTGTCAAAGGGTATCGGCATTGGCGGCGACTATCCCCTTTCTGCTATTATCACTTCTGAGTTCGCTACAACCAAGTGGAGAGGTTTCATGATGAATGCCGTGTTTGCCAACCAAGGCTTTGGCCAGCTTGCTGGTGGTCTCATGCTCCTGATTGTCACTTCTGGCTTCAAGGGATCTCTTGAGACTGCCACCAAGGCTGCCACTTGCTCTACGACCGAGCCTTGCTTGATTGCTGTCGACAAGATGTGGCGTACCATGATTGGCTTTGGCGCTGTCCCCGGCTGCCTCGCCCTTTACTTCCGTCTGACCATTCCCGAGACCCCTCGCTATACTTTCGATGTCGACAACGATGTTCATAAGGCTGAGGGCGATGTCGACTACTACAAGCAGGGCAAGTGGGGTGAGGCCCAGGTCGACGAGGCCGCCCGTGTCGCGGCCCGAACGGAGGCCAAGAAGCAACTCGAGGTCCCCAAGGCTTCTTGGAGCGACTTCTTCCGCCACTACAGCACATGGAAGAACGCCAAGGTCCTCCTTGGTACTGCCGGCTCATGGTTTTTCCTTGATGTCGCTTTCTACGGTCTTGGACTGAACAATGCCATCATTCTCAACGCCATCGGATGGTCGGGCGGTGCAGACATGTACCACATCTTCTACAAGACCTCCGTTGGAAACCTGATTCTTGTTCTGGCAGGAGCTGTTCCAGGCTACTGGGTTTCTGCCGCTCTGGTTGATACTATCGGACGCAAGCCCATTCAGCTGTTTGGTTTCTTCGTCCTGACTCTCCTGTTCTGTGTCATTGGCTTTGATTTCTGGAACCTTTCCGGCGGTGCTCTGATGGCCCTCTACACGCTGGCTCAATTTTTCTTCAACGCTGGACCCAACTCGACGACTTTCATTGTTCCTGGCGAGTGCTTCCCGACTCGCTACCGTTCAACTTCGCACGGCCTTTCTGCTGCGTCTGGTAAGCTCGGCGCTATCATTGCCCAAGTTGTGTTCGGACCGCTCCGCACCATCGGCGCCAACTCAACTCTGGCCAAGACCGACCCCAGATGGAGCACCCCTTGGTTGAACCACATCATGCAGATCTTCGCCTTGTTCATGCTCTGCGGTTTCTGCACCAGCTGGTTGATTCCTGAGACTGCTAGGAAGACTTTGGAGGAGCTCTCTGGAGAGGACGACCTGTGAGTACTCTTTTCTGATTAATTTCCATCTCCTGTACTGACTCTTGACAGTGCTACCAGCGCAATCCCTGTCCACGGTCATAATGAAGAGAAGCGTGTCGAAGAGGGCACCGCGAACGGATCTGTTTAAAGTGATGTCCCGCGAGGACAAAGTTTACATAGCCCTTTGCTTTATGAGCGCCGAAACAATCTCGGCAACTGATACCCGTAATTACAACATTGACAGTTAGAAAATTTTTCATTAGTAAATCTTAGACATAATTAATTCAGTCTTCTGAAGATGCGTATCTCAAGTCGCAGGTATATGCCCTGCCTGAACTGGCAGTACCCGTGGATACCGTTGGATGCCGTTGTGTTACATAATCATCACGTGCGTTTGGTGGAGCTTGGATCAACATCTGAGAGTATGACGTCCGTTTGCTGCAGGGTCTTGGCTTGGGGGGGGGGCCACTGCCCACCGGGCGACGGCATCCCGCCAAGTCACTTTTGGTCGCCCTAACAGAAAAGTATGGAGAACACCCAAAGCTCGTTGGGTTTCCCTCCAACATCCCCAAATCCAACTTGTACCATTCTCTCACCATGGCCGCCTTTCTCAGAGGAAAGCAGACAGGCATGCAAAATGACCTGTCTGCGTCAATCCTCCCGGAGCTTTTCGCGCCCGACTACCAGTCAGCCTACGGCATCAACTCCCAGGTCAGGTCAGTAGCTACCCCACGTTGACGCGCGTCATTCCGTAGCACTACATGATGCGCATCGACTTCAAGAAATCACTGACAGACGATGTTGTAGCTGCCTAGCGTTCGATCCCATTCAGTCGCTCCTCGCAATCGCCACAAACGAGAGCAAGTTCGGCCCTGGGAAAATCTTCGTCTTCGGCCAGAACAGAGTTCAAAAAGTCATTGAACCGCCAAGGCGCACCTCCTTCCGCTCCCTCCATTTCACCGCCAACCGCCTGGTATCCCTTGACGCCAAGAACGAGCTGGGAATATGGGATCTCAATGCAGGGAAACGCATAGCCGGCATCGTCTGCCCTGGCCATGTCGCCTGTCTGATCACGGATCCGATGCTTGACTGGGCCTTCCTCGGAATGGCTACCGGAGAAGTCCTCGCCTTTGATTTAGACAGGGAGGCATTGACCAATTCGTTCAGACTGCCAAACTTTTGGAAAGAGAAGGACCCTAAAGCCCGAGTTGTTGGGCTAGTAAGCATTGCCCTTCATCCAAGGGATATTGGCAAACTTCTCATTGCATACACAACGGGTGTGGTTGTCTATTCGTTCAAGCAAAACAAAGCTACCCAGTTCTTGGAGTATGTGCTCCAGCCAGGTGCGCCTGGCGGTGGAGGAGAGCCCCCTGATACGGTTCGAAAGCCGAGACTTTCACATGCTCTTTGGCACCCCACCGGTACTTTTATCCTGACGGCCCATGATGATGGAAGTATGGTATTCTGGGATCCCAAGGACGGCCGTGTTGTAATGGCCCGGACGCTTAGCGAATTCAAGATTGATCAACCATCACCGAACGCAGGACATGGAGGGTTTACGGAGCCATATATGAAGATTGCCTGGTGCTGCAAGGGAAACCCGGATGACACTGGGCTTCTGATTGCAGGTGGTCACAGTCCGGACACACCGCAAAAGGGTCTTACTTTCATTGAGCTAGGCCCCACACCTGTCTATGCAACTTCTACATGGCAGGTTCTTCAAGACCACTTGCGAGGCAAACGTCAAATCACCCTGCCGACTCCACCGGGGGCCCAGGTCAACGATTTCCTCCTCATCCCCCGTGCCTCGCCCTATTTCGCTGGTGCCCAGGACCCCATTGCCATCATGACCTTGCTTTCCTCCGGAGAGCTTTTGACAATGAGCTTTCCCTCTGGCTATCCTATTAGCCCGACAAATCAGCTTCATCCTTCGGTTTCCTTCGTCCACCCGTACGTCAACAAGTTTGCTGTCCAAACCGTAGATCGAGGTCGCTGGCTAGGCATGGTTGAAACTAGGAACCAGGGCGAGCCCCTTCTGAAGGGTGGTGCCGAAGCGGCGAAGCCGAAACGCAGATACGAGGGTCGCACAATTTTCCAAATCGCACACGGCGACAGTACAGTGCGTATCTGGGATGCTGGCCATGCTGACGAAATTGAAAACCCTACCATGCTGCAAGTTGATGTTGCAAGGTCACTTGGTAGATATGAGGACATTGACATTACCGCCATGAACATGGCCCCTAACACGGGAGAGTTTGCGGTGGGCACCCGCACCGGCGAAGTTGTTCTCTACAGATGGGCTGGCAATAGATTCCACGGTAAAGATCATCATGAAGACTTGCCCTCCAACCCCGGTGGTTTGACGGACATTAGCTCCAGGGCGGAACCTCCTCTCAAGGAAGGCCTGCAACCATGGCAACTCTACGAGATGATGCAGGGCCCCATCACAGCCATCAGTGTTTCAGACGTTGGCTTCATGGCTGTTGGCTCTGAAGGTGGCTTCTTCAGCATCATCGACTTACGCGGCCCGTCTGTCATCTACCAGATGTCCATGACTGAGTTCGCCAAGCATGAGAAGAGAGCGTCTTTCTTGAAGGGGCATAACCAATCCAACGGAAAGGAGTGGCCGGTTGCTATTGAGTTCAGCGTCATGACGATCGAGGGTGACAACTACTCCAGCATCTGCTGCTTCGTGGGCACAAACACGGGTAGAGTTGCAACATTCAAAATCTTACCTTCCGGCAACAGCTACACTGCCAAGCTTGCTGGTGCTCAGCAGTTTGACGGCAAGGTCATTGCTCTTTGCCCCATTGTGGCGGACACCGGAAAGCCTGCGCAGGCCACTGGCCCTCTTGTTGCTGGGCTTAGGAACGGGCATCAAGTCAACGGTGTTTTGATTGCTGGTAAGTGGTTTGTCCGAAATCCCAACGTATCTTGCTAACAAAGGCTAGTGACACAAACCGAGATCCGCATCTTCAAACCCGCAGGAGCAAAGGGAGCTTCTAAGTCTTTTGACGATGTCCTTTGCGACGCAGCAAACGTCACAGAATTTGAGCTCCATGGATTCGCTATCGTTGGAGTATTCGGCGACAGAACAACCCGTGCGTTTTCCATTCCCGGCCTCAAGGAAATCGGCAAGGCTGCTCTGCCCATGCTCGATAGCAGCCGTAGCACTGCGGCGGTTGTGACTGTGACTGGTGACATTTTTGGCTGGACTGGTCCGAGCGAGATTGCTGTCCTCTCTGTGTGGGGCACTGGGAAAGACCTGCCCGTCAGCGATGACGTCCTCATCAACCCTGAGCTAATCACGCCACCACGTCCTACCATATCGAACATGCAGTGGTTGTCAGGCACTCAGTACATTTCGCCGACAGACCTTGATCTTCTCATCGCCCCTGATCGTCCTCCCAGCAGGCGCATGATTCAAGCAGCAGCTGCTGAGGCTAGGGCCGTTCGCTCTGGTCAAGCAGGCTCAAGCGCTGGCGGTAGCCAGGAGGGATGGGGAGATTACTTGACCAGGCAGTTGAATGAGCGCACCGAGAAGCTCAACATCATGAGCGATAATATGGATAACCTGCAGAACCAAAGTGCGGGATGGGCTGACGATGTTGGCAAGTTTATCAACAAGCAAAAGCGGAACGTTGTCCTCGGAGGACTCAAGAGCAAGTTCTTCTAAACGACGGAATGATTAATGGCTGAAACGGCCTTGGGGGCGATAATTGGCGCTTGTAAACTATGGCGTTTGGTATCTGACATCAAATCAATTCACTGGTTCCAAGTTCAGTCACTTGTAGAGATCGTAGTGTGTCCCAGACACTAATAGTTACTGCTGTGCTTTGCTCACATCTCTAACCCTCCATGACAGCATATACCCCATCCATCATCTATCCAACAAATGCCACCCCATCATTATTCGTGCAGTCAGATATCTTGAGGTCTCAGACTGTGGCGATAAAGCTCATTGTCAAAATCCGACGTCTCCGGAGTGTTTAGCGAATCGGAGCTGGTGTTTGACACCGTCGTTGGCTTATCACGTTAGCTTTTCGACTTGGGGAAGGACGCACCTCTTTTTCCGAGGTGTCGGGATGAAGATCTAGGCTTGATGGTACCGAGCATCGGACGTTGTTCCGTTTGGTATCTGCAAATGGCTGTAAGCGAAGGTGGGAGGGGCCGACTTACCTCGTGTCGAATCGAGTCGGTAGGGTCGCGCTGAGGGGGTACCTAGAGTCAAACTTTCTTATACTGAGAAGGGGAAACAAACTTACGCGTGTTCCTGGAAAAGGCATACCCGTGTTTGTGGAGAATATCGTATAACTAGAGTCAGCGCAGAGGAACGCGGGGGTGGAAGACTTACCTTTTGAGTTGGGTGAGGTTACACGCGAGGTCTTTTGCAAGGTTCGAGTGCCTGGAGTTAGCTGTTCAAAGAATATGGGTTGAAAGGGAGTACGTGCCGTTGAGCTGGAGGCATGCGAGCTGAGCTCCGTCGCAGATGTTTCGTTCCCTAGAGTTAGCTTTTGAGGAGTATTGGGGGGAACACTTACCTGTTGACGTCTGGGATGTTTCGACTGAGGCTGTTAATAGTTTGTGGTCTAAACTGTCAGCTTATCAAACGGTGAAGGGGAAACGTACCTAAATATAAGGAGCCAATGTCTTCGGGTTTCATCAGTTTCGAGTCTCTGTGCACAGTTAGCTGAACTTTGGGTAGGGGCGCTGACCTTTAGGAGAACAGATGATTAAAGCTGGTTGGCAGTCCAATGTCAAGCTTTGTCTATGATCGGGAGATCATTGAAAAGAATATGGGAGTTCTATGTAGATGTCAGTGGAGTAAGAGGGGGGAGGACTTAGCTGTGCCGGACTTGGTTGTTCTAGATGGTGTGATGAGTGAGATTGAGATCATGCCTAAGAATGGAAGGGTCGGGAGGCTATATAGATCTCTGACCATCGACCGCCCGTTATTTCATCGCACAGCCAGGAGCTTTGTTCATTGGATGTCACTGAACAACAACACCTTGTTTTGTTGACGGCCGCGGCCGAACCTTTTGTTGCGTGGCAAAGACGAGTTGTTTTACAACCCTTAGAATACTCTTGTTTGTTCGTAACTGATTCGATATCGAGTCTACTTGCTGAAAGGCCTGTTTTAGAATCGAGTCTTTCTTTCAGACTTGTCCTCGACCAACATATCCTTGTCGAGAAACAGTACACAGGCCATTGGGTGACAATGCATTCTGGCCGTTCGACAAAAGCTGAAGAAAGGGTTCGGGGAGAATGAAAGATCAAGGCTGGTGAGTTGTACTAAGCCACATTTGTATTTGGTCGTTGCCTCGGGAGAAAGACACCCTACTGTCTCCCTAATGCGTTGCATATGTGAATCTGTTGTCTTAGTACATTAGTCGTCGGTCAAGAAATACTGAATCTCTTGAGACTTTCGAATTCGTTACTTAGAATATTTATAAGTCTCAGAAACATGAGGTGGTTTCCATTGTATCACGAGACGAACTTATACCGAGGTGTACATTGGCCGCAAGTCACGATTTCTTGAAATAAGACGCAAGCAATGGTTTGGTTGTATTCTGACATTATCTGCTTTCCTCTTCGGTTGAGCCAAAACTACCTATCTCATCAATACCCTCAACGCGACCGGTTAATCTGTTCAAAAACTTCATCGCACAATTTCAGAAATGGCGTGCTCCATTCTCCAATGCTCAAAATCCCCTTGACAAGTCATGTGACGAGCTTCAAAGGGCACTGGAAACCAACTTGGTTGCTTTACGAAGCTTGATAACGACGGATTGTAGCAACGGAGTCTGCTAGATCGTCATCATCATATGCTATGCTGTCTTTTGAGGCGGTGGAAGACCGGTATGACTCTTCTGGTATGGTGCTAAGCCGATCTATAATAGACAAATCATCTGATTCAGTGTGGTGATCCTCATTCTTATAGCCAACATGTTCATAGTCAGTAAGTCCACGGCCAGCATGTTCACGGTCGACACTTTCACATCCTACTTGCTCACGGTTGACATGTTCATGATCGCAATGGTCGTAATCGCGACGGTCATAATCGCCATGGTCATAGTCCGGAGAGATGTGGACAGGGGGAGGCGGAGAAGGCATAGTCGCATCAGAGAAGTCATAGCTTGTGGGCGAAACCAGCACAGAACGCTCAGAATGGGAAAAGTGGTGTTGTTGGTTGGAAGAACTAACTAACTGGCTAGAGGGCTGTGGAGGCTGGCTAAGACCAGTGGTGGCGGCCGTCAGCCCACGTGACGGGCCGGCGAGGCCTGCCTGCCACCTACGCGTGCTGTTGGAAAGGGAAGGTATTGAAGGGAAGGTATTGATGAGTAAATGGTACTGAAGAAGTATGAATGTTGTGTAGGAGGGAGAATCTTGCGTAAGAACACGAGAAATGGGTGGAATTGTGAGATCCGACCGTAGAAATACGGTGAATCGAAGGGAAGAATGAATACTCGTAGAAGATACGAGAAACTGATGGGCTGGTTCGAAAAACCGAAGCTGAAATGGTTGAATTCTCGTGAGAACGAGGAAATCGAAGTAAAAGTATGGTTGTAGTGACTGAAAAGTCTGTTGTTGACCGTGGTGTTCGTGAAAACCAGTGGGTTGTGGTGGTCGGTCGCGTGCCACGTGATATTCGTGCGCGCCAGGCAGCCAATGTCGCGTCAGAAAGTGAAATTCGTCAGCGAAGAGGAAGGAAAGAAAGCGAGAAAATCGCACAGAAGGGTAAATAAAGCGAATAAAATCGCAAAAATTCGTGAATCAATAGAAAATTGACAGACGAGTAGAATAATGGGTAAAACGACGTTATTCCGAAAGAATAACGCTGGGCTCATAACCTGTGGGCGAAACCAGCACAGAACGCTCAGAATGGGAAAAGTGGTGTTGTTGGTTGGAAGAACTAACTAACTGGCTAGAGGGCTGTGGAGGCTGGCTAAGACCAGTGGTGGCGGCCGTCAGCCCACGTGACGGGCCGGCGAGGCCTGCCACCCACATAGCTTGTGTTCAACCCAGAATACTCAGCCTCCTCCTCGTCCTCTTCGTCCGCCATTTCTTGAGGAAGACGCCCGTACTTGCCGATGTACTGGAGCGTCGTCTGTTCGGCACGATCTAGAAGGGCCTCAAGGCAAAGACCTACTGTTTGCGCTTTTGTTAAGTCCGTATTTGCAAGTTCCAGCTTCTTTAGAGCTTTCAAGTGATGGTGCCTAAGGATAAGGTGAAGGATGAAGATAAACAGGGCCAAGGTCGAGGCGATTATGACGCCAGCCAACAGGCCGATGTTCCAGGCCAGACAGACATCAGTCGGGGTTTCAGTGTTGTCACGGGGTGAAAGAAGAGATTTGCCGAGGAGGTTTGTGTGAGTTTGGTGAGGAGGCATTTTGACTGTCGATTTTGGGAAGTACTAATCTTGTTGCTGTGAATCAGGTTCGGGATGGAGTTGATTGGTTGCTTTGGTACCGAAGTTGTCTTGAGGCATTATGAGGCTTGCATACCGTATATTTATAAGAAAAGATGGGAAACTATTGATAAGTCCGGAAACCCAGTTACAATACATTGTTCTCGGATACAATGGCGTGATTATGAATATGACGGTTGCGACAATGGGGTTCACGAAATTTCCACAGACATCAAAGAGTAACGAGGACATTGCGGCGAATCATAAGCACTGTGATACTGTCAAAGGAACACTGTTATCCATGGTCATAAGCAACGGTAGCCTATTCTTATTGTGTTTGATGTTCATTATAGCATGGTGTTCGATTTGATCACTTGGTAAAATCCCTGCACAAGGCGTTAACTTAGGTTGACCATCAATGGCATTCTCGATATATTCTTACTTAACACACGACCCTTGATCCAGATGAACGGATTTTAGGGAGGGCATTCCTATTACAACGGATAGTGCGGCTACGGCTTTACACAGCCACAACCTGGCTTTCTCATAACTCACAACACTCATGTCCTGTAGTACACCAGCACCCAAGCCTCTGTCGAACGGCCTGGGCCAAAAGTAGTAGCCTTCAATCAACTCAAAGTACATACCGTGAGCGAAACTAGTTGTCTCAAAAGTACCACGATATGTATGATCAACCATTGAAGCGATGACCAAAACCTTCCACCTCGCCGAAAGGACCGCACTCCATCAAGCACAGTCGGCAAATAACAGCCGGCCGTACTTAGTTGCCAAGCATGCGCTCCTGCCCAAGTACACCGGGGAGAAAAAGGCTCCAATGGGGTCAAGTGCGTTGCCAGCTGGCCTTTGTCGGTGAGCACAGTGTCGACTACACCGCATAGGCGTGACCATGATTAAGGGGCGTCATTCACCAGCGTGATCTTGCATTTCTTATTCCGTTATGATCGCTGAAGAAGCGGTCTGTATCGTAGTGCGCGAAAGCAAGCTTGGGCAAAAGGAAAAAGCAATGTGGAATGCAAGATAAAATGACTTGGGAAGTGTGAGTGGGGTATCATGTCCTGCGCGGTCATAAGTGTGTGGGGGAGAGCTCATAGCCCAGACCTAATAACAACACGCCCTTCCATCACCAACGGCATGCCGGCACTCATTCTAGCCAGGGGGTATGTCGCGGTAGGCCTCAAGATGATGTACCCGACCGAGCCAGTTGCACTGACCGGTGGCTTCTGACCGGTACTACAATTCATCCACTTCACAATCGGTGACGCCGCGAGGATCTGCATCCATGGCTGGCTGATGGTTGTGTTCAAGAATGTATTTTTTGCACATTGAGGTACTTGTTTCGGCGACCCTCGTCCTTGCCCTGTCTCTTCGAAGCCAATAGGCCAAAAAGGTCGCGGTCCTGATTCCTATGTGATCGCCGCTGCAGCAGCAGTGCAGACCATGATGTGGCTGAACCTATAGTTTCTGGATGGGAGAATGAATGTAAGCAACCTGAGTCGGCACCGGCAAGCTATCGGAGAAGTAAAGACTAATTAGTCGGGTGACAGAAGGAATTCGAAAGTGACGCCAAGCGCTAATGATGGGTGTTGGAAGGGTGTGAGAGACGACGGGTTGATCTGCGACAGGGGTAATGAGCGAAGTTGCGACATTCAGCCTTAGACAGTTTGAGACAAATCTCTTTCTCGTATCCATTCTAGCGCCCGCCTAGTGCGTGAATATACTAGACACACAGTAATTCATCGAAAGATTCGAAGAGCTTCTTCAGAATGCTTGAGAGACGTGGCTTGTTTCGAGTTACGAGATGGCATTTACTTTTGCTGCATGTTTCACGAGCCGGTTAACGCCTCAGTGCCAGCAGTGGAGTATTTTGACCGGTTTCCATAATTAGTTCATTCTGGAATTTGTGCCTCTGCGACAAGGGGTAATCGGTAGTACTGGAGTTTGGGTAGTACGTCTTGAATGAAGGGTGGAATTGAGATCATATGCTGGTCTGGCAACCTCTGCGTGCCCGACTAAGTGGCTGATACGCCGAGGACACAGATGAACTGCAGTCAAGGTTCACAACACGTAATGTCCCGCATTGAAATGTGTGAGCTTCCGATGTGGTCTTGCATCCTATATGGGGCGATCGATACTGCTTTTCTAGAGGCACAGCTTTATATGCGCCCGTGTAGGTCGGATCGAGCCGGGTATGCGACTCCAGCGTCGACTGGTGCACTCAGTTTCAATGCCTTTTGCGCACATTTTCATAAGGATCTTCAATTATCCATCTGCGTGAAATACGGATCGTCGAGATAGAACCCTCCAGAGCACTTCCGGTGGATATGCCAGAACCTTAAGGTCTAAATCTGCAGGAAACGAGTTACTTGAGTCAATGCTCTAAACCTCAACTCATGTGGTAGTGATGCGACAATATGGATACGGAACATAGTGGTTCAAAAATAGGTCTTGCCTAATACGGGCCTAATCATACCTGACAAACAACTGTGAAATACATCTGATGTGCCAGTTCTTTGGTTTTGTTTGAAGCCAGTCTCGGAGAGCACATCAGCGTCGGGTTCATTCAAGATTTAAAAACAAAACAAAAAAACAACAGTTATGCCAGTGCGAGCTGAAGTCAAGATAGCTGAAATTCTGGAAGACACTAGGTATAAAGCTCCAGAAGGGCTGTGGGGTGGTTAACTCACCAATTCAGCAGTACGTCTAATTGATGACTCGCAGAAAAACCAGGTATAACCTTGTAAAGCAGAGCCAACGTCGCAGTCCGATTTACAGCACTAACGGTTCCCCACGTGTTGCTGATTTTTGCGTCCCTTCCCTGACTAGAAGATATAAAAAACTCGCCAGGAATTAAAGGAGGCTCCAAATCAAACAGAACAAGGGTTCATTCATGGATCCAACATGCCTGACGTGCATCTGGCGGTATGTCATGCAGCATCTCGGCTCCAGCATATCGGGCAAAAGGGGGAGGAATTGCTCCGGTTAGCGATCGGGCTGAGAACGGGAAACTGCGCAAGTGAGTGCGGTCGCAACTACTATGTACGCCTGTTAAGGTACACATACTATCTTTCCATTTGACATTTGTTTAAAGGAGGAGGGGGAAAAAAGCCTTGGGTAATTGTGTTTCGTGCTAGGGTAGTAGAGGTGAAGGCAGTACCATAGTAGTGTATCCGTCATATGTAGGGTACTTGAGGGTCCAGGGGGGTTGAACGAGAGGGCGCCAAAATGTGGGGGGGGGGGGGGGATGGGTTGACGGGACCCGCCAATTTAGCCGGTCAACCGGGGACCCCAGTTTGAAGCCTCCAACAACCATCCACCAGCGCCAGGGGAGGAGCCCCAGGAGCTCCATTGTAACACACGACAGATGCGACTCTCTTGGAATTTCATCCCTCTAGCTCAGTCAGGTCACAACATACTACTTACTACCTGGCAAGACATCCTTAGCTTTTCGAACGGTAGTTTCGGATGAGAAGGAAACCTAATGATGTGGTTTGGTCGGTCACTCTCATGGTCACTCTCGCACCACCTTTCTTCGCCCTTGGCCTCAAACCTCTGGGAGGCTTCCATTTCCATGCCAACTCATACACACCCACACCCATGTGGCACACCCTCAGTGACTTCTCCCAACAAATTTGCCTTGCGAGCTGTTTGGTACAGGACTTGCTTGGATTGATTGAATAACTACAGCGCTGCCACCAATACTCCAGCTACAAGCGCCTCTCCCGCCCTTGTAGCTCCCGCCCCCCCGCTATGCTGATTGGGCACCCTCTTTGGGCTGCCTCAAATGACTATGTTCACAGGCTCGCCCCTTGCGATCAGTGTGCCACCTCCACCCCAGAATCCTCATCCTCCACTAACTGCTCGGCGATGGATCTCCTATCCAGCCACTTGACGGCCCAGAGCATGCATGCCATTATGACCACAACCACGCACATGGCGATACCGCCCTTTCGCCAGTACGGTGCCTCGTTGGCAGGGTACAAGGCAATGCCCCAAAAAGTATACAGAGTGCTTTGGATCGCATTCAGCCAATACAACAGCACGCTTCGGGCAGCTTCGTCTCCGCTTCGCTTTAGGATCACATTTGCCCAACCGAACAGGAGCGGGTTTACCATGTAACTCGTTCCCGCGATATAGTAAGCGAAGAATGTGCCAGCATCAGGAAGACTGGGGACAAGAATTAAAACCGCCGACACCAGCTGTAGACCGCATGCCAGGAATCCGACAGGCAAGCGACGGCCCGTCGAGTCCATATAAATGGCGGCTCCAATATTAGACACAATGGCGACGGCCTGTACGCCCAGTGGATATGTCGTGATCTGGCTGCTGCTGTACCGGTCGCTGTGGTACTTCATCCAGAGTAAGAATAGCGACTGTACGCAGAAAGCCTCCAGGGCGCCTGTGACAATGGAAAAGACGCCAAGGACATAGCTGCAATTGTCAGTTGGGTGATGTGGACTGTCCAGGGTTGGAAGGGCGCATACAAGTATGGTTGGCCGAGGATACGTTTAACCAGAGACAAGGGAGAAATGTTATGTGCGTCTTCCCTTTTGGGCGGGAGGCGCTTGATGGCCAACTTGATGTCCTCTTCCTTGAGGGCATAGGGGTGTGCCTTTGTGTTCTCTGGAATGTCCGGGAAGCAGACGAAGCCTGCGATGGCCACAGGGAGAGTGATGATTCCATCTGACACCATTTCAGTTAAAGCCTGCGGCAGATTACAGGACCATGGTTTCGGGACTCGATCAACATACCAATGAGGAACACCCATTTCCATCCCGGGAGACCGGCATATCCGTTCATGCTCTTGTGGACAGCAGTCATCATAGCTCCAGCAAACATACTACCGGCCTGGCCAACGGCGGTGAAGATTGCAGTCCTTTTTGCAATCTCCAAAGGCTTGCTGCACCGCGATAGGTCGTCAGCACCACATATCCCTAGCAGAAGACGAAGTTGGACTTACTACCACGACCCCATAATGTACATGGTTCCGCAGTACGTACTCGCCTCAGCCATGCCCTGGAAGAATCGTACCACGCACATCTGCTCATACGTCTTGCAGGCGGCCGTGCACATGGTCAAACCAGCCCAAAGGGCAACCATAGAGGGCAGCCATATGCGCGGCGAGATCTTCTGGATGATGATGCCATGTGGAATCTGAGCGAGGACGTAACTGATGACGGCGTCAGTGCATCTGGTATATAATGGTCTCAACAAACATACCCAGCGGTCATCATTGACAACAATACATTGTACTGCGCCCCATGAAGACCTATATCTTCTTTCAAGCCGGCAACCTAGCCCTGGTAAGCGCTGCTAAAGACTGCCTAGTCGAAGAGAGACGTACATAAGCATTGGCAAAGGCGGCCCGATCTGGACTATTGTTAGCATATCTATGGCTTGTATAGTTAGAGTGATTGACCTTACCAAGATAGTTGACGAAATAACTCAGACAGCAGTAAGTCTATACGTGGGTCAGTCCTCAAACACTTGACGCCATCACCATTGTGGAGTCATACCAGAACAAAGATGTCTGCACGACAACCGAACCCGGTCCTTGTCAGCATATGCATCACATCAGACGAACGGGAGGAGCCTTGAGTTACCGAGTTTCCGGACGAGCAACCGCTCCTCGGCAGATTTTGCCGCGTCCCCAAGGAACATGGCTACCACATGTCAGATTTATTCGGGGTAATGCAAGCACGAGTAGACATGGAGTCACCTTTCACTTTGTGTGACAACTTGCTGGAAGGCTGAGGCTCCATCTTGTCGTCCGAAACAGGCTCTTGGCAACAAAACTGAGCAAGCAAACAGCAGATACAGCAGCGGATACGTCACACGACAACGATGGCACCGAAGCGGCAGTAGGGGAAGAGCTTCATTTTGAGGGTCCTTATTTATTCTGCGCACCCGGATGGCTAGCGAAAAAGGGACCGTTTTAGTTTTTCCACGGGTGGTTATAGCGGCTGTCATAAACATGTCAATACAACGTGGCGCGGGGTATCATGGTTTCTGGCCAATTGAAGAATACAAAATGTAAGCTGAAGAGGGGGTGAAATGGAGCCGTTTTATGGACCGGCTCGTACCAGAGCTATTTTTTTTTTTATTCCCAACTGAGGGCGAAAATCATCAAGTTTTTTTTCCATTTATCGAATCTGTGGGGCTACTTCCTTATCGTCAGCTACTCGCATCTCGCCTCTAGCCTCTAGTCGTGCCGCCGGCGTAAACTTTATCTGTCGCGCAGGTGGCCGGCGGGTCCATACCACGAGACCCAGTCCTGTATGCTGATCACGGCTCGCTGTCGGCACCGAGGTGGAGGTGGCGTGTTCGCCGAGCGGGAACGAAGAAGAGGAAGAAGGGGAAGCTCATAACAAGTGTGCGACACCAGAGAAGGAGTCTTCGTGCTAACTTTAAGGAGGGGAATAGCAATTATGGCTCTCTGAAGGGAACGGCGATGTCTGTCTGTTACTGGGAAATGAGGCTCACTCACAGAGAATTGACTTTATGAGAGGATCGCCATGTGCCAGACCCTATATTTTCTTATGGTGGGAGTAAGTCAATGTAGAGGGGACCCCTGACGGCTTTTTGCGCAAAAAGCCGTCAGGGGTCCCCTCTACACTAACCCGAAGCAATGGGCAACATGCTCGGTGGGCTAGACTTCGGCCTTCTGAACGGGGCACTCAGTGTGATCAAGGTCGTCAACTTTAAGATTGAAAATCCCGATAATATTTTAAAACCCTGACAGATGAACAGCCAACCAGCCAGCCTGCCAACTCAGAAGTACACGCACACGCACACAATCGCCTGCATCTCTCCAGGCAGAACGAGCCGAGCGTTTCATGTGTGTTCTGCTGATCTACTGAGCTATCCCAGGTTCGTATTCCTAAAAAGGTTTAGCCACGTAGACCACCACCACCCTCCCATACTAGAAAAAGCCATCGCCTTACTGTTGGGAGGCACTTTAAACCAACACCCTATTCGCCGTCCATCCAGTCTGCGTCTTCACCGCCGTTCGGAAAATGATGGCTTCGCTCGCCCCTGTGACACCTTCGACGCCCTGGCAAGACCTGCGCCATCGTCCTCTCCCCCCAAAGATTTACTGGTATCGACGATTGACGTGAGAGGGACGTCGCCTCTGAATTACGAGATCCCTGACATCGATTAGGAAGCATTGGCTTCAGCCCAGAAAAAGTCTTTGCGGCTTCTGGAAAATGTTTCAATGCCTTTGCCGCATGCCATGCCTTTGTCGATTCTCTAGTCTCAAGCAGAAAAATCAAGGTGGGCAGCCACCCAGCTTGCTCCTCGTCCCGCCCCGCTGAAGAGCGGACAATCGAGCAACCACCCAAGAAGCACAATGGTGAAGATGTTCTCCAGTGTCCCGTCTGCACAGGAGCATACATGCAGCGATGGTTAGAGGCAAAAGAAATGAAAAGTGCAGCAATTTCTTTCTCAAACTCTCCTCATGCACCCCCGCTTCTCGCCCTTCCGTTTTGGGCGATGTGCTCTTCATGGGACCCAAATGCATGAGGGACGCCCGCAAGAAGAGCATCTTGGGAGGCACCTGTGCAATAATATCCCAATGAAAAATTTTCAAGGTCATAGGTGCTGGCTTGGGGGGGACATCATTTGTGCCGATGCGTTCTATGCTGTCTTACGTACTCGGTTCCTGTCCTGACTTCCCGCAGTCTCAGCTTACTCCAGCCTGCTCATGGAGAGGACCTGACTGCCCATCCACCACCCTATTTTACCTCCATGTCTCATACGTTCTTGCAGAGCTGCTCCTTCCACGCCCAAATTTGCACAGGTGCCTTGCATATGAGTGCATTTGAATAGCCGCGACTGGACTAGTCGCCCTGTTTTTTCTGCTGATGTCTAATTCCTCAACCTGTCGGCTGGGAAATGAGCTGCCAAACCAAGGGGACAGGTAACAAGAGAGACAGACATAACCTCACAAAGCCCTGGATCATGTACCTTTTGTTGTCTTGACCGCCGCCAAGAAATCCCAAGGCGAGCATGCGATGCGGTACGTCAGGTACGTCAGGGACGCCAGGTACCTGGCACTTATCTCGACCTCTTGGGACCACCATGCGAACACTGGGGAGCTACCACACTCAAAGTACCTCGTCATTTCATCACTGTTCTCTTTCCTAAACACCGCCCAATGCCATGCTCACCCGCACTCCTTCCCTCTTCACACGCCCTCCTCCGTTCCTCTCCCATTTAGACATGACCACCAAGAAGGCAGCCGAGAGATGGTTCGCCCTCTCTTTTATTCCTTCCCTCTTTTTTCGTATAAAATGAACTCTCCTACCGCTGCTTCTTCGCAGCATGTCCTCCTACCTCGCTTTTTCTCAGTCATTGACACCATTCGCTCTATATCACGCTGTATCTTAACATCTCTTCTCTTATATTTCATTCTTTGGACACAAAGCTGGTCTTTTCACACCCTTCCCCACAGTTGCCTTTAGGTTTCTTGTTTCCTTCTTCCAAGATACCCACATACACCACCCAGCATGCCTTCCAGCCAGACTTCATCCATGGCCGTGAACCCTGGCAGCAGGTATGTATACCCTACTTGACTACTCTTTTCCTCATTTCAACAAAACTAACAACGGACAGTCTCCAGGAACATCCCCAGAAACAGCCCACAGACCAGCCAGCTTCACGACAGATGCGTGAGGAAATGTTCATGGCCAACACGGGCTACACCCCATACTCCCGCCTCTACTCCGGCCAAATCCCAGCCCAGACCCTCGCAGACAAACTCGGCCAACAACACTTGGCCAACCTACCCCACAACAGCAATTAGCATCCTCCCCTGCTCGGCCTGCTCGGATGCCACCAATGCCCAAAACTTCAGCCAGCCATGGCCGTGTACAACACATTTGATTCGAAGGGGAAAAAAAAGCCATCCTGCATTCCTCAACGACATATACCACACTGCAACTTCAGCGACAGCCTCTTCAGCATTAGAACCAAAAGAGAACCCTAAAAAAAGTTAATAAAGCAAAAGGGGAATCAAAAATAATCAGCAAGGGGGGAAACATGTATTCATATCACATCATTTAAGCACCCGTGCCGGCTCACCTGGGTCTGTACAATCTACTCAAAAGCGTCTGTTTCTTTAACAAATTGCTCCTTTCTTCTTTCGTGACTGTCCCGGGGTCCCCAAGATCTCGTAGCGACCGGTCAGCGACTACCGAGCCGGCTTTCCAGATCTGAGCCAGGGGATGTGCATCCATCACACCACCAACCTCCAACCTCCAACATCCCAACACCACCACCACCCCCCGTCCTCTCCAATCCGGCCCTTTCTCCCCCTGGCATGGCTGATCTAATTACCCCGACGCAGGACTTGTGAAAAATCATCACCTCCTGGAGGACGCATCCATCAAGATGTTTGTGGTCCCGACGTTAACAAGGTCTCCGAGCAAAGCCCGCTTTTCTCTCCCCCCAAAAAGAGACACAAAAAGAAAAATTACATCGTCAGCCTCGCGCTTGAAGGTTATCAATCGGTCCGCTTGGGCGAGCTGACGCAGCAGAAGCACCAGAGCATACGAAGCCTTTGACTCACCGCACGCGCGTCTCACGTCCTGGTTCAATGAGAGAGTGACGCTCGCTGCGATATTCTTTCTTTAGCCCAAGATGATTGGCCTGGTATCCGCGCGACGACGCAAAAATCTAGCACTTCCGGCACGAGTATCCACCAACGAAGTCGGCAAGTGATTGATAATGGTTTGGACCAGAAGTACTCTGCATGGCGGCTGGTTTTTCTCCCCGGATAATCCCCAAACTGGCCCTAAAGCCCACGCACCTATACGGCCTCTTTCTATCATTTAATATTGAGGGGGGAAGGGGACAATCTATCGGCCCTGAACCCTGCCCATCCACCCACACCCATCGACTAGGAGCCCCAGGGGACCGACTGCTTGGTTGCCTCCTTGTTTCGAACCCCCACGACTTAAAGATGGACAGTGTACAAAAAAAAAAAAAAAAGACCGACGTGGAATGGTGCCAGCTGATCGGAGATTAATATACCGTAACGCGAACCATCCACCTCCAGTGTCCACGCCCCCCAATGATTCACTACACTAGCGGAATTGGTGGGGACTGGGCCCCCAGCTCGGTAGGGCTACTTACGCGCATACTTGTCGCGCGGCCGAACAAGGGCCGATTTCCTTTGCTGTCGGCCATCATGAGGGTGATCTGAGGCGGTTCTTACCAAATAAAGCACTGGGCTTCGTTGTGCTGTTATGTAAACCTGCAACTTGTGTGAGGATGCATCACATCATCACCACCACCAAACATGGCTGGCGAGGGGACTGGCTCCCAAAGGAGGGGGAGGAGAGGGGGTGGGATGCGCCTTGCCAGCAAGATTTAGCGTTGTCGCAGTAGCGGCGGCGCGAGAAACCGGCCGCAACATCAATCCGCGTGACCTGGGAATGAACTGGCATGTGCGAATCCCACGTCCTCGGGAAGGGAACCCCAACGAGGGACTCAAGGGCGGATGACTGCGACGGCCGAGTTACCGTTACGTCGGTGGTTCGTCCTCTGCATGCTAACACAAATAAAAAAAATAAAGCTTCGCAACGTTCGTTTGAGCTACACGATATTGTCCCAGGAGTGACCCGGTTCTACGGGTGTGTCATGGTGATCCGAACATCCGTGTCACCGCACAGACGTGACGTGACGTTGCCCGTTGACTTGGGACGGGACGCGGCTGGTGGTTACGGGAGTCGGGACGACGGAAACACGGTGGGATGTAAAACAAAATAAATAAAACTTGCGAGCGTTGCACGAGTTTATTTTTTTCTTTCTTTGAGGTCCAGCTGAGAGGGACGTTGGCCCCACGGCCTAAGCCTTGAAACGGCTTCATGTTTTGTGGTAGGTACTTGCTGATCCTTGTGTGAACGGGACGCGCTAGTGGGAAGATGAATATATACCAGATTCAAATTTCTTCACAGTCAGTCGACTTTGGCCTTGGCACCGTCATGGTATCTTAGTGCTCTGAGGCCCTGCTTGCGGCTTGAGGGTTTGCTTCCGCTGGCTGAACCTGGCTTTTCTGCTGCCGCGCCACACATCTGCTTTATACCAACACTCCTCACCTATAACTCCCTCTCAATTACCAACTCAGCATCTGTCAGTTCCAGTCCTGCTATAAGAGTGCTCAACATGGTGAGTTTCACGTAGACCCGCGTCAAAGACCGTGCACGACGTCCTCCCGAGCAGCCGTCAAGCTACGGCGGAATTCCGCCTTTCCTTCATCAACATGTGGCAGCCTAGCCGGCTCCTTCAAGGCCATTAAAAGTTCAGAGACAAATGAAAGTTCCATGCCGATAGACGGGGTTGAGGCGCTTGACCGCATGGTTCGGCGGTAAATGAGTGATCCACGCTAACCTCGTCAACGCCACCTTCCTTAATTTCGACGTCGGAAAACTATATTGTTAATAAACGTCGTCAGACATTTGTATAAACTCTTTGCTTTCCCTAGACGCAAGTTTTGGAAAGGATTTTGTCGTTCATGCTTTAGACTTTTTGCCTACCCAACTTTGTCACTCCCTTTCTTGTCATTCTCTTGTATCGAAGCCCTAGTGGCTTATTTCGTTCATCTGCTACAGTCGGCTCATTATATACATTGTTCTTGGCTGAAATCTCGGTTCCGTTCGATTTTGGACCACTTTCCTTCATTGAATATGCGTTCCTCTTTCATCCTCGCTCTAGCGCTGGCCGCGGCTGCCGAGGGTCATATCGCGGCATGGGCTGACGGCATGTACTGCCGCGTAAGTCACACTTGGAACTTTGAGGGGGCGAAACGCTGACAAAGCCCAACAGGGCGGCAATGACCCAGCCGTAGATGACACCAATACCAATCTCGTCGTTAACCCGCTCTATCAGCTCCCCAAAGCGAAGTGGTGGATGCAAGCCGACCGCGGATGCGACAAGGTACCGCCACCCGAAGGGGAGTTCCTGGAGCTGCCGGCCCGGGGCAACTTCACCGTCGAGCTGGGCGGTAATCGCGGCTGCACGACGCTGTCGTACAGAGGACAGACCGCGACGCAGTGGCCGGATTGCAGCGAGCATCCGGAAGAGTGGCAGGCGCCCGGACCCGGACAGTGTCTGAGTGACAACCCCGACGGGAAAGGCGGAGAGATGCACACTCAGAATTACACCACTGCGGCCGGCACCGCGTTCGCCATCAGCTATCAGTCAGATATCCGCAACGTCACGATGGATAACCTCGTCGTGTTTTCTGTTGTTGAACAGTAAGTACTCGCTGTTTACATGTGTTATGCGCCATGAGTACGGCAGCTAAATTGCGATTAGCACGCCATGGAAGCGTGTTACGACCTACCAGGTCCCTGACTTGCCTGCTTGTCCCGAGGGCGGTTGCTACTGTGCCTGGCTGTGGATTCCGGATGGATGTAAGTAGGTTTTGGCCACCTCTCGTAATTGGTACTAACCATAGACCGTAGGTGGACAACCAAACATGTAAGATCCTCGACGGAAGCCCCCAAGGTGTACAGTCTGACAGGGGATAGGTACATGCAAAACTTTAGGTGCAAGGTGACCAACGCCGTCTCCACGAAGAAGCTGGGAGTCGCCAAGCCTCCCGTTGCCTGCCGGGATGATTCGAAAAAATGCATCACAGGCCCTAAACAGATGATTGCCTGGAATCGTGAGCTCCCATACGCATCGAATAAGCTCCCTCTCTATTACTGACCCAATGCCGCAGAAGCCGAGGGCAACAACGTCCCGGATGTCGGGTACAGTCCCGGTTACAACGCCAGAATGGGTTTCAAGCCGGGCGCCCAAACGGATATTTTTGCTCAAGGGAATACATCTTCTATTTGCTGACCGGCTGCAAAGCAGGCCAAATGAGGACTACCAGTCCTCACCGAGGACGTAGCCGAAACACACCGGCAGCCCAGTAACCGCCTTCGCCAGCCCTGGTGCAGGGTACTGAATTCTTTGCTTTTTTGTAAACATTTCTTTTCGCTTGAACCAGAGTTAAGGATCGTGAATGCAAACATACCGTCGATCCTCGCTAAGCTGCCCTGTAAGAGGGGCCGGGATAACGGCGGCGACGCAGAGAGCGCATCCGGCAACATTCATCAAGTCAACCGTCCATGTCGTGGAAATTGATAGCATTATGAAAAATGACAGCATGGTATGGATTCCGTCGGCTTATATGCACGTCGGGCCTTCATGGCCTCGCCTGCGGCCGTACTCTTCACGGTGAGAACATGCAGTCACACGTAGATTCGACGAGCGCGCGATCTGGTTGACCTCCTACCGACTGCGACACAACGGTAAGTCTGTGTGACTTTAATCGATGCGTTCCTTCGTTGCGTGACCAAGTGACAAAATACGTGAGAGGTGGCGTTGTTGGAAGGGAATAGATTGTTTCGGTGACCTGTCATCTGAAGTCTGGGAGGGGTGCCCCCGTCACTTCGACTTAAGATTCGCGCTATGGCCAGGCCAGGGCACGGCGGCCGGGCGGGGAGACGGAACCTAAAGTAAACCTTAAAAAGAACTTCAGCTCTTCTGGTTTTTTGCCAGCATTTGCAACTCCATCCATATCCATGACAGGCTTCTGACATACTCTTGGCTGCACAAGTGAAATCCGCCCGAGGTACAGTCTACATGAAGATGCTGTAGACAGTCTCTCGGGTCGCACACGGAGAAATATTGCAAGGCTCTGTTGTGACACTTTGTACCACAGGCACAGCTGTTTGAATAGAGCAAACAAGTAGTGTCATCAGATAAGGAGAAGGATGATGATGGATGACGCCAATTATCTCCCTCTCCTCATTCATGTCCTTGTGCTAGATGTTTCCAAGGCTGGCGTTCCTGGACGGTGTGGGATTGTTACATGGCGCACAGGAGGCCCGTCATATCGATGCAGATTGGCATGGCCTCAAGTTTGGGAGTGCGTAAGCTTGGCTCCTGAAAACGCTAGCAACTGGCGGTGTTTGCCTTGGCCTCAGATTGGACGTGCATTGTAGGTGGGCTGACCCGAGCAGGCGGCGGATATACGCGTGATTCGAACAGCACCCTCCCATGTTCTAGATTTTTAACTTGCTACCTCCCACTTCATTCAGCTTTCGCTCAGACTACCAGTTACGGTTAAGTGCGAGTGGCAACGACGACGGGGCCTCCCGGGAAGGGTTGCTCAATTGGGGGTGGGAGACTCAACGAATGCCACAAAAGCGGCCTGCTGGGCGAATTAGGGCTCTATGTCATTAATTTCTTTTTCTTCGGAAGTGAAATCAATCCCTGGTATGCCGTTAAGGTCCACTCGTGGCGTTGGTCGGGGAAGCACCTCGCGCAATCCGAAAAAGCTTATCGAACACAACTGCAAATGATAGGCAGGGAAGCTCTCTGCGGGTTCGTAGCCAAGGTTCATGGAAATTCCGACGAAGGGAAGCTCGAAAATATGCTGCTCGGAGGAGGTCCTTGTTTAGCCCGCAGTATGACGACTTCTGAGTGGTTGTGCCAAGCACGCGGGAACATCTGCTCCAACCCCTCGGCCACAACAACTTCTATCGGCCATAAAAGTCCATGTTCCATACTCTCGGTGAGTCAGGAGGCCCGGTCTCGTCACCATATGCGGGTTTAAAGATCTAAAGAGTGTTTCCCCGTGCCTGGATGCGGGCAACATGGTAGTATTCCGCGGCGATGAGCCAATGGGAACCATGCCGTGCCTTCCAGGTATGTGTTGTTGATCTCTTGGGGCTGCAGCGGCGCCTCCTCAAGCACTTCACTCTGGAGTTGAGGCCACGGCACACCGTACGACTGTCCCCCGCCCAACCGGGGCATGACGGTAAAGATTTATGTTAAGAAAGCATGATAGGAGTCTCGGCCTTGGTTCACATGCCCGTCCATAAGAATGGTGTTATTCCCGCACCAGATTCACTTAGGCTCTGTCCAAGACAGTACACTTCTTTAACTCTCTTCTTGTGTCGGTTGCAGCGAGTCTGGATTTTCTTCGTTAGCCGAAAGGCCCATCTCTGCTTCAACAAATACCAAGTTCTGCCCCATTCAACATGCAGGCGTCTCAAGCTACAGCCGTTCCTAAGAGCACTTCGCAGAAGTTAGCTAAACCAGACCTTGAAGTATCTTGTCGGTTGAGTTAACCTCATTTGCAGGTCCAAGTCGAAGAAAACTCGTGTCTCAGAATCCCAATCTCGGGTGAACGAGTACCTTGCGGAGGAGGACAATTTCTACCAAAAGTTCCCCACGTCCTTCAAAGAGGAAGACAGACGCAAGGCCCACGAAGATCGTGCTAGGAAGGCCGTAAGAGATGCGGATCGTTCTTTCCCTCCTGTTAAATCTTGAATGTTGAAGCACGTGATTGAGTTGGAGGGGCTTTTTCGAGTAAGAGTTGTTGGATAAGAAAGCTAATAGGCTAGACATTTCAGTCATTTCATGAGTTAAACGTGATTTTAAATGTTAAACTAGGAAGGTGCTATCAAAACGTTGTTGCAATTGCTTCCAGTGTAACCACCCGAGTACTTGAGCTCCGTGATCAATAGATGCTTTTCATTCACTACGGAGTTCACATACACCTAGGCCATCATGGCTTGCTTTTACTATCGAACCACTTGCCACGATTCACATCCTCATATGGTGAGAGTAAGGGAGCAGATGACAGGATAACGTCTGTGCAATCATAGTCATAGTTGGGGGGCGCGTTGTGCATCTCTGTTACCCATCATTTCCAGTGTGAGGATAAATACCATCATGTACATACTGTCCTAGACTTACAAGTTATCAAACCGGCCTATCACATTTAGTGTAATTGAGCCCGCAGCCGGGTGTGCTGGTATTGAGGTGTCCGGGGTGATCGATCCCTCGTGTGAAATACTTCGGAAACTTAACCGGCGAAACTAGTGGCTCTGATCTGAGAAGTCCTTACTTACTGGGGCCTTTTTCGGCCGAAGGCCAGAGGAGGTGTGACGAATTATCTAGAATGCAGCTCTGGAAGTTTTAATTTGCTCCTTTGGGCACTGGGTTACACCCGGGGCAGCGCTGAACCACAACGCTGGTTTGTTAAGGCCGTTGACTGTCGTTATGCAAGACACCCTGCCCTTCCGGCATCAACCCCATGCATGCAGCATCACTTTCCCCCAGCCAGTCCATACATCATATTCTATAGCTGTGTCTCTGCTTTCCGTTCGTTCCAGGTACACACCGTATGGGAGGACGCCTGCGGCTGCCTTATCTCGATGAGCGTTGGAGGCGTTTGCCTAAGCCACCCAGCCACTGCCACGAGGTGCCGACGTCTCTCTATTCCACGCACACCCAGGGCCTGGCCGCGCCTAGAGCAGTCCCGTCCGAGAGAACAGTGAGTCGCTCACAATCGGCAGCCCACACTGCTTCTAATCTAGCACACCCTCTTAGATAGACACAAATGAGGGATCTCGGCTCTTTTTACTGGACATGACCAGGGTTTGGCCACGATTGAGCTATCTCTTTACCGCATGATCAGTGTTAGAGGGCAGTTAGCTCATCAAAATTGAGAATTCTCACGTTATCGCTCAAAAATTAGCCAACGTCACATTCGACAGACCAAGGATGCTGAGAAGTCACTTTTGCTTTACACATTTCTCATTCAAGAATAATTCGAGAGGTGATTAAAAACCCCAACGTACCAAATGCAAAGGTGCACGGCACGCCTCGCCTTGCCAATCACATAGAGGACGCAGCGCTAGTCAAAAGTTGAAAGGTTATGCAGAACGAGGCCACGATATGATTACGGCCGAAGCCCCAGACGGACAGGTTGGCCTCGTGCCGAGACAGTCCTAATTTACTCCGGTAAAGTGATCGAAGCCGACCGCAGGCTTACGGAAAGTTGGTGAGGTGCTGAATGTGACAAGGGGGGTACACCCGGTGGCAGCTGCAGACTTTTCGGCCGTAAGGCGAGAGCAACTGCTAGCGCCATGTCTGTCGTGGATCAAGCTACGCAGATTTCGTCAGTCCACACCAACAAACCAAAGACGAAACCTTTACCAGCTTTTTGTTGTCTCACCACTCAAATCAGTCCGTATTACCAGTTCGAAAAAAAAAAAAAACGTCATGGGCAGGAATGGCTCACACGATCGAGAGAAAGAGGGTGACCCTACCACGGACCTGATATCGACCGGTCTAGACCGGCGGCCGGATGTACCTGCCATACGTAGGCCATAAGTCGATGCTGCCCTTGGTCAGCAAAATCACCATTGAGTAGGAGAATGTCGCCTAAGAAGGACGTCTCTCTGGTTAGTATTCTGGGTTATGGATCGTTGAGGGCTATGACTAGAACATCAGAATCGGTGATTGAAATGGAGCGACACTTTCCCTACGGACCTCCCTTATTTCAACTCCAGTGAGCCAAGTGAGCTTGATCGATCGATAATCGCACCCATTACCACTATATCACTTTCCATAAAATAATTGAATAAATAAGAAAGGCCCTCAGAAGTGGCTTCGTGGTATTAAGACTGGTCAGAACTTTGCAGGCACAAGCCCACAAGACAACAAGAAAGACAGGCCAAAGTGGACTAAACTGACTGTGGATTAAGGTGCTTGTGCTGCTTACCTGCCGCCCGTTGACAGACGGACTAGACGGGACCCAAGTACTCAATGTTTTTCACCCCTCCCCCCGTCCATTTTGTCTGCGTCTTACTCATTACGAGCGCTAGTCACAACTGGCGATTTCTCTTCTCTCCTTCTTCCAATGGAAGAGAGAGTAGCATGGTATTATGGCATGGGTAAGTTGTTTCAAGTGAAACAAAGTGAGGTGGCATCGAGGTCTTGTTTACGGACCAGGTGGATACATCAGACCCTGTTATGGCGCCACCGAGGAAGCCGATCTGCCTGCCCACAACCAAATCGCATCGAGATGGACGGGGGTCAAGTGAGTTCCACATTATACCCTGCTTCTTAGTCTCTTCTTTCAATCTAACCAGCTGTCAGTTTTTATTATTACCCATTGATCTACAAGGCATCCGCGCACCTGCGCAGACATGAGCCTGGTCACCTGCACCAGAGTTGATCGGCTTTCTAAGCAATTGGATGACAAGATACAACCACAAACTCGGGGAAAAAGAAAGAAAATATGATCATAATGCAGGGTAGCTTCGTGCGGGTTTGCGCTGGGGGAATGAGATATCGGCACCAGCCAAGTGTTTTTCTTGGGAATGCAACCTGCAATCTTTCAATCTTGCAGCTGCGGAAATCCATTGAGAGGGATCCCTTGGTGGCATGGATACCATTTACCAGAATGGTAACCGTCACAGGGGAATACATGGCCCTATCGGAGACATGGTTGGGCTCCATTGGGCCGGGCCAATGTCCCCCGTTCATGTTGCTTCGGCTTCTAGGTCCAGGCTCTCAGAAGCGCTGGCTGGCCTGTCACTTCCTCGTTTTTGTTCGATGGCCGAGTGCAAGACGAACACCTTTACAGGTGCCAGGCCACGTTTAAATGCCGGTTCTCAAGAAATGGCGTGCATACATGTGTGTGGCGTCGACGGTGCGAATCAAACATCACAATCCGAGGTCGCAGGCAGAATGAAAATTTGATGCCATCACACACTGACCAGTACTATTATTAATAATTCTCAGCAAGGTGTAGCCAGAAGCTTGAGCCACTCGCCTTGCTTTCCCTTTTCTTCCAACTTCGCTGTTCGGTTTCTGACCCCGTCCGATGCGCTAGGCAACCGCCATATCTCATGACGCCGAAAAGCTGATTTGAGCTGTCTCTTGGCTAGCAGATCAAGCCTGAGTTGGGAAACTTGATTTTTCCATTGCGCTTGCTCGTGGTATAATGTCATTCGGAAGCACGGTGGCCGAACCGTTGCTTGATACGGGACCTAGACCGCCACAACCGACCTCCCTCGACACTTTTACCCATCAAACATATCAAGAACTCGTTCGCTAACGAGAACGTGGGCGGCTTTGGTAGGCCAGCCCACTCATCGGAGAGTGGGGTAATCCAGATTTCGCTGAACCAACGGGCGTGGTGTCAGCTTGCCTAGGGCAGTCCACATTGTCTCATTGGTCCATGCCTGTCCTCGGGGGAAATTAGAATGCTAAAAAGGGAATAATCCTGCGTCATTCTTCAGTTGCCTTATTATCGAAGCTGCTGATGTTATAGCTCTTGGTGTTTCGGTCTGAGACTAAGGAGCTTGCCCACCAGTTCTCACTCACACAGTCGGCCACGTTATCGTGGCGTCTGGGGCAGTAATTCGCGCATTGAAAAGTGCTTCTGACATGAAAAAGCATATACTGAGCCACTTCTTGGCTCAGTATCAATCGGCATAATAGGTCTTGGCCAGCGCTCTTCTGGCAAACTAGGCAGTATCAAGCAGTGGTGGCGTCCAGTACCTAGTCCGGAAAAGAAACTTCTCACATGATTGAACGAGTACAAGTCTGTCCAATTTAGTCAGATATGGTTAATGATGCTTCAACTGGTGGGATATGAATCCATTTCTGCAAAGTCACAAACCATAGCTATTTGACCAGTCCCCAGATGTTTCCGTGAAAAGGAAGATCAGGTCAGCTGGCGTATAGTTGTTTCCAAAGAGCTACAAGGAGGCACGGGTCTGATTCAACTCGTATCACATTCAATCAGCGCGGCCCAGCCGTGGGGAGCACCCTGGTCCTGGTTTGAAGGGAGGGGTAGACCTGTCTGTCCCCCCACTTTGACGATTTGATGTAGAGCCGCAAATATGGTACTGTGCCCCAGTCCCCGCTCTCTCTCTCTCTCTCTCTTTCTCTCCTTTTTTCTGGGGTTTCTCTTTCCCAAGTCTGATCCATTCCCTTTCCCTCTCTTATGCCCAGCCCTTTATCTTGTTAGTCAAACAAGCCTTAGGACCATATCACGCCGTCCTGGAGAAGTTAAGTCCACTGGCTTCTCTCCCAATTATTGCTACGATTACCTTCGTATGCCAAGGCCAATGAAGTCCAAGGAAGAGCAAACTACAGCATGTAATAAGCCTCCCGCACTGGCTGGTTACAAAAACAGGATATGCACATGGGGGACTGCCGGCTTGCTACCAAGCATCCATCACACTGCGGGACCAGACGCCACTTGTGGCTCTGGTAAACGACCTCTTTTTTATCCTGTCTCTGTGAAAAATTGCGTAGCCATTTGCGCTACTGTGCGAGTCTGGTTGACAAAGCTTCGGCTACCTAACCTGCACACCATCGCGTCCACCTACTTCCTTCCATATATGCAGGGACGATGTACCCTAGTTCCACAGCTTGGACGGTAAGCATAACCGAGATGCTATATGTTTACCAATGAGGTTTTGACAACAACGCCACCTTGGCACCGTCCTCACCTAGTCTTCTCGCCCGCTGAAGACGTCCAGTATCCGAAGGTGTTCCATGGAACCACCCCATGGTGCTCCTACAACCTCTTATCCCCTGCCACTGTCCGACTCAGCCCGTTTCTTAGCCATTAGAGGAGAAGCATTTGCGCTCCGACACGTCGATTGCTTCCCAGCTCCACTTCTACACCGTCACTTCGGAGGAAGTTTAAGCTTCTCGGTCTGCCCCTGAACGGTACCGGTGGCTTAACGGGCAACATGGCTGCCCAACAAGAAGATCCCGTTGTAGTTGCCTTCACCGTTGCTCCACCTTGGGTGAAAGGCGTGCTAGCCGGAAACCGAGCTTTGGACGCCTCTCCTTGCTGGTATAAGAGGGAAGTCACACCCCTAAAGCTAAATGCCACCGTATTTCGACTTCGGCAGTGCCATCGTCTCGCTAGGTTTTGGTCACCTCCTTTTTATCTTGTACGAAGCTTCTTTGATAACTGCTCCCATATATCGTTATCTGGGTCATTCGATAAAGCCGACATCCGACGTTGCTCAAGCCCCTATACCCAAGCACTAGCCATCACCAATACTAGTCTGAAAGCCCATGTCGCTTGTCTTCGCGCCAGAAGAAATGGAACACACAGCGTACACATCTGTCAACATGTAGGTGCACTCCTCCGTCGCCTATCCCATCGCACCAGCGTTCCTTCGTTGACATTACTCTCTGCACAAACTTCCCTCTAACCTTTTCGACTCCCACCTGAAGGCCCCTTTTCTAGGTTTCATCAGAAAGCTGACTTTCAGCACCGCGGTAGGCGACCCGACGCTCTCACTGTGGGCCAAACTAGTAACTCAGACGCCAATGCCCGAATCAAGGACTTCTTCAAGGACCCTCCCTACGTGATAGCTGCCGGTGACTTCCCCGGCGACCTCACTCGGAAGAAAGCCCAACGGGTTGATGCAGTTGTGGAAGTCATTGGACTTGTCGCCGCCACCGGTGTCTTCGAAGCTGCCACCCCGGACCAACTGGCGGACGGCCGCATTCCACTAGCCAACGTTCAGACGGAGGGCCTTCTCGAGATTGGTGCGCAATTCGACAACGCGTAAAGGTCGCCTCTAGTCTCATCTAGCAACAGGTCTGAGCTCCCGATGGCAATCATACCTGATGATTCGATCTTACAATCGCTGGAGCTTTCTGTTATATCTCTTACCTTCATTGCAGGTCGACGTTCATGTCGGCTTGGCTTGAGGGTGATGACATGATCTCTTCTAGATGAAGAGAATCACTTACGCTTCATGCGCTGTATTTTTCTTTCCACCACCATCTCCACTCTCCTCCCTCTTCTTTTCAACTTTACCACCATCCATCACGGCCAAGGGTTGATTCTTCACACGTTGATGATATCGAGACTATTGTCCTGCGGTGACTTCCTCATTTCCTCTTGTTTCTTTCCCCAGCGGCACGTGTTTTTCTTTAGACTGCGGGCGCTTCACGTCTTTGCTTGAACTTTTACACAAAAGAACTCTTGGGAGGTTATCATTTTCAACGGGGTTGGCTTGCAAAAAGGTGGTATCAACATACAGATCATCCTATACGGGCAACCGTGGGTCCAAAACACCAAGTCGACAGCTCATCTGATATCATGTGGGAATGGTATGGGTTCTCCTTCATGTTTGTTTTCTCATCTGGTCATGATGGTTGCTTGCTTCTGGGCGTTAGAAATTTTAGCGTTATTTTGCATCTTCACATCGTTTTACTCAGCGGCCTCTGTTTTTGGTTCATAATCCTGCCTACAAATACCTGTTTTTGTTATTGATACGAGGCGTCTTGGAGTTTTATACCCATAAAACAAAATAAAATATATTTCCTTTGTACCTATTTGAGCTTTGATATTGTCGTCAGAGCAGAGGAACCCCCAAGCCTTCACAAAATTGCCGGCCATGACATCATGTTACTCCCCTGCAGCGTGCTTGATGATTCCTCTCGAGAAGAAAATAGCAGTATATGTCTCGACAGATATACAGATTCAGCTCGGTTTATTGCTGTGGTCTACGTGGATGATGACTGACTTGTATGACCATTAGTACAACTCAGTCTAAGGATGAAGGCAACCAGTCAACCGCACAGCTGCTGCTATGGTCGACTTAGCACGAGAGTTTGGAAATGAAAGGCGTAAGATATAGTGGCCTACAGTAATTTGGTTCCAGCATTGCGGCCTGGTTGAAATGACTCGTTCGAGAATATGCAGATCATGAGAGAGAGGCCCTCTCCTTGCGTTTGCCACAAGCCATGTATTTACCTTGGGCAATGGGGAGGAAAGAAACGCAAGTGCCAAAGCCAGAATCAATCAACAAGTTCAATAATGGGCAGTGGCAGGCACTGGTAGCGCTACATGGAACGTTATTCCTCGAGCACCACGACTTCTTCCTAGCGTCTCAGCATCCTTTTTCAAGCACAGGATTTCAGATCCGAGCCAGTTAAGAATTTGAATAATAAACAGTGGCAGGCACTGATAACTTTGCATCGAACATTATTTCACGAGCACCACGACTTCTTTCTAGCATCTCAACACCCTTCTGCAAGTCCTACACTGCACAGATTGAGTGTGTTGTGCAAACCTGAAGTGATTGGATATGAAATAGGCAGGATGTCGATTCCTGCTTGAGTGTGACAGCTCGAAATATGGTCGGGGGAAACCCACAGGTGCCCTTTCCTTGCTGACGAGAGAGAAGACCCCTGTCCATTTGACCGCTTGCGCAAACGGACAAATGGACAGGGGTTTTTGGCGCATGTTTCTCCTTCCAAAAGTGCTCACGCTCTTCCTGCAGAGTCGGTCCACCCGCAGTGGAATGTGTGTATTAACATTGATATGCATGCGTGCGTATGTGCGTTTAAGGTATGTGTGTGTACCCACGAGTTACCAGTGTATGCATGTATGTGTATCCGTATGTGTTCCTGCGTTTTGATTTGCGAGCCTTCTTTCTCTCTCTCTTTTTTTTTTTTTTTTTTTTTTTTTGCTTCGACCCTGGATGAGGCCACGTCTCGCCTTACTAAAAGTTCGCACGTCTTTTGACTGTCACGCTCAAGTGCGGCGGCGGTCAAGGTTTAGAATAAAAGAAAAAGGGAAAGGGCCTCCATATAACATTTGCGTCTACCGCCATAACTGCTCAATAGTTCAGTGCGAAAGATGGGTTAGAAGGAGCGTTTTCTCTTTCTCCAGTTTTCGAGCCACCACTACCACGTTGGTCAGGGCTTTGGTCTATTACGGGCTACTGCCTAGCTGACATGGAGTCGGGGACGGGGGGGTGCATGATGAATTGGGAATTGGGATTGGGGATGACCATAGGCCAGCATCGACGCAGGCTCATGCCGAACGCCCAACCAGGGGTAAAGTCCATGTCCATCCCACACACCCCTTTTTTTTGAGACGCCCCCTCCAAGTTCGTAATTCAACACAGCCATTGGCTCTCCCCAGAAAAAGACGTCGTCACAAGTCACTGTTTCTACGAGTATTGAAAACTGCTCCTGAACAGTTCTTACTTTTCTTTTCTTTAAATACGGACAGAGCTACCCGGAGCATGCTATGTCTAATAAACTTCAATGATTTCATCGCACTTGCTCCGTGATACAAATCGCTTCCTTTAGAAGCTGCGTCAACATATACCAGTATCTCCTCTGTCACGAAACGTCTTGCACCGATAACCATCCATGTCGACGACAGACCAAGAAACTTTACTGTCAATCCCAGATATGAGCTCGGTGACTGCATGTCATGGTAGCGTTGCCAGGTATATATTTGATTTGGAATACTTTTTAGGCCCTCACACAACAGATCACTGTTCAGTTGTTGCGGCTGACTTCTTGATATTAGTATTAATGGGACTGGCGAGAAATCTACCAAACATGAGGCTCACATCATGGCGAAGCCGAGCGACTATGCGATGGCTCACATACCTAGCCAGCCCGTTGGCGGCTTCCACGGACTCGGGCCACGCAAGGACCGTATATTTGTGCAAATCACCGACATAATGCGCCCCTTTCGGCTGCCCGCCCTAGGTGATGAGTCCGACAGCATGAATGTACCGAAGAGACCAAACGTGGGGAGTGAGTTAGTGGGAATAGGTGCGCAGTTTGCGAGCACCCTCAATCTGCACGAGATTCCCACTGTCACTAAGGGGCGCTGATGCTGGAAACGACTAGCTGGAGAGAGGTGCAGGGAAAAAAGCCGAGTGGAGGGATAGCAGTTATTCTATACCAAATGTACTTAATGTGGACCATCTATCGGCACACCCCACCGCTGCTGCACTACCACGCCCCGTTTCAACGACCAACACACCATGCAAACCTTGAGAAAGACAGGAACCAACCAATCAGCCAGTCTGCCAAGCTGCCATTACTTCCTAGATAGTTATCAGCCATCCAGAAAGCCGCGATAGCTTCCCACACAGCTACCCCAAGCTTGCAAGAAGTCACCGCCCACACAGACGCGGACACTCAAATGTTGAGTTTTTTTTGGACGAACGGATAGCCATCCTATAGAAAACACAATACATGTAAACATTCGATAGATGCGGTGCGTCAACCGTGTGAACTTGACACCGCCAATTAACCAAAACAAAGCAATGAAACTCAGCGACAGGCAGCAGATTGCATTCCTGCAGCACTGCTACGGCTTGCGAAATATCATGAACAACACTGTGCTCTCTGCCTTTGTGGTGTACAATTCTGTATCACGTCACCATGTCAATTTCCCATGCTACCTCATGGTGGAACTGTGCGGACAATAGCCGTATGCGGGATTCCAGCGTTGTAACGTCATAACCCGTGTTCCGACTCTTTGTCCTGGGTCGACTCGGCGGGTTGGCATGCCCCTTGGCCCGTGCTGCGGATAGCGGGCGGCAGAGCAAAAGGCGGGGGGCCATAAATACTAGTACGGTGTGCAAGGTTGTTACAGGATGTTCCCCGCGCCAAGAAAGAAATAGGCATCGTGCTCACGGATGAGAGGTCTCCTTGGGGTGAGCTCCCTTGCGGCGTCGGCTGTTGATGGGCGATGGCAAGTGATCTGAATGCGAGCCTAATAAACACACCGGCTTTGCGGCCGTCGTCACCTCCCTACTTGGGATTAAGTGCGACCTTGAGCGTATCTCCGCACTCATCTTACACGTCTGAATTGGCTGGCGAAGATGGGCCTCACCGGAAACGACCTCTCAAAAGCCGATGCCTGTCTCATGAAGTCTGCCTTAATCTTGAACTGCATAGTATGGGTATTGTCATCTCGGACGACTGCTGAAAAGCATTGATTCTCGTTGTATGAATGCTAAAGTCCTCCCTCAGTCATGGTCGATCAGTACTTTGTCCATCTATGCAACGCTGCATTTGCCATCTTTCTTGCCTCTGTAGCCCTGCTTCGAGAAGACAACTTTAAGCAGTTTCCCATCATCCCGGCTGATAAGAAGAGAACCTTAAAATTCCCGGTGCCGTCAAACAAAGCTTACAACGGCAGTGCCACGAGGTAAGCCACTTTTCCATTGTCTCCAAACTTTCCAGGCATTGGGATGTGTCACCATACGCCAGCCACGGCCGGGGTGTTCCCACTATCCCGGGCGGCCCCACATCAGCCTCCCGTCCCCCAGAGACTACCGAGACTGGATCTACAAAACTGTTTAATACTGTGTCAAAACTAACATTGGGCCCTCTTACAGCACGACCGAGACAACAAGCCAGGCGTGCGTTGCTTCCTCTACATCGACACCACACAGCCTTAGCGCAGAGGCGACCGCCAATATGCCAACAGTATTTGGTAGTGAAGAGACAACAGTGGCCCGCAAGAGGCGATTGGAAGCAGACGTTGACGATATAATGCGACGCGTTCCAAGCCGGTCTGGAGGCGCAAGGACGCAGAAGGGCCAGTGGAGACCTGGAGGGTATTGGCTCTCAATTTCCATCATGGAGTGTGATGAATCTGTACAAAATTTTCAAAATTTCTAGCGACTCACTTTAAATTGAGTAAAACGTGTTCATCGATGGTGGCATGTCTTCCATGTCTTCCAGTCTGGTCTCAGGAGGGCGTGGCAGGGGGTCTAGGGTAAAGACTGTCTTGGTCCACTAATCGCCCGCTGAATCCAGTATTCCGTCCCCCTGGAATTTGAGGCTTCGAATCATCTACCCCGCTGGCGCGTCGCCCTCACTGCTTGGTGGCTATCAGATTATACGGGGAAATCAAGGCAAAAATGGCCTCGCGGCTACCTTTACGAACCCTCAAGAGGACCATCTTCTTTATTGAATTCGCACAAATTCTTTGCCTCGTCACTTGTGTCTTAACGCGCAAGAAGATTTGTCTATGGTGTAACGGAGTTCCCACAAGGTGCATTGCAACACGCCAGGTCGCTGAATGCGGTGGGCGCAACGCCCGGCTGCTCCGGAAGCTAGATAGCCGGTTTGCCCGCGGTTCGGTCGCGGAAGTTCGCAGGTAGATGGTGATTGGTGGCCCTCGTAGGTCTTATGGGCTATTTCTAGCTTCTGGAGCCCCTCTATAGCATAAACCGGCATTTTTCTAATTTCGAATACTCAAATATCAAGCATTCAGTTCGCCACACAGGTCTAAAGGCCCAAACTTAATGTGGCATTTATTGGTTTTATGGCATAGAAGCATCTATAATGCTTAACAACACGACGAATCTTTCCTGTTACGGTATCAAATTGCCTCTAAACTCGTCACTTTTCGTCGTCTCCCGTCGCTTGAGAAAGCCCGCTAGGGCTGCACATGAGTAACGGCAATAATCTCATCATCCAATAAGAGTGATAAGCCAATTACGGTCGCCCACTTGCATATTTAGACGAGCCTAGACCGCCAGTAACATTTACAACCGAGGGATGCCCGACAATTGGGTCCAGTGCAAATGCACTAGATGATGCTTGGTTCTTCTAGGGGGCACTCTCGGCGTTCTGCGCCTGGCGTATGCAGCATCCGTACATGCGTTGAAGTTCTTGAGGATAGTAGAGGCATTTCGTAAAACTTCGTTGGTAGGGACGCAGCCATACAGCATCGTGAAGCGGCGGACGAGCCGTGGCACCTGAGACAAGAGGCGGGGTGTCTATGTCTTGGACAGAATGAATTCCAAAATAAGACGCGGAGGAAGTATGCCGACAGCCTCCTTAATGGTATTCACTTCTCAAACTTTTCGGCATCATTTGGAGATCTCACTTAACGATCTCGTTGAGTAGTACGTCTTGCCTACTCAGTCGGCTCTGTAGCAATCCCTTCCATCGCATCAGAGCCGCTTGTTAATCGTCAAAATGCGATGGGATGCTCAGTTCAGTGACCTACTCGTGTGATAGCCTAGATGCCATGTGGGAAACTTGAATCTATCCCTCCCTATGTTGGTTCCCCTGAAACTAGTCCAACCCAAGACAAGAGTCTCTCCTTGTGGTGGCAACTTTGGCTGCCTTTCTTGTCCACCTACCTCCGCAGTGATACGATCGATCAGGGGTTTTTCATAGCGTACATGGAAATCCACTTCGGATGAAGTGATCGATTCAGAAGTTAAAAGCTGGGTAGCCATGTCTCTTGTCTCCATGCTCTTACAAAGCAATCATTGAGCTACTGCCATGTCACTCTATATGTTTCTCCTAAATCATTTACTTTTATATAAAAAGCCTTTATCTCCATAAGTGATAGCCGGACCAGGTTTATAGCATATGGCCAATCTCATATCATAAAATCTGTCAACCACACATATCACCTTCTGCACGGGACAGCCATGTCATCAACAGAAGCTTTCGCAGGTAGCACGCACAGGTATGACCCCTAAGCTTACTCTTCTAGTCTAAGTCTTCGTTGTTCGCTTTCCATCAAGTCTTTTTAAATGTACACCTCGGTTTACATTGCATGCTTTATCCTGAGGATGTGTTTCTGGACACGCGAAGGTTTTTGGGCAGTCGCTTATGATGGGCTTTTACGTAGTGTCACTGGCTTACAAGGCCAAGTTTCTAATGCAAATATGACTACGGAAACTGTCGACTTCAACCCCCTCGCGGTCTCCAACATACCGACTGCGAGTGTTGGCGGAGAGGACCTCGAGCACCGGCGCCAACGACTCTTGGAAAGCATAAGAGCAGTGAATGAACTATTTACAAGTCAATATTGACAGACTTGACGATACATGAGCTGCCCTCGTCTCTTATCTATACTTTCAAACGTTTCAATTAGAATCGGTATCATGGGAGCTCCGAACGGTGCCATCTGTGCGTCACCCCGTTCACCGAGAATGACACACTAACGGCTGGAGTTCCTGAGTGAAGGGTTTAGTGGGTCCCAAAAGCCACCGGAATGGATAAGACTTGGTGTATTTTGAGAGCCTTTCTAGCCCAAATGAGCTCTGTTGGGCTTCAAAAGTCACTAGACAGAATAGATTTTAGCGATTTCCGTCCTAAAGGTCTTGTGCTCAGTGGCCTTTTTCTTCACCCCCCCATCATGCCATGTCATGCACAGTAATTCCCCAAAAGTTTACGGGAGGTTGCCGATTTCCAAGCCACAATGGATGAATTGCCGTCGTCGTCGTTGTTGTCGAATCATAGAGGCACCAGACTAGGCAGGTCTGCTCCGAAGCTAACGGGTCAACGGCCGCCACTAAATGCGGCAGCTCAGAGCCAGAGCTTAATCGCCCTGTCTTTTGTCCGAGGCAGCCTGGCGGGATGGGACTTGACGGCCGTGACATCCGGATTGGGACAAAGCCCCGTGTTTCTTCCTGGGTTTTTAAATGTCACCAAGGTTAATCAGAAATGCAGTTTCGCACGATCGTCGACCGAAATGTTTCGAAAGACCGACACTGGGATCATCTCGCCGAACCATTCGTGGAAGGTCATGACGATGCTAGGAAGGACTCCGGAATCCTCTTGAATGGTGCGGTCAAGATTTTACTCCTTCATTTACCCTCTTGGTTGATCGCCCCGTGCATGCCGGAATTTCGCCTAATCTTGACCGTTTCACGCACCCCCCATTTTCCTCCTTGCCTAGCAAAATGCCAGCTATCGATCAGAGTTCCACCAAAGATGTTGCGGCAGAATGACCAATCGACAGCAGTTAAACACTATCATAGAGCAAGACGGTCCCAAACCCCGTCGACAGTAATTTTTTAATTGGCTGGTGCTCGTATGCATTGCCCAGTAAAATGATGGATGTCGTTGAACCTCGTCCGAAGTTCTCCATCCGTCGTCACTCTGATGGAGCTCAGAGTTCAGACGATCATGAGGCGACCCACAATGGAGACTTTGGCTAAATGCGGGAAGCCCCGTTAAAACCACAAAACGGTCCCATCAGCTTAACTTTAATCTGATAACGACGGTGACGCTCGCACGAGGCTTGGCTTGCTTGCGTTGAGCGGGAAAATATTCTAGGTGAACGTAGCACGTTGCACAATTTTGAACGGTTCTCAGATGTCATTGCATGGCTAACTGTAGAGTCGTGAGACCTTGGAAGTGGCTAAGCACTTTTAATGCGAAGGCAAACGTCACGCAATGTCACCAAATCTGAAGCGAGAGTAAGGGGGTTCCCTAGCAAGCGAGTGGGTGTCGTGCGTATGCTTTTCTATGCAGTGAGTATGCCTTGTACGTGGCCGTACCGCCCTCGGTCCGTATGTGCGTACAAAGGTAGTTGGCCATGTATGGGCCAGGCAAAGTAGTAAAAGTCAAGGCGTTGAGGCTCAAAACGGTCTGATGATTCAAGGCAGCAAATGAGCCGAAGACCCCGGGTAATCTGGAAGTATTCCAGGGTCTATTGGGAGGCAGAGACGGATCTCCATCGGCTGCAGGCAGGGGAATAGATTTGCCGCCGATCTTGGTACGCGCTGCAAAGCTCCCTTGTTCCTGGCAGACTAGGAATGCCTGCTCTTAATTGCGCACAGCCTAGCGGCTCCCTCCACCTAGGTATTTCACTGAAGGAAAAAAATTCTAGAGATTAAGTGGTAGCCCGTTGGGCTCAGGACAACTCAGAACAGGGGCTTGTGGCTCAAAAATTTCCGTTTATGGATTCAGGCTAAATACCAGTCCCGAACATCCGCATACTTTGTGGTCTTCTCGCCAATCTTATCTTATTGATAAGCCATGGATGGCTGACAGGCCTCCTGAGATGAGGTCACTGTTGATTTAAGTGTTTGCACTAACTGAGTCGCGGCATAACCCGCTATAAGACCTTTCTTGAGTAGCTTGAAGCAAGGATTCGTCACAGATTGTATCAGCAAGTGAGGCTCTTCAATTTGGACAACTGATTAAGGTAATTCAAATAAACATTGTTGATATAACGGCAAGGAAGAATGATCGGACTAGATGCTGAAAACTCGGGGAAAAGAGAGCCGATGAGGTCACTGAATATCCCAGAGCCATGACAAAATAGCTGTTGGTCCGGGATGTTGAAATGGCAGTTCCTTGACTGTCGCATTCCGCCCCGGGTTCCAGAAGGACGACTCTGTTTGGGAAGGAAGGGAACTAGGCGTGGAACCAGCTGCTGCAAAGATGTTGTAGTGAGAAACGAACGACAAGGATCAGGGATAAAGCAAAAAACCCCTTCTGGTGGGTGTTTAGCGAAATGATCTGGTAAGGGAGGGAGGGGGTGGGCGTGGTACGCGTGGTCTGGCTTAGAGGGGCGTTGTCTGGTTTAGAGGGGCGTCGTCTGGTTCGGAGGGGCGTCGTCTGGTTCGGAGGGGCGTCGTCTGGTTTGGGGTTGTTGGAGTTTGTAGAAGGTGAGGATGGAAGGCGAGGGTAGGCGAGCAGGGTGCAGGTGTTGGCGGCGAGAGAGATACTAGCAGAACGCGTACGGACTTGGCATGGGCGCTAGGTTCAGGGATTAAGATCGCTGTCAAAGGAGGGTGGGTGCAGCAGGAACATAAAACTGTGCGTCTGCAACCCCAACTGATACTGTCCTCTGAGCCAAAGCCAAGACATCGTTGCATCTTTGGTTTTTCTTAACGCTCGTGACAGCTGAGAAAGAACTCCCCTTGATGTGAGAAAAGTAATTTGCAAGGAACCTGAAGGCTTATAGTCTTTTTAAAAGACAGGGATACTCGGTAAGCCTCGTTTTCTTTGGGATTGAAATGCCCCCTCAGGCGAACTCGCGACCACGCACCACACATCACTGGGAGCATTATCTCGAAGTGGAGGAAAACCACCATAATCCAACACCAGCTTTTCCCAGCTGCATGAGGTTGTCAAGTGAGAAGAGAGTAAATGTATTGCCGCCTCCCACGTGTTTGCATGTCTTTAATATTCGCCATTTGATTATGAAGCTTCAAAATGTCCAACCTGAAATCCATGCTTTCCAGGCCATGCCTTGAAGTTATGCTTTGGAGCCCCAATGAGGTCACTCATTGAGGGCTTGAGCTTTGGGTTTGTCTTGCTGCACTGGCAGGCGCCTGACCTAGAGTCGTGTGCCGTACCAAGACCCAGACAATCTAGTCTGCCAGGCAAGAGAAGGGGTGTAGACAGCAAAGAAAAAGGCGACCAGGCTAGTGGTGTTACGAGACGAGGCACAGAGAAAGACCGGGGGTAGGGGCACAGGTAAAGAGAGGGACAGAAAAATATTCCGCCTATTCGGGCGGCACATGGGTGCGACGATAGCCGGCCAGCGCCATTAATAGTGGACCTTGCAGCTCGGCCCCAGGCGACTAGCGCCCTGGGAGGAGAAAATCGACTGTGCAGCAGTCCCGAATACCACCACCACCACTGCCTGCTGAATAGTGTTCACTATCCATGGGAGGTTGCGTGTCGTGGGGTGTGGTGTTTGCAATTGTGGTTTCTGGGACAGCCGATTTATAAGCTTCAGGACGGGTGGTTAGGTAACCCGTCCTGGTACCAGGCACATGCCCCTAAGCAACCCGGCTAAGAGCTGGATGGGAACGTCCTACCAGCTCGCAAATCCTGAAGCTGTGTCAGAAAGCCAGCAATGTAATGTGTTTACCACGAGGGCCGGGGTTATCCTCAGACTGCGTTTACTTAGGGAGTGAGTGGTCTCCGCAAGCTACTCAACACGCCGAAATACGTAAGGCGGAGTCTGAGTAATCCTTATACCGCACTCCCTGCCTCTACAGGATTTTCTTTGCAACAGTAACTTTGTTCTTTCTGACCGTCTCCCAAATTCTGGCTCATACAATTTTGATCCTGTACCTTCTACATTGTAAGATACTGTAGCATTGCTCCAGACAAGCCATGGGCTTCTTCACAAGGGCTTTGGAATTCTTCATACATAGCAGTAGGCTTATCAGTTCTCAAATACAGCTTAAAAAATTGATAGAAGCGGCATGGTTTCCGCCGCCCAACTAAGTTCCCAACTGGAGGATCTTAGGAAAAAAATAGGAATGAAACGTGAGGAAGTGGCTTGCGAAAGAAAAGCGAATCGAGGAATGCCTCAGAGCTCACGGAAGGCAGAACGGACTTTGATACTGTAGATGAGACCATTTTACGGATAAGGCTTTTGCAAATACCCAAGCGGTCTATCGCAGATCGTTTACTCGTTTTCTAACCCCGCCAGTGCCAGGGGCATCACATCCCCTGGCAGCTCTTGCCAGTATCCCAGGCAAAGTGACACACCCACCCACCCACCCGCACCCATCATTCCTGGCATCCCTGTCGCATTGCAGGGGGTGCAGGGGGTGCAGGGGGTGGACGAAAAGTGTGGGAGGCATGGGATTTTCTGTATGATTAACCCGTCCTTGCAACGCACACCCCTCCCCCAGCATGCCGGGAACCAGCCATAGCACAGTGCAGGCTGTACACAGGTCGAACTGTCTGGTTTTTGTTTCTGGGTTTACCGTCGAGGAATCTACTCTCTCATCCTCCCCCTCTTCCAATTTTGACTCGAACATCTCTTAAATCACTGCAATCTACATCTCCGTCGGAAACCAAAAGTCAGTCGAGTATTTATATCCCTAAAGATCCCCAATGTTTCTGTACCTTCCGATTTTCTCAGATCACTCTGAGCTACAACACCCTCAGCTACCAAGCCTGATTTCTCACTTCCTTGCTTGGTCACTCTCCGCATCTTCAACAACCAAAACTCCTTTGCACATCTTCTATGTCTTGTTCACCAAATATCATCGTTTCCCAATTTTTACGTCTCAATATTTACAACTACTGCATCGAGGCCTACGCCATCCACAGCCTAAGACAAAACTGACTTCTTCTGATCCTTCACCTCGTACCTGTCTACCTCATCAATTATGGCATCTAACACTGCTACTCACGGTTCCGCCAACGGGTAAGGCTCATCTACCACCCTCTCTCCGATTATTCTTTCATCACCTTTACCCACATGAACACATGACTCCATCTCCCCCAGTTTCTCCTCTGCACAGCGTTTGTGATCTGTTCCTGAGTATACTAATGTCTGGGCATGATAACAGATATCTCCCCCCTCGCCCCGACCCTCAACTGCCTCAAACCGATACAACTACGCCACTGCAAAGTTACCTACAGAGCCATACCTTCCACAACTCAAATGGCCCCAGCATGGGCAACCCCGTGGGACTCCAGAACAGAGCGTACTCCACAGCTGCTGCCGTTGCGAATGTCGACCGTCTGTTCCCAGCCGGCACCCCTGGGGTTGTTGCTGCCATAAACAACGGCGTCCCTGTGTCTCTGCCATCAAACCTCAGAGGTGTTGGGAGCCAGTTCCCATCCCGGCCTTAAGATGTCGACCTCAGCTCAGTCGCATGCACGTGGCATGCCGCATCGATCAAGTATGCTGCAAACCTTGGCACGCCACAGTCATCCGAAGTGTGTGACAGCTTCGATTGTTAACACCAAAGCGTCTCAACCGTTCCAGTGTGCCCATGTGCAACTAAATCCACCAGTATGACCCCGGCTACTAAAAAGCCGGTCTGTCGTTACGTACCCTTGAACTTCTGCCATTCGATTTCTCCAAAATGGGGACCATACGACGCAAATGGACTATCTCTCCTATGTTGACTTATTATATATCTTTTTTCGTTCGTCTTCTTCTTTACTCTGCATTTAGAACCACACCCTTATTCCCATTTGCTGTTATCAATGTTTTCTTGTGTCCTGTCACGACTTGGATACACACGACGATGATGCAACACTACAAAAAGCACTCGGTGGTGTAAGGTTTCTTGATGAATATGTAAAAGCGAAATAGATCTGACGGAAACGGGGGACCGGCAGTTTCATCTTAGACCATGTATTTCGGCTCAAGAGTGGTGTTAGATGGAACCTCAAGGATATGGGTACTTAAAAAGCTAATACAGCATCCACGTTGACGATTGGTTTATTGGCTACAAGCGGTGTCAAATCATTTTCAGGTATAGAAGTTCTCAGTGTTATATCTCATCTATTTTACGAATAAATGCGTTCAATTCTTTAGCGATTTGTCTCCTTCGCCGAGCCAATTGGTATTCCCAATCGCATGCTATTTACGCGCTGTGATTGATTCCATCCAATTAAATGCTCAAAACTAGCAGAGGCAGGCTCATAGAACATAACCACAAGGCTGATCTTCCTTCGCACTCAAATTCGAATCACTTCTGAGGCTCAATTCTCATTGAGCTATGCCGTGATTTCTCAATATGGATAATGACGTGAATGGTCGCACCTCTGGTGTTAGACACCACGGAGACACCCCCACATTCAGTGGGTGTGCGCCGGCGGGGACGGGCTTGGAGATACCGTCTGGGGTCATATCCTTACATTGGGCTGCTGAGAGATTCATGTCTCGAAAGCGTCAGGCGAGCATTCAATGAAACGATAAAATCGCCTCTTGGCGCGAGGGAAAACAGACGGTCTTAGTGTGAGAGGTGCCAGAATCAATTGCGTCGCGGATCGAAGCTGCTACAGACCGGTTGATTTTACGGCAAATTAGCCCATTTAATGGCATTAAATGGGGGCGCCGCGCACACATGTCAGCTGTAACAAACTTCCCCGGCTTGTTGAATGGGGTGGAAAGACAATGTCGTCGCATTGGATGCGAGACATATCCGGTTGAATGTGGGCTCTGGAATGTTCATTCTCCCACTCTTCTCCGCCATGCTCATGCCACAGTACAGACAGCCTTCCACGCCAAATACTTGAACAAGACAAGACAGCCTCCAGCGCCAAATACTTGAACAAGCAAGACAGCAGGTTTCACAAAGTTTTGATCGAGTCGTGTCTCGAAGACACGATCGCCGGCCCGCTTTCACCTCACATCTCACACGTCTTACAAGTCCTAAAATCCAGTCCAGCCGGTATGAGAGACAATACGTTGGACAAAGGAATTTGAAGTCGGCGCCCAGCTGCTCGGAGCCCCTGGCCTCATGCGGGATGTCGCCTGTACTCTGGCATCTTGGCATGCAGGTGCCCGTCACAGGATGTACGGCTTCTTGACAGCCGTGGAATTTTCTTGATAGAATGCTGATACGGTTGTATCGTCTTGAAAATGTTGGACGGGCTGAATTGAAGGGCGAGTGCCACCGGCCTGAATGGCTTTGCCCGCGGCTGAATCTTGCGTTTGCTGAGGCCCAGCGCCACCAAATGCCCTAGAAGCACCCAAGAGAGAGGTGTGGGCCGGACCGAGCTGAGCCCCCCACTGCAAAATGGGTGATGTCGCGCCCGGACCTGCCGAGACTTGCAACTTTAGAATTCTGCCGCTCACGAGCTGCAAGTAGGGCCTAATTGTCAAGTAACTGTGCTATGCTGGCGATTTCAAACCAGCAAAAAGCACAAAATGTAAAAACATACAACACCAGGTATTCGCTGGTCGTCACCGACCCAACTACTAATCCGGCCCTCACTGGCTTATCTATGGGAGAGCGGACGGGATCCCGAGTTTTCCAGTGGGTATGGTCGTATGTGCTGATATTTAGGTCAATGGAAGACTAAGAAGGGAAAAAGGAGCTCAATGCTGATGATTTCAACGCAAACCTGAACCCCTTACGCATATCATAGAGCATACTAGATGCTCAGGCACTGGCAGTGGGGTTGTGCCAGGCCAAATTTGTCTCTTCAGAGTTGCAACGCTATGGTTGACAGAAGCTTGTTCCACAGTCGACCGTTATATTCGAGCCATCTACATGTAGTGGTGGACGGTTTGACATTTGACACACTTTGATGAAGAGAGGCGCAGCTGATGTGCCCAGAGAGCGCGCAGAAAGTTGGACCATATCCTGTGGTGAAAACAAATAGATGGGCAGAAGTTACTCGTTTGTTGAATTTTGAGTCGTCAGTCAAGCTGTGGGGGCATTGGGCCAGTTAGTCTGGATGCGCCCGAGCTTTCAAATGATCGACGAGGCTTTATCGGCCAAGGACCAGTCTCGTAAAACAAAGCCATCATCGAATAGGCGATGTAGATGAATGTCAACATATGCTTGATTGATATGGTGAGACAAGTCTGTGGAGTTCTAGGTGGAGCTAAATGCCGTTACTGACGTATGCTTACCATTCTGCAGTTGTCAGCCCAAGTTTAATACAGATGGCGGACACACTTTACGTTGTTATCAGTTTCCAATTTTTTTGTCGACGCGGGCAGTTTGTTTGTGCTGGTTATGGATAGTGTATCAACATGCTGAATTTGAAAAGTAGTGATCATCTGCACCAAGTATTTCGTTGGTCCGATATTTAAGCTTGTTCTGCAAGTTTGGCCCGGATCCTTGAGATGATCAGCAACCCCCACTATGGTTTCCTAATCAGGCAAGCGGGTCATGTCCCCATCGCACAGACTAGTACTCCGCCCCGAGGACCCTGTCCTTGTATCCTGTCACTGATGACAAGCGTGCTTTGAGGAGGCAGGTTGGGACGAATATCGTGCATCGTTGCTCTGTTGATATTGCTTGAATGGCGAAGAAAATGAAATCCCCAATCTGCTGGTAGGATCCGTTTCAATTGCCAATGACAGCCAGCGTGCTAGATCCATAATAATTCCCAAGTGCCCTCATAGCTTTTAGCGCAAGGCAAGTAAGTAATTCAATCAGGCAGCAGCAGCCCGCCGCCTTATGCGAACCAACTTTGTGTAACGGCAGGCCCAGGGACACCAATAGCTGTCGAAGTGGAGCGATAGGCCTCAAGAGCAAAAAAAACGGGGGAGGAAGTAATCGAGCCATTGCCTGCACTTTTACGTTTTTTCGTGTCTACTTCTCAACCCATGCATCCATTCGCAGTTATTTCCCACCAACGGCGGGAGCATCGATATCTACGGCATCTCATTTCTCACTCTCGCGCCATAAATGAATCGGTATTTCACAATGCTATACCAATTGCAAGCAGTCGATTAGAATTGAATAGAAAAAAAAAATAGAGTGTTTGTCGCTGGCCTCTCATGCAATTGACACGATGGAAGGCAAATACTTGTCACAATAGTAAAAAAAAGTGGCATCGCGGTGAACGGAAAGCGTCATTTTGTCTTCACGACCGCTCATGAGCAAGCCTCAGTGACCAATTGGGCGTTGGGTGATAAAAAGTGTAAGATTGTCATGCGCCACACCATAACTTTACAAGCCAGTCTCATTTAGCCCAATTCTCCCTTGTGTCATTGGCCAGAGGAGGGAGGAAACGTGGCTGATGCACGGCAGAAGGAGGCGCGGTTTATCGTCATGGAAGAAAGTCACGATGGGGCAGTGCGATTATTTCGCAGTAGGCATCTTGGCTGTCAAACCACATACGGGAGGAGCAGACAAGAAGAAGGGCTGGGGTAGGTGATGCCACTGGGCGTTGGGTGTGGGTTACTTGATCACAGGCAGTCAGCGCCTTCATCAATGAGGGGCAGTGGACGGGGGTGTGAAGGAGAGAGAAGAATGAGAACTGGAGTGGGGCTTCCTGGCGGTGTTTTTGCTTTCTCATTCCACCCAACTCACCAAGTCTCAACTCTGGTCTTATGCTGTTATGTGTGAGACTGACCAGGGGGGAAGGCGTGGATGGATGCGTGGATGCGCGACACCTGAGCAGTAAGTAAGTGGTGGGTACCTTTCCTTACACTAGGTAAACGTAGATAGATGACAAGAAACAAAACTCCAGACACTGAGAGCATGCTTGGGACACACGGGGGACACACCGATACGGGAGACACAATGGATGTCGGGAATTTCCTGCCGCAATTGGGATGCGATTACCAAAAGCCGAAAGGGAAAGGCAAGTAACGGCACGTTGAGTTCAGGAGCATGGGAAGACCGAGAGAGACCGAGTCGACAACCTTTTTTTTTTTTTTTGTGGTGCAAACCAGCGTCATCGGGGCATACACTGCTCAGCCAATCACTTTCTGGTCCAGGGGAACAGTGTTCCCCCCGTTCTGCATCTGCGGCGCATGCCACCATTGTGCTGGGGCCGCTACCGCTCCCGCCAACTCGCCATGAGCTTTGCTTCCCTCCCCCAATTTCTGCCAGCACCCCTCGACATCACGACGCACCCTCCACGACAAGACGCTTTTATTTTGCTTTCTGAACTTGCCTTCACCTATACTCGCCGTCTTGAGTTACACAACTCTCATTTAATTCAAGCTACTACCTCCTAACTCTGAGTGGGATCGTCCCCTTCATCAGCTTGGTCTCGTTTCAACTCCCACCACTCCGGACACCAAAGTCCAACACTGTACCTTCTCTCGTGTATTCTGACTCCAATACTCGCCGTATCGTCAAAAGGTTGCTCTAAGCTTCTTGTCTTCACCTAATCGACAAGACCCAACATGGACAACACTCAGAGCAGAAACGCCGCCGCCGCCGCCGCCTCCACCGCAGCCTCCATTGCCCCCAACCAAGGCTCTATCACCTCGTGAGTGCCACCACCTCTGCCCCGCGAGAAATGGCTCGCGAATGCCTTTCTGAACCTCCCCCTCTTTCCCCGTCCTCCTTCCGCCCTTGTAGTATTGATTCGGCCTTGTACGCTTCGTCTCGACTAACGGTATTCGACAGCGGCTTCAAGAGTAGGGTCATGCCCATGGAAGAGAGGTTGACGGCTGCGAAAGTCAACCTTCGAGACTTCCTTAAAGACCTCGACCTTGAAGTTTGTGGCGGCGGCAAGGGCATCGGGACATGTGCGAGCCAGCGGGGTCGAGTCGAGTGTGCAAAGAATGTCATCGCTCAAGTCGATGCAGCCCTCACCTCCAGCACCGGCGTTGTGGCGATGCACAAGAGGACATCCCGCCTCGACCCGAAAGACCTCTTGGGCATCGGAAAGCAATTTGCGAATTAAACACAAAAAAAGCCTGGGACGAAGTCAGTAATCAGCGCCGACGCTCTGCAAAAGTGTCGCGCGAGTGCAACGCCAAGTATTGGTGGGGCTTCTTGGAGCTCGCTCGGGAAAACCGCGGCTGACGTCGATGCCCCACATTTCCCCATTCAGCTGAGCTGGCGCCCCTGAAGACTCTTGAGGGCTTTGATGGCCTCGAAGCATCTCGGACTGGATATGTTCGCTGTGGTTTGTGTTGGTTTCCTTCTGTTCATTTTTTGTTCGGTGTGAAGGAGCACCTGATGAAGCAAAGGCGCTGTAATGAGCGATGGATTGGGTTGTCTTTGTTAGCAACTTCTCTTTTGTCAGCGCGAGCGATACATGTCCTCATGGCTTCGCAGGTATCGTCTCAAGATGAGATCAGAGTCGATAATGCGGATTGCCTAAAGATTTCCTTGGTGCGATGCATTTTGCATTTTCTTTCCCGGACGGCAGCTGGTAGTCACTGGAGTTTGGCCGGATGCCTGTGGGCATAAGGATAAGACGGGTCAGGGCATCACGCGTCGCGACACCGCCATTCTCGTGCGCAGATAACCTAGACTTCTAGATGACGCTGATGAGACCTAGGCGTTTGAGCGATAGCGAATGTTGGCTGTTATGGAGAATGAGCGGTGGAAAGATGGGAGATCATTAAATGACGCTTGAGATGGATGAAGATGTGAACATTGCTGACACGCTCAATTGTCATTTGAGAGGGGGTTTGATGCCAACAAATGAAAATGTCGCACTTGCATTGAGTTGGCGGCCTTAGGTTCTTCCGAGGGGCGAGGCTCAATTTCCGGCGATGACTGGGGCACCGACAGCTGTTTACGGTCATCTTTGCCGCCTGTCAAGGTTGGGCTATTTTTGTGGGCACGTTCTTGGTTTGTTGCTGCTTGTAAAGAATCACTCAGATTTACAATTTGGCATGTATTCGGATAAACCTTAGTTTTCTCCTATAAGCATCTTGAATGCACGTTCGCGTATTCGGCTATCACGAGCACTATGCGCCTGCCGTGAACTATGCAATGCTTACAAGTCCCTGTCTATTGAGGGTTATTCAGTGAGAGTGAGTCTGAGCAATACTACCATAGGCGACAGAGGCTTTCCCTCTGTATAGTAGAATTACCGTAGCCATCTTACAATTACGATTAGAAGTAACCACTCGGGCAAGGAATTTACGGCTTGCACCTAACCGGGACTCTTGCGGATTTCTTCCCAGAACCTAGACTGCTATTAGACAAACCTCAATTAGGGCGATATGCTTCAAGGCAAGCACACTAGCACTGGGGGCTTGTGTGTTATTACCTTGTTGTTTCCGTCGCCCTGTTCGTCCTGCATCCTGCATCTCTTTGAACTCTACCAGCTTTATAATCGTCATCATTATCGCATCCACCATCTCAACGGAATCTAGAGCAAACTCGTTCTCAAATGGTTCGCCATCCTACAGAACGGGACCCTCATATTGCCATTTATACTTCACAGGTCTAGTTTATATACGAGATGTTCAGTTACGCTGAAATATGCCATCAAACCAGCTCTGTATCTCCTGCACACCATCGTGTCCAAGCGGGACGACTAGACCGACATATCCATCCGGTCGGAGACCAACCACAGCTCCCTTGGCTGGGTCGACGCCGTACTTCTCATACGCATGCTGGGGCTCCTCGTAGAAGGTCTCGCCGTCCACAAACACCTTGTCGTAATCCCACCCGAGCTTACTGTCGAAGGGGTGGTACATTTCGTGCACGTCACGCAGCAATTCGATCTGGTCCCGCGGCGCCGAATGCACGAGTAGCACATCGACGATGGACGGGTCCTCTTCGGTCTTGAACTTCATCGTACCGCCGTGGGGATCCGATGCGGGCGACAGCTTGATGGTGGGTAGCTTCGGCAGGTACGAAGCCAGCCAGGTGCCGAGTGCGTTGACCAAGTCGCGCTGGCCCTGCTTTGATATGTCCCCGCCGAATACCACGAGTCGGAAGCGCCCGTTGGAAGGGAGCTTGTGGTGTAGCTCCCACAAGCGGGCGTCGCATTGCCGGATGACTTTGAACGACGGGAAGCGCTGGCCAAGTTTGCAGTTTGTCGCGAGGGACTGCGTGCTCTTGGCGGGACTACGTTTCAGTCCGTGTTCGCCATCGGACTCTTCCTCGGGCTCCTTGGCGACGAGGGTTGTCGGCTGGTAGTTTACTCCCAAGCCGGTCGTGAACTGGTGTGCGTCAGCAAACACGTCATCTGGATGGTGTCAGTGGCACATACCATTCGACTCGTGTGAAAGGCCTTTTGAAATTCCTCTGCAGAAACCCCCGTCTCGTCCATGATGTCTTTTGCCGGGCGGCCGGAGAAGAGCTTGGAGAACTTGCCGTCGAAGGCGATGAGGTCCTTCGCGATCTTCTTCCGCTCGAGTTCGTACGATGACAGGACTTCCCGGGGGAGAATGTTCTTGCACACCAATCCGATCTTCCATCCTAGGTTGTAGCTGTCCTGCATAGAAATGTTCATTCCCTGGCCTGCCTTGGGTGAGTGAGTGTGCACGGCATCTCGTGCGGTCAGCAACCGGCGTATACGAAGGCGGAGCAGAGAGCGACTCACCTCCAGCAAGGAAGACCCGGTTAAGCTTGCTGAAATGGTCGCCTGTTCGCTGGCCGATTTGGTACGCTGTCCACCTGGAAAGGAATCAGCGCTGTTCAGCTCTCATTGAAGACAAAAAGTCCAACTCACCAGTCGCAGTAATGGTACTCCAGCTTATACGGGCTGAAAGCTTTTTGCGCAGACTTGAAAATGATATCGGGTGTAATCTTGGACCTGTCTACTCGACCTCCGCCTGCTGAAACTTCCTTGAGCTGAATGTACAGCCTGACCATCCTGTTTTCCCGCGGAATGATCATGATCGCCCCCGAAGTGCTTTGAATCATAGTCCGGAATCTGATGTCGGCTATGAGGTGTCAGCCAACAGAAACGCAGTGCCTTGGAGTCTTCCCTACGAAAATCGGTGATCGGAACAATATCCATCACACCCCTGACATGGTCAGCATCAGTCTTGTAGTCCACGAAACCTCGAAACTCACCAAATAGCATCCGTAGTCTCTCCCTTCATCTCAAACTCCTTCCCCAACGTTTTGCGCGTCCACGAGTGTGCACCATCGCATCCAACGACATACTTGGCTCTAACAATTTCGTCTCTAGCCTCGCGGCTTTCTGACTTGGCAAGCATGCCAGCAACATCATCATCCGCGAGGTTGCTTCTGAAGATGCCATCGCTGAGGTTACTGAGCCTCTGCGTCGGCGTGGCCTCTTCCTCAGTTAAATGGCGCAACGTGACAGTGATCGGGTGCGCATCCGGGTCCTCGGCCTTGCTCTCATCGATCTCCAGCGATGTTGGGATGACCATGCGCTCGATATTGAGCGCCTCCTCATCCGACGCGTACGACTCGCGGATGGCATCCAGGAAGAACTGCTCTATGCGGCCCTGGTGAAGGACGGATTCTGTGAAGCGTGAGAGACCAGGGATGGTGTTAACGGCCTGGGCACTGCGACGGATCGTGCCGTTCTCGTCAGGGTTCCAGAAGCTGACCTCTGTGGGATGTAAGCTGAGTTTTCCTTGAGTCGACAATGAGACATCATACCTAGCATACGATTTGCTTCTTTCCACACGCGCTCTCCAATGCCGAAGCTGTCTAGAATCTCTAGGGATCTCACTTGAAACCTTGTACAATGTTCAGTGTCAAGCTCTACGATGCCAAAAATCGGAATGTCTCACCCATCTGCCTGCCCAGAGTAGATCTTCGCCGTTCGCTTGTCGACGATGCGCGCCTTGACCCCAAGTCTTGCCAGCCACAACGCCAACATCAGCCCGGCCGGGCCGGCGCCAATGATCAAGACATCAACATTGGACTCTTGAGGTCCCATCGTGTTGATTGACCCAGAAAAGGAAGGTGACAAGCAAAAATTCACTCTGTGTTTTCAACGAATTCCACCAAAAACATCAGTCTAAAGTTGAAGTTGAGCGAAGAACGAGTTTAGCTTCATCCCTAGCAAACCCCGTTTTGTAGAAAGATGGAACTCGGGAGCTAAAGCCCCCCGGCGGGACTTCGCATCGGTGTCGGGACCGATGTGAACTGCCGTTCTTGGGGTAGAGTTTGGGGTAATAAGCGATGAAAAAGCATGACAAAGGGAGGGGCTCGTTTAGAGGGGCAGAATTGGGGAACCTTCCTAGTTTGATGGGCTCACGGACGTCATAAGATGTGGGGTTTGTGAAGACAAATCTTGCAGGGACTAGCGTCGACTTGAAATGCAACGGTCCTTACTGGCACGATGGTACTAGTAGATATAACTGGATACACTGGGCATGCATGCGTACGTGCAAAAGTCTTGGTGTGATTGGAGGTTCTTCAGCAGTTATATAAGCAGTTTAGAAGTCGTCACCAATCTGTAATTCTTCAGACGATGCAGCGTTTCCGTCCTATTCAGCGCCCGGACCGGCCCGCCCAAGATCGCGCCGAACTCTCCATACTCTTGATCCTACTGGCCGCTTCTCATGGCCCTGAAGAACCTCAATCCACGGAGTTCCACTAACATCGCCAGCCAGCTGAGGGTTGTCCGGCTCCTTATCTGAGTCGTCGCTATCCGTGTCCTCATCCATGACCTCCACAGCATCGTCCGCTGAGTCTGCACCATTGCTACCAAAGGATTGATAGTATAGATCTTCCGTGTAAGCCCATCCAGGAGAGTCAAGTTTGCCATGGACCAAGACCAGATAGTGCCCTGCTTCCTTGGCTGCTTCAATACGCTCCAAAGCAATCGGCGTTAGTAATTGGATGACGCTGGCCTTGGTATCGATACCACGCAGAAGAACCATGCCCAAGGTTTGTGAGTACTGAGGGTCCAAAGTCTGTGCGTCGCTATTCGGGATATATGGGAGACCCTCCGGTGTTCTTGAGATCATGTCATTCAGCACTTTGAACTCGACGCCCCCATCCACATCCATCTCGTCGGTAGTCGTAGCGGATCCTGTGTTATCCCCCCTTAGACGACTGAACGCCTTGATATCAACGGTCTCGACCAGACACAGTATTGATCCATTAATGTTTTCTGCAAGAAGTTCGGCAGGCGGCTGATAGTCGTAGCTGACGATTCCAAGAATACCTCTTCTTTTACCGCTGTAGTTCACCAACAGGGGTGGCTGCGTTGTCAGTGGCAATGGGTCCCATGTGAATTGGTTCGAAGTCAGCCGCCTCATGTGAAAGTAAGCCATCGCCTGCATCGACCTCAGGTGTGCCGCTGTTCGTGATGTGAACTCCGATTGCTGAGAGGGCAGCATAGTAAATGTTCCTTTGCAAGCCGTCTGGAGACCTTCGACGCTCTCCTTAGGGCCGTCTTCGGACATATAGATTACTTCTGTGGGCTTGAATTTCGTGGTCAGCTCGGTCAATAGATCCAAGCCAGTGCCCAAAACCCAGCCTGGGGTATTGATGATCAAGGGCAGGCCCCGGCACGTATTTTGATAGTGATGGTAAAGATCTAGCGCGCATTCCAGATACAGTTCAGGGTCTGAAGCCGGAGACACTGAGGCGATAGAATGACATCGCACAATGGTCACAGCTGGTTCGGACGTCGCTACATGAGTGAAAGAAGGGCCCAGATTTGGCTCTCTGACCCGAACTAAGGATACTGTCCCAGCTGGTGTGTATTCCGGCTGCCCTGGGTCAAGGTCCATTATAACTACAGACCGAGTAGTATTGCGGTCTGGACCGGGGGCAGTGAGAAGACGGTTACCCAAAATTCGACCAAATGTGGACTTTCCAGACGATTTTGGGCCGCAGAGCATTACGCTCAAGACCTGATCTTTCTTTGTCTTTGCCAAACCTGCCAATTTCTTATTCCATGCAGGATGTGAGCGGAGGTCTTGGATCAGAGCTCTTTTAGGGGCGTCGTCAGAGGTACAAATCTAAAGCTGTTAGTGGACAAAATACTACCAGGAGAAAAAACCTAGCTTACAATTTTGTATGTTTCTAGAGCGGCTCTCTTCTTGCTCGGCCTAGCCTCCTCTGACTCATTCCACAAGCTCCTGAAGAGAGGGGACAGCCTTTCGAGTTTTCGAAGGCCTAAGGCCTGGGGATGCGGATGAAGTTCTAATGTTGTCTCATCGGAGCAGCGCACCACGGGAATCCCATGACAATGGGGTGCATGAACCCATCTGATATCATCTGAAGACCGAATGCTTGCTCCAGCAACTGTGACCTCGCCGCTAACTGCCCGTATTCCGTAACTTCCCAAGACCAGAAAGCGCTGCCATAGTTAGTTGGATGCTTGGGTCATGCCTGGATAAAAACTTGCCTCGCTGTCTTTCAGGTTCAGCTCCAGGACGCCCTTCGCATGCCTCCGCGAATTGCTCTTACTCGGCCTAAATGTTGAAAATTGTTGCGGAGCAGCTTTAGCTAATGTTTCGACTGTAGATGCAATTGCTGAGCTGTTATACGACGTCAATATGGGTTCTCATGATACAGGGGAGTCTCCTACTTCGCGAGAATTGCATCAACAGTTTGTGTGGTACCTAAAACTCCCGGAATGCTCTGGTTAATATTGCCAGAGGATTTCTCCTGAGAAACTTCCGCATTCTCGGCGTTGGCAATCCTTCTTGAGGACCTTGTCTTCGCCGGAGATCGTCCACCGGGCGTAGGTGTCGATGCTTGGGGGGAGTCTGTAGACGGTTGAGCCTCAGGTTGAGGGACCGGCGACAAAGACGGACTGGCTGAAAGAAGTTGCTGTCTCAAAGCGAAGGCACTCATTGCTTAACAGTCGTCAGTAACTGAGGGAAATGGTGGGTTTGTTGAGTGACCCAGTTGAAGGGATTACTCACGCCGGGCTCCGTCAGATGTCTCGATCTTGCGTCTTTTCGGAGTCGCCATGATGAATTAATTTCAGCTTCAACTAAAAAAAAAAAAGGAAAAAACTCTGAGTAAACTAGGCTGACTCAGACGTGGCAGGCGTGAGACTGATGCTCCTTCCTGCCCAAATGAAGAGTTCAGGTGTTCCTACTCAGGCTTCTGAGTGCACCTGCCTTAGTTGCCCAGGTCCGCTCCCTTTTCACTTAATCGGCAATCGCCCAATTAAAGAACTGAAAGTTCCTGCCAGTTTGCAAGACAGGCAGCAGCCCTCTACCTTCATCTGGCACCTGCCTTGGGTGATCTATTTCTCTGCCAACTCAAGAAGGTCAGCCTCTGCTTTTCTCCTCAACACACTCTCCCTCGCAAAACTCACTTAGATTTAGCTTTCGCTTTCTCAGAGAACCACCCACGAAACACCAGTCGACAAACGTCTTCTGATTCCACGATGGCGGGCGGTTCAGATCGATATCGCGATGTCGGCTTTCGAGGCGGAGAACACACACCGAAGAAACGCACTGAAAATTCCTACATGTGGGCCCGATCTTCAGCCATGGTGTCTGGCTCACCGAAGACGCCTGGCAGCAGGGCAGCTACACCTGCCACTCAGGCGCATCGCCCTGCGGTTGCCGCTAACATGTCCACCCCACCAGCGGCCCGTGCAACCCCGGTCAACGTACTATCTCGGCGAGCGTCTCAAAAATTTCCTGTCGCGCTCAATTCTCCCGTTACGACGCCTTCGAAGCACCTCTCGTCTGCCCCGCGTTCTGCTTTCGAACCCAGCCCTGGCACCATGTCGTCACGAAAGCTTGATGGCGTTCACTCGCTGAGCGCCATGCTGGAGAAGCAGGACCAGGAGCCTGTTAGCCAATCGCGGAGCAAATTCTCCCGAAGCACCCAGTCCAAGGCCAAGAACGAAAAGTTCGACCCTCATGCCGTCGACTCTGACGACGATGAGTCTAGCAGCAGCAGCAGCGATAGCAGCGATAGCGACGATGAACAGGAAAAAGTCCCTAGCTTTCTTGCTAAGCCCAATGGCATTGTGTCCTCGAGCAAGGCCGCCGGCACTCCTGTGAAGAAAGCCAAGCGTGGCAAGGAGGACGAGGTTGCTGATAGTGACGTCGAGCGCAGGGCCTCTATCTCAAAGGCCAATTCGGCTAAGAAGAAGACCCCCGTCAAACCCGAGAGCTCTTCCGAAGAGTCTACCTCCGAATCAGAGTCGAGCGACAGCGAGAGCGAATCCAAAAAGAAGCCCGCCCAGCAGGTGAACAAGAAGGCAGCTGTCTCTGCTGGCGCTTCATCTACCTCAACCAGCGACTCGGAGAGCGATTCGGAAAGCGAGGCCGAAAACGAAAAGGAAGTTGAAGCCAAGGCCGCTTCGACCAGCTCGAGTGAGGCAACCTCTAGCGAGGAGGAGAGCTCCAGCAGCGAAGAAGAGGAATCCGGTTCGGAGAAGGGATCCAACTCCGACGAGGAGGAATCTGAAAGTGATGTCGAGGAATCTGCTGCTATTGTGGAAAAGCGCAACAGCAACAAGCTCAGCGTTCCCGGCTTCGTTGGCAAGGACTTCGTCCTTAGACAGGCTCAGGGTGACGAGGACGGCAAGGACATGGCCGACTTCTTCACCAAGGCCAAGCTTGATGGCAAGCAGCTCTGGTACTTCACTGCCCCGGCCTCCATGCCTATCAACGTCATTGAGAAGGTTGAGATCCCTATGGACAAGGCGAAGAAGGGAGACGCTATCTTCAAGCACAACTCGGAAGACTACACTGTTGGTTTTGAGGGCGAAGCAAGCACGTCTATCCAGCTGCTTATTCCTAACAAGAAGGGAACAAGATACGAGTCAGGTATGATCGACTTACATTTGCTGAGCAAGAATATCGCTAACGCAGTGCAGCCTCCCAGAAGGTTGAAAATGTCTTCCATATCAAACGAGTCACACAGCTCCCTGGCGGCGACCCTCGTGTGAACACACGCGCCCTGACGAACGAGCAAAACGCGGCGCGTCCCCAGCCTGCAGGCTTGAAAGCACGATTCCGCCCGATTGGTGTCACCAATGACACTCCCATGGGCAGTATTGGAGCAGACACCGAAGATGTTGAGATGACCGCAGCCCCAATCGCGCCCTCTAGCTCAAAGAAGTCTAAGCGTGCAGCTGCCCAGTCGCAAGATAGCATGGATATTGATGAGCCCACTCCCAAGAGCTCAAAGAAGGACAAGAAGGGCGTTGTCGCCACGCCCAAGGCATCGAAGCGCAAGCATGCCTCTGACGAAGTTTCTTCGGCCCAGTCGCAGAAGGAAGCTTTATCGACGGAGAAGAAGGCCAAGAAGGTCAAGACAGATGCCGACAGCACTGAGGCCTCTGCCAAAAAGCAGACTGCCATTCTTCCCCCTACCGTGCCCAAGGCCGGCTTCACTTTCACGGACCTTCCCACTCGCTCCAGTCCGGCCGTTGAGACTTCGACTCCAAAAGCGAGCAAATCTAAAAGCTCCAAGAAGTCCAAGGAGACGCCCATTCAGCCCCCTAGCGTCCGACGCGAATCGGCCGTCCCTCTCCCCCCGTCTGCGCTGAAACAAACCTCGCCGGCCGCTGCCGAGGAGACCCCCAAGCAGGAAAAGCGGAAGCGCAGAAAGTCGGACAAGAAGGAGACGCCCATCCCGGCGCCGAAGTACTAGAAGCACAACTGGCCCGGAAAGCATTCCCGTTCTTAATCGCATTCCGGCTCTCGTCCTGATTTCTTATGACTCAGCGGCAACGAGACCCAGAACGTCTTACTTTACAACTGTCAGAGTATATACCGGCTCAGCCGCCACGCGATGGTTTTGATGGCCCATTTTACTTGGGAACCAGTTGGCCTCTTTTTTCTTGCATTTACATGGTATGGAAAAGTACATGCTGAGCACCAGAGGCCTTTATTCACGCTCGTCCCTACGCCCACCCATCGTGATTCAGCACTCAGCTTCGTTTCAGCTCCGTTGCTACCGACCTAAATGGAAGGTCATGCCTCTTGCCATGAGGTGTTGTTCCTCGTTGGGAAGCCCACGGCGAATGGATAGTGCGGCACTGGGCTCAGGGAATGATTTCTTCGACTTGTTTTCTTTCTTTTGGGGCGTTGGATGGATCGATACCTAATGCATATGCCTCCCGCGAGGTTTTCATGGGGTTCGGAAAGCGACACAGGGGAGGTGGCTCAATAGGGCCTTTTGTCAGCTAGGTAGTTAGCCAGGCAGGTTTAGCCAATGATGCCAGATGATCAAGACAGACTGCTATGATTCCAGATTGTGTGAATTCCAACGCACCACTTTGAAGTATGTTAATCCTGAGTCGGTTGGCTGACCTGTTGCTCATCTCACTCTTTTACCCCCTTCTACCTTCTCTGATCCAGCCGCTACTCGCATCGTTATCCATCAGATCCTCCAAACGCGACAATTCCAGGAGCGTACTGATACAACTAGCAACAAGCCTTCGAAACCAAAAGGAACCCGCATTTTCGGGAAACGGGCATCATTGCGCCCGTTCCACGGGAGAAAATCAACCAACGAACGTAACTGACGGCGGCGACCCCGTCGCGAGTATTCATCATGTGAAAACCCGTTTGCGGTGTCTCGAGGCGCCGACTAGAACAAAGTCCAGGCCCCGTTCCCACTTTCCATCACCTCGCCGGCAGATGCAAACCCTCACCCTCTAACGCACCCCAGTAACAGCAACATTGGCAAGCAAGCAAACGCTAGCATCGTATCTCCGATCGTTGGGAAAAGCTTCCCTCACCCCCCTCTTGGCCCTAATCACATCCACACCCCGGCCAAACGCCTTCCGAAGGGGGAAGTAAAGAAATAAGGCCAAGGTGACAAACCCTCCCCTATCCCAGTTAAGATTTCCTCGTAGGGGAGGGGGAAGGGGGCGGCTCCAATGTCGTACATGAGAACCAACCCGGCGCCGCGGCGGTGGAAATTACGTCTCCATCCGCATCCCGGCCCGTAGTATAGCTTTCCCCCCTCCCCAGACGAAAAATTTCTGTGTGTTTTTCTTTAAACAGTAAATCAATAAAATGAGCAAACGAGGGTGAAGTGGGAAGGGAAGGGGAGGAAAAAAGAATCCTTGCCAAGAAAATCCTTGTCGACCGGCCGGTTGCGGGAAACGGCGGGTCCATGTTTGTTTGTTTCTACATGGGGGGGTCGTCCGTCGGGGGCACGGTCGGTAAGTGCGAGGGAGGGTCACCGACCGGTCGGGAAGCCCCGTGGATGTTTTTTTAGTGCGGGATTCTTCCGTTGTGTTCTATTGACGGGAGGTGGACGGGAGGATGGAGAGTGTCTGTGAGTTTTTTTTTTTTTGAAGGCGTGGCTGTGCGGAGGGCTAACGCCAGCCGTCCCTGTTTCTCAAGCCACTGGGGATCAACAGTTTTGGGGGTTGGAGATCGACGACGTGGTTTCGACGTCACATGTCAAATGGGATCTGCATATCTGCACATCTTTTTCTTTTCTTTTTTGGCTTTTTGGTTTTGCGAGGTTTGGGCATATTCAATACATTCAAACATGGTGATTGGGATATTGTGCGAGAGGTAAATCTCGTATATTCTGTTCTTCATCAACTACTTCAGTAGCGACTGCTCTAGCTCTACCAAGTGGTGGTATGCTGTTCTCTTTCTCTCCCCCTAAATACCTCCACATTACATCGGATCCGCCTTCCTCCTGGCTGGACTCCTTGCGGTCGTCCCCCTGCTTGCGCAGAGGAGCAACCTCACTCAACATTGAACACATTATGTATATACGGGGGTCTCTATATCGTCAGTTCCCCAATCCCGTATGCGCCCCGTCCCGACTCCGTGGGTCTTCTCCTGTTGGTCATCCATGCGGCCGTTAACCTTTCCAAGCCTATCGAGAGTCTGTGTGATCTCGGGCTGTTCTGTCGTTTAAAAAAATACCACGATTGCGCCGTTGCTGTGCTGATGCAAAATGGTAAAAAAGGTGTTCCAAAGTGGTATCCGATTGAAATCAAAAAAGTGCTGATGAGAATCGAAAAGAAAATAAAGTGTTAAGAGGGGTTTTTATGATCTGGTCGTCGTCCACAGGACCCGACATCACTGCTGCAGCGATCGTTGCTGTCTGCGCGTGCCGCACATTCTACCGGACAACGATTTCGTGAAGTTGAGGGATTTCGGGACGGTCGGTGTTGGGCTTGATTTCGATGCTGAAAATGCTGCGACCAGATTCTTCGGAGAGAGCAGGGCTCAAGCTGCCACTGCCTCGACTCGATGAGCTGTAGCTGGAGCTGCTACCAACGGTCCACTCGTCGCTGTCAGAGCTGCTGCGTCGCTGGAGGTAGCCCATGTTGTACATCCGGCCGTACTCCTCATCCCAGACCTTCGTCTGCTCGCCAATCTCAACGTAGTCGTATTCCCAACGGTTCTTCTTGTCGGCTTGCTGCTGGGGCATGTATCGTGCCTTGGCGAAGTAAAATATGCCGGCGGAGAGCAGAGAACCACCGACCAGATCGACGGCGTAGTGGTGGTTGAGATACATGGTCGCCCACCAAATCCAGCCGACGTACATGATGAAGATTGGACGGAAGCGAGGGAAGCAGTAACTCAGAAAGAGAGCCTCGATGACGGCATCGCCAGCGTGCAGAGAGGGGAAAGCACCAAACGGCACGGGGGCGGTGCTAAAGCTCGTCGTGTACATGTCGATGCCGAGGATGGCGTCAATTCGGGCCAGGCCAGCGGGGGAGCCTGGCATACCGTACGCAGCGGGGGCGAGGCCGTGCTCATTCTCGTACCATGGCGGTGTGCAAGGGAAGACAAGCTGGATCGTGACGCCAAGGACGTTCAGCCACCCAAAGCACTTGGCGAAGACGGGGAGAGTCTTGGGGGCGGCGAAGAAGAACAAGAAGGCAGCGCAAACGAAGGGCGCGCCAAAGTGACCGAGGCCGTAGGGAATCCAGGCGAGGATATCGAGAACAGGGTGAGTATGGGCGGACAAGATGTTCGAGAGGTTGGCGCCGTAAAGAACGTTCTCGAGAGCGGGCAGGACGCGCACCCAAATGTGGGGGCGATATTTCGCATCAATAAAGCTACTTTGATCAGCACACATCACCGACAAGCGCTTCCAAGACAACTTACCGGCTACAAAAGAAATAGATGAGATATGCCCATATGCTCAATCCAGGGAAGAAGAACTGGCTGGTGAGAGGGATGGTGAGGAGCAGAAGACCGCCGGCGACGGCGAGGGTCTTGATCAACGGCGCAGATGGCGTGATGCAAAGGGAAAAGACGATCAGGCCGACGATGATGATGTACTGAAGATCAAGCAGTCCCCATTTGTGATTTCGCAGCTTTTGAAGAGTCTCAAGAGGGTTGAGAGACTTCTGAATGCTAGTGACATCTTCGGGGCCGCTGAGGTTTGCGCGCTTCTTCTGGTTCCTCTTTGCGCGGCTGGGTCGGTATCGGTGCGGTATGGGGTTGAGCTTGGCGAAGTTGATGTTACTGGTCCAAAGCGAAGGCAGGGTTGGCTTCCCTTGGAGGAAGCTGGCGAAGTCTCGCATTATGACTGCTCTTGTGGAAAAAAGAACAATGTCGGAGAGGAAGGACGGCGACGCAAAGCGAGGGGTGTGGCGACAAGTAATAGGCGACGATGGAGACCGGAAGGGTGTGGTGAGGTCTCCTCGAGGGGTGCGTCTGTCCTTTGTCTGACTAAACCACAGACATCCGGTGTGATTATTATTTTTTCTCTCTCTCTTTCTCTTTAGCGTTAGATGATCTCTCAGTTGGCCCACTACGTCATGCCCCAGCCCAATGGATATCGGCGTGTAAGAATTCCAAAAAAAAAAAAACCCCCCAATTCCACTAAATGATCCTGAAGAATGCTCGTGGCGGGAGGGGGAAGGGATATGTTGGCCGAAGGACGGACAGTAGAAGTTGGAGAAGATGCGTAGAGGGTGGAGGGGAGGAAGAGGTCAAAAGGGAATGAGACAAAAGACAAAGTTAGGAAAAAGTGTGGATGGCTGAATTCATATGTATGATGAGGCAGCGGAACGGACGGCGGAACGGCAGGGTAAGGCAAAGTAGGTTAAGGTAAGGCAAAGGGACGGATAGAGCAGATGAGCCTGAGAGACAGACAGGGCAGGGTCAAGGAGGCCGGCCGAGCAGAAGTGGACTCCCCGGTGTGTGGGTGTGAGTGAGCGAGCGAGCGAGAGCCTCTGGGACCAGAGCATTAGGCTCAAAGACGAAGTACCAAGACACCAAGCAGTGGGCGAAGGGTGACCAAGACAGCCCAAGCCGGCCAACGGAAGCGGCGGGGACCGGGGTGCTTGTCAGAGGCCGAGAGAATTTGGGTGTGGTGGGAGGTACCTCGCTGTCGGAGAGTCCAAGTACCTTTACGTGCAGTTCCCCTACACAGCTGACCCGAGGACCAAGGGGGGGCCGGGCGGTAAGTGGTCCGTCGCGGCGCGTGGGACGCTGGGACTGGATGCTGTAATCGAATGAAGATGGAGCTATGATGCTGAGTTGATTCATCGAAGGGGACCCTGAACCTGCCCGTCTTGGCTGGGTACAACTGCAACGGTACCTCGCCGTGAGTCTGCTTGGTTGCTGTGCCGTTTTTGCCTACACTACATGGATGGTTTTCTCGACGGTTACTCCATAGCGTATTACTTCCTTATTTCGCGCGCCTCTTCATCGCCCCTCGTTTGTTTTCGCCAATCCAACCGTCATATGTATCAAAGTTACACGTTTATCCGACCAACACATAAAACTGCGCCGTCTGCCTGGGATCCCACTGACGATCTTTCTGGGGAGGGGGGGTTTTCTCTGTGATCCTGATGAATGCTGCCTTGGCCTGAGTGACTGGCTGACTACCTACTGAAGTGCTGCTACTCCTGTCTGTGTGTGAGTGTGTCTCTGGATTTGTCTCTGGCTGTCTCGAGTCTATTGTCCGTGTCTGACAGGAACGGTACCTGTTCTAACTTTTGAGGCCGGAGCATGGCGGAAAGCAAAGGTCGCACACGACAGGAAAGTGCAAGACGCTCGGATGCTGCGGGTCGGGTACAGGTACTTTCCCGAAAAAGCGGGGAGCGAGGAAGGGACATTCATTCTGAGAGGTTCCTGCCATTACTATTACAGACAGTATTGTACTAGTATAGAGCAGTACGTACCCTCTTGGCTGCAGTGAATCATAGCGCACGGGGCTTATCTTGGAAGAAACAATGGAAGGGCAGGGATGCTCTTTGGTAATGCACTGATCGGAAGGTATCCACAGCAAGCTAGTTTTGGCGTACTCAAAGCTAGTAGTAGCGTGTTCGAACCTGCCTTACGTGATGATGCGACTATGGGCTTTGCAGTTGCTGTAACACAGGCAGGAGCAGCTAACTACTTCCACCCTTCCGAGGAATATGGTGACGCTGGGACGGAGTCATGATCCATTTTTTCACGATATTTTTTTGGTCCCTTTGCTGTTTTTCTGTTATTCTCTTTCTTAAGTCCTTTTTTTTTTTTTTGCCCCATCTTCGTCTCTCTTGCCTCGCCTTTTGCGAGGATAGGTGCTTTGACAGCCAACACTAGGACCTACGGAACATGTCCGTTGTGGATCGCATCAGTTGATCTAGAAGCTGCAGACGGCTCCAAGCACACGATGTCTAAATTGCAATCTTTTGGTGTTGCTTACCGATACGTGGTTGGTAATTGTTCTACCACGTACAACGAATTCGTTCGTCGTTTCATTCGGTCGACATCACTAGCCAGCGTTATCTCGTCCGCATCCAATCCAGTAAAACTCATTCCCCCGGCCGTCAGACCTTGCAAGGACCCAAAGTACCTGCTGCAGCATGTCCCCTGTACCCGAGCCCACGCCTGGCCAGTTCACAGTCGCAGGAAGATAGGATGGATGTCGCGTGCTGCTGATGTTGGCCGGCCTAGTCTACAGGGCTGCCCACCTGACAACCCTGTTCCCAACCAGCCTGTTTGAGCTCCCCAGTTCAATACGTCGCAGCCGAGAAGAGGACGAAGAAGAAAGAAGCACACTGACGTACAGGCTCGCTTCCCCTGAAATACAATCATTTCGGTGAAACAGCTGGTTCTCACCCGATTTTGAGATTATCGTCATTGCCGCCTCGTCACTCTCCCCCGTAGTAGACCCAGGATTCACCGTGCACCCCCGGCATTGCAGCGGGAATCGAGGAAAATCGAGGCAGCAGCAAGCAAGCAAGCAAGCAACCTGGCTGGACACAAACTACTCAGCGGGAGGCTGGATGTCCACCTGCCGGCGTCGGTACTACGCCAGTAGCGGGTGATCATGGAAACATTCGGGAATTGCAGACGCTTGTGACTGTGGACGCGAATCTCGGTCTCGGTCCCTCATCGACAGTGCAAACAAAGAGAGTCATTGGGTAAGTGCTGGAGCGCCATCGTGGAGTCATTAGACCCATGGTCGGGCAGTCCGTCTTAGTATACCCTACCACGTAATATGTGGCCTGACGAGAAGCGTCAGAGACCGTCGCTGTCAAGATTGGGGCTTGCAGTCAGTGGCTTGAAATCGTCCCAAATCTAACCGCCCTGCGAAACCATACCCAACCAACGCCAACGCCAGTGCTGCAATGCCGGTACACTTATCTAATCGATCGTCCCCCGTTGCGGCACCGAGGCTCAATTGCAGGCAGGCCTGTGAGCTTGGTGGGTTCCGCTCCGATCCATTGTCACCGCGGAAAAAGGGAGCAGGAACAACAAGGAAAAAAAAAAAAAAAAAAAGGGCGGAGCTTACAAAGTAAGAAATGAGAGAAAAGGTAATGAACATATCAGCGTCCCCTCTCACGCGGTCTGCTAGCATCATCGACGCTTTTCAAGGTGGCATCACCCTTGGTGTCTCAACAAGCGCGACGAGGATGCCATCTCAACTTGGGCAACAGGGCAGATTGCGATGCAAAAAAAAATCCGTCTAGTTTTTTCACCAACAGGCACTTCTCGTCACCTTCCCTTTACCGCCAGACCAGAATGCAAACCAGGGTGCCCTTCGAGAGGGAGCCCAAATGGAGATGCAAAATGACTGGGATTGCTCCGTTCGGTGACGACGACTCTTTGTCTTAGCGCCTATTGTGCAAAGCAGAGCCAGTCGCAAGCGTAGCAACTGTCCGAGTGTCCGCCCACAAACACAGGCCCGCCAGTGAATGCGAGCAAAACGAGAGAGGCCCCAGGTCCTTCCCGAGATAGCGTATGTAATACTCGGATGGCTCGGTGTCAGAGGTACCGGTACTCCGTCCGCCTCGGGCGAGCCCTTCCAGGCCCACAAACTCTGGGCTGCTGTTGACTTCATCCTTTTTTTTCTGTTCTTTCCCTATGCCCCACAAAGTGGATGCTGTTCCTGGCCCCAACCTCGCCTAGGGGCCAACCATATCATCTTTCAACCTCTCAAATCGCATGTTGAGGTCTCCACTGTCGTCATAAATTTTCCAGCTAATTTTCAATCAATTGCTTTTTTCTTCTCCCTCATTGTCCCGCTTGCGGAAGAAAATTTTTAGTACGATTCTTTTTTTCTTCGCTAAATTCCGGGGTCCAGTTGTTTCCCGCGCGACCGCTCTCCGCCCAACTACGAAGGACACCGCTCTCCGCTCTTGTCGGTATCGGCCAAGAACCAAGCTCCGTTTTCCGTTTCCCGCAGCTTGTTACGGTTGGTCAATCCAATCTGCTCGCTTTTTGCGTTACGCGAGGTGCATATACGCGGGTATTCCAAGCTCGGCATCTCAGCCAGCTGCAACGGTCAAAGATCCTTTTGAACACTCTCAATGGTCAAAGGTCGCAACACCGAGGACGATACATGTACACGGACAGCCATGGCCGTTGCTGACTGGACGATTCTTTTGTCTTGATTGGACTGGATTGCATCGGATAAGGCTCATTTGTACCATGCAACAAGAAGGGTTTCCTGCAGCGAAACGCTCCGCGCCTGAAGTCCTGCAGCCTCGACAGGAGTAGCAAATGTGCTTATTCGAGACCAGACTAATCCTTCATTGAACGCTGAAGCAGCCCCCAAATGTCACCCTCCCCAGTCACACACACCTCGCCTGAATGAGATATCCTAAACTCGCGCGCGACCAAATTTAAAACTCAAAACTCGCGATTTCGTACATTGCTCGCATCACGTCTTTGCATCTTGCGCCAATGCCAAAGGCCCCTGTTTAGGGGTCGTCTCCCCGCTAACATGCATTTCTGCCAATTGAAGCAGCCTTCATCCTATGCGTGGAACATGTGCTGGATGCGAAACAAAAGCACGCCTTCCCACCCTCTCCTCTCCGTACTAGTAAGATGCAGCCGCTGAGCTTGGGCCGACTAGCCCGACTCAGTCAGTACGCGGAGATAATATGGTAAGCATGAGGAGGGATGTGGTTGCGATGGTTACCAACTCAGTCATACGTGCAACACTCACACACGACTTGGCCGGTCGGAGTTTGGCGAAATGCTTACACAGCAAGTCAGCCGACCGACCGGTGGGCGGGTGCAGAATGCTTGCAGAAGCTACAGGGTGTTGATTTGTGAGCATTTTTGTCGCCTTATGAGCTCGCGGACTTTGCTGATCCCGAGCCCGAAGACTAGATGTCCGCCACAGAATCTTCTCCCTGGTTTTAGATCTTGGCATCGCTGCAAGCCACACAAATCAGGGATTCTCTCTCGACGCCTCTCGCCGCGTGCGCTGTAGTCGCTGGCTAGCAACCATTCACACGCCGCCACTACATGACACCTACTACTATGTACTGTCCTTCCCTGGGACGTATCTATCAGCCAAGGTAAGCACCCATGGATCATCCATCTCCCGACCGGCGACCTCGAATGAGACTAGAGATGGGAGAGAGTTTTTTTAGGTGGCCGCCCAACTTAAAGTCTACTTTCGCAGCGGGATTCACGTACTAGAAACTCTCTCGATGTCCGTGTTGGCCGACCTGACAAGTTTGAGTTACCTGTCGCGGGGAGTCCCCACACTACAAGCTGTCTGCAAATGGCACCTGGGGTCGTCTGGTGGTTGGATTGAATCTATTCCACGCCAAAGGTTCAAAACCTAAATACATCTCACATGGCTGCAGATCCTGCCCGTCACCGTGTTACCTTGTCTCACCACTTGAACCACCCAGAGCAGGTCGCCTGTACCAGGCCAGCTGAAGGGCATGATACTAGCGGTAGCACTTATCGTCACAAGGGGCTCCAGCGCAGTTGGTGTCCTTGGCAGCTTGACACCTTTTTCTTGTGCAACAACCAACCAATACGCACTCAATACGGCAGCCAGTCACGCTTCCACGTACCCGCGTAACCACAGGAGGTTGTTGGCAAGGGGCCTTGCGGGTAGTGTTTGCAGCAACGACCATACCACAGCAGCAGTAGCTAGGCCCTTTACCCAGTGTCGTGCGTCGTATCGTGCCGTGTGCGCGTGCACCGTCTCCACTGATCTGAGCAAACGTGCCAACCCAGGAGCAAATGAAGCCCCTCGGCAAAGAAATGGATTGATGGATGAGGCTCGGGAATCAACCCCCTGTGAATAGCAGCCTGGATTTCTGGATACCTGGTTCCCACTTCGCCCAGAGGGACTTGCGCCAGCAATCGAGATTGTGAGCTTGCAAAATCGAAATTTGATGGAACGACTCTGACATGCCTAGTGCGGATATCTTCCACTCTGTCCTCCTCTTCCCGGCGCCCCATTTTCCACCTCGGAATCTTGGGAGCGGGACCTGGGTTGGCGTGGTTCCCCGAAATGAGATTCCTCCATTCTCTGGAATCTATCCATTTACCATCGATGTCTCGGGCCCGCCCCTGGCAAAAAAAAATGGGAGGAAAATGGAAGGGAAAAAAGTTGGAGCCTCCTTTGGGACCAGTTGGTCTGGGCAAGCCCCCCTGTCTTGGATCAACAGAGCAGAGCAAAAAGGGCAACCCCAGCTGTCGGAGCGCACGACCTCCGAGCGATCCGGGTGCCAAGGCCGTTGTCAACTCCGTGATACCGCAGCCGCTATTGGCACATCGATTGGACTACCCAAAGGAATTCCATGAGACCCTCAAAGTCGGTGAGAATAAGCTTACACCTCAACGATCGCCGTCTTAGTCTAGACTGCCTAGAAATTTGGTCAACCCCCCCCTCCTTGTGCTAGTGCCCGGTTTTGAGTCCTGGTTCCAGTGCCTGATGGTGCAAAAGGCGGCTATTTCGCTACAGTCGCCTCACGCTATCTATGCATTCCGCACGTTCCCTCTGTCAGCGCACGCGAGATGTCGTGTTGTAAATCTGACATCCTAATGCATACCGTTTTGGGGGGGAAACCCACTACAAGTAAAATCTCATGCTGACGGCCCCTCAGAGTTTACTTGATTACGGGCATGAATTTCGTACCAACGTGGCTCCTATAACCAAAACCACATGTCGGATGTCTCTTCCTAGGCGGCTCTCACCGTCTCTATGCGCATAACGCTGTGACAGCCCTCTCTGCATAGTGTGCCACAGTAGTGTCTGTCTCGCCTGGCATGTGCCCTGCTAGACAGACAGAGACACGGGCAAGGATGGGAGGAGGAACGATGGTTCACCGCATCATGGGATCAACCCCGTCTGGGACTATGGTTCAACGGGCTTCAACGAGACCAGATGGGAATCGTCCGAGGTCCCGCAACCACCTTATTTCCGATACAGCCGCCCGTTCGTTCCTAGTGAGAAGTGTACCACCTGTTGCTCCCACCGGTCACCGCGCCGGCATTCGGTGTTAGACGGCACCGACGGGGTTACCCAGCGAAGGCGGGCTTATCTCCTGTTGACGCCGGCCGGACACAAATCAAAAATTGTTTAACGGAAAAAAAAAAAAAGGCGATCCATTCTGAACAATCAGTTGTCCCTGTTGTGCCGAGTCAACCGCCAAGCTCCTTACAGAAGATGGGTGGGTATCCGCGACGGGGACCTTGCTGACTGAGTGACCGATTCAACCTTACAGGAAGGTTTACAGGATGCAGAAAGACGGCATTCATCAGTCTTGGCAGCCGGAACAACGCAATACTTCCATGTCGCCGCCTCCACCCCCTCCTTTCTGTGGTGGTTGCTGGCTGACTTGGGACCAAAGTGTTTCAAAGGGCCCCCCAAACGGGAGCATCCGACCAGCTTTTGTTTCTGTCCTCTCAGAGGGCGCCCGAGCTGAACACCTGTCGATCACCACTCCCATGAGCTTCCCACCTTCTGAGGGGACGCACATCCTTGACCGGTGTGGCAGACACATCGCGCATGACAACTCTATGTAGAAGTCGGTGTTTCGTCTGTGCCACCGCTACTTGTCTCGGTGCGTGGTCGACATCTGTTTTGTTTTTTGTTTTTTGCCCCTCGTGGTCAACTAGAGATATAGTTTTGGAGTTTGTATACTTCGGAATAATTTGTCTTTCTTGGACAGCCTATCGTCGTGCGTCTATTTTAAGCTTGCTTTTGATGTGATCTGGACTCCGTGTTCTCGAGATGGGTGGGTTCGGTTCGTCCACTTGTGAGAAGCATCTTACTTTTCACACATCCCTATCACGGCCTCATGATCGGCTCTGCATAGTATATATCTGAAATGCTGCGATATCCCACAGATGGGAATCGATGATCTGCATGTCCGCATTTTCAAGGAGCTCCTTGGAGAACAGACTGCAACCGAAGCTTATTGCGACCACTTACGCTTTTGACCTCCTCGCTTGGCGCCTTGGACGGCTTGGCGCCAATGCTGGAGTTGAGACGAAGTACCGGCACGCTGACGAGAGGACGGCTATCGCATAATACGCGCTGGGCCGCTGGCATTCTCGTTGGGGGAGATCCGCGGGCGGCGGCGGAGAGAAAGCCTACATTCAGAGGAAGGAAGCTTTGAACTGCCCAGTCGGCTACACGGAGATGGCATGAACTGCTTTGATGTTTCTCTCCAACGGCTAGCAAAAGGTAGATGGAGCTCTGCGTGCCATATGGCCGGTGTGTCTCGTCGGGGAGGGCGTCCGGGGAGCCGTGGCCGTAGCGGGATAAGGGGCAAAACATGGAGGTTGAGATGTCGATTTCCGGAAAAAAGCTTAAATGGGCCATCCTTCTGTTGTGAATCTGAGCTTAGCTTAGCTTGAGCTGAGCTGTTTGCCTTCTTGAGCTTGAATAGCTGTAGCTTGTTTGGCGGGCGGGACGTCGTGGTCGGAGCATCCCGCCAAGACTGTCGTTTTGGTGCTGTGTTATGCTTATGCAATCTTGCTGTTGTCTGAAGCTCCTGGCGGGTCGCATGTTGACGGAGAAGTAGTTGAAGATGCTTTGTTGACGAGACTTTCAGGGCAAGTTAAAGCTGGGAGGCCAAGATGAAGCACCGAGGCAAGAACAGCTTGCACAACGGGCCACTGCTTCGACAGATACTCGTGAGGTTTAACATTTTTGATGCCTTAATCTTGACCTTGAGTTGCCGAGAACATCAAAATTCCAGTCTCCAGAAAGATCGGAAATCCCCCCCCCTTCCCCCCCAGACAAGCAATCTATAACGCATAAATCCACGCCACCGTCCGTGACCTGCCACGACGTTCATGCTTCGCTGTGGCCAATCCTGCCAAGCGCGAGCCCAAAGGTAAACAGTGAGTCTTCCTCGGCCATGATGGGTTCATGCGAGATCAGGATCTTTGGTAATGTCGCCCCCCCTGTTTCCTCCTCGGCGGGCGCCTGCTGCTGCAGGAGGACACACGCGTGACTATATCCGGGAGGCCAATCACCGGCGCCGTAGTGGGGTTGAGACTGACGATTGCCGTGCCGGGTCCGACGCCGAGCGGGGCCGGAGAGGCGGGTTTACGGCGCAGTCGCGAACTGTGGAGTAGAGCACTTGGCGATGGCACCTCGTGATGCGGCTTTTTTCTGTAAATGGGAGGGATGAAACCAGGTGAGGTGGTAATCATGCTGAATGTCGTCGTCGTTGGGACCAGGTACGGGAGAATGACCTGCCTGATGAGGAAAGTGTTTGTTGGGAGTGGTGAAAATGAATGGCTGATGATTGAAAATGTAAGGACGTATAAAGGGTCTACATCTGTGAGATTTTGTTCGGAATAGAACACAATCATAGTCAATTCATCACACCAGGCGAAACTTCCGTGGGATTGAGGATAAACAACGACAAAATGGCCCGCAAACCGCCCCAACCTCTTCAGTCTATGCTCAGCGCGGACGAGATTGTGCCGGCGGTCAAGCGTTTATTATCAGAGCAAAACTCCATTCGCGAAAACGTAGCAAAGACCATCACCCCCTCCGACGCCTGCTTTTCCAACGTCGTCGGCCCAATCCAGGCAGTCGATGACAGGACGCAGGGTGAGACGGGGGTGTACGGCATGCTCCGCTACTCCGGTCCCGACAAGGAGACTCAGAAGGCCGTGGAGGAGGCACAGAGTCTCTGGGGTTCAGCTAGTGCTGAGAGATTAGAGATGAAAGATATGTATAAGCTTATTCAGGCCGTGAAGGATAAGGGCGAGGAGTTGGACTACGAGAGTAGGAAAGTGTTGGAGGACATGTGGTTGGAGTATCGGCGTGCTGGGCATGGAGTGCTCAGTGAGGAGGGGATCAAGACGTATCTCGGAAGACGGGAGAGGATCGAGGAGTTGAAGAGGGAGTTTCACAAGAATTTGAGTAAAGGTGGCGGTGGACTGCAGTTTCGGCAGGAGGACTTGGAGGGCGTTCCGGCGCTGAAAATGGAGAGATGGAAGGTGGATGCAGACGGAATGAGGTTCATACCGCTGGAAAGGGCGAGTTACGATGCTATTCTACGATATGCTCACGATCCTGAGACGAGAAGGAGGATGTACGTTGCCTACGACAATCGCCTGGAGGAGAACGTCCCTGTTTATAAAGAGATGCTCATCCTCCGCGACGAAAACGCGAGGTTGTTGGGGTATAAGAATCACGCCGACTTTCGCATTGAGCAGAGGACTGCCCCGTCTACGGAATGGGTTGAGAATTTCCTCCGACGGATGTGTGAGGATTTGTTCCCGCAGGGGAAGAAGGAGATCAAGAGGCTCCAGGAAAAGAAAAGCAGCCATCTCAGTACAGATATGGAGAAGACGAAGATTCTACCCTGGGATTACACCTACTATACCCGTATCCTAGAGGAAGAGGCAAATGTTGACCAGGTGTTGATATCAGAGTATTTTCCTCAATAGCACACGCTATCGGCCATGCTGGGTCTTTTCAACGAGTTCCTTGGGCTTGAATTCGTGCCTGTACCACCGCAGGACTTGGAGGGGAAGCTTTGGGCTCCGGATGTTGAGGCGTGGGGGGTGTGGGAGGGAAGGGGAGAGAGAAAGGGTGAGTTTGTGGGATATTTGTACACAGATGTTCTTTGGAGGGAAGGTAAGTATCGTGGAAACTGCAATGTCAACTTGCAATGCGTGAGTCTCCAGCGAATCTGAGAGGGTGCAAATGCTGATCTTGAGCAGGGCTACGTCAAAGATGATGGGACAAGAGTGTACCCCGCTACAATCCTCATGTGCGCCTTTCAGCCTCCGACAGCCGCGTCCTGCGCGCTCCTAAAGCACCGCGAGGTCGTTACTTTGTTCCATGGTAAGCCGCCCCATAAGCTCTCTGCATCATCATGCTCTCCCGAGTACTACTCCCCCCTGAATCCTCAGACTGACGATGGGGCAGAACTGGGCCATGGCCTCCACGACCTTGTTTGCCGCACCAAGTACACTCGCTTCCACGGCACGCGTGTGAAACCCGATTTTGGCGAGGCACCGAGCACGATGCTCGAATACTGGTGCTGGTTACCGCAGGAGCTGGCAAAGATGGGCCGGCATTATGCGCGAGTTGACCCGGCTTACCTGGCGAAATGGAGGGAAGACCATGGCGACGCCGAACTCCCCCCAGAAAAGATCCCACAGGAGCTTCTCGAGAAGTTGGTAGAAAGCCGTGATCTAAATCGATCTCTGTGGTTCCTGAGACAGCTGTGAGTCTCTCCCAACTTCCCCCTTTCCCTGTAACTGGCTGCTGGATGTTGGGATTGACTGTGGGAAGGGTTTTTGCGACATTCGACTTCACCGTAAACAATCAAGAGTCCACCGCCGCACTGAGGGACCTGGACGAGATCGAGCTTTTCAACAACCTGCAGGACTCCCTCACGCTGAGAGCGAACCCTGACAAGAGGGGTTTTGGACACGTTCAATCAAACCATCTCATTAGCCTCTATGACGCAGGGTATTACTCGTACCTAAGGTACGTCTCCGTTAGACCTTCTCTCGTCGAACTTGAACCCTCGACCGGTTCGTTCTTCATAAATAGCCCTCGGCTTCCATGACATGGATTCTTGAGCTGAACTAACAGTGTCGACAGTGCCCAGGCTTTTGCAGCCGAATTTTTCGAGTCAACCTTTGCAAAGGACCCCCGCAACCCCGAGGCATGGGAGCGCTATCGTCGAGGAATCCTGGAATACGGCGGCAGCAAGGCTGAGATGGACATTATGACTGACTTTCTCGGCCATGAGCCAGGACCGGACGCGCTTTTGAGAAGCCTTGGACAGACGAAGGAAAAACATTAAAGCTATTCAGTCGTTTCAGTGTGCCAGAGGCTATCCAGGAAACATCCTCGAGTGGGTAGTAGGAAGCCGTTCTTACGTGAGAGAAAGTCATTGTTCGGCCATATGCACCGATGTTTCTCACGAGATTAAGAAGAAGAGACAATGTGCCTGTTCCCAGCAAATGATATTTCTTATTGTCCATCAAAAGTAATTAAATAGTTTTGGGATTACACGAGTGAGAACTACGTGAGATCATTGTGGCAGCTCATCGTAAGGCAGCTCCAATTCGAGCGCATATCTCAACAAGGTGCTTATCCTTGCCAAGAGGTTAATCACGTCCTCGCTGTTCTGGTCCCGGTAATGGTTTCTCGCGTTGGTAACCCAGGTCCGCACGAAGTTCTGCGCGGTCCTTACGGTGGACTGCAGCAAGTCGCGAATAAACTCGTCCCAAGCACCGACGAGATCATCGTTGATGTTGGTCTGCGCGTGATGGAGAGCCTGGAGCCGCTCCAGCTCATTACGTACTTCGTCGACCATCGCGATGAGGTTGCCCCAGACGGTTGGGTCGCGGAGGTAGTTGATGGCGATGATGGGCTGTGTTTTGTTAGCGCCTGCTGTACGATATCAATTCCGGTACTTACATCGCGGAGGCGCGTGATGAAAACCTCGTAGTTGTTGATGTTCTGCATGTCATTGTTCATGTTGGTTTCAGTCATCCATTGGGTACCGAAGCCTCTGCCCGAGGTGCTTTGTCTCCAGAGCTTGCCATTAAAAGTCAGCAATTTTGGCACACTCATTCCGGATCATGAATACTCACTGCTGACTTGACAAAGTTCAAACCCGCTCCGGCGAAAACCATATACTGGTTGTTAAGTTGGCTACCAAGAGCATTGTAAAGCCTTTGGATGGGGTTGTCAGAGTATACGCCTCCGGCCATCGGGGGCTGCGTGACCCCATATCGCCCCTGAAGAGTCCGACGCACGAGACTCTCGCTGATTCTAGCGGTTCTCATTGTACCTCCAGACGGCAAAGTGCGAGCTAGCGCGTGGGTGAAGAAGCGCGTAAGGGTATTCATCTCAACAATGTGCTCGACTACAGACTGTTAATGACACACTGACGAAAGTTATACGAATGAACTTACGGTGAATACCGCCCTTTCCTTTCTGGTAGTTGACAATGCGTGGCATAACCTCGATACAGTCCTTCTCGGGATACAAGTGAACATTGTTCCAGATTGGGTGGTTTGCGTGCCAGAAACTATGTGTCGAAGGATAGTACTGCGAAAAGAGGTAAGCTGCGGACTCCAGCCAGGGAAATCATGGGGGGTACGAACAGGCTCGCTTTCAATCTCAATGTATGTACCGTCAGGAAAGTAGATTCTGTACTTTCTTGGCTCACCTGGACGAGGGTTTGCCATTAACGAAAAGTCGTCATCATCAGCAAAGTCTGCGACGGCCAGGGAGGTACCGGTGTCGGTATCCAAGTCCACATCCGAGTCCTCACTCGCGCAGAAGTCACCTCCACCGGGACAGCAAGATATGGTATCGCATTCACAGTCATGCTCCGATTTGCCTCCAACCCAAGCGTCAAAGTCTGGCATATGACAGGTGATCAGATAAGCCAGTTGGTCGTAACCGTACTTGCTGATCGCCTTTACGCGATCAATCCAAGCTTGAACGTTTTCCCACTTAAGGTTAGAATATGTCCTGGGTACAAGATCATTCCATATGGCTCTCTGATTACTTGTGGCAGTTTTTAGTAAGAGGAGGAAAACCAGGTCCTTGATCTCGTCCTGTTGGAAACTGCCCCAGCTGTTTTGACGGGTTTGTAGGTCTTTGGACGTTTCATCAAGTTTCTTACCGCCGTCATTGTACCCATGACGACGATAATGCATACTGAGTGTGTAGCCATGAGTATGCGCATGAACATGTGCTTCTCTCTTGTTGACCTGGGGTTCGGATTTCGATTCAGGCTCGGAAATGTTGGCCGCCGGTAAGTTGCTCAAGGCAGTGAAGGTGAAACCGCCACCATTTTCAGAGCACACTGGCTCTTCCAGGAAGGACTCCAATGCATCACGTAGCACCGAATCCTGCGACGATTCTCTCTTGGTGATGGTCGAGTGCTTGGGAATACAGCATTTGGATCTCGCACCACGCTGACAGAAGAAGGTGTTGTCCTTGTTCCAGTGGCCATCCATAGCAACTCTGACGCGATCACTCGGGCATCCACTGCGGCAGTAGTACTCGTCATCCTTTCCAGGACCGAGATTGTCATACCACTGACAGTCGTCCCATTTCTTCTCGGTTTCCTGCTTGCAACAATACTTGCGTTCCTGGACCTTGACTGCTTCCCAATCATATCGTTCGACGTTACATACGGCTTTGCCGCTGCCGGTTGGCGAGCGAGCGACCTCCTCGGTGTCGCTGCTGCACTGGCCCAGCATGCACATGGGAGCTTCAGTCCAACTGCATTGGTTGTAGAGATCCATGCTTTTGCCTTTGTGAGTGCAGCAGGCGGCTTGGTATTTTGAGTTGTTGCAATGGGTACTGAGCGAGCCAACCTCCAGTGTCCCATCGGGACAGGTCGAATCGCATTTGCCATTGTTGTGTTGGTACCATCCGCACGTAGGGAGGTCGCCCTCCGGAGGACAGCAGAGTTCGTGAACTCCCTCCGAGCAGTATGAGCCATCGACCATGTACTCGTTTTTGCGAGCCTCTTTATCATTGCGTGTCATGCGGATCCAGTTCGAGGGGCACATTTCTCCGCAGTTTGTCCACTTACACTGTGGATGCTTTGTGATGGTCGTGATGAGGCCGTCGTCTTCAGGGAGTTCGTAAAACATCCCAGGCAACGACATGAACTTACGCGCAGCCGCCAGTCCAATCTCTTTGGAGTATTTTCCATCTTCCACGTCTCCAGAAATAGCCCAGACCATGATACCGCTTAGGCACTGCTCTCGAGCAAAATCTGCCTTCAGCTTGAACGTGTCTTCATCGTCGTACGCAACCCACTGGTTACTGTCAAAGGTAAGAATCTTGACGGCAGCCTCTTTGTTTAGAACAGGCTTGTTACCGGTTCTCTTGATGACGTCCATAATCTCAGACTGAAGCATGACACTGATCTCGTTACTGCATGGCTGACGAGGAGCACCAGACTCATAGGTGCAGCCAGGGGTGAGACAGTTGGGGCTGGTGGCAGTGAAGGCACGGCCGTAGAAGCCAGTACCGAGGACGACCTTGTCTGGGTCGATGTTGTTGCGCCAGAGGAGGTTCATGGCTTCCTTAATCTCGGTCAAGTTGGTATGCGCGTTGAGGTATGGACCAACCCATTTGTTAGTCTTGTCCCACGTGCCGTGGAGATCATAACTCATACTGAACTGGTCAGCAACTATTTCTATTACTGAAAATTTTATATCAGGGGTAAACTTACATATTGAAAAAGTCAACATGCTTCTGAAGCGCGACAATGTCAAAGTGCTGTAGGTACCCTGAATGGTGTAAGTAATTATCTGCTTTTCACCAGACTCATACTTACAAAGTGATGCCGGTAATGTCAAAGATACTTCATCTCGGCCGCCAGTAGCCTTGAGGGACTTCTTGAGGTTGGCCAAGAACTTGGGAAAGTTCTCAAAATCTTCATCGCGACCGCTACGGTCCTTCGCCACAGGGTACTCCCAGTCAAGGTCGACACCGTCAAAGTCATATGTCGACATCATACTGACAAGGGACTTAATAAAAGCCTTCTGCGCAGACTCTGACCGAGCAATGTCAGAGAACGTTGTGGCCGTTGGGCCGGGATCGTTGAAGGTCCATCCTCCAATGGCAATGAGAACCTTAAGATCAGGGTCGATCAACTTCAAAGATGTCAAACGTTTGTATAGTTTGGCATCTGCAGATGAAGCAGGTCGAACCTCAAAGGTGTTAGGGTCAATAGTGGCGAAGGCGAAGTTGATATGAGTGTAAACACCCCTGGGAATCTGCTCGGGCATGAAGGCGTTGCATGGACGTCTGGCAGCCCAGCCTTCGTAGTAGCCGACTACACGCTTCAAGGTGTGGCTTGTGCAGCTAGGAGGAGTGACCTTCTTGTTGCCGCAGAACCTAGAGTTGTTAGTGGCTTCGATGAAAGAAGGCTCAGGGACCCATACTCTTCCGTGTAACCACAGAAGCCATGCTTCGAACAGCAAATGTTGAGAGGGCACTTTGTCTTTTCGACAAACTCCTTGCCGAAACCACCGGGATCGCACTCTGCAAGGCGATCACAGTTGTTGAGACAAACATCCTTATGGCAATCTTGCTAGTTAGAATATGAATAACGCTGAGAGCAGGGCTGGACTTACAGTCTTTGCCATATCCACAGAACCCAAATTTCGAACAGCAACCAGCCTTGCAGGGGATACTCTCACTACACTCTGGCTCTTGAGCATGAACAATGTTGACTAGTAAGACAAAGGAAATCAAGAGAAGGACGCAACGTCCTAGGACGCTGTTGAAAACCCTCATGGTGAAGGCAAAAGAGTGACGGATGGCAATGAAGGCTTGACGGAGAGTGTCAATCGATGGGGGGATCCTCTGATCATTATCAAAGATCTAACAGGTCTTTAGAGACCTCAGTGTTACTCTTCGAGTTGTCCATAGTTCTCATCTTGCGGCGGTCCAAGACGGGATAATTGCCGCGTAGCCTGATCCTCCTTTGCGAGAAATCATCTTCGCCAAGACGCTTCTAGTTGAAGGGTTCTCCGAGAGGTTCTGATACTTACAACTTTCAAAAGGAACTTTTGTGCAACAATGTGCTGTAATTTTGATCCTGAGGGCACTAGTGAGACGAAATGCGAAGTTGGTTGCCTGTAGCACACTGCATAACGCAGGGGCCGTCTTGGCATAAGGGACGATGGACCCTATCCGCCTCGGGCCAAGACGCCGCTTCTAGAGTGTTTCTTCGGGCGGGTAGATCCCGCTTATCATTGTGCCAGAATAGGCAAGCAGTTACTTCCTACTAGCCTTATAATCAGAACACCCTGATCATGAACCCGAATTTTAAGGTAAGGAAAAGGCTACAAGGCCTCCCTTGTTGAACTAAGGCTGGTCAGCTTACGGCCAAGTGATGCAGCACTCCAATGGAACTGCACATATCGGGGTCAACTACCCAAAGATGGGGGTTAGATTAAGGGAGCAGTGAGAAAATAGACTCCGTTTTACACTGATGAGATAGAAGAAAGTACGGATCCTTCGGAACTGCAATCCACTTCCCGATGACTCTAAGTTGCTTCTGTTTCTAGTGGTCTACAACGATCTACAAATGTCTCAGGACTCCTCAATGACCTGAGAGCCTTTGAATAGCGGTACCAAAGGCCTCACATATTGAGGTCTTTCGGAAAAATAGTAGATAAACGAGGCCTTGTCTATCTAATCAGTGTCTGCATCGGAGGCGTCAAGGACACCGTTGGATAACATCTGAAAAGCCGTTATTGGCGTCGGCAAATGGTAACCCTTGAGACTTAACACTTAGTTTCGCGGTTGTGGCGCCATGAAGAATATGTATCCCAGTCCAATGGACTGTTCCTGCATGCGACTGAGAAGCCTTGGTTGGCTACTACATTCTCAAGTCGGCCGATAACAGGGTTTAACAACAGGGGTTAGGACCTGTTGAGCTAAGGGAGGACTATTGATGTATGTGAGATTAAGCTTACACTATACTTCGCCCTAGATGTAACCTTAACTACTGTTGTACGAAAGCCCGATTATCGTCAGTGGCGGATAAGAAATCCCGTCGTCAGCTGCCTGGCCCGTACCGGTACATGAGTTTCGAAGGATGACCGAGCCGCGTCCGGCTTGGCTACAAGTCCGTGACAAATTAACGCAGAATGGGGTGGGCAAAGAGGTATTGGTTCTTGCAAGAGGTATCTGGTCAGTAGCAGAGCGAGAGACAGAACTCATCTTGTCCCTCATCACTTATACTGGCCGTCATGAACCTTAGGAGCCCCCTTCCTCTCTCGCTTTCCTGACTGCTCCTCAAGTCAGCGCCGCTCTTTTCTCTACTTCACCATGCGTCCACTCATGCCTGGGCCGCAGATGCCTCTCTTTCTTTTTGTCCTTACACTCCTTCTTTCGTTCTCTACCACCATTTCTGCTGCCAGCAATAACACACGCCTCATCAATGGCACTTCCACAGACGCCCAAGCGCTCGTTCAACAGGCTCTGAAAGTCCTTGCCGTGGTAAACAAGGGCCGCGTCGAGAACCCTGTTTTCAATAAGAATGAGAATGAAGATCCCGTAGAGGAGAACAAGCCTGCGGCGCTGCTCGACTATACAGTTGATCCCAAATCGCTTTCCGCTCGCGGATGGCGCCGGGATGAGAAAAACTCAACCGTCTCCGGCAGCTACCGTATCCCCAAGGAGCTTGCTGAAGCAGCCGCTGCTGTGGCTGAGTCTACTCCTCAAGAACCCGAGGGTGACCACGAGGATGTCGCAGCTAAGATCCGCAAGAAGTACCACCCTGAGTTTCTCAATGACACCAACACCCCAGACGAGCTTCAGGCTCCTGAAGGGCGTTTGTCAACCTATGCTGGCAAAAACCAAGAGAAGCGTGCGTCTGGTTACTGGATGATTGATGATCAGAGTCATCCAGGCCAGAGTCCCTTTTCGCCCGCTGGTTACAAAGTCTGGCGTAATGTCAAGGACTTTGGGGCCAAAGGCGACGGAAAGACTGATGACACCGCAGCTATCAACAAGGCCATTTCCGATGGTGCTCGCTGCGGTGAGCAATGCAAAACCAGCACCATTGCTCCAGCCGTCGTTTACTTCCCACCCGGAACATATCTCGTTAGCGGCTCCATCATCCAGTATTACAACACCCAGTTCTTGGGCGATGTAAGTGTTTTGTCCCATAGGAAATGAGAGCTGTTGCTAACATACTATAGCCAACCAATGTACCCACGATTATGGCGGCCTCCAGCTTTGTAGGCCTCGGCGTGTTCACATCCAACAAGTACATTGACGACAATGTCGGTTGGTACCTCAACACTGCCAATTTCCTCCGGAGCATCAAGAACTTCAAAATCGACATCCGTCTCACGGATCCCTATGCTTACGTTTGTGCCATTCATTGGCAAGTTGCACAAGCGAGTTCCTTGGAGAACATTGAGTTTTACATGCTTTACAACTCAGAGGTCCCCCACAGCACTCAGCAAGGCATCTACATGGAGAACGGCTCGGGCGGCTTCTTGGCTGACCTGACCTTCGTGGGCGGCAACTTTGGCGCCTACTTTGGCAACCAGCAATTCACGACAAGCCACCTTGTTTTCGTTAACTGCAAGTCCGCCCTGCAGGTCCACTGGGACTGGGCCTGGACAATGCAAGACTTCGTCATCGAAGGCTGCGAGAATGGCTTGGTAGTTACAGGCGGTGCCGGTGGTGAACACAGCACTGGCCAGAGTTTGGGCTCGCTCATCCTCATGGATACCATCATTGCCAATACCCCCAACGGCATCGTTACGTCCCTGCACGCCGAGAATTCTACTTCGTTCCTCCTTCAGAACGTTGGTTTTTTCAACGTGAAGACGGCAGTCACCGACTCCCTGCAAAAGAAGACGCTTCTTGCGGGCGGCAATGAGGTTTACGTCGAAAGTTGGGGTTTCGGTCGTATGACAGACAAGAAGGGTGCCGGCACGTTCGTCAACGGCGAACATATTCCCGCCATGAATCGAAGCCAAGAGCTTACTGGCGTTCAGCACGACAAGATGAAAGCCAACCTCTTTACCCGCCGCAGACCCAAATACTATGACGTTCCCGCCAACAAAGTCATGAACGTTAGAGCATTGGGTGCAAAGGGCGACGGCAAGACGGACGATACTGCCGTCCTTAACTCGATACTCTCGGGTGCTGCCAACACTTCATCAGTCGTTTACTTCCCCTTTGGCGTCTACATCGTCAAGGATACTCTCCGCGTCCCTATGGGTTCACGTATCATCGGTCAGGTGTGGTCCCAGATCATGGGTACCGGCGCCAATTTTGAGGACGAGACACAGCCACGCGCAGTCGTTCAGGTTGGTCGCCCTCAAGACCCACCTGGCATCATTGAGATCCAGGACATGATGTTCACTGTGTCCGGCCCTACAGCCGGCGCAGTGCTTCTTGAATGGAACGCAAAGGAATCGAGCAAGGGTTCGGTTGGGATGTGGGGTATGTGTTTCTATCTGTGTTCTGTGTTTATTCGTCAGCTAACCTTGTTTAGATTCACACTTCCGTGTTGGAGGTGCCATAGGATCCAATCTTCAAAGGGAGAACTGCCCCAAGAACACCGGCCAGGTCAACCCTAAATGCAAGGCCGCGTCTATGCTTATGCACCTGAAGCCCGAGTCAACTGCGTACTTGGAAAACGTATGGGCCTGGGTTGCAGACCATGACCTCGATCGTTCCACCAGAGACCAGATCGACATCTATGTCGCCAGAGGTATGCTCATTGAGAGCAAGAAAGCCTGGTTGTGGGCCACGTCCTCGGAGCACTGCGTGTTCTATCAGTACCAGATCTCGGGAGCCACCAACATCGTCATGGGCATGATCCAGACCGAGTCGCCTTATTACCAGCCGGTACCAAAGGCGCCTCAGCCCTTCCGCACCGGCTTGTTCCCTGATGATCCGACCTTCAGCGAATGCAGTGCCAGCGACGCGCGTTGCTATTCGTCGTGGGCATTGCGGATCATCGATTCTTCTGCGGTGTATATCCTCGGCGCTGGTCTCTACTCATGGTTCTTCGATTACAGCCAGGAGTGTCTCAAGACAAATGACTGTCAGAAGCGCGCTGTCGAGATCCAGGAGAGTTCGGACTTGTGGGTGTATAATCTTTGCACCAAAGCCATCTTGGAGATGGTCACGCCGTACGGCGGAGTGGCTACCTTTGCCAAAGATAACGTCAACGGATTCCTGTCATCTGTCCTAGCTTGGCTCGAGGGATCCGAGGACACGACCGGACGTCGCGATTTCGTAGGTTTCCAAGTCCACACCATCAACGGCCTGCGCAACCAGAATGTGTCCGAGACATGCAAGACGGCACTGAGCGCAAAAGTCCTGTGTGACTTTTGGGTGATGACGTTTGAGGAGCCAGCCTACAGAGGCACACTCGAGAACAAGACATTGACCGACTCGATCTGCGACGCAGGCTGCGGTAAGTCGCTGCAGAGCTGGTTTGACAACGTCGACTCGGCTTGCAAGGGGTACACCATTTCTGGATCGCTACCCACTCTCCATGGAGGGCGCATGTGGGCTGGGTTCAACGAGACGTGCCTTAAAGACCCCAACACTGGGGCGTACTGCAATGGTGAGCTGTTCGAACAACCTAACACAATATGGGATTGAGCTAACATTTGTAGACTTGATTGCTGAGTTCACCACCGTCAGCTCCATCGAAGAGATGCCCAAGGCCGAGATGTGCTCTGAATGCTACATCAACCGCCTTGGGCTTATGCAGAGTAGTCCGTACTCCATTTACGACGACTACTACAAGAGCGACCTCGAGCTTGTTTACAAGACTTGCGGGGAGTCAGGCTCTACTGATATTCCTCCGTCTGTGATCCCCGCGCCTGACCCGGAGCCAACCATATGCGTATCTGATGAGTGGCACACCGTTGGTCAGGGAGGAGAATCATGCGAGCAGGTGTCCCGTTCCAAGAATGTCTCTAGTGTTGCCTTGTACAACATGAACACACAAATCTTTAGTTGCAAGAGCATTCCGGAGGGGACCAAGCTCTGCTTACCACTGTCGTGTGGTACCATCATCTCGTACACTGAGAAGGACACCTGCTCTGGTCTTGAGGCCGTGTATGAGCTAGCGCCGGGCGACATCCGGAGGTTCAACCCTTGGGTGTATCATGATTGTAGCAACCTGGTTGGTGCCACCGGCTTCTTTGGAAATCTCTTGTGTGCCGCGCCGCAGAACGGCGAATACTCTCACGGCGGCCCCGGTGGTGGCGGCGACACAGTGACGCCCCATCCCGGCACAGGCTACGCGTCGTTCCCAGTGGACCCTCCCAACAACTCTACAGTTGCCCAGGGGACGACGACGAAATGTGGACGATGGCACGTGGCCGAGGAAGGCGACAGCTGCGTCTCCATCTGCCTGTCATCGGAGATCAACATAGCGCTGTTTGTTGCCGTTAACCCATCACTGGGGACCGAGTACATCGATTGCACAAACAATCTGGCGTTTGGGCGCGCGTATTGTACTGGGCCAACATACGACTGGGAGGATACCGAGGAGTTGTAGAAATGAGGTATTGTGTTTGATAGCTTCAACGGCACCATGAACTTAGTACTCATAGTCAACATACATCTGGCCCCAGAAATTGTAAACTTGGTCGTCCCCATTTAGCCATCCCACTTCCTCATACATGAAGTCTGGATCCTGCATGGAAAACCACATTGACCACAAGCTGCCTTGAATTCCCACTCGAAACCACACCCTGCCGCTTTCAGGTCGCTGCTCGTCGGTAACAACTTTGACCCAACGTCTGTACAGATCCGGATCGCCCTTCAAACCAACTTTTGGATCCTCAGGCATGGCCAAAATGCTATCAATGCCCTCCTGGTCGAGCATCAGGCAGAGAGAGAAGCGCGCGTTGGGCGCGGAACGCTTTCCGGAGGCTGGGGCAAGGTGCTCATTCACCCAGGCGTCAAATCTTTTTCCCACTTCCTCTATGCCAGCATTAGCTAGCGTTTCTGGGTCTTCCACGACCTCGTTGTAGTAGCGGCTCCAAAGTTCTTGATTGGGCAAAGGATCCCTAGCCTTTTTGTTCGGCAGAGGCTTGAGTAGGATGTCGTCGTCCACAAAGTTCTTGGCGTAAACACCGAGCCTTTCGATTGCTTTTGCAAATGCCTCATCAGATCCCGGGGTGTACACGGTGCGGAAGATGGTGTAGCCCCAGCAGTAAGGATAATTGTGACTTCCATTGTGGTGGGAGAGCTGTTGCAAGCATTCTCTTACTGGGCGTCGAAATTCGGGATCTCCGAGTAAGCATTGCGGACCTTGGGCAATGGCCCTGTCAATAGGCTGAAAGTTCGCCATTGTTGCCAGTTCTTTACCGTGCAGATTGAGTGTAGAAGGCAAAGTAGAGAATAAACAACAGGGAACGAAGATGCGAATGCAAGGCAACAGCCGTCTGGCGTCTTGGGTCGCATATCACGTGACTCATCCCACCTTGCTAGAAGGAGAAGGAGCTGGGACTTCTGTTTGTTCAGATCAATTGTTCTCATTATGGAAGGCTGACAAAAACAAGCTCTGGTGATACGGATGTAACCTGTTGAAGTTGTGGTGCTATGCCAGTGCTTCAGCTTGTGTTCCATTACAGAGCCGCCCAAACTTGCCACAACGGAAAGAGAACACAAAAACTTACCGTCTAGAGCGTCAATCACTCTGAAATTCTTGGGATGAACGCCAAGGAAACCGTGTAAGCAGCTTTGGTTTGAGCTGCATCTAAGTGGGGAGTTGCTTTCTTCTGCTCGTACCATTGTAAGCTTGTGGATTCCATAGTAAGCTGCCCGTTTTGCCTGGCTTTTTGCTTCCAACTGTGCATTGCATCGACCCGTAATGAGAATCACCAAAATGCCCTTCCAGGGCTAGCACACGCCAGAATGCTGACGTAAGTAAATCGGTCTCTAAAAGACGACTGAAAGTCTATGGAAAACTAAGCAGCCTTGCGCAAGTTGCCCAGTTTGGTGTACAGAGTATAAGAAGGGTGGAGTTTAGTTGCTACACAAGGAAAGCTACTGGGAACGATTACTCTCTAGTAATCATGATCGACCGGGAATGCTTGAAGTTAATGACCAACGTATCAACTTACAAATGTCATTTATCCTGGCATTTCACATGCAATTTGGTTGTCATTCCCGCCTTGGACGACCACAGAGGCATAAGTGCAAGACCGAATCCCCCGGCCAAAACCAAAAGACAATACACAATTGGGACTAGGAAAAAAGAGGTTCAATACATTACGATTCACATCATGCTGTCGTCAGAGCCATTAGAGGGCTGAAAGCGGCATAGAGACATTCACTCGTATAATCTGACGCGCGGTGATCTGGTAGTTGTGTGTCGATAAATGTATTCCTGCGGCACCGTTTGTGACGACCATTCGATGCTTGTCGCTTGTTTCAGTATAGACCAGATAGCTCAGACTTGCTTGCTCCTATGCTTGTAATAAAGTGTTTGAGCAGCTCCAAGACATGTGTCAATACCCTTCATCTCTATCGTCTGTCACAAGCTTCATTAGCAATGCTGCGTTACTAAACATTCACTCAAGACAGACATGCAGTCTTCATGTCGTTCCATTAGACGGACTGCGTGTCCGAGTTCTGTTCTTGATATATGCTATAGGAATTCGCCCAAACGTCAAAATGTAAAGAAATGGGGTGCCGCAAGACGCTCGCCCCCCGTCGTCCAATGACGGAACCTGTCCGCGGACATCAACCCAAGGTATCTTATTTTCCTGTTGCCTTCTCCGTCCTCAACTGTCCTGCTGTGCTGCTCTCTGGGTAAGGGGTTCTACCGAGAGAGAGGATGTGGAATCGAGAGGCTAGCATCGATGCTGTTGTGGTTTCGTCAGACCTCTGCGCCGCGCGACCTCCTCGCATATGCATGGAGAAACGTCTAGCCCCCTCTGTGCTGCGACTGGTTTTGTGGCGGGCAGTAAGAACAGGACATGCCAACCAAAGTCCGCTCATATGAATTGTCCTGGCTTCCATATCACCCTCTATAGAAGAGGTTGCCTCCACGCGTGGTACTGCATCGTAACGAGACTATCGTCGCAATGCAGGGCCACTCCAGAGACCCTTGCTCGTCTCAACTACTCGGTTCTGCTCGCTGCCTGGCCGCAGGCTTTCGGGCACACTGCTCAAAGTCGCTGCCGCATCCGTCATCTCGACGTCGGTCTGGCTGTCCGCTTCAGGCTGGGTGCCATAGCCCGAGTCTTTATGGCCATGATTGCCCAAGCTGATGGCACTATCGTCCTTTCTCGTGTTGGGGGGAGATTTCAAGGCAGCGGCGCCGCGATCGGGCTCACGGGACTTGGCGCCGTCCATCATGTTGTTCTGACCCTCCCGAAGCTTGTTGATAGCACGGACTGTGTCAATAGCAGCGTGCAACGTCCGACGGGCGTTGAAGTTCTTCTTGACAGTCGGCAGCAGGTTCTGTCCCTCGCCCTCGCCGTTAAGGTAACCGGCAACGAAGGGGTGCTGCAGGGCTTCGTGTGCCGTCATACGCTTGTTCGGGTCGATGGTAAGGCAGCGACGAATGAAGTCCTTGGCGTGGTCGGAAACGCCGCGCCAGTAATCAAAGGGAGTGAAGCTGTAGTCGGCATTGAGAATGGCCTGCATCTCCTCGAAATCGCTATCGCGGTCGAAGGGGGTGTAGCCGCAGAGAAGGAAGTAGGTGATGACACCAAGGGCCCAGACGTCGACAGGCTTGCCGTGACCAATCTTCTTGAAAATCTCAGGGGCCATGTAGCCAGGGGTACCGCATGTTGTTGTCAGCACGTGAAATTGCTCCTCATCCATAATACGACTCAGTCCAAAGTCGGCGATCAGAAGGTCTGCGTTATCTTCTGGCGTGCGGAATAGGAGGTTTTCAGGCTTCAGGTCGCGGTGCACGATGCCGTGGTCGTGGAGGTAAGCAACGGCAGAGAGGGTAGCTCGAATGAGGTCTGCGGCGTCGGATTCGTAGTAGGAGCCTTTTCGGCAAATGCGGTCGAACAGCTCACCGCCGAGAGCCAGATCAGTGACAAGGTAGAGGTTGTTCATCGTCTCGAAATAATCGACGAGGGTCAGGATATTCTGGTGGCCCATGGAGACCTTCTTCAGGACTGCGATCTCATTCCGGACCTGCAAAAATCATGTCAGCCGGCTACAAGGCCATAAAAATACCGTGAAAAAGCGCACCATGTGTTCTCTGCCGGCCATCAACCGCTTGTTGATGACTTTCGCGGCATAATAACGACCTGTGTCTATGTGGACGCACTCCTTGACGACGGAGTAAGAGCCGGCACCCAGTGTCTTGCCGACCTTGTACCTGCAGGGCTGCACCTGAGGCTTGTCGGCTCCATTGGAGGCCATTGTTGCAGCGCGGGTCGAGAGAGTGAGGAGCTTATCGGAATCGCAAGGAAGCCGCCAGGAGCCCTGCGGTTAAGGGCGAGGTAGGTTGTGGTGATTGGTAAGATCGGTCGAAGTTCGCGATATCAAAGGGTTGGCGGGGTAGACAGTGGCCGAAGGTCGGCGCTGGAGTCACCTGAGAAAGAGCGAAGGTAGATCGATTCTTTGTTCACAAGCTGTGAACGTGACAGAAGAGGCAGAAAGAAGGTCGCTTCACTGTCGAAATCGGTCAGGGTATTACCAGTGTGTCGAAGTTTGCGTGAAGCAAATAGCTGCTGACGGAGGGGGGCACGGCAGGAGTTTGCTTTGCTCTTTGCTGGAGTGCCGTGCTGTGCCGTGCTGTGCTGTGCTTAGGCTGTTGGGCTGATGATCGACAGCCCCTGGTCCTGTCGACTTTGTCCTTCAGAGGGTCTCGCGGGGGGCTAATTTGAGGCAGGGGATAAAATTAACCACCAGAGATAGATGAAGGGGTTGATGCGCTGTCACTATGACGGTATGTCGCAGATCAATCGGTTGAAGGCTTCCAGCACGTAATGCGCAGCGAATGCAATGTCGGCATCTGTGTTCTAGATTGGAATGATGGTGAGAGAACGTGGGAAACACGATAAAATAAGGAGGATAGTCAACCAGACAAACAAGTGGGTTTTCGGGCAGCACTAAAAAATCCCGTGGACTTAGCCTGCAAAGATAGTGGCGCGCCAGCTGGTGGTGCTCCTGCTCCATATAGAAACACAAAGGACTCGAGGTCCCGCAGTGAGCCCCCAAGAGTGAGACAAGTCACTGAAAACGCCCCCCAGCTAACTGCAATTTTGACCACACATTGCCTCTTGGGCTTTCCCCGCCAAACTGCCCCTTTCATTCGTGGTCTTGCGATAATTTATCACAAAAAGTGACCCATTCATATGGTGGAGGTTGCATGCTGACAGCCGTCTGAGAGTCCGCCCCGACCCTACCAGGCGTCTTACAACCTGGTAGGTCGCAGCGAAAAGGTGCATCCGACCTCACTCCCGGCACGGGCACGGTGACCCCCCACCATTCCTGTGACTAGTGACTTTCTCCATTCCCCTCTCGTAATAAGGACGGATTTGAAGCAACCAGGGCCCTTTGCAATGCTCCAGTCAGCTTTCAGCCGCAGCTCAAGAATATCTGTTATAAGCAACACCTCGCGGCTGCTTGGCTCCCTCTTCCTTTCGACATACAGAAACGACGTTGAAGGATTCTTCTCGGCATCTCAAGCTACAAAAAAGGACCATGGCTGTTGTGGCTGGTGTGCTTCCTACATTTTCCTCGTACACATATCTTACAGCATGATCCAGCCCCGACCACATACTATGCAATGCAAGTGAGCCGGCCCATGGGCCCTGCAGCCTGCTCCCTAATCATCCTCATCCCAGCGGATTGATTGATCTCCAACAAGTCTCACAGCAAGGACTATTATCCAGCTCTTAAATTCAGGGCAAGCCTCCTTACAGCTGCAGCTGCCCCAAACCTGAGTCAAACACTCAGGGTCCAGACTTGACCCCTCTCGTTTGTCGTCCAGCCGCGCCTGAGCTTAGCTACGCCTTGCCCCACTCCATCCCCTCAACATCGATGAGAAGTCCGCTTGTGTCGATCAACTATCGTAAACCAGCGGACACAAAGCTCTTAAGCATGTGCTGTAGCTCTTTTCCCAGCGTGACCGCTATTCCGCGTGGAATTTAATTGCTCGTGACATAAGTTCACCTCCGGCGCATTAGTCGAAGGACACCCGCCGGTTTTGCTTCTTGGAGCTCTGCTGCTTCTTTGACTTTAACCGCCCCTCGTTGAACGATTTAGCGCTGTTCCACCATCAGCCTCTGTTTATGCGAGTCAGGAATTGCCACCTTACATCTCTGCATGTTTCTTCTTCTTGTCGTCGCTCGTTTCCCCTGGGACCATCTCACGGTATATCCTTTGAACCTCGTCAATAAGTTTTTGCTGGTTTTCATCTGTGTTGGCGGTTTTTTGCCGATGCTCCTGGGCCTGAAATGTCAGAGAATCTGACCTGGCCGTATAGTACTTTGACTGTCGAATGCCCCGATGCAGAATTTTTGGCAGCACCGCGAGGAGGTCCTTGACTGGCCAAGTAGTAACTGCTTTGGTTTCCGTTCTAGGCAAATATTAGCATGGGTACTCCACAACAAATTCATGATCAAAGAGCCCTCGAACGATGGCAAGAAAACCTACTTGTTGACGTGTTGCCCACCAGGGCCGCTTGAACGCGCGAAGCTTGTCTGACCTTTTGGAAGCTGGCCGCCGTCAAATGTTTTGTGCCATGCTCTGGCCTGCTTCAGCTCCTCGGGGTCGAAGGAAGCCTCAAAAGCCTGATATCTCGCCCAGCGAATTGGTTGTACCGGCCGAAAAAAAGATATAGTATGAGATGGGCGGACGGATTGGTTGAGACTGATTGGTAGCTTCATATCGACGTTAATGGTAAAAGTGGTAGTTGTTTGGTTACTTTGAGATGACGGTTTTGACAGGGAGTATTAGATGTACACCGAAGAATAAACAGTAAAATCCGAATAAATCCCCTAAAACCGATAGATATATAATTATACACAGAAATTAATGGGTTCAAGAAGGCGCCTCGTCTTTTGATTGAAGACGTTCATTGACAAACAGCTTGGTGGAGTACCTTAACCCTGGATGAATGATGAGCAGGAGTTTCTACCGTGCTACTTGTTCTCATGAATGTGTGTCACGCACTGTACCCACTTTAGGCAAAGCTGTATCCACTTTCCATTGTAGGTTAGCTTGGCTGGTGGCTACGACCGTTTTCCCGAGGATACATTGGTCCAAATCTGCAGCAATGGATCGATCGTCCAGCTCAGGCCCAACCAGCCTTGTAGGCCTTGCAGGCCTCCTTGCAGACACACACACAGAGAGAGAGAAAGCTTGGGCTGGGCTGCCACTTTCCAGCCCACCTACCGATTTTCTACAGGATTTTCTCCCAAGCTGCCTCACACCTTATTTCTCTATTCTGCCTGTCCTTTTTTAAAACACCGCACAACCTCTCCACGCGACACCGCGGTACACACCTCACATACACCTCAGCGCGCCCATGGCTCCCAGACCCTAGACTCCTCCTTCTACAACCTCCAGCTTGTCCGATTCTTTCCATATCTTCGGCACAAGACCATAGTCATACAAAGTTTCGGGTTCTTGGTAAATTTGCTCTTCCTGAAGCTCCCGAAAGCTCGCGTCTGCCCCCATCGGAGATTCCCCCGTGTTTGCAATCTCTCTCTTTTTTTTTTTCCCGCGCCTGCTGCTCTCCCCCCCGCCTTCATTCCCCTCTCTGGACCCCAAACCAATCAACCCGTGCTTGCCTTGCCTTGCGCACATGACGACACAGCTGCGGCTCGACTGAGAAGAGAAAAGAAGAAAACTTCAGAAAAACGAGGCGTCTGGTCGCCTTATCGAATTGACATAAAGCCCATCATCTCTAACCCAATTTGTTGTGTCGTCGAGCTCCCAAAAAAAGCTTTGCCAAATTTGCGCCAGCCAGCCTCGTCCTTCGGCCCAGCAAGCATCTGGCTGCCGAGCCGCGCCACCCATCACCACTCAATCGTGCGACCATCAACAGCTTGATGCCCGAGCCAGAAGCAACTCCCGAGTTCCAGGCTACTGCCGACCTCTCGCCTCTCTCTCCATCCCCTCTGCACTCCGCCGCCCCCGCCGTTGTGCCTGCCCTCCAGGATACTGCTGATATCCTTGATGCAATGTCCGCCCAAACTAATGGAGTCGCCCCAGGCGGCGTAGGCGCACCGGTCCCGGTCGAGTACAATCCTAGCGTTGAGTATCAAAATGGTACTGGCGGCGATGCCGACGCTCAGGACGATGCCGACAGTCTCAACGACGCCTACGGCGAAGAAGAAGAGACAGGCGCGGACAAGGTTCAGGAACAGCAGGTGGAGCCGGATGACGGCGAGGATGAATACCTCAAGTCCTTCGACTCTCCCGCCGGAGGCGCGGATGAGGATGGCGCTGATCAGGATGATGTATCAAAGGCACGAGAATCCATGCACAATTCCGCCGCGTCTGATACTTTGACAAGCCCTGTTACTGATCCCTCGTCGGCTTCCAACGAGCCCGCTGCGACAGCTGCCGCCCACCAAGGAGCTGAATCGAGCGCTGCCATCGCCTCGTCCAACAGACGAGATGTCCAATTCGAGGATGACCCCGCCAGTGACATATCTCGACTTGTCGCTGAGATGACCGGCCAGGCCAGCGAGGCCGATAACAACGCAAACCCAGTTGGTGCCGGCTCTGCCTCTGCTTCTGCTCAGAGCTACGATGCCCAGTCGTCGTCCAACATGCCCTCGTCGACGCCCGCCACTGCCACCCTTCCTCCTAGACCTCCCTTGCCATCCCAGGCATCTCCCACTTATCCCATTCAGAATCTCCATGCGGTCGCTCCCCCGACCCCCGGCCAGCCATCGACGTACGTAGCGGCAGGTGCGCCTGGTACAACGCCCGATGCATACGGCGGTGCCTTGCCACCGCCTCCCCCAACAGGCTTGAATGCGAGCGTTCCCATCACTTCCATGACCGCGCCTCCGTATCCCCAAACGAATGATACTACTAACAGACAGGGTGCCTGGGACCAGTTCATCGCAGACGAGCGCCGTTACATGGCCGAAGCCAAGTGGGATAAGTTCCCTGATGGCTCACGCATTTTCATTGGTTCGCGCTCTCTCTCATCAGGCAGACCCGACGGCGCCATTGACTTTTTTTCAGGCAACCTGTCCAGCGAACGTGTTTCTAAGCGCGATGTATTTGACATCTTTTCCAAGTACGGCCGTCTCGCGCAGATCTCCCTCAAGTCCGCCTACGGATTCGTCCAGTACCATAATTTGGAAGATGCACATGCTGCCATGGACAATCTGCAAGGCATCGAGATAAAGGGACGCAAGATTCGTAAGTATTGCAATCATGGTAGTCAGACTACTATAACTGAGATGAAAGCTGACCGTCTCTAGATCTCGAGTTTTCTCGGGCGCAGAAAAAGAAGGATAACAATGAGCGGAACCGGTCGCCAGACCGTTCTCGTGGTGGACGACAGTCCGGCCGCCAAGATCGGCAGGATGGCGGTAACCAGAACCAGGACCGACGCAGCCGGGACGATTACCGACCGGGACGGAATTCTCCTTCCAGGCGAAACAACGGCAGCTACGGCAGGGACGACAACAATAACAACAGCAGCAGGGACCGTTACCAATACGATGATCGGTCACGCGGTCGTTCCAGGTCGCCGCAAGGACACGGCCGTCATGATGGTTACCGTTGGCGCGAGCCAAGCCCCCCCAAGGCCTACGGCCACGGTGCGGCGAATGAGGATCGTCTTGACCTTCCTCGCCGCTACGGTAGTGAGGTTCCGGATGTACAATTCCTGCTGCTTCAGGATGTCGGCAATGATTTCGTTGCCTGGGTTCAGCGGGCTTTCACCGACAGAGGTCTCAAGGTGGCCGTTATGTTCTTCAATCCCACATTCCCTCGTGAGGCTGTCATTCAAAGACAGGTGGTCGAGGGAGTGCACGCCATCGTCGACCTTGACATGCAATCTCACCATTACGGCAAGATCCCTTTGAGAGTGTTTGACCGCTCCTCGGGCGTCAGCGCCAGGTACGATGATTACCGCGATCTAGACCCCCCAATCGCGGCAGAACTCGTCCTCCGAGCGAAGGCGACAGCAGCCGCTGCTGCACCGCCTCCTTATCAAGGTGCACCGCCTCAGCAGCCCTACCAAGGCTATGGCGGTCAGCCATATGGAGGCCCTCAACCACCCCAGGCCCACACGCCAAACTATCCCGGTCAGGGCCCGCGTGGCCCACCTCAGGCACCGCATCCCCAGGCGCCAGCGCCAGCAGTTAACGCGGCTGACCTCGCCAGTGTTATGAATGGTATTGATAACGCAACGCTTCAGCGACTTCTAGCTAGCATTGGGGGACAAGGGGCCGCTAACAGCGCTGCCGGACCTCCCAATGCTCAACTCCAGGCGTTACTTGGCAGCATTCAAACGGCGCCCCCAGTGGCACCGACCCAGCCAGCCTCGTACGGTGTCTTCCCTCCGAACGGTGCACCTGCTGGCCCACCCAGCGGTAACCCACCTTCAGGGCCCGGCGGCGGTGATCAGGCGGCCCAGGTCCAAAACATCATGGCACAACTGGCTAGATACCGGCAGTGATGGCATCTCCAGGAGCCGTTTACGAAGAAATGACGTGGGGAAGGGGCTCGTGTATTTTACCTGGCGTTGGGACTATTACCAAAGATTAGTGGGCGGAATCGCTATAGAATTCAGATATTGACCGGCTAGAATAGCCTCAACTGCCCGTTACTTGTAGCTATTGGGCTTCTTATTTTAACATTTTCCGTTTTACCTTAACTGCCCTTCTTGCTGTCCGTTTTGTCTGTCGATTGTATTAGTCTTTTAATCTCTTGTCTCGTTAATTGGTGTGATCGCTCAAGTAATCTACCAAGATTCACGAGGCCCCCCTTGGATATGCGCTTCACCAAGATAGTCATCAGTCGAGTTAATTCAAGGACCGCTACAGGTCTACAGCAGATGTACTATATAGGTCTAGACCATACCCTGTCTATACCACGCCATGAGGAAGCCATTTCCGGTGCGAAGTTCCCATATTTCAGGTTGGCTCACGGCGAGCAAAGTAGGGAGGAACTGCATCGCACAGCTTTCCAACACGTCTTTCTTACGGCTCCTCGGCCTGCCGTTAGAAAAGGCTCCTTTTCGCGGCATTAAAGCCCGCTGATTAGACGTACACAAAGTACTTCACTCACATCCTTAAACCTCCGAACCTGACGTCGCTAACGGAGCTTAGAGCTTCTCGGCAGGCTTGTCAAGGAACGCCGTGCACTCGATCTCGACATCGGTGCCCAGCGGCAGCTGGTAGACAGCCACGCAAGTCCGAGCCTTTATTTTATCAAAAAGATCTCACGTTAGTTCCGCAATAATCCCCAGATATTTCATTGACAGAGTCAGAGAGGGGGGGGGTAGGGTGAGGATGAAAACTCACGGGCTTGGGGTCGAAGGTGAAGAACTCGTCGTACGCCTCGTTCATAGTGGCGAAGTCGTCCATTTTGGTAATGTACACGTTCACCTTGACGACGTTTCGGAGGCTGCTTCCCGAAGCCTCGAGGACGGCGGAGAGGTTCTTGAGAGCTTGGCGCTGTGAGGGTGTCAGTTTGAGTTTGGCTCAGTCGAGATTGGAAGTATGTAATATCTTGAGGTTTGGGGGAATGGGGAAGGGGAAGGGGAAGGGGAAGGGGGGGGAAGGTGGTGAGACGTACGGTGCGGTCCTTGACGGTTCCCTCGGCCTGAACCATGCCGGGCCTATCGGGCAGAACGCCGATGTTGCCGGAGCAGTAGACCATGCCGTTGTACTTGATGGCTTGGGAGAACTGCGGGAGAGGCGGCGGCGCCGCGGTGGTCAGGACCTTCTCGTGGGACATGGTTGCGGTGGTCTTTTTTTGCCTTGTTTTGGCTGAGTGGTTTTCTTGTTCAGGAATTGACTACTCCGGGGAGGATTGGCAAACTGCAACTATGTGGGTGACTCAAGGGGATGGTAAACAAGTTCATGAGTGAGAGGTCAAGTAGGTGTGTGATATATAAGCAGAACGTCTCGGCGCGGGGTCGGAGGGGGAGTGGATCCTTCCCGGCAGCGCGGGGGGGGAGCATAAGCCGGGATACTCGCTTAGAAAGCAGAAGACCCTGAGATTAGCCGTTCAGACTATCGAGCACATATGATCCACCATCATCGTTTGAAGCCACGACTCCGCACGAGAGGAAGTTAGTAGCCAGTGATTGAATTTGGAAACGTAATACTACTTTGATGCAGCAGAATGTCGCTAAGCCGGCTCAAAGCGCGATATCCTCTCTGACGGGATAGTTCGCCGCGGACGGAGAAAGGTGGGGTGGTTTGGCTGGCCGAAGCCGGCCTCCGCTCCGACTTCTAAGCCACAATATCGCAACGTCTTCTCCGTTTTTATAACCCAAACCACATTCAGAAGAGTCTGGCAAAACAAACGCTTTTGAGCCATGATGTAGTATATGTAATTGACCTAGCGGCAGCATCTTCGGTCCAGTTTGCAGCTCATCCCACATATCTTATTTACGTCTGTATCATGGACAAAAATGCTCACTTAACGGGTTGCCAATTCATATTCACATCGCGCGCTGATGGTTCGTAAAGTGTCATTGATAGACTGGAAATCTAAAATATATTTTTCCGCGTGAGAGCCGTCTACAGAGCCGTCTACAGAGCAGTCGCGCTCGTCGCGTGCGGGCACTGTGTTCAGTGCTTGTGCAAGCGCTGCCAGAATTTTGAGGGATTAGGATTGGTGGGCATTACGACGCCTTTCTTAAAGAGACCGGCGAGTGTATTGGCGGATTTCCTGTCCAAGAAATCGGGGTTCGCCCCGGTTTCGAGTAAGAATGAGACCAAGGTCTTGTAACCCGCCCTGACTGCTTTCAACAGCATCGTACGGCCTGCTGGGTCGCGTATATCAACATCAACTCCGTTGAGAATCGCCTCCCTGACAGGGCCCTCGACATTTGGCCAGGCTGAGTCAAAGAAGACTTTATCGCGGGCATACCGACTAAGCCCTATGCGCAAGAAATCCCGAGCGAAGGAGTCGCGGTCCTTGATGTTTGCGCCTTTCTCCAATAGAAGTTTTGTCAAAGTGTTAGGAAACTGGGTTGGGTCTAGTGTTGCTGAAAAAGGTCTTTGCCCGTTATTGTCAGCGATGGTGACGTCGGCGCCCTTCTGGATTAAGAGTTCTGCGAACTTAAAGTCTGCCCTAGCACAGGCCTCGAAAAGAATTGTTCGCCCAAGGGTGTTTCTTTTGTCAAGTTCGGCACCATGATCAAGCAGTAAAATTATTAGTTCATAGCCCCTTCCTCCCCCGGTCGTCGAGATTGGGGGGCGCAAACGAATATTGTGCCGTAATTCAGCGCTGGTCGTACCTTTTACCTTCGAGCTGCTATATGCCAATATTAACGGGGTTTCACCTGCGCCATTGCTACAGTTGACGTCTGCGCCCGCCTGAATCAATGTCTTTGTCATCCTGCGGCTCCCACATAATGTACTAATATGGATTGGCATCTGGCCGCTCTTGTCTTTGCGGTGCACATCGGCGCCTTTTTCTATAAGTAGTTTGGTGAGAGATTCGCTTCTTGAGGCAACAGCTCGATGCAGTGGTGTCTGCCCATTTCGAGTTGAGGCGTGGATATCGGCACCTGCTAGCAACAGAGTTCTTGCTATATGTTCATGGCCATTCTGGACAGCACAAATCAGTGGAGTATCGCCCTTTTTGTCGTATATATCGATTTCGGCTACTAAGCGAGAGTAACCCTGATCCATGGCGCCGAATTCTTCATCTTCTGAGGAGTCTGAGTTTTCAAGACAGTCGTCAAGTATCTGAACTGCGCTAGCAAGAAATTCGACAAAATCTTCTTGCTTATACATGACAGCCCACCAAAGGGGTGTCCGGCCATGTTTGTCTCGCGCATTGACATTTGCACCTTTGTCGATGAGCAGCTTCGCGATGCTGATATGGCCATGTTCTGCGGCTATTGAAAGTAGAGTACGGCCACTTTCATCAGGCAATTCGACCCTGCAAGATTCCTCCATGTCTGACGACCCTGAGCTGAAGTCAGAAATGGCGCCTTGTTGATTCTTTTGTCTCCCAATGTGATTCAAAAGTGCTTGAAGCACAGCCTCGTTGCCACCTCGAACGGCAGCTTGGAAAATACACCTGTTTCTCTCCCTTGAAACATCGAATCGGCGATTCTCACGAAGGATTGTCTGGACAAGCGATACCAGGCCCTGTTCTGCAAAAATGTACAAACGACTGGCATTCAATGTGTAACCATACGATTTGTGTGCTCCAAAAATGTTATAGAGCTTGATCCATTGCTTGGTTGAGAAGCTTCGAATAAAGTCGTTCTGTGGAACCCAACTCGATGCGATATTTGCATGATGTAAGACATGAGTTGTTGCGTACTCTAAGAACGGAAACTTCTGAGCTATCACCGACTGTAAGTATTTGGCGAATTTGTGAGACGTTTCCAAGGCGAATTTATCTCTGTTACCAATCGTCGATGGTATCTCGCAGCTTTTGATGTATGGGTAAAAGTCGAGGTTTATGTATGTGTAACAGCACTGCTTGAGTGTTTCATGGCTATGGCGATCGCGATCTGCTCCAAGCTCTGGCCAAAGTGATTCAAGACCATAGTCCTTGAGCAGGAAGTCTCGCACCGACTCATGAATGAACTGAACCGTGGCGTTGACTGACTTTGTGGATTCGGCAAGCCCTTTAGACGAACTGACAACAAAGCGATCCATATCGCTCAGGGTTATTTCTTCATGATCCCATTCCTCAAGGCAGTCGGATTTCAGGCCCGCGGCCATGGCGAAGAAGTATTCTTCCGGTTTCAACGGTCGTTTACTAAAGAGAATCCACTGAATGGAGAGTAGGAGTTCATCCATATTTTCCTTATCCCTTGTCAATATATCTCTGAATAAGTCGCTCAACTTGGTGGGTAACTCATTCAGTTTGCTTTCAAGGAAGAGCATACGACCCCGGTCGATTTCCTTGTTGAGAATGTCGACGACGAGTACCACCCACATGAAAACCCCTGATGCCTTCCGGAGAATCTGCGCAGTAAGATCTTCAGTTCGTTCTTCGTCCCTTGTATTCAATCGGCTGCGCACGTATTCCTCTAGGTCTCTTTCGTGTTCATGCTGGTCTTCTAGGACCAGCCGGATGCCCCTGTCCAGCGTGATATGCGGGTAGTGTCGGCTCGAAAAACAAATATGAAATTTGGTCCCTGACGAAACGGCACCTCTTCCGATGTCTTCGAAGAAGCGCACCATCTCTCTGACTTCATCTTCCTCACACTCGTCGAGAGCGTCAATGAAGCAGGTAACTTGCCGGTGACCGAGCAATTCAACTGATTTGCTGAAAGCCCTTTTCAGTATATCCAGGGTCCAAATATAGTTATTGTCGCGAGCGGTTGATTTGGCAACTAAGTCCTCAATCGCATCCGTCATGTCCGGTAGTTTCCATACAAGTTGGTAGAGAAGTGACCGATACATTCCAATAGTCGTTTTCTCAAACTCATCGCCTCTTGCGTTGAAAAAGAAGGAAATTACTGCTGCGTTCACATTTGTCTTTCCTATTTCCTCCTTTGATCGCTCAGAAATATACTTCATGATCGTCGACTTACCCGTCCCAGGCTTGCCGCTGATCCACAAAAAGCCGTGATGGTCAGGCAAGTGTTCGAGGTCTCGCCAACTCAGGTACCCGGAGTGATTGCTCAGCCACTGACAAGTGTCGCCGAATGCTGTTTTTATGGTCGATTGACGACTACCGATCTGGTCAAACCTTAGAGACTCCAATAATTCCCGTCGACGGTCCACTACTAGTGTCTTGTCTTTGCATATGTTAGCGAAAGGTATCAAGCAACGGCGTTGACATGGACATACTGTTGCCAGGCAGGGTGGATAGGAGTTCTTTCGCATACGCGGCCGCTGTGGCTGCTGCATACTCCTGCCACTGCTTGGCTTTGTGGGAGTCCGAATAATCGCAGATGCCACGGATGACCAAGCATGGAAACGCGTCCATCAGGCCAGCTGCCTCCATTTCGAAGCATAAGATATTGTGTTCTTGTGCAAGACGGTCCCTTGTCTGGGCGTCCCTCATCACTTGATTGCCGGAAGCGATGACTCCGTAATGTATCTTTGGGTTACTGTCCGGCCGAGGGGTGCGCTTGACTATCTTCGAGTTGTCACACCGATCGCAGCTGGCCGCTGTATGTTCATAACTCGGCTCAAATAGTCGATCATGGTCGGCCCCTTGATAAATGTAGTTGGTCATTGCTGGATAGCGCTCAAGCATCTCGGCAAGAATCTTGGGGATCTCACTGGAGTCCCGCTGGTGTCGTGCCTGTAGCGAGGAAACCGCTGCCAGCAGTGGTCGTGGTGGTTTGTTCAAGGTACCTGTTGGTGTAATTTTCCCGTCATGTCCGGTCTTGCCAAAATCGTATTGGACCACTCGATCGCTGACAACAATGTCACCCAGTCGTATGTCGGATGTCCTCGGAACACCGCCGCCAATGCCGACCATTAGACCAATCTTGATAGAGGGAAAGCTGCGTAACATGTCCTTTGCCACAACTGCTGCACTATTTGTGCCATATTGCCCATGTGGTAGACACACAATGACAACGTTATGGCCACAAATGGCGCCGAGCACATATGTATTTTCATCACTTGGATCCCTCTCAGTTTCCCCATGAAAGCTGTCCAGAATGGCTGTGGCAGCGGTCATTTCCACTGGAATTGCACATATCCAGCCAACAGTATAATCATTGCGCTGCAGTTTAGTCTGGGTATTATGTCGTCCTGAGAAGGGCGGTCCAGAAGTTCTGGATCTTTTGATGCCTGTCATACAACCTGGGCCATCATTTTCGTCGAATTGATCTCGAGGCCTCTTGGACAGAGGCGTCTTCCTCTGACCTTGCCCTCGAGACTGGTCACTCATTGGGGCGTGAATGTTACTGAATATGCCGATTGACTAGTTATATTGAGTAAAACGCTGGATAAAGCTAGTGGCAAAGGCCTTTCATGACACTGTTCTGCTGGCTACACGTGAAAGAAGCCGTAGCTCGAGAATGGAATGACATGGGCGGTGGCGCAATGCTGCGAGTGCTATTGGAGCCAAACTAGGCGAATGAGTGTTTCCTCAGTCAAGAAAAAGTTGGCAAGATGACTGAAAACGTGAGCAACAAGAAAGTAGCACATTAGGCATAAGTTTGGTCTTGTTGTAACGATGCTGAGAAACATTGCCCCGACACAGCCTCACATGCACCCCCGCCCCTATGTTGTCTCTCACACTGTCAGCAGGCACGCCTCTGTGCCGCAGCAGCCGTTCGAGGGGCATTTTAGCGTAGACAAGGGTAGAAATCACGGGATCCTCCGTGATGGCATGGATGCATAAGATTCTACCAATCAAATCTAGCTAAGACTCAAGATCTCCCATATGTAGCACCTATACTGCGGAGCGCTCTCGTTCGCCACTAAATGGTGAAAGCTGCAAGGCCATTGTACTCACCCGTGATCTTGCCTCATAGTGTTCTTGAAATCGCATATCGCCAAATTTTTTGGGAGGGAATATCCTCTGCCAGTAGAACCACAGCAGAGCCGTAATGACAGTGATAGGAATGGCTACAACCCAATATACCCAAAACTTCTCAGAAACAACCCACTCGGATTCAGACTTGAACTCAAAGAACGTAGTGCTAAAGATCGCAGATACAAAAGTAGCTGGTAGAAAGAGCAAGGTAAGGAAGGCGACTGTTTTCATCGCTGAGCTGTCTTTTTGAGCGGCGCGGCCAATGGCGACCGATATGCCTGAGTCGAACTGAGCAACCATGTTGAATGCGAGTGCAATTTCGTTGAGAAGCCGCGCTTTGTTTGAGGCTGACCGCTCCTGGAGGCTACCAATCATCCCTTCGAAGAACAACAGGCGGCCGTTGGTGTGCTTCCAAGCCCTCGTCCAGGCAGCATCAGGGAGTTCCTCGCACAAGTCCAAGTCCGCCTTCAGTGCCTCATGCTGCGCCATGATTTGCCTCGCTGCCTTGACAGCTAAATCTAGCGTCTCACAAACGTGAATCGCATGCCGTGCTGTTTCGTGCAAATGGCGGTAATTAGGCGTCGGTTTTGGTTTTGACGGGCCGTCCCTCTCTTTTTCAATCTCCCTCACTGTGTCGCGTACTGACCATACGGCAGCATCTTGGAGTGTAACCAACTTTTCCAGCACAGGGATATATACCGAGTAGGGACTAATGTAACCATTTTCATCAGGGACACCAGACAATGCGTCCGGCTCACCGGCCGGCACTCGCCCAACACAGCTTGGCGCCGGCGGTTTGAAGTCGAAGATGATCAAAATCGTTTGGCGTGTTGATTTGATCCATCGTGTGAAGATGTTGAGTTTGAACCACTCGTAACCAGGATCATGATGTCTGTTGGTCAATTTGGCTTGAAGTCGCGCCCATGTATCTGATCTTTGTTAGCTCCCGTAGTCTGACTCCCCAAATGCGACTTACTCAGTCCTGTAGTATTGCCCTCGTCGTCCATGATCATTTCCTGGCCGAAGAAACCATTGGCACCTTTGCAATACCCCTTCCACCAAAGATCAGGAATCCCGAAAGTTGCAGTGAACTGCGCGCGACATCTTGAACAGTCGCGTATTTTTGTTGCTTCAGCGTTTCTGTAAATGCCTTATGTGAGTGACAGACCACACTTCGCAAAAGGCACCAGAACCTACATGATGCACATATCATAATCGGCCGAAGGCAACACGGATCCCTCACCATGTGGTGCTGCCCGTTCAGAACGCACCCATCCTTTTCCGGTTCCTAATTCTATCAGCAATTGGGCTCTCGTGGCAATGATTCTTGCATACCCTTCTTCCAACATTTGAACGTCGGTTTAGGACACCTAGTGCAAGACTTGTCATCCATGATAAAAAGTCCCTGCGGTGGTTGAAAAGCCCGAGGAAGTTGAGAGAAACTGAAGTAGAAAAACGTGGAACAACGGGTAATGTACACATGCAGATATATATATCTCATCTAGAAGATCAGGCTCCGAGGAGAGCCGCACAGCTCTGCCCCTGCACAACTGGGTCGCTGGCATTTGACCGGGGCAATACACACCAATCATGTGGTGGCCAGAACGATGCGCAGCAAGGCGTATTCCGCGCCGTTTTTCGCCCTGCTGCAACCAGCGATATCGTCAAACAGGTCGCAAGGTCCGCATTTTTGACGTTTGCACCGTGAGCCCGTGGCTGAGATGTCCATCACAGATTTTGATAGATCGGGGTCTAGACCGAATGTTTCCTGCTAGGAAACAATTGGAGAAACTGCGGCAAACAGCGATTTCAAACCCCCAAGAACATACGGGCTAAATATACCCAATCATGCTTCATGGTGGCAAGCGGGTTAACGGGAGTATGCAGTATCAAAGACAACGTTGTCTCCCAAAAAGAAAGGAAGCGGAAGAATGACGCATGGTCGGTGCCCGGAGCAGCGTCCCCAGGGGAGCCAGGGGAGGGTGTGGTCAAGGCGACCATTGGGGGGGGGGGATAACCTGACCAATTACCCACTTATTTTGTGATTTGTGGGGCTACCCTGAGATCAGCTGACCATGGTCAGCTAGTTAGCTATGGTCAGGTTGAAATTCCTTAGCGCGGTTTGAAACCTCACCCTTGACATACTTTTTGTAAGAACATACGACATTTAAACGCTTCCAAATCCGTTCCGAATCGATTTACAATGGCTCTTCAATCGATTGAAAATCTCTTCCCTCGCCTAGAGGGAATAAGTCCTCTATTAGAACCTACTAGTCTTGATGCAGAAGCTGAAGAAGACTTAAATCTTTACTATCAACTACCAGCCCAGGCCCAGTCTGGCTTACCAGTAAATGAGGAGGTAGGGATATATAAGAACGACTTTGGAATTAGTTCTAAATCGATTCAGGATCAACTCGAAACCGATTCAGAAATACCTCCAACACTTGTTTCATCAGAGGCAACCCGTTCTGGGCATAATAGCCTCAGGGATGTTCATGTACTTGCTCAAAAAGTAATCTTTCTACCTACATTTATAGAATATCCAGAAACAAGTAAGAATGGAGTCCTTTATGTTATTAATATAAAGACTTTAAATAAGGAGGATATTAAATCGCCTTGGAGAATGGTAAACGAACTACTTTTGAATCGATCCGGGATCGATCCCGAACTACTTCAGAACTAATTACATCACAGATTCAGTACAACCATGCCCGGCAATTCCCACCAAAACGGACGACTTCAGCATTCCTTCAAAATGCTATTTGTTTACGTTCAACTTACACTTGTACAGGTGGAAAGGCATGCTCTTATTTCGATCAGAATCTTCCATGCTGGAAGCATCAGAAAGTTACCCCAGAAATCTTGCAAAGTATTGAAGCATTACGAACAGAGGTACTACAGTATGATCTCAAACGGAAAGCAGTTTCGTAAGCATTCAGAATCGATTCCGAACGGGTTCGGAACCCTTTTAGAAATAATATACTAATACTTATAAATAGATGGGCACAAGCACAGATAAAACGTTTCCAACAACATACCGCCTGCCGACCGTTTACAGAAAGATGTAGTCTTGAAGTAGTTAATACAGAGTATGGGGTAAGAAGCCTTTCTGAATGGATTGGGAATCAATTTGGAACTGATTCGGAATCACTTTAGTATATTCCAGGAACTTCCCAGATCACAGCCCGCTGCATCTGCTGGTCACAAAGTCTCCAAGGAGAAAACCATTATATTGGCTTTCCTCCAATCGAATTCCAGCTATATTTACCTCTAATCAAAACTATACTTCAAGGGGGAAGTATAGAAGAAAGCTCCCCTACTGATAGCTGTTATCTTTTTGCTAGCAATAAGAGGAGAATTACACGATGCGGTAAGTAAATTAGTATCGAATCGAATCCAAATGGGTTCCCAACTGATTCTGAATCAATCTAGACGCTAATCATATCGTTCCTGAAACAATTCTTCAAATTACGTGTTCAGTAAAATGGAACTTCTGGGTCCCGCTTGATCTAGAAGCTACCCCAGTTATTCTTCTAACTTCTCATGGGGTCCATTTACATCCACCACCACCACCAGTTAGAGCCCCAGCTGGTATTATATCTGGGCTGCAACAGGTAGTCCAGAAGATCAATCAACCTAGAACGGGGTTAAGTGAGAATCCTTTTAGAATCGTTTCCGAACCGATTCAGAACTAATCCAGTACTGATTCTAGATGCATTCCTACAATCTCGCGAACTTCAGGAATTCTGTGATACTTATAATAGCCAGACTATTACAAGCGTTCATCAAAGTCTAGCAAATACAGACTTCTTACGCTCAATTATCCGTAAACAAGAAGCAATTAGCTTTCCAGCAGGCTGTTCACGTCTAGCGATTTGGTATGAATACCAGTATGCTCAAACTAGGCGTCAAATTCGGGTATGAAGTGATTCTGAATCGGTTCTGAGCGGGTTCAATACTAATTTACTTATAGTATATTCAGTACTTTAATGATGACGGCAATACATACCTATGTATTGTATTTCATGCAGAGCAAGCTGAATTATGGAAGAAAGAGGCTTTTAATACTTTCCAGGTAGATACAAACTATAAACATCTAGCTGGAAAGGAGGAAGTTGAGGTTATTTGGGGATGGTATAATTCGATATCTTCGAAAGGTGCGTAATCGCTTCTAAATCGATTTAGAACGGATTCTTAACAGATTCCTAACTATTTTAGCAATTCCACTTATCCGAGTTTTTACCAATTCTGAAAGTACAGAAATGTATCAGCAGATGTATACAATTGTGTTTAAACTACTTTATAAGAAATTTGGATATAAAGTCAAGTGGAAACACCTTCATGGTAGGGGTCTACTAGGTATTACAGTTGATCAAGACCATAAAAACCTTATTGGTATGGGTTCTTAATAGTTTCTAAACCGATTCAGAACCGATTTATAACTAATTATCTAGGGTTTGGGAAATATCTATCTCTGGAATGTGACCCAGAGCATAGACCATGGGCATGGCAGGTTGAACGCTCTGTACGCTTCTGTTTAATTCATTTCCAACGAGGGATTGAGGCATACTGTACAGAAGACCGTAGCCCTGACTCTCTATGGAATCAAATGCGCAGCCTACTATTCTGCCGTTCCTCAGAAGACTACTTCGCTTTATGTCAGGCATTTGAGAGTAAGGATCAATTCTATATCGCTTCCGAATCGCTTCAGAATCACTTGGGAACTAATTTACTTAGCTGAACCTCAAATAAAAGCATGGGCTCAACATAAAGCCCGAAAAACAATTGCAGCTGGACTTAATCAGAACTGCTCTAAAATCCCCTTATCAGATTGGAGTCAATTCATACCTAATACAAATACTGTTGAGGTTTTACATGAAGCCTCATATACTTGGAGTAATCGGTATTTACCATTACTTACATGTATCCAGAAGTAAGTTTGGAATCCCTTCTGGATTGATTCGGAATTGGTTTGGAATGCGTTGAGAACTAATTCAAAAGTACTTAGATGTGCAGAATACGATCGCCATCTTTTAGAGCAGGATACAGTGTTTACAACACTAGGAATCCGGCTTTCCTGGAAAGATGTTTCTATTATTAGCCGTTATAATACAGCTGCAAGCCGTTTACGTAAGTTAAAAATACTTTAATATTTATTAATAATTATTTCTAAATTATTTTAGAACTTAAACGCCAACGCCAGAGGGAATCCCGTGAGCAACTAGATAATGAACGTGTTGAAAGGCTTTTATCAACCCGACTCTTTACGTCTAGTCCCTCAAGGGGTACTAATTCAAGAAGTCCATCCTCAATTCCGAATCGATCCCGAAGTCTTTCAGAAGCGATTCGGAATCGATCCCCTCGTCTTTCCCATGCTTCATCTTCTGGGGTTATTAGGTCAAATACTCTCCAAAGAACATCTATTTCTAACTTAAGAAACGAAATCAGACAGGGACAACAAGATGACTTTGACTTACAGAAGCAAAGTCTAGAATTAGAAGAAAAGCGATTAGAATTAGAAGCAAGAAAACTTCTAGTTGAAAAACAGAAGCTTGAACTACAAGAAAAGGAACTAGAGTTAGCAGAGCGGCGGAGAAGGTTAGGACTTTGATAGCATATAGGATAGGTAGAGAATCGATTCTAAATCATTTCTATATTGATTTAGAAATGCTTTTTTAAAAAAAAGCTTAAAAACCGAACGCCCCGGGTATCTATAAAGAATTGATTCTAAAGCGGTTCCAAATCGGTCCCGAAAGAAGTCCCAAACTGGTTCCAAACCGATCCTGAATTGATTCAGGCCTCATCTTCTTCATCATCCTCAAAGCGGGCCCAGACCTCACATTCCTGATCGCGAAGGGCGGGAGGACATTCTGAATCGATTCGTAATTAGTTCTGAACTGCTTCAAGACTGATTCTAAACTTACTGGCATTGCGGGCAGTGGTGCAGTGGGTGCACTTGCCCTTGGCAGGGAAGCCGGCGGCGCGACGCATTTCGGCGAAGTTGATCTGTTGCAGAATCGATTCAGAATAGGTTCCAAAAGGATTCCGGATCGATTGAGAATCACTTACCACAGTTTGGTTGCCCCGCTTGCGCGTGGGCACGGCAAGAAGGGGGGGAGGGGTCTGCGCCTTCCGTTTCTTGGAAGGAGTCTGCAGCTCGCTGTCATCGCGAGCGCCGATGGCGATGCCGTGGATGCGGTCGTAGAATTCTATTCATAATCAGTTTAGAACTAGTTCAGAATCGGTACAGAATCAGTTCAGAATCACTTACCAGCTGCATCATCGTTCTCCTCGACGGAGTTCGCGCCGGACTTGCGGCTCTTAACCTTGGCCGGGACCCCGTCGAGCTTGTGCTTCTTGATGTGGTTCTTGAGGTTCGACTCGCTCGAGAACCGCTCCGTCTAATCGATTCGAAATTAGCTCTGAACTAATCCGGAACTGATTCTGAATTACCTTGGTGCACGTGATGCTGCTGGATCTACCACCCCAGCGGCAGTAGAGTTCGCCAGGGGCGAGCTTGACTTCGCCAGCCTGAAACGATTCAGAACTGTTTCTGAATCGTTGTGGAATCGCTTCTGAATCACTTACCTCGTTGAACTCGAAGGGAGGAAGATCCTCCATGCGGTGGTTCTTGCCGCCCTGGAGAAGACCTTCTTTGTAGGTCTTGTAATCGTCCTGATTCTGAATCAGTTCTGAATCGATCCTAAACCGATTCCATTGTACTTACAGAATCCTTGTATGAAGGCATGATGTCGGATTTCTGAACTGATTCGGAAGTAATTAGGAATCGGTGCGCCAGGGGGGGGGGGGGGCGCATACGATTTGAAAGGGTTACGGAGGGAAAAGGAAGCGAATCAGAATAGAATAGGGATTTAAATATTAATATGGGGTATGCACCCTAATCAGTAGTGGGACGCAATCAGTAACTGGTCCGTGCACCTGACCGATTAAAAATTCCATGGTCAGGTGGACCCACTTCACCTCAATACAGCCAATCATAAAATTGGTCAGATAGACCCATAATTCATTTAAATAAGTGGGTAATTGGTCAGGTTATCCCCCCCCCCCAATGGTCGCCTTGACCACACCCTCAGGAATTTCAACCTGACCATAGCTAACTAGCTGACCATGGTCAGCTGATCTCAGGGTAGCCCCACAAATCACAAAATAAGTGGGTAATTGGTCAGGTTATCCCCCCCCCCCAATGGTCGCCTTGACCACACCCTCCAGGGTCCCTCCATCTTGAACTCTAGTGCACAAGGTGGGTGCTCACGGCGGTAATCCTTTGGGGTAACCTCCACTATGAAACGGGGAGTCGATGGCGGATAGCTCAGGGGTCGCTTTACTAGTTTCAATCATCTGGTCCAATCACAGAGTCCCGTTTTCAAGCAAGCAATCACAGCTGGCTAAGGCGAACACTGAAAACACGCCTACAGGAAGCTTGTGCCGCCTGGACCTCAGCAAAAGATGCCAGCTGGAAGAACCCCGCGGCTTTGGATACGTGGAATGTGAACCTTGAACAACTCCAATCCATTGATTGACACTCCGCTTCGGACCGAGCTTGCGGATAATCTCGTGTGTTTTCAAGGTCAATTCTACATGTCGTCCGTCTTGTCTTGCACCTCTGCGACCATTATCTGACCTGTTCTCTCTGCTCGTCTTCCCCATCCGCTGTCCGTAACAAATCCTTCGGAGATTGGTAACCATGGGCTGGCCTTACAAGTTCCTCGACCTCTCCCGTGAGGAGGTTCAGCTTCGACGACAGACTCTGGATCGGTACGGCAGCTACGCGCAGTTTTCGGCCTTAACGCCAATCATTCTTGCCTTACTTTTTCGCCTGTTCTCCTATCTTCAGCGCCGTTGGCAAGCAAGCGCAGCCTACGATGCCGTTCCAGACTCTCCTGATTTGAAGAGGAGAAGGCAAAGCTGGGTTGGTAATTTGGATGCAAACATCAGAAAGGGAAAATGGTGGTTGGGCGATGATGTTTACTTTATGGGACAGCATTGGGGCCAGAAGGATCAATGGGTCTTCGGCGTGGCCTGGTTCGCATGGCTACTTGTGCTGTCTGTCTTGGAAACGGGCGAGGGTGAGTGTGAACCCTCTCATTGCATATGGATTCTCAAACAATTCGGGAGCTCTGCGTGAGGCCAGGATGAGCCCGGATGAGATTGCGATTCCCTCTGACATGTCAATTGAGTATTTGCTAACGCTTGCTAGACTACCTCCACCTTACGAAACGTTTCGGCATCATTGCCGTCTCACAGGTCCCATTCCAGTACATGCTGGCCCTAAAGAGCTTCAGTCCCATCGCCAAGGTCTTCCAAACTTCCCATGAGGAACTCAACAAATGGCATCGGGTACTCTCTCGAGTGACACTGTCCCTTCTAGTTCTCCATGCCATGTTCTATATGAATTTCTTCGTCGAGAAGGGCATCCTTCAACGCCGCCTATTCGCACCCGTCGTCTTTGCTGGCGTCGTCGCCTTTGCAGCCATGAACATGATGACCTCAACAGCTGCTGCTGCCGTTCGAAGGTACTCGTACCGTGTCTTCTTCATCACCCATCTGATCGGCGCATTTGCCATCCCGCCGTTGGTCTTCTTCCATGCCAAGTCTTCCCGGCTGTTCATGGCCAAGGCCATCATTATCTTCCTCATCGACCTAGTCGTACGCCGCCTCCGTACCGTCATGGCGTTTTCCAAACTCGAGACTATCCCTGGCACCAATCTGATCAAGATATCGGCTTCAATCCCACAATTCAAAGTCAATGCGTTCCGTAGCCGTCCAGGCTCTCACATTTATCTCAGCATTCCTGCGGCTGCACGGCCTGGCGGTGGCCCTACGTCATCTGGTTCTTTGCTATATGAGTTTCTGTTCAACCCCTTTACAGTGGCATCAGTCGACGAGGAAACCGGTGACCTTACACTGGTTGCTCGTCAGCTCAATGGCCCGTTGACCAAGCACCTTGGCAGCTTCGCAAATGCAAGCACCAATACCGACGACGGCAAAATCCCACTCTGCATTGAGGGCCCCTACGGTGCTGCATCCATTCATTTCGATAAGCTCATCAGCGCGTCTGTTGACCGTGTCCTTCTGGTGGCCGGCGGCGTAGGAGCCACTTTTACTGTGCCCATCTACCAAGCCATCCTTCAGGATAACCCGAACGCCAAGATCGAGATGGTCTGGTCCGTTCGAGGAGCCGGCGACGCAACTTGGGCCATGGCAGCGGACAGGTCGCCCAAGAGTATCTTTGACGATAGCAATGTACAGATCTTCCTGACCGGCGACACCCTCGACTCAGAAACCACAGGGCCCATGGCCGGCCTACCCGCTGAGACCAACCCGGAGGGTGAGATGGAGATGAATCCCATGTACCGTGACCGCAGGCGGAATCTCTTCACCAACGAGCATAACCGCAAGCGCCCTAATCTGAGAAATGTTGTCGACAACTTCTTCAGGCAGGGCGCCGAGGAGAGAGTGGCTGTGCTGGTTTGCGGGCCATCGGAAATGGGTAGGGAGATGCGGGAGTACGTTGGGGCATGGGTCATGAAGGGTCGGGAGGTAGTGTGGCATAATGAGGCCTTTGGGTGGTGAGCAGCATGTTCATCACTCTCTTCTATGCGGAGTTGGTGAGACTTGAGGATCCGGGGGAGTCTCACATATATACTTCACATACACTTCACAGATGTAAACAGGAAAACCTGGGGATTGTCCTAACATAGATATAAGATTTTGTTCATTTTTTTTTTTTTTTTTCATACAAAAGATGTGCTTTACGCTCTTGGTCTTCTCTACATGACGAAGTTTCATGAAAACCTCATTGTGACTTTATTGGCACGCAGCAAGACAGAAAGACTTGGAACAATTCGTAGGAGAAGTGGCAATTTTCTCTATGGTGAAACACACGCTCTTAGGATGAGAGCCTTCCCGAACGCCAAAATCGTAACTCAGTGCTCATCCATCATATCTCACAGTTTGTCTCCTTCCGTTGCAGGACATGGCTCTAGTCAGCCCGCTTCTTAGAGTCGCCAATATCACCGGTGTCGAGGTCTTTGCCCTTGACCCCGCCAATGTCACCGTCAGCATCGTCCTCGTCCCATTCATCCACCTGGTTTTCGTCCCAGTTGTCTACCTCTTGTTCAAGCGTCCGTCCGTTGCTGCCTCCAACGTCACCGCCGTCTCTCGCACCGCTTGACTCGATGATGCCCGTCTCATGGCCCTCGCCCAGCTCAACGTCTTCATCGTCTTCTCCGGGTACAGGAGCATATGATTTGGAGCGGCGCTTGCGTTCTAGCATACGTTTGTGATACCACGAACACAGCCCCAGGCCTGCCAGGGAACCCACGATATTGGCTATGATATCATAAAAGTCGAACTCGCGGCCATTGGGGAGGAAGCCCTGCAAGAACTCGGAGCCAACTCCAAGAACGAATGTGCAGACAGTTAGTGTCAGGTTGAGGGTGCGGCGACGGTTTGTGTCGAGGATCCAGTAGAAGACGATGGTGAGCAGGAAGAAGGTTATGAAGTGTAGGACTTTATCGTTTACGTATTGGCCCAACTGGAGGGTGGTGAGGCCGGCGTAGCCTGCAACGAGGAGAAGGGCGAAGAAAACGCCTGACGGGGGAAAATGTTAGCTAAGCGCCATCTAGGATTGGGGACATGGGGGAAGCTGTAGCCGGAGTTGGAGCTAGAGCTAGGTTTGGGATCTGCGAGATGAATGGGGACCATCCGGGGCCAGATGAAGCTTTTAACGCACCTGCAAAAGGCAAGCGTATCCGCATTTCGAAGGGTCCTGCGGCTCTTGCAAGATGTGGTTTGATTGGTAGAGCGTGATGTATGTAGCTTGGGATGTGGTTCGTCGTTGATGCGTGCGTTATACGAGTAAGGATAGCAGTAGCTTAGCTGCAAAGTGTCATGTTGGGACGGATGGTCGAAGTGGTGGCTCGGGGCAAAGAACAACGCAATGTAATGTAATGTAATCAACGAAGAGGGTACTCGTAATGGGTCGTCACGGACGAGGGTGGGAGGTGTGAGGTGTACAACTGGCCGGAGCTTTCCAATGACTGGATCGGGAGGGGAGAGCTTTTGCTGGCTGCTGCGGGAACAAGCAGCATGCCAATGGAACTCAGCCCACTACAAAAGAAGATACACTACAGGTTGGTGGCGGGCGGGACCTGCTGGACGCCCCAGGCTGCGAGGGATCAAGACAGGGGTGGCCCCCCAAGGTTTTTTGGGGGTTCGGGTCTAGGTGGTCCGGGCGGGTTATCCCGTGGGCCGCGGAGGACATGGAGAAGCGCGAGTCGCGATATCTGGAAGACGCGTAGGTGGACTGCGATATGTGGTGGTTGATGTTGTGGTGAGAGCGGTCTTTGGAGTGTCGCAAAAGTGGTAGATAACCATCGCCGTAGTCGCCGAAGCATACTGATTATGCACCCACAATCTTACATGAATACTTGCTCGGAACGGCATAAAAGTACCTCCTGTAACATGAACTCTACCTGCTTACTACTGCTAACTTGCCTCCAGGTATGGACTGCGACTGGCTAGTGGGCCATCACGTGACAGTATCATACGCGATCCGATCGCTGGGGATCCAAGGGGGGGAAGCGAGTGCGGTGGCCTGGTCGCCTCGCGCCGTCGTCGGCATTCGAGGTTCCTGTACCTGCAGCTGGCGACCGCGACACCAAACATGACCCCAGTGCACGTCTTTTCTGGGCCCAAAAAATAGATTATGATATCAATAATCATGCAAATAACACTATAAATAATTTTTAAATTGATGCGACCGTGCTGGTGGTGTCTAATGCCGTTTCGCGGGTGGCCGACCCAAGTTCCGTGTACCGCTTCCAGCGGCCGGCTCGCCGTGTTCAGGCAAGGGAAAAGTTCCATCGCATACACTTGGTACGAGCCTCTCCAAATCCTCAACCTCACCTCTCGGAACAACGTCTAAAACCCCCTATTACCATCCATCAATACACAACAACCGCAACTTCTCGCAACGTCCAATTTGGCTGGCCATCTCTATCGATGTCGCTCTTTCTCCTGATGCGCTCGTAACACCCCTTTGCCGCCCGGACTCGGTCCCTGACGAGCGCATTTTGTTGCGCATGGCGACACTTGGCCCGCTTGTCGCTATCATCCATTCGGGCTCAAGATGTCCCTCCCCAACGGCCAACACGCATGGCAACCGCCCTCCCTTCATCACTCAACCTCTAGCCGCCTGTTCCATCAACTTGATGATGGTCCTGCGCGAACTGGAACCCCCGTCGACACTTCCATGTCATTGATGCCTGAGGCACAACCTGATATTGAAGACGAGCGACGGCGCGCCTTGTTCAAGGAACTTTATCACAAGAGCGAGGCGAAGATCTCGTTGCTGTTTGCTGATGATGGCTCCTATAATTACCCAGCCATCGATGCGCTTCGGCGCCCCTCCGCCCCCTCCCCCTCCATTCTACCCCCTACCACCGATCATGCGCCGATCCAGGAGCCTCCATTAAAGAAGGCCAAGCGGGTCATCGACGAGGACGATTATGGCGATGACGACGACGAAGACGAGGAAGACGCTACCTCTTCCGACGCGAATAAGTCCAAGAACGGCATCGCGGCTGCCGGTGCTGGCTCGCTCCTCTCCCCCTCCAAGTCCGGCAGTTCGCCCGTGCACTCCGTCAGCTCCCCCGGTAAGCTGCTCGATAAACTCAAGCAAGCCGATGGATCGCAGGACCAAGCAAAGACGAGCGAAGATGCGCGCAAACAGCTGGAAGAGGCGCGCAATGCGACCGAAGAGGCGGCGAGACGCAGCTTCCATACCATATTCTACACACTAGAGAACGACCGGACTGCCATGTTGGAGCAGCAGCAGTTGGAAGAGTCCGAAAAGCAGCTACAGGCGGAAATGGAAAATAACAATAGTCACAATAACGCTAACGGCGGCCAAGCCGAAAACCACGGCTCTCTCAGCAGCGCCAACCTTGGCGCGTCGAGTCTGACCCTCAAGCACCTGATTGCGAGGATAGATTTGAAACGCGACCAAGTTCGCGCCTCGGATGCGGAATTGCGATCTTTGATGAACGAAGTGCGCAAGAACCGCAGCAAATGGGCCAGCGAGGAGAACGTCAACCAGGAGGAGTTGTACGAGGCCGTCGAGAAAGTCCTGACTGAATTGAAGGCACATACAGAGTACTCGACGCCCTTCTTGCAAAGGGTGAACAAGCGAGATGCACCTGACTACTACACACGTAAGTCGCCTCCAGGCAGACGAATTCGACCATGATTGGCTAACGACTCTTGACATCATCCAGTTATCAAACAGCCCATGGATTTGGGGACCATGACCAAGAAGCTCAAGTCTTTGACCTACAAGTCCAAGGCTGAGTTCGTTACCGACCTTAACCTAATCTGGGATAACTGCCTTCGATATAACCAAGATATGGGCCACCCCCTCCGGCGTATGGCTAACGGTATGAGGAGGGAAGCAGAGAAGCTCATTCCCCTCATCCCAGACCTTGTCATCCGACCAAGGGCGGAGGTTGAGGCTGAGGAGCGGCGTAAACAGAACGGCGGCGAGGAAGATGGTGGTGACGACTCTGATGACGAGCCGATCATGTCCTCCCGTGGCCGCACTGCAGGCACCAAGGGCACCAAATCCAGGAAACAGCCAACAGACCAAAAAGAGGGCACCCCGAGCGTTGACCAAAAGCCACTCCTGCAACTGAATGGCCTGCTTGCTAAGGGCAGGGAGGGTTCTGAGGCTGTCGACGGTAGCAATGGCTTTGGCACACCCATCGCGGGATCTGCTACCCCTGGCGGCATCAATGGACATTCAGGAATCGGGAGCAATGCTGACGCCATGGACATTGATGGACCATCGCTGAACGGTATGGCCTTGGGACAGGCTCTCAATGAAGCAGCAGAGCAGGCTTATGAAGACGACGAGTACAAGATTTGGAAGCAAGTGACCAAGAAAGACCGCGCACTGATCGCAAAGGAGCGTTATCAGCTGTTCAAAGATAACAAACTCAACGTCGACGCCCCAGCTCTTCTCCGCAACAAGGCGGGAATCCGATGGTACTTGAGGAACCAAAAGGAAGCTGAGTCTCTTGGTGTTATCTCTCACTCTGCTGACTCCTCGGCCATCGCCGCAAAGGAAGCAGCGAAGCCTGCCGAGACCCTTGCGGAGGGCATGGAGGGAGAGGAGGAGAAGGTTGTTCCCGCGTATTACGAGCCTCTGACAGTCATTCCCGATATTCAACCCAAGCTTCAGTGGATTGAGGACGGCGAGGGTCACGTTATCAACCAGCATGAGGAGTACCTTCGACTAATCCCCGAGGGTCACTTTGTGGCACCGAAAAGCAAGTTGACCAGCAAGATTGATGCCAACATCCGCCAAATTCAGGAGACGAGGAAACTCTCGAGCAAGATCGGCGTAATCAAGCAGATGCAGATCCAGACTCAGGTTTGTGTTGTACCAGCGCCTAATTGCAGGTAGCCAGCTAACCATATCCAGGTTTACAACAACCAGTTTCCCAAGTCTAATTACGAGTCTTTCGTGGAGCAGGATGCCGAACCCTCTTTCATTGCTGATGATGGCCCTGTTATCGCGCCAGAGACTTGCCATAACGCGTTGCAGCGTTCCGTGGCCAAGATCCTCTACCATACTGGTTTTGAAGAGCTTCAGCCGTCCGCTATTGACACGCTGACCAGCATTGCATCTGACTACTTTGAGAAGCTCATCCGAACTTTCAACGTGTATCGGGAAGCCGAGAAGAAGGAGGCTGTCACTGCCCGTGCCGAAAATGGCGTTCGGTTCCAGTCTCGGTTTACCCCCGAGGAGGTAATCCTGCATACTCTGGATGAGAACGGCTGTGACCTACTGAACCTCGAAACATACGCTAAGGACGAGGTCGACAGGCTCAGCAGCAAGCTGGGCGGTATCCACGAACGCATGAAGTTACATCTTACTGAGCTACTACGTCCCGCCCTCACCCAAGAAGCCGGGCAAGACGGTGTGGGAGCATTTAAGGACGGTAGCGACCAGTTCGTAAGCGGTGATTTCGCAGAGGACCTTGGTGAGGACTTCTTCGGTTTCAAGGCTCTCGGTCTGGACAAGGAGATGGGTCTCGACATGCTTTCGGTCCCTCTTCATTTGCTCCAGTCTCGCGTGCGTAACCAGTACCAGATGCAGACACAGACAGCGGGTACCGAGGTCACTGATCTCTTCGACTCCCTCCCGCCTGTCGATCCCATCACGACCGAGAACATTCATAACCAGATTGGTCTGGTCAAGAACTTCTTCCTCGCTAAGCTTCATGCCAACAGCGATGCAGCCTTGATTGAAGACGAAGATCTACCCGTGAAGCAGAGGAGACCTCGCCCGCGTCTTGGCGCGTCCGGAAAGATTGTCTCTCCACAGAAACGTCCGCCCAAGGAGCAGATCGCACTCGCCAAGAAGAAGAAGAAGATGGAGATGGCGGCTCAGGCCCAAGAAAAGCAAAGCGTCAACGCTTCCCCCGAGAAGGGCGGCAACACGACGCCTGCAAAGAAGGCCAAGAATATCAACATCAACGGCGCGGGCCCCAACCCCCCATCCATATCTCTCCCTCCCAGCATGGAACGCAACGAGAGCGTTCAGAGCCAGGGCAATGCAAGCCAGACCGACAAGGATGAGGGCATGGGTATGATGAGCCCAGAAAGCATTGAAAGGTGACACTGAGATGTCATGACGCCCAAATTCTCCGTATATATCCATCTCCGCACATACGATTCTGGGACCCGACTGGCGACGATACAGTCACACCCCCAACTACAGCACTGCCGCCATCCCAGAAACGTTATCTTACAGCCCCTTGGCTTTTCTACCGATTCCTGCAGTCTTGAGGCAGACTTTCTTATCATCTTGTACTTCCAACTTCCCTCAAGATTGCCTGTTTCTATACAACTTTTTCAATATAAGTTTTCGCCCATTTCAACACATTCCTTGGCGTTGGGGTTGGATTATTATTCGGTCGTCTGGAAAGGGAGACATAGCTCTGCGCGCAGACCAAACTACACATGGCATACTGTTGCTAAGAATATTGGGATACCCAAAAGCCAAAGATTGGCGATTTTCAGGGATTCTAGGCCTTTCCTCCTTACAAAAAGAGAGGCCAATGCGTATTGTACGTCCTTTTTCTACCGGGCGAAAGGTTTCGAGGCCCCACGAATGTGAATTTCGTTTCTTTTCGGACTCGTCCTTCATTTCGTGCCCAGACCAACAGTTCCCGACGTGCCGCGGTGCGGACTATCCATGTCGTGGACTGAAAGAGGGCTTCTTCTGCCTTATTTTCCCTCAGATTATTATAGCGCACAAAGCAATCCCGGCCCCGCTCCTAGTATGAATACAGCGAAAGTAGCAGGGAATGAAGCTTTTTTTATTTTTGTTTGCCTTAAAGACAGACACGGGACTCAGATGGAATTGACTGATGGATTGGAACGGCAACCCTTTATGGCAGCATGGCTTTCTTTCCATTTTGGTTTTTTATCTTGTTTATTTTTCTCAAAATTTGTTTTCGTGGCATGCGTCACGCTATCACCGAGAAAGGCATGCTTTTTCTTTGTTTCTTGGTTGTGATTGATGCGACACGCGTGGGATGTTAAAGTTGATAGACGTGGGTGGAGGAAAGGGCGGCTCTTTGTGTGTGCGCATTAGTATTGTTGTAGCCACGTTGAGATTAGGCAAATCGAGATGAGTATTGAATGAGTTTTGTGTCCTGTGATATATGGTGATATGTGAGGAAGTGTAGTTCGAGGTAGTCTGCCTAGTTTCAGTCTATGATTGGGGCAGGTAAACATGTTCGGTATGGACCAATTGTAGTTTTGTTTGGTTTCGACTTCGTAAACTGCTCATCTCGCATTACTGGTGTTAGTTGAGGGTTATTGGATCTGTATATACAGCCTACGTGTGGTTTCAAGACTGAGGAGATGGGGTGAATCAGAGTCCACGAGTCTTGGCACTAGAGATGGAGAATTGCAATTGGAAAGTCAAGGCGAGACGTAAATGCAGGGGGTCGGGCGTTGGAGAAAGGTTATTTCACCCTTGCTTGTGAGACTTGATGTTGAAGCTCTCATCCTCTTGATTTGTCTCGGTTGTGGGTGTGGTTGTATACCTGTCTCACGACAGGCTAGTTGAGAGAGTTCGAAACTCCAAGAAGACCCCAAAGCCACTTGCGCTCATAATGAATAGTAATTGGCTATGAAGTTATCTTGAGACGACACTTTCGTACCCTAAAAGTGAACTAACTTGCCATTGCGGTTGACCTGACTAACAGCCATAAACTCAGATCTTGCCACATCCAACAGCACATATGTTCAATTATTCAGAGCATGGCAGTCCTGAACAATGAATCTTTTATTATTAATTGTTTCTCCATCTATACCACGTCCTCAAGTTTGGCGGGTCGTGACTCGTTTTTGGTCCATTCAGGATACGAGTTCATCAGAAACCTACCCATCGCCGCTCCTCCGCTTTGTCTGCTGAAGTATCCAATCAGTCTGGCACAGTCCGGCGACGTAAGACCTTCGGTGAACATGAGATACTTGATCGCCATGCCCACGGGGAACGGCGCCGAATGAAGGCCAAAAGTTCCTGCTTCAGGTTGGAAGAAAATGTCTACCACGTCTGCAATTTGGACGCAGTACGGCCGTGGATCCGTACGCTCTGTGAAAACAATGGAATCTATCCCGGTAAACTTGGGTAGTAACAGAGCCATATGAAGTGAGCTGTACACCACGATGCATGCCGCCCAGAAATGAGTCATGATATGGGCCACGGCAAGGTCGTCGGCGGTGGGGTTCTTATAGTTGCGCTCATGGAGGTCGTCGAGGATCTTGCGGGGGGGACTGAGGTTCTGGAGCCACCAGGCGATTTCCCGGTCGAGGCGCTGGTATGTCTGCATGAAGCGCCGGCTTATTTCAGCGCCTGATCCGGGTGCTTGTTGTAGGAGGTCCACCTCCTCGAGGAGAGCCGGCAAGTCAATTAAGATGTCTAGCAAAACGTCCTTGGGAGACTTGGGGATCTTTGTCCAAGGTATAGTCTTCCATGCATCTTCGCTAAGGAAATTTCTCTTCCGGTCCATACATCCGGCGATGGCCTACACAAATCAGCATTGCAAAATGAGATCCAAGGGATTTTCATTCGTAAGAGGAAGCGTCTAGACTTACCAGATGCATTCTCCCCTCTGCAAAGAGGGTGTGTGCATAACCTTCGATATATGCTTCTGGGCCTCGTAACCTGATAAGGGCTAGTTCACCAAGGTTATGGCCATGCCAGCTTCTCGCTTGCGAGCCTTCAACTTGGCTTTGATCCTGTTTGCCATACAACAGCTATCGAATGGAGAAATCATGTAAATAATGAGCTTTACAAATTGCGGATAATTCTTACCTCAAAAAGCCCAAGGCCCCGGGATGCAACCATTACCGCATCCGATTTCCACCTGGTAGGATGTCGCAGGCTGGCATTGACCTCTCTCAAAGCCTGAGTATACATCTGAAAACCATCTGCCATTAGTTCAGACTTGCCACTTTGCCGTCCAAGAGTACAGAAACACATGGCAAGTAGTGTACGCCAAAGTGCTTTGTCGTGCTGGTACAGATCCCTTGCGCAAGATATCCAGCTGTAGATTGGGTACTTGGGTAATATTTCAGCAGATTGCCGTCCGCAAGGGAACCAACTATTCCAGAACAGACTGAGGTACTTGTCTTCGTAGGCTGTGCGGGCCAATGAATGGCGAAGGACAATGTCAGCACGAGGAACAGTATGCTTGGCAACAACCATTCCCGTGCCTCTACCTGGCCCTGACATATTAATAAAAACCTGCTGCCGGTCGTATTCGCAAAAGTTATTTGTTCTTATGCAGTTGCCGCATATTGGCTCTTGGAGATCACACTTTAAGAGATGATATCAGTTCATCTGAAAGCGCTGTGAAACCTCGCCCTGATATTGAGCTTTCTAGACACTTACACCCTTCTTTCGTCGTCGGCATGTTCGACAGCCCTTCGATCTGCCTGCTACACCGACCATGTTGAAATATGAGCTCTGTCTAGTGTCTAGATCACTTTAGAGAGAAAAAGGTGACGACGATGGCACGCTACGGCGCGAAATGACCCTATTCGGGATTCAAGCGTTGTTCTTCAGGAATAGGAGAGCGAAAAAATGTAAAAAGGTGTTGCCAAGTGCGAGGCCATGCGCGGGACACCACAAGTACTTTATGTCGCTTTACTCGAAAGAGTCCATTCTGCGCGCCAATGAGGAACAGACCTCAAATGCAGCCCTACGGCACAACCGCCCAGCTCTGTCAAATGCGGGGGAAACCACCATCCCTGGTTGATGATGTGGGACTTGGAAGGAGATGCGCCTAGGAAGAGGATCTGACGATTGACTAAGACAGCTGAAGTGCGCAGCCAATGGGGGTTTTCCAATGCATGCCCCTAGGCCCGAAGAGGATCATTCTGCGCCGGCGATGCTGCAATTGTCTCTCTTGCCTGTCAGCCAAGCTTCATGTGTTACATTGCGCGCGCATACTCAATTGCATTAACAACATGGTATCGATAATGAAATGCTAGCCTGGTTATTGGCAAGGCTCTATGTACTCGGCGCTGTTCACGGAATCGGAATGGAATGGATTCGTCGGGCCTCAATTCATCTACTTAAACTCGTCAACTTCTTGTTCTATGTCCTGTTGTTGGATGAGGAGTCAATTACTCCCTTCTTGTGTACTCTATCGTTTTGCCTACTCGAACAGTGGTTTGGAACTGTTTGGATTCAATCCCAAACCGCCTCTCATACTATATCAACATAACATAATGACCAACCCAGAGCAATCAAAGTTCAGCTCCTTTTCCGCCAAAATGGGAAAGGTTCATGAATATCTAGGCTTCCGGAAAAAGTACAATTTCATCCTCTTCGTCAACTTTGCCGGCGCGTTGATGGGTTTTACTTTAGCCCGTCTCATGTATCTTAACTTCGATAAGATATTTTGCGGTCCAGGATTTAGTGCCAGCCAACGCGCTCTGCCAGGAGAGTGTTACTACTACCGCAAGTTCACACTCGATCGGATTGGAATAATCATGCATCTTGCATGCATCTTACCCGCATCCTTTCTTGTATGCTGGCAGTTTGTTCCTATCATCCGTCACAAGGCGATTCTCTTCCACAGGATCAACGGCTACGTCATTTTGGTATTGTCTGTTCCAGGGACACTTGGCGCGCTGCTAATTGCCAGGCATGCTGTGGGCGGCGGCTTGGTTGTTCAGGTTGATGTCGGGTTTCTCGGCCTCATATTCCTCGGCTCACTTCTCATCTCATTCATTCAAATCAAGAGATTGCAGATAGAACAACACCGCGCCTGGATGCTCCGAGCTTGGTTTTATGTAGGAATTCCCTCCCGTCTTCTGCCTTAAGAAAATTAGCTAACTAAGGGTTGACTAGGCCGGCGCTATCATCACGATGAGGCCAATTCTGTTCATCGCAGCCCTCATTGTCAGCAAGCAAAGAGGTTATTTTGTTTCCTTTCCTTGTGCCGTCATCGAACACATGTTGGGAAATGTCGACGCTGCGAATGCTACCGCCTTGTTGTTTGAGGGTTGTACTCCCTACATGTCTGGGGAGAGCCCTAATCAGCAGGTCATTGTTGAGGCCAACTACTTCACAAGAACTACCCCAGCTGAAACGGCTGCGGCTTTTCATGTCAGCTTTGGAATGGCTGGATGGTTAGCAGGCGTGATTCACGCAATTGGTGTTGAAGTTTACGTAAGTATCTTGTTATCACAATATGTACTCAAACTAACTGTTGCAGTTGCGTCTCACACCACGTGAAGCTGAGAGGCTCAGGCACGTGTCATATCAACGGCAGCTTGAGGCTGGTATGCGCAACCCTGGAAGTGCTGGCTTGACAATCGACAGATTGGGAGATGCTGAAAAGTGGAAGCCAAAAATTCAGGAAGAAGGCTGTGAGGGGGTGGTGAACGCACAGGCTGCGGTGAGCCCCGCCAATGATGTTGAAAGCTTGCATTTGCCAGAAAAGCAACTCAGGAGAAGTTCCGCCAGTATATAAGTCATAGATTGCTAGTTTGTAGGAAGATTATATTGTTACAACTTGAAGCTTCGCAATATAGGCCTTCATGAAAGAAACTGGTTCTTCTTCCAAGTGTTACGGGGTACTCGTACGATTGAGAAAAGATTTAAACAGAATGGCGTGAAAACTTAGAAGTGAAGTGAAGCCAGAAAATGTACTATAATTTCACCAGGTGAGACTGTTTTAGCAAGGGCAACCAACTTCAATCTTTTTAACTCCTCGTAAATTTGTGACTTCCTTCCATCTTAGAAAGACTCTTTTCAGAAATTCCCAAATTATCCATCTCAAGCAACAATTTTTTCATTCCTTTACCCCTTGTTTTTTCTTTCATTTTTTTCTCACGGGCACTCTTCAGAGGTGTTTCTTCATAATCAGCAATTTCTCGGGAAGGTTTGTTCTCTATCCCTCGAGTACTCAACCAGGAGACTTTCCTACTCCAAAGTTCGTATACTCTTGAGCGTCTTTTCTTTTCCTGCCCTCATTATTCATTTGACTTGGCCTGGCAAAGCCTTTGAAGTAGTACAACACTCTCGCGAAGCGAAACAACCACGTAGTTCAGGTGAGCTATCGCTCCAACCTTTATAGAGAGAAGACAGGAACTCACAACTCAGAATGGCCCATCTCACAAACGCTGGGGCCGACCCCGCGTCCTTGGATAGCCGCCTGGCCCTTCTTGCTCTAACTGCGGAGATCGACGAATGGAACCATAAGAACCCTCGTTCTACCGAGTTTCTCAACAATTCCGACCAAGAACTTCTTTCTAACTTCTTTGTGGCACATTTGATGCCCACAGCTCCTTCCGTGTGGTGGAATGGCGACAACGCCCAGAGAGCAAGAACCGAACTTCTCTGCGAGAAATATCCGCAACTTAAAACCCGTCATTGGAGAAATAGCGGTCAGAAATCGATCGATGTTCTTCGAGTCTGGCGCAAGGATGCCTTGCGTCTGTTTCCGGAGCTTATTGGAAACCGCTACAGCGATGGGGCCGACACAGACAATGAGAGTGTCGTACCCTTTTCGACTTCCCCAAGCAACAAAAGAAAGCAAAAGAGAGCGATGGCAGATCTCGTGGCGAAAAAGGCCAGGAAGCTTCCAATCACTCCAACGAAGAGCATGCTTGGCGAGAATTCAGACGAAGATGATCGGCTTGCATCTACGCCTGCAAAGCCCCATCAACAGCCAGTCCCGAGCATCATCACACCCTCTCCAAGCAGTGGCAGCAGCTCGATCACAATGAGTAATTCTGACAGCGAGGATGAGCCCTTTGTTCCTCGGAGAAGACGATTGCACCGCCAGTCCAGCATAGAAGCGCCGCCAGATGAGCCCGTAGTTGCTTCTTCCCTGCCACTTTTGAGCATCTCGCCGACCCGAACTGTGGTGTCGATCGAGCCGTTGGAACTGCCCGAGAAAAAAGCAGCTTACATGGCGACTTTCGACGAAATATCAGGCTTCGTAGCCAGATACCATGCTGATATCGTGTCTCTGGAACACGCCGAATCGGTTCATCGGATCAAGAAGTTGGAAAAGAAAGTTAAGAGCTTGAGGAAGCTGTCTAAGAAGCTGAATAAGAAGATTCAGGGTTGATTTAGGCGCAAAAGAACTTTTTCACAGTATGGTATGGCGGGCAGCGTAATGGTCTTTGGAAAGCCGCCAGATATTATTTTATTAAATTAAACATTGCTGAGCTCGTATAGGGTGGTGTGATGGTGAATTGGATCATCTTGCCGTATTTATTGGGCAGCTGGTCTTATAGTTTGGGCTTAGATGAGTGTTTCTTTTCGGGTCATACCCAAAGCCAGATAGAAGAGAAGCTGTATAATCTCATAAACTTGCTAACACGCACATAACACCGGAACACTGTGAAGCCTACATGGCCTGGAAGTCCGATGACAAGCAGATGGTTTTTTTTTTAAAAACGGCGAGACACAAATGTAACACAAGAACAAAACGCAGAGTTCCTGGTAATATCAGGGCTAGGTGTCTCTTGGAAGTTAACATTCAGGCCAAGAAGAAACTCATCAGAGGAATCGCCATGGAAATATGTGGGCCATTGAGTTCCATGACGGTACCCATCATAGAGGGTAACTCGCAGCCACAGGATATGGCGGCGACTAGGAACGAGCCATTGCGCTTCTGTACGTCATTCGAAATCATGTAGACCGAGGGTGAGAATGAGGCCGAAACGGGCGGACTAGAAGCACATGACGACGATTATCAGGGTGATGATGGAGGTGTTGCTACGGGAGGTTGGCACGAACGTTGAAGACTGAAAGTGGTAGTCGACGATGCCGAGGAGACCGAAGGCGAAACCCTGGCGGTAGAACAAAGGGCTGTGACTGTTTCATAGCCTTTCCCCCCTTTTTTTCCCCTATATCTGAGAAAGCCTCAAACCGGAGGCATAGGAACAACATTGAAGCTAGAATCACCGAGGATATTGAGGACAAAGGGCTTCCAAAGTTGTGAGGTGAACAGTAGCCGTTGGGCCCCGTATCAATGACGGTGATTTTTATCTTCCAAAGACTCATATTGTGAAGTTGGTATTATGTCGCACTTGGACAATACTGGTCACTTTGGAGTTTAGCCAAGGCTCCAGCAAAAAACAGATTAAAGTCGGAGCAACAGCTGGCAGAAGGTAAAATTTATATGTAAGGCCATTTAAATCACCCAACTCATCCATCTCTTTTGAGTCTAGACAATCCGTGTGCATATCTCAATTTACAGCGGAAACATGGGCAGCACGAATGGAAAAGACAAAAAAGGATAATCAACCAAAATGTGTATCTCCAGGTACACCTGATGTCGATCGCACTCCCATTTTGCTTTTTTTCCGTTCTTTGTCTTTCCTCCATCTCCATGGCTCATCCCTGAGACGAGAAATCTGTAGCACGAGTCTAGTTCAGCACTGATTCTCTCACGCCGTCGTAGGGATGCCCCAGCCAGCCAAGTTTCATTTGTCGTCTTTCCAGGACGTCGCGGAGAAAGAAACAACCGCATTCACTTTACAAACATCAAGGCCAGTCCATCTGATGCCCTCTACTTCAAGAAACGACACCACAACTCAACACCAATGCCGTAGGGTTGGTTGATTTTCCCGTCTAATTCTGGCATGAGATCCTTTGTGTGCAGATGGTCACCCATCCGACCTATTGTGTGTACTTCTCTTCATGCTGGTCTTTACATAACATGACTACAAACACCACATACACTGACACGGATGCACAACGAATGCACTTATATAAAACAGGACGGGTTAGCGTCATGCAATCACATTTTTCTAATCCTCTACACCATAATCCAGACTCAGTAAACCGTTTTAGTGGGAACATAGGCGACGACTTGTTCGAGTTTTGACCCGTCCAAGATGACGTCTCCTTGGTTTCCCGTTTTCTAACTTTGAAGGATTTCGCCATGCGTTTTGGGCGTCCAATTAGTGGCCCTCCTTCTCGAGACCCTCCAATTCCTTGAGTACCGATGTCTTCGTGCCAATCTTCTTCATCTGAGTGTCCTCCAGCTTCTCTCCTCCAGCCAGTCTCATCTCAAGATCCTCAATGGCTCGCACCTTCTTCTGCAAGCTGCGAATCTTCTTCGCGTTGGGGTTTTGCGAGGCATCAGCACCGTTGTTGGCCGCGGGGGCGGCCTGCTGAGCATGCGCATGAGGCGCGTGCGGCCCGCCGTTCTGGCCCCGGTGGGTGTTGCTCCTGTTACGAGGCGCACCCGGGTTGCGAGAGTGGCTGCGGTGCCTGTGGTTACCTCCGGGACCGCGACGCTCAGGGCTGCGACCCTCGTGGCCAGATCCCGGTCCGAAGTCACGCGGGGGCGGGGCCAGCGAGGCGCCGCCACCGTTCTGGCCTTCAGGATTGGCCTCGCCTTCCTTCTTCTTGTTGTTGCGCTTCTTCTTGTTCTTCAGCGCTGCCTTCGACAAATTCTCATCGCCTTCGGCAGTCTCAGCTCCGGGAATCTTGGGAGCCGCGCCGGGAACAGAACCGGCAAACTCAGCGCCAGGTACAGCACGACGCGAGCGACCGAATCCGTTAGGTCCGATGGGCGCCGAGCCGTTGTTCATGCTGATGTGAGCAGCACCACCCTCGTCCTCTCGCTTGAAATGAAGCGGGGTGGCGAGGCCACGAGCACCAGGAGGACGGTAAGCTCCCGCAGGCTTGCTGGGAGTCTTGACAGTGCCGAGGTACGTGGCTGCAGACGCGTGCGGGGTGGGGACCGGATTCAGGGGGTCACCGCCAGCTACCTTCTCGGGCGCCTGGGGCCTCCAAATCACGTTGTACAACTCAACCATGTCCTCGTTGTACATGAGGGGACCGCTGACGTGCCAGAGCTTGATGCCATTGTCAACGCGGAGACGGGGAGACGTGGTAGCCGTCATGATATAACGGCTGTCGGGACTCCACGTGCACACGCTGGGGTTTCCGCTCTCAATAGTGTGGAGCTTGCGGAAATCCTTCTCAAGATCATACACGTCAATCTGGCCAGCCAGATTACCGAAACCAGCGACCAAAGCGAACCGACGAGTGGGCGAAAAGATAATGGTGTTGCGGGGCCCAAGGGGGAACGAGTGAGTCGCGACGGCTCGGTGGTTGAAGATGGTGGTTTTGGCGGGCATGTATCCGTAGACGACACCAAACTCCTTCGAGTTCGGGGACCAGGAAACGTCATGGATGGGACCCTCCTTGTCGAGGCTGACACGAGCGTCAAAGGAGCCGTTGACGCTGAGCAGATACAGCGTGGTCTCGCCGTAGTAACTCTTGTTGGATTTGTCGACATCGGTCTGAGCCAGCACAAGAATGCTGGTGCCCAGCTTGTTCCACTTCAGCTGGACCTTATCGCCCTTGAAAAAGGTCTTCTGGGAGATGGGCGAGGTGAACTGGGGAACGTTGAAGACCTTGACAGCAGCGGGTTGTCCCTGGGTACGCTGGTTAGTACGATTAAAATGTCGCCAAAATAATTCAGACTCACCTTGCGCTCGGGGATGAAGACTGCTACAGAGTGGGAACGGCCGGGAGCCAGAGCGAAGTCGGCAACGCCCTCGACTCTCAGTTTGTTCCAGACAGTGCCAAGATCATGGCTCTCGTAGAATTGAACCTCGTTGGTGACGAGGCGGGCGCAGAACCTCTCGTCGGCTGTGTACTGAAGGTTCCAGCCTCCTTGAGACTTCTGGACGTACTTGCCTAGCGGCACCTTGTCGGCATCCGCGACGCCCTCCTCAACGGTGCGCCAGACCTTCAGGTTCTTGGTCGCGTCTCCGTTCTCGTCCTTGGCAGGTCGCTCCCAGGTAACGAGGAAGGTACCAAGAGGAGAGAAACCAAGTTCGTAGACGTTAGCAATGGGGAGGGCGAGAACCTGCTGGCCGCTAGAGGCGTCGACTACTGTGACGAGCTCGGGGTTGGCCCAGGCGAAATAGCGGCCACAAGGCGAGTATGCACAACACCGGAGATTCCCTTCAGGCTTGGCGAACCCAGCAAGAGGCTGATAGGTCGGGGCAGCATCAAAAAGGCCGATGCCCTTCTGGGTTCGGTAGGCAAACTGCAATGATGAGGACGCCATAACTAGTCAAAGTCACAGAGTGTATCAAAAGCAGATATGGTAGTCGGAGCGTTCGGACGTTCTTAGGTGGGATTGTTGGTTCTTCTTCAATGGGTCAGGAATCTGAAGTCGTCGTCGTCGATGTCGATGTTCAATGCCGCCGGGTCGGGCAGACAAAGGCAAGCAGGGGAGAGAAGCTCGAAGCTTGATGCAGTTGATGTGAGATCGAAGAGAAGAGACACGGAATATCAATCACTTGATGTTCCGGTGTTTGCCCTTTGGGTGTGTTGCTGAGCAATGAAGCTTTTGTTTATCCGCTTCGTCGTGGAAGGGCGAAACGAGACGTTTGGTGATTCTTTTTCTTTTTAATCTGACGTCGATTTGGATGGATCTGCCGCGGGGTTGGCGTCCGAGTTGTCTTTCAAGCTTGTCGAGGGGATGACGTGTGGCTCGATGTGAGATGGGCGACGGGGCAATCTTGATTCAGGCGATGATCAAGAAAGACGTGCAAGCACACGGGGGCGATGGACAAGGACGCAGACTCTGGAGAATCAACGACTGAGAGAGCTGAGCCTTTGGGCGACGAGAACCCAAGGAAGAAAAATGGGAAGAACGCGAGGAGGAGAGAAAGGGAATGGGGAGAGAAGCACCCTGAGGGGGGATTGGCGTGCAACGGTGCGTGTTGTTGTGTGGGCTGGAGAAGGGGAAGGGAAGAGAAGGGGAGGAAGTGGGATTTGTGAATATTTTTTTTCTACTTCCGTCGCCTTCGCGGGTTCGCCATGGCTGGCACACCCTGGCCACTTTTTTGCCCGAGCTCACTCGCCTCACTGGGGAGAAAGAGGTTACTGGGGGTGTCAGACAAGTACCTCTCGCTAGAAATCTGGCGCTGAGGTACTTGGCATGCGTCAACATGGCCAGTGCACACCAAAGACCAACTGTCCACCTCCAGCTTTTTGGTGTGTTTGTCCCTTGTCGCTGACTGCTGGTTTTCCGATGCACACATTGGATTGGACCATTTATGGCACAATCAAACTTCAGCGTATTATGGCGGTAATAATGGTGGTGGTTTGCTGACTGACGTGTCATGAAAAACAATCCCTACAAGAGACGGTCTTCTGTGAAAAGGATGGTAGGTACATCATCAGCAGCGTGTTGAAGGCCAAAAAAATAAAGGCCACAGCGCTGTGCCCAGAGGAACGCTGTCCGCATCCACCATTTCAGCCCAAAAGTGCCCACCAGTCCCGGGCCCGGCCTTGTTCCATGGGTTTTTCAGCGCGCAAGGCGTGGCCCTAGTCTCGGCTGCTCCCTCCAGCCAGCCTCTGTGAAAGGCCCTGGAGCTGGACGGGGTATTGAATCGGGACCAATCACATGCTTCCTACCCGCTTACGGCGCCGGCAATCAGGGCCCTGTCTGCACCACCGCTATCAGTATCTGTACCACCCTAGGTACCGTACCTAGGTCAGAACTGCTGTGGGACGTAGTAAGCAAGCAGCGGTAAAGATGGCAGGGCACCTTAGGTGGATACCCCGCTGAGACCTCCAATCGTTGCCCCGTATCGATTCTCCACGTGTCTGAAATCATCGCTTCTTCACCTCGCAGAATGGCTTGTTTTGTCTCTCCCGTCACCTGTTCATCATCTTCAATAAACAAACCGCTCATTATAGGGTAACGTTAAATCTTATCGGAAACTCTGATTTTCTTGGAATTTCATACCGACGTCAGAATATTTTACAGGCATAGCAAAGATATCCCGCAACTCGGACCTGAAACTAACACATTTTCCTATCAGCCACTGTCTTCGTCCGTGACAGGTACAAGACCTTGTCCTGTTGTCGCATGAACCGCGTGGATTCGGTCCTTGCGCTGCACCTCCTCCGCATGACAAGGCCGGAGATTAAGGCACATTTTCCTCCTCTTTCTTGCTTCAGCTTGGTGGTCCCTATTCTCTACACTGACCAGCCTAGTTTTGCTTCATTCAAGAGCAGCATATGCAAGAATCGCAATATCGGACGTGGTCATAGCTGCATGTTGCTGTTAACATTCCGATGATGGTGGCCTATTGCTCCAGGATTACGTACTTTAAAGCTTCATTGAACCACACTGATCCTCAACAGGGACCCTGGAACTTGGTCTCCACGTAACTAACGGCACTGGCAATGTCGTTTTTGGGAGGGTTAAAATTGCCTGTGAACCGCTTGGGGATCTCTTCAGTCGGAAGAAAATGAAGGCTGCCGATGTAGACCTTATTTTGAAACTGCCGCATGGTGTAGATTGACGTCTTTCGGCCATGATCCTTCACCCTGGATGCTCTCGCCCAACATCCGGTAGTGGCCTAAGCGTCGGCAGCGGAGCAAGCCACCCACCACCTGCATCACCATCCAGTAGGTTCCTCGAAGGGCCCGGTGCATCAAAAGGGTGCGTTGGACGGCGCGAAAGCACCGCGAGCTCGATATCGTAATCCTCTCGTCTCGGCTCGCTCCTCTCTGTCTCGGGTGTGGCGCTCGGCGTGCCGTCGGCGAGCCTGCGTGTCGATTCCGACGGCTCCAACATCCTATTGGTGGCGGTGGTGCTCCGTAGCCAGGCCCCCTGACTTTTATTTGCGCCTGTCAACCTTGAGCAGCAGGATGATAGTGTGCCAAAGTACTTTTTCGATGTACTCCTCCATCTGGATCTTGTGGATGTCTGCGTGGTGCTGGGTAGTGATCTATTTGCAGAGCGCTGTTCGAGCAGGTAATTTATAGAAGGGAAGCAAGCGCACACGAGTCCAATGGCAAGTTCTCCGGTGCTGATGCTTGAGTTTAGTACAACTCTTGGTGTCCCAAGTTTTCGTATTTTAAGCAAGGAGCACCTACACAGTCCAATCAAGCGGGACAAAATCCACTGTCGGGTCAACCGTATCCTCAAACTTGAGTACGAGATGCATTCGATAGGCCGTGATACCGACCGCGACGCCGCCGGTTCCTAGCAAGCCCACGATCTTGACCTTTTTTAAAAGCGACATGCGTAAAGTCCATGTAAGGACGGTGGGCACGAGCAGAACGGCCAGGTCTGATACAATGCCCAATGCGGTGTCGTATATAAAGAGCTTGGTCTGGTTAATGCACTTGAAATCTCGTATCGTCGGATCCCAAAAGGCTTCAACCGGGATACAGACAGCTGTCTTTGCAACCTGAGCAGGAATGTAGCAGACGAGGAAGAAGCCTAGCAGGACATGAAGGGTGCGGGCGACAACGCGGTCGACGGAGAAGACGCGCACTATAAGGAGAAGAATTGCTGCCTTGGTGAAGAAGGCGGCGGGGGTGTATAAAAGAGAGCTGACATAGAGCCACTTGGGTAACTGCCTGTTAGCATAAAGCCATGTTTTTTGGCGTAGGGGGGTGTATGTATGCCTGCCTTTTGTAGTTCTATGAAGTTGTCTGCAGTGATTTCCCAAATATGGTATCCCTCTCCGAGTCGGATCTCTGTCAATGTCAGCGCATTGGCAAATGCAACTCCAGGGCTATGATCTTACTGAAAAACACACTTCCATTTAGGAGTACCGTAAAGAACTGGCCCGATCAGCACACAGATCCCAACTGCGGAATAGGCTCACGGCAAGCTCACCCATCCAATCAGACAACTCCCTATGCATAGTGTCAGCAAAGATCAAGCAAGATATAGACACCCGAGGACACCAACAGTCTTCCAACCGAAACCTTCCAGCAGCCAAAAGCTTGACGTAAACTCGAACCACGAAGAACACAATGATTATAACTTGCACAGTGATCATGTAGGCGATGTGAAGCGTATGCAGGACGTCTCGGGGGTTTGTAAAGTTGGGCGTCTCCCCGGGAGGCGGCGGGACCGCTCCAATAGGACCTGCGGCGGGGTTGCTCATCGCTGTTCAGCCGGGTTCCATGGCGGGACTCTCGACCACGAAGTGTCACGTCGAAGAGCAGACGCGACCAAATCAAATAGTGGTCTTCATCAATCTGGAAATGGCAAACATGACATGAAGAAGAAAAAAATTGAAAACCTCTTACTCAACAGCGGCCAGATGTGTTAGTATTCAAGAAAAGGTAAACCACACCCTAGTGTTCCCACGGCTAGGTTGGTAAGTGAGGGGGGGGGCTCTTTGACATGATATCGTGGCATTGAGTTTCGAGCCAACAGGCATGCCACGGGGAACAACTACATGAAAATACGCGAGTAAGAGCCCGGAGCTGGAAAGGCTCGAGGTATTGGTGAGATCGGACCATTAAGTCCGACCAATGGCGAATATTGACCATCCATCTACTTCATTGTAGACCAAACCTCTCCGTCTTGATCCTGGTCAAGTTGCTAAACTTGGGACGCAGATTAGAAACATGCAAGGGTCTAGCCATCTCTCGCAGCCACAATTGACCAATACATACGTGTTTTTCAAGGCGAATTCGCCCACGGAAGCATCGTCTCATGCTCGAGATCCGTGAGTGGTCTATTGAGTCAAAGTTGAGAGGTTCTGGAACACACACAAACTCTATCTACGGACGGACCGTTGGGTCCACCCCAGGCAACGCCACTCTCCTTTTTTGTGAGGAAACAGAGGGGTTGACAGGAGTGTCAAAGTTCGGTTAGCATACTATAGCAGAAGCGGTACAAAAGTGAGAGCCATCGACTCCGTACGGGCGCAAGTCCTCCAATCTGTAGGTTCAGCACGTCGAGCGTTGAGTCAGCTGTCCTCGCGTTCCACGGGCCGGATCCAACGGCGCGGCTCTACGAATAGTATGCCTATTCAAATCAACGAAAGTTAGAGCGGACGGGCGCCGCAAGCCTTTCTCTAGTCGGCTCGGTATAGATCGTATATTCTAGTTGCTTTTCACTGTTATACATCGGAATCGTGCTTCGCAAGATGCTTTCGCACGGTGTCATGATACTTCTGCTCTGGTGAATTCCGGTTGTTTCTTGCCGTTGGTGCCGGAACCATGCGCTGTCGTTTTACTACAGAGGATATTAGCTGATGCGTCGTGTGCCGGCCTTGCTCTCCTGAACGAAGGATTTCCACACATAACCGCGGGATTTCAGTCCAAGGCATCGCGAGCATTCGTATGGGTAGGATTTAAGCTTGTATTTGTCATCTTCAGCTCTGCACATGCTACTGGCCTTCTTGAAGACCACACCGAGCCTGGGAAAAATGTCATGAGCATGTGTTTGTTTGGGGAAGACACGACATAGGCACCCTCAACATTGGCTGACCAAGACTCTCAATGCGTATGTTTCTAGTCACGATGGCAGCGCCTAAACGGTTTGCTAATATATGCTTCAATCCTGCTGATCAATGATCACCTTGTCAAGGCCAAAATGTACTGTTCGATGACGACGGGAATGAGGCACGTGGTATGGGTAAGGATGTCTTGTCATATATCCCAAAGATTACAAAGACCGAATCAGAATTTGAAAACGGTAAATGTAAAAAGGACAAGATGGTTGATACCCTGCTCGCCCATGTGGATCGGTGGGCTCAATGCGCGGCACAGTGTTCAGAGGCTGCATGGTCGGGCAGGTGGAGTTACCCCGGATTGTATTTTGTGGCGGCCCTGACCATGACCTATTTGATTCGACGCCCAACAGGATGCTCAGCGCTACGTAGGAGTACTTGCTACAAATTACATGATACAATGTAACCCCAATTTGAATTCACGTTTCGAACTTCCATGACATAGCCTTTTCTCGGTGTTGCCCGGCGTTGAGGTGTAGACAACTGCCAATACTAAGATATACAACAAGTTCAGACGCAACTCTCGCCGGCTCATTTCCATGGGCGCAGTTTTCGCCAGGAGCACGTCACTGTGAAAAGGTTTTGCCATTGTCACCAGCACTTAAAGTTTGCGACGAGACCTGTCGAATTATACACTCATGATGGTATCATTATACTGTGTATAAGAGGTGCTTATGGCACTTTGGGCTGCTGATTATCGACCAGACCACTGCTCTCTCCAACCGCCTTTCTCAAATAACCACAGGGCTTCCGTAGCATATGCGCGGCTTCCTCTGTGTCCACCTTCCGCAATGGCCGCCTCTGCCAAACTGTCCAGCACCCTTCCCTCCTGAATACTGCTCCAGATTCCCCTTCCCAAGCTGTCTTCTTCTCCGGTGCCCCATTCACCCTTGCCCAATCTATAGAGAATCCGACCCAACGTCTGAAAAGCAACGCAACGTTGTGCTGGAACTGCGCTCCGCGCCAAAATAGCCAGCTCCTCGATTGTGTAACCCGCTGCCTCCGGCGCCTGGCCATGATGATGCAGTCCCTTAGATACGGGTATGGATCTACTCAAACGAGGTGGAATCAACCCGCCGCGGAAATCGAAACGAAGGGCAGCGATGGGAAGGGAGGATTGCCCAGGATAATATGGTGATTCACGATCGGCAGGACTGTGGGCGGTCGGAATGGGAGCCATCCAGGCAAGTTTGCTCGGATCTGCGGGCAGATTTGGGAAGAACTTCTCATGAAGGGTTGCAAGAAAGTCAGGGTGAGAGGGGTCGAGGTCGGGAAGAGCAGGCGCCGCCGGGAAGTGTGTCTTATCGGGCTGTTCGTTCATAGGAAACAGGTCCTCAGGAGGAGCGGCGGGGGCTCGATCCTCATCGACTGGCACGGGGGTTGCGTTTGTGTCCTTTGGTGTCGTAGCCTTCGGCGCCGGCTGAGGCTTCGGCGGCGCAGCGGTGTCTTCGATTTTAATTTCGGGTGGGGGAGCTGGAGGCTTGTCTGCCTTGGCATCATTTGTAGAGGGAGGGTCGAAGGGATTCGGCCCGTGTTGCTCATCTATATTCGCTCTTCCCAACAGTCGTTGTATAAGCGAGGGATCCAAGGAACTCAACAGTTCTTGTCTCTCCTTTGCGATCTCTTCGGGTGTCATGTCCTCCAGCTTCTGCCTATTCTCGCGATCGATCCTCCGACGCTCTGCTGCCTCGAAGCTAGAGCTTGACGATTCGGCACCATGAGACTGCTGGTTTTCGCTGGCATTAGCTGCCAGCGCGCTCGTTGCAGCCTGAGCACCCGAAACTGGTTTGCCTTGTCGCTGCTGCTTGAATGCGGAGACTCGAGTGCGTTTCTTGTGTGCTGGAAACCCAGTCGGGGTGACATCGAAGTCGTCAAATACGACAGGCTTCACTGGTTTTGTGTCCTTCTCGACGATATCACCCACCAGAAGTGTCGGATCCATGGCTGTGTATGAGGCTGTTTGGTAGTTTGGTGGAATTCCAGAGGTTTCCGTTGGCTGAAAGGCAGAGATCGCGAGGTGGGGCTTCTTTTTCCCTCCGGAGTGACGTACTTTTTTTTTTTTTTTCCTTATCTCACCCTGCGCAAAGCTTCCTTGCCCTTTCGCAGATGCCCGTGCGGCGCCCCAAAAACAAGCCCATATTCAGAGAGGAGCAATCGACCGGGGTTAGGTCGCTTAAGTGCAGGACAATCTTGGGGGCAGAAATTTGATTTTGAATCAAACGTAGGCAGTTGGTTCGATTCTGGGGACAATTTAAAAGAAAAAAAAAAAGATGAGGAAGTGCATCCGAGTTATCGCTAAAGATGAAGCAGTATGGCGCAACCGAATTCGCAACGGCGGGGCAGCATACTGGTGAGAGGGAGGCTCGTCCCAAATGAAAATATGAAATGCGCCGTTTTAAAGTTGTGGCTGACAGACGGGACTGAGCCACACCGAATTTCGCATTAGCGTCGATCGTTCCCCCATCGATATTCCAGAAAAAAAAACTTTGGATGGGGGTTTGGAGCAGGCGGTCCTGCCAGGGAATCCTGCTTGTTTCCACTTGATTGGCACCGGACTGACACCATTTAACCACTATGTAGAACAACAGCAAGATGAAACTTGTTAAATAATGTATGGCATGGTCGGCATTGTAGCAGAATTGTGCATGGTACAGTCGGAAAATTGGGAGTTGGCATCTCGACCTCCCTACCTAAGTTTTGCCCACCTATACTCGGTAGACTGCGCCGTGTTTCTCAAACTAGAAATTGCAATGTTGATATCATGTCCAAATGGGCTAGAGCGCCGAACCTATTTCGGCTGTTTATGCGCATGTCTTTTCATTGCCGATCGCCCAGTGTCGTTCAAGCCAATGATTTCCGTATAGCTGCAATATGTTTACGCAGTAGATGGTTTTCTTTTTCTTTTGAAGGGGATAAAGAAAAGACTTTTATGCACATTCTTTGGTTTTTGTGGCGTGTTGCAGATTCTGCAACATGTCTTTTATCCGTAGCGCTAGTAGCAACTTGCGTGGTACAAGGCGTGCCTTTGCAGAAGCGTAGGTTTTAATCACCAGATGAGGATAAATGACCGATAGATGGTGATATTATGACGGCCGTATTCTTATCGGCTTTACTTGTTTACTATCGGATCCTTCCTTTCCCCCCCCCCCCCCCCCCCCCCCCCCCCCCCAGCAAGCTACTCAGCAGACCGATCGACGTGTCAATGAGTTATATTGAACGAATGTTATGTCACTATGTAATTGTGTGTGTGCGTGTGGTAATATGCAGTCCTCGGTGGGGGATCTGGTCGATGGTGCCGGCCACACTGCACCCCTCGTTCTGAACACCCCTGGATACCCTCTGTGCCTCTGCACTGGGCTCTCGGCAAGGTGTGCAAGGTTAGCACAGCATCCCTGCCGCAGACGCGGTTATCTGGGACGCTAGATCGGAAATGGAAGTCAGACTTGGTTCAACGTCAGACGCGCAGGATCCACTTTCCACCCACTTAAACGTTGCACCGACTGGAGGAGAGGCTCTCGGGGAGGAAAGGTACGTACTTCCGTAGCATGCTCCTCTACTGCTACTGGTGGTGGTACCTGCGCCCGGACCCATGCTTCCCTTTTTTTGCGGCTGGCCATCCCATTCGGCTGCCCTGCACGCGGTTCCCCTTTCCTGTGTCTTGTCAATGGGAAATTCCACGACCCCTTCTTTTCCTTCCTTTCCCCACGACTCGGCTCCTCCTCTCCTCTCCCCTCTTCGCTTTCGCGGCTGGACTTGACGGAAGGTGCCACCACATCCAAATTTACACACCACCACCCGCACCCACCCCGCCCCATTACTTCACATCCCCGTAGCGCCGCTCTCCTCACTGTCTCTGTACCCCGATTGATATTGCCGCATCCATCCGGCATAACAGACTTGCAGTGCAGCATCACCACGCCCGCGGAGGAAGCTCCCTCACGCACGCAAACACAGCAGAGAGCGAGCCCATGTTCCTCTTCCAACCTGCCTGCCGCAGCAAGAAATCTTGTCCACCGATCCACCCGCCGCCATCGCTGAATGATGATTTAACCCCCCCAAGATGCTAGAGCTCCTGGCCTCGGGTTGGCCGTCCGCCCTGTCTGGCTCCTACTCACTTGCTCTCTTTCTCTCTCTTTCCCTCTCTGTTGCCCTGCATGGAATGGTCTAGCTGGTCCGTGTGTGGTTCAATCTTAACACCTGATGACTGGTCTTCCCCTTGCCGACTGGCGAAACATGGTGTTGACTGTCATCCAGACTGCATTGTCCTGAAGTTTGGAGGCACCAGCCGCCGACGTTTGTTAGTTTCTAGCATTGGCGTGCTGACGATGCCCTGGGGCGTGTTCCCATTCCCAATCCCCCAATCCCATTTCCTCTTCCTCCCATGAGACAAGGTTGAGGTGTCATTGCCTTGACCTCGCCGTGGTACCTTGCCTTTCCTTGTCGTCCACATCTTTTCTTTCTGACCATGGCCCACGTTGGAGTTTACTCACACCACATCGCATTACTACTGTGCCTAACAAATTACATGTACCGTCTCTTTCTTGCTGCATCTTGCTCTCTTCTCTCCCTGGGCGGCCCGTTCACGAGGTGCCATCGCTTCGTCCGCTTGGTGTTTTCCACCCTTCCCACCTCCACTCCCCATTACCTTACTTGCCCCCCTTTGGCTGGTCTTTTCCTCCGGTCGTCCACCTTTCCATGTTGTTGCTTGCTCCCATTCCCAGTTCTTCCTTCAGTCTCCTCTCTCACTCTTTTTCTGTCTCTCTTTGCCTTTCCTTTTCCCATGGCCCGCCCCCCCGTCTCCGTCCCCATCCACGTTCCTCGTGGTCCTGAGGCCATCTGATCCCATCGACGTGCCCCCCAGCTAGTCCGAATCTCTAATTCGGGTTTAATAATAAAATTTCCCTTGCCATTCACGCCTGCTGAGGCCATCCACGTCTGCTCGGTGCCCCGTTTTTCTCGTCTTGCGCAGCAGCCAAATGTCGGCCCAAAAAATAAATCTTGTTCCCCCCAAAAACGTAGCCATCCCCATCTCCCCTTCCCAGCTCCCATTTCTCTCCTCCTTTTTCCTTCTCACAACTACCCACGACACTGCAATTTTGACCGCATTAACTCCAAATCCATCAATTCTGACCATATCGCCCATCCTTAACATCACAAAAAGTCCATCATTCTGTGCAGCTCATTTGGCTCCTCTCTTTGGCGGCCTCAATTTCGCACGATCGTCCTCAAGTTGGCACTTTTTGGTCGGTAAACACCGCCAACTGTCGTCAAAAACACGACTTTGGCAGGCTGTTGAGGTTATTCACGAGTGCCCACCCACGACTCCGCACGGCCACACCGCAGGTGACCAACTGCTCATCAGTGCAGCAGCCTCCCTTTGCCTTGGCCAACCTAGTCCGTCTTACATAATTCCGCATCCCCCAAATCGGCCAATCCGACACCACGTAACACCAAACGCACCGCAACACGCGCCCACTCCCTTGTACCTCCCAAAAATTAAAGTGAGGTCATTCACAACACCTTACCGAGGGAAGCCGCAGCACAACAAATCTCAACAACCGCCAATGCCTTTCAACTTCTGCAGTTCGTAATTGGCAAAAAGAAAAAAAAAGACAAAAAGAAAATTACCTTCGACGTAGCTGCACCTTTGACATATTCAACACTTTATTACTGGTGCAGTGTTTTAGAAGGCCTAGATTTCTAGAGTTAGCTTCGGCACGGTGTCTTTCGGTGGTGGAGGAGAGCTAGCTATGCGCGATAACTCCTCGCCAGAACTTTCGTCACCACCTTCCGGCTCTATCTCCGAACCCGGCTCACCGTTGCGGAGTCGACCTAACAATATGGATATGGATGAGATTATCGTCGACCCTTCGCAGCCGCGTTTTGGCGTTGTGTCAGGGAACGAACAGCCACAGCCTGAAGTCCGCTTGACTGCTGCTGGTCTGCCACGAAAGAAGCCTGGTCGTAAACCTGGCTCTACGGTGAAGCCTAAGAACCCTGACGAGCCGCCAAAGGTGCGCCGGCCTAGGAAACCTCGCGATCCCAACGCGCCACCCATTCAGAGAAAGAGAAAATCGGCGCCTGCCCAAGATGCTGATGCCGGCTCGGACTCTAAATCCCTCGCTGCAGCAGCTTCGTCTACAACGCCCCCTTCTCGACAGACCAAGATTACAGATCTCGTTGGCGTCACATCCGAGTCTCGACCAGGCTCTGCCCAGCCCGAACACACTGCACAAAAAGCGCCTAAGCGTGAAGATATCCCGCGTTCCATGCAGAGCATATTGAATGCCGACCCCGAACCCGAATCAAAAACTCCAAGCGCGTCTCTACCGACGCGTACCAGCGGCCAAAGTTACGACCCCATTCGCGGTAACTACGATCCTATCAGGGAAATATTCGGTAGCGCCTCGTCTCCACGACCCCCCACCCAAACCGTCAATCGGCCGAGCGCGTCTCCTTCGATTGCTAGCCTCGTCGATCCTCCGGCCCAGAACGCGACGTCACCTTCCAACCAAACCTTCCGCACCTCTACGCAGTCACGCACACAAGGCCAAGAGTCTGGGTCGGTCCCAGCTTCACCGTCCTATCCCGTCAGGTCAATGCCTCAGACAATATCCAAACCGCCCGCACCCGAGGCGAAAAAGTCACTTGCCCCGCCCCCCTTACCTGCCTCCAAGACAGATAAGCCAAAGGACGCCGCATCAACCGCTGGATCTGTGACCAGCAAGAAGCCTTCGCCGAAGCAAAAGCCGCAAAAGTCTGGTGTCTCATCACCAAAGGTCAGCGCTCTGGACGAACCCACCGATGGAGGCTCCGCCGACCGATCGATCCTTGACTTTGGCAAGGCTGTTGGGAAGGAATATAAAGCACCTGACATTGTTTTGGACATCCCTATCAAGCCGGGCGAGACCAATATATATGTTAACGTCATGCGCATGGCCGAGGAGAAGTACGGCTGGGATGCTCTTCACCCTCGTTTAGCTGAGAAGCGCGACCGCAAAGCGAGAATCGCTGCTGCCTCGGCTGCTTTGGAGAAAACGGCGTCAGGTCAGGAATCTGGCGACGAAATGTCTGAGGACTCCGACAAAGAAGCAAGCAATGTCGAAATGGGCGGAATGACGAGTGGTGCTGAGCCAGAGAAGCCAAAGAAGAAGAAGCGCAATTTCAAGGAGGACGAGTACGACAAGGACGACGACTTCGTCGATGACTCCGAGCTCCTATGGGAGCAACAGGCGGCGGCCAGCCGTGACGGCTTCTTCGTGTACTCTGGGCCCTTAGTGCCGGAGGTTGAGAAACCAGCTGATACAAGGTTTGTTACATCGAGTTTAAAGTCCTGGGAGAACAGTCCACTAACAATATATAGACCCGACGGACTGCCCAAGCGTGGCCGCGGCAGCAGAGGCGGTCGTATTGGGGGTCGCGGAGGCACTACTCGTGGCGAGGGAGGCACTGGACGCGGTGGCGGACCGGGTTCCAGAGGCGGACGTGGATCCCGAGGCGGTTCTCTCACTCGCAAGCCTCGTATCACAAAATCGGAGAAGGAGCAGCTTGAACGTGAGAAGGCCGAACGGCAGCGACAAGCGGAGCTCGGCGCCAAGGCCACCAACGGCTACTCGCTCCAACCCCAAACACCTTCCTTTGCCGCAGGAATGGCTGGAGCATAGGCCTCTAACGTACCTTGTCAACAACAATTTTGGGCATGGAAAATGCAGCCATCAGAATCGGTGGAGTAACACAGACACATCAGAAGTTGCGTTGCAACAATAGAGATTGCAGGAGGAGAAGGACGATGGTTTCCGGGCACATAAGAGATTCGAGGCTGGCGTTGAATGTCGATACCCATTGTCCTGGTCGTTGACTTGTTGGGTTTTGACATGGTTTGGCCGGATTGTATTGCTTGAAGTCGGGATGGGACGGCATGGGATCCCGGAAGAGCGGCGTTCGGATTTGGCGGACTGATTTGTCGGACGGGACGGAACCACGACTGGGGTCCACTTAGAGGCCTACATTGAAAGGAAACGCCGATAGAGCTGCGCTTGCTAGTATTTGAGGAGTTAAGATGTATTTCTACAGGGGCCTAACTAGGGAACAAAGCATTGTGTAATATTATCGGCCAGTGGTCACTGCATCAAATCAACATTTCGTGAGCGAGTTGTAATAAGCAGAGCGTTTACTTCAAACTATCGAGTCCCAGCCAGAATGCAAAGTCCGGGCCCTTTGGGGGGGAAAAAAAAAAGTTGCAAATATCGGGGCGTCATGTCATTGCGGGGGTGCTTAGAGGTCTGACCGCCTTGTGAATTCCCATGTTAATGGCGGCAGAAAAAACGCCAAGATTTCGCATAAGCGATTTCTCCACACCCCAAAAAATTTCGAACCACCCGAAAATTCGCAGCCAATCCGCCCGCAACCGCCGCAGCAAAAGCTCACTGCTCACCGAGTTAAGTTGTCCTGCACCGCCCAGCTGCCTAACTTTTTTTTGTTGCTCTCTTACGGCTCCCAACCCTTGCAGCTCAACAAACGAATTGATACCTGCCCCTGGACAAAGCCTTAATTTGTAATTCCAGCAGCAAGAAGGGAGAAGGAAAAGGGACCAAAAAAATGGCGGACTCTTCATTGCAGGTTCGTTATGTCCGTGCCCCGCCACTTGCAAAAAAAAGCTGGCGGCGGCGCTTCGATCAATCGTGTGATGCCAGCAGGATTGACAATCATATAGGACCGCCTGCGCGAGCACTCAAAGGCCTTTGACGGCCTCTTGTCTCTCATCCCGGCCAAGATGTACTACGGAGAAGACAACTCTGTATGTTTGCCCTATCCAAAGAATCCCTTCTACTTCTGCATCACAAGTCTTCGGGCGGCAACCGACATGCCACGGCTGCTGCGCCTCCTTCAAGCACTCACAGTGACATTTGAGCACCTGTAACGAACAAGGACGTATGCTTACGCAGCTTCTGGTCACAGGATCAATGGAAGAAGAAGAAGCAGACAAAGGCTGAGGCGAAGGCCGCGAAGACCGCAAAGCTCGACCCCGACAGCGAACTGAACCGCAACGCCAAAGAGGTCATGGACGAGCGGGCGCGCAACAAGCGCAAGCTTCAGGATATGCAAGAGGAGGAAGACAAAGAAGATGATGAGCCTGTGCCCGGTGTTGAGAGGGAGCTCCCCGGCCAGGGTCTCAGACACAAGGATAATAAGAAGCAAAAGACTGCCGAGCCGATTGATACGATTGATGACGCCAACCCCGCCGAAATGTCCCAGACGCAGCTTATGAGACTCGCAAAAAAAGAGGCCAAGACGCAGAAGCGGCAGGAGAAGAAGGTGAAGAAGGCGGAGAAGAAGGCTGCCAAGACGGAGGCCGCCGCCGCCGCTGCTGCCGCCAATGATGAGGCAACCGAGGCGACAGAGTCAACGACCAAGCCTGAGCAAGGCACACCCAAGGCGACTGCAAAGTCCACCGTGGCCAAGAAGCAGGCTGGACCCAAGAAGAAGCAGCAGCAGCAGGAGCAGAAGAAGAAGGCTGAGGCCGCTAGCAACGATCACGACAGAGACGAGGAGTACGAGACTGTTGATGAGGATGAGGTTTTTGAGGCCGAGGAGGATGATCAGCCTGTCAAGATCAAGGACTTGCGCGCGCTCGACATCTCCGGACTGAACCAGGACAAGGCGGCAGAATCCGTCAGCAGCGACTCAACACCGCAGTCTCCCACTTTCGACACAGCCGCCGCCAACGCCGGCGCCGGCTCCAATGAGGCGGCGAGCACCACCACCTCCACAAGCTCCACCGTCCCGCCCTCCGAGAAGCCCAAGCACATCAAGCTCCCCGCCGACACCTCTGCCCTCCGCGCCCGTCTCGCCGCAAGGATAGAAGCTCTGCGTGCTGCCCGCAAGGCTGACGGCCCCGATGGCAAGCCCATCCGCACGCGCCAGGAGCTCATCGAAGCGCGCCGCGCCAAGCAGGCCCAGCGCAAGGAGCACAAGAAAGAGCTGCGCCGCCAATTCAGGATTGAGGAGGACGCTAAGCGCGAGGAGGCTCTCGCCTCTAACTCGCCAAGCGTTATGTCGCCGCGTATCGACCTAGACCGGGACGACGAGCCCGCCAACTTCGCGTTCGGCCGCATCGCCTTTGAGGACGGCACCAAGCTGTCCCACGATCTCTCGCACGCGCTGTCGAGCCACAAGAAGAAGGGCCCGTCGGACCCCAAGACGGCACTCATGAAGGTCCAGAACCAGAAGAAGCGCCTCGCCGCCCTGGACAAGGAGAAGCAGGCCGACATCGCAGAGAAGGAGCAGTGGCTGATTGCACGGAGACGCGCCGAGGGCGAGCGTATTCGCGATGACGAGCAGGCGCTCAAGAAGGCCGTCAAGCGCAAGGACCAGATGAAGAAGAAGAGCGAGAAGGCGTGGAAGGAGCGCAGCGAGGGCGTCGCCAAGGCCATCCGCGAAAAGCAGAAGAAGCGCGACGACAACATCCGCAAGCGCAAGGATGACAAGCTCGCGCACAAGCTTGGTCGCAAGAGTGGCAAGAAGGTCGGCGGCGGTGCGAAGAAGGCGCGCCCTGGGTTTGAAGGCAGCTTCGGCGGCGGCAAGAAGAAGAAATAAGCGCAGCCGAGCTCGGCCCCAAGAATTGTCAACAGCGAGGAACAACACGCAATGTCTTTGAGTGCGTGTGAAGGGAGAGAGTGTGGAGGTAGTAGAGAGAGAGAGAGAGAGAGACAAAACCTAATCGATATCCCGGGTCGAGAAGAGAAAGAGAAAGGGGAAAGGGTTTTCGAGCAGCATCATCTGGCTACGGATGGACGGCGTTTCGGGAAAAAAAGGGACTACTTTGTATTTCTAAACACAAAAAAGGGGATGGCGGCGCAGGAGGGGGAACCATGAATGCATTCTTCAAATCGTTCTAGCCATGATAATCACCGTTTCCCCTTCTGAATCCTGCGCATCATCCGCCAAGAGACGATCTCATTCCAAAGTCATAATTCCCATAAAAAAAAGTACTAGCCCGTTACATGCAGTTTGAAACCACACCATGGAAGATGAGAAAAGAAGGGAAACATAAAATACTTGGATTTGAATGCTCATTAACGCCAGTTGTTGTTCCCCCCCCCCCTTCTTGAATACATCCAACGTAAGCAAGAACAGAAGCAAGGAATGATGGATTGTGTGGAACAGGCCGCGAAATCGGCATCTCGTACTCTTTCCTTGCGACGCGCTACAATTTTTTTCTCAAGAGTTACATTAAAACAATCGCTTACGGGGGGGAAACGTAGTTGAACCCAACCAACTGCACATGTGCTCGTTTTCGCCTTTCCCTCCTTTCCTTCTTTTCATCATCGCCCCCCTTCTGAGAAACCCTTCTCATGAGGTCCCCAGCTGGGAATGCATAAATAAAAAGCGCCGCCTTTCGTAATTTCCCCCGGTAAAACCCCATCCGCCTACCTAGATGCCACGCCGATTTTTCTGTGTGGGTTTCCGGGGAAAGAAAAGCGAAATAAAGATCTTTCATCCCCTGCTTTGCTTTATCATTTCTCGTAAGGGGTTCGAATGTGGTTCAAAGTTTTTTTGGGAGCGCTGAATGCTGCGGCGTCTCGATCGTGTGTTGTCTAGGTTGTGAATGGGATTAAAAAAGAAAAAGGAGATTCTCCAGCGCTTGCGCTCAACTCGCCGTTTCAAGGCCACCTCGCTGGGAGGGACGACCTAGGCAATGGAACGGTCGGGATTCGAGAGTTTCAAGGTCGGTTATGTTTACAAGAGTGAATCGAGGCGGGTGAAAACGCTCAGACAGGCGGCAACAACCTCTAGTTGCAGCTCCTTGTCCTTGCCCTTGCTGACCTCCTACAATTTGTTAGTTGCTGTAAGCAGGGAAGAGCATTCCGGACGTACCTCTTGAATAACCTGGGGCAGATTGGCGCCGATTCCGTTGCCGGTGGCCTTCTTGCCGAATGGCCACTGGCTGTAGTCAGCGAGCAGCTCATCTGTCTGGGCAAAGGCGCGTTCGCGAGCCTCGTGGCCGAGGGTGCTGAGGGCATTCTCAAGCACGTTGGCGGCGTAGGCAGCGCAGACCATAGCGATAGTCCGGACGTAGCGGAACTCGAGGTTTTCGGGAAGGAACTGGGAAGCAGGCAGGACAACGGTTCGCTGGGTGAGGACGTTGCGGACGCGGCGGCGGATCTCCTCCTTGGCGCCTCCATCCGCGACGGGGTGGGTCGCCATATCGAAGAGGAGGAAGTTGCGCTTTTCGGTGCGGAGGATACCCTTGTCGACGAGACCCTTGGCCAGACGCTCACGCACCTGTTTTAATTGGTAGCCGATCTTCATCAGATTCCAAGTCTCTCCTGTTTGTGGATGTGACTGTCAGCTCGAGCGCTTGATGGCGAAGTGGACAGCGTGGTATTTGTTTCTAGGGAGGAAAAGGGGGCGAATTACCGCTCATCAGGTCAATCCACGAGCTCACGCTCATCTTCTCGCTCTGCTTCATCATTTTCAATGCCTCGTCGAGAAGCACCTCGCCAGTGAGGGTATCGTCAATAACTTCGATGACGCGGTCTGCCAGCGGGAAGCGCCTTCTCGAGGCGTCCTTCTGCATGCTAATGCGACCGCGGAAAGCGAGCTCGATGACGATGCATCCTCGCAGTGCGTATGAGATGTTGTCGTTCCAGAATGACAGGTAGCCCTATAGCGCGAAAATAGCCAATTAGCGAATTTTGTTCGAGAGGGGTTACAATACAGAGCTTGTTCCAGGCATACCTGCTTGTCCTTCAATCCAAGCAGCAGGACCTCCTCCATCAAAGTCAGCTTAGGCTGTTTGCTTCGCTCAGCGCTCTCGCTGATGTCGCGGGGATCAAAGGCAATTTTGTGGCCATTCTCGCCGCTCTCGTAGCTCGTCTCCGGGGCGCTGTCCCTGACGTTGTTCGTAGAGTTGGCCCGGCTGGCGCCATTGCTGGTCTCGCCTTCGGCAGCCGCACCGCCTCCGCCTCCACCGCGGCGTCGAGTCAAACCTCCTGCTGATGACATTGTGTATCGAAAAGTTAGAGGGTATCGTGGGAATGTCGTCAATGGTGCAACGGGTAAGGCTGGCTAAGGGTTGGTCGGAAATCGGGGCTAGGTCAAACGGTCGTCGCAGGTGAGACGTCTGACACTATTTCGAGGCGCGCGAGTGTGCACCTTATGAAAAAGGTAATCGGGAGTAGGCCCGCAGGTATTATAGGTTGCTGTTGCGGAGCAAGACGGCAAAGGCTTGATAGTGGTGTTGAGGTCCCTTCTCGCTATTCTCCCTATCTCGGCGATCGGGCGAGGGAGCTGCAGCTGCTGTGCTGGCTTGAGCGGTTGATGTGTACTTCACGCTGTTCAGAAACGGCAAATCGAATGCTGTTTCGGTGCCTTTAACAATGGCGAGGGTCAGTCCAATCCTGCCGATGAGCGAGGTGCTGGATAAGCAGGTTGTCGAAAGAAGATTGACGCTGTGTCGTGTGCCCTTTGCTCGTATCTCCCCAAAGGCCTGCTTGGGTAAGTTTGGCCCCTTCTCAATGAAATGGAATTTCTCGCAGCCTGGGATTGCACCGCCCCAGCTGAGTGCACGGGCCAAGGGAGCATGTTGAGCTCTTGTGGCGCCATTGAGGCTTAGGCCCCACCTGCCCTGAGGTGCACGACGACATACACTAAATTACGGATACTGGGCTCTGAATGGAAGGGATGGAGCTCCCCCACCACCCGTGCGTGGGCCCTGGGATAAACAGAATGACATTGCTTCAACGAGAATCATCTTGTCATGTTCCTCTACGTAGACCCCATCCACGATGAAAAGCTTTACCAAAACCATCAAAAGACTGCATTGAGACACAGATCTGCTCAATGATAACCGATCAACCTACCGACCATCGATACCGGAACCCGTCCATAAATTGCACCGGCCTTGACTCAGGATACCAAAGTCTATTTCAGCAACCAAGTCCACAATTTCCTCTGCGTGTCTCTTGAACCACCTGTTTTACTTCGCTGAAACCATTTTTCCGCACCTAATCTACGTCTGGCTCGAACACGTGGCCAGACGCGTGTGCTCACTGAGGAAATTTCCGTTCCCTTATCGAGATCCTGTCTTAGTGGGAACGGCTACATCGCGATCTCCGTAGTCCGAGCTGCCGGCTTCGGTAAATCTACCAGTCCGGCAATTCATACTAGAAGCATGACAAACTACTGCTTTATCTGATCACCATTGACTAGGAGGTGTATGTGTTTCTCGAGACAATTTTTACTTGCATTAAAGGAGGAGAAGACGCTTTTTTTCCCTCGTCAAAGTATGCGAGCTACAGCTCGAAAATAATGGGTCAAACGATTTTGCTTTGAGGGAAATGAGATGACAACTTAAACGTGTCGATTGAAGGGATCCCATTATTAACCTTTAACTTATCATTTCCTATTGCCGTACACCATATTTTGATCGGCCTGAACTTATGCCGCCTAACATTGCAAGCCCACCGGGCTAGCACACCGGTGCAGTGCAGCGGAAGGCACGGCCATGGTGGGGTTACGGCTTCATGGGGTCGGCGCCGGTCGGGTCTGCACGGACGCTACGTTGTTCCGCCGCCGGGAACGCTAGCGCGAGAAAGGCAAAGTTGCCGGTCCCGGGGTTAGGTAGGCAAAATAGAAATCCTCTGAATTAAATAAATGGCAAAGTGGAGTACCCAGCGAGTGTGGACTAACAGGGCGCATCAGGGATGTGCCTGGCTTACTTTCCCAAATGCAACATACCGCAGCAACACTCAAACCTCGAATTCACCGATGGAATACGACTGACGAGGTTTGAATGTATTGTTGTGGCCAAGACATAATATGGCTCACCAGGAAAAGTCGGATGGACTGGAGACTCGGCCTGAGACTCAACAAGTGATTGCTCTGCCGGGCACCCAATTCGAGTTCAAGTTCGAGGTCCCCGATTATCCAGATTCCGACTCTGACGATGGAGCTTCAATCACATCGTTGAAGGCCAGTATCCTTGATTACCGCCGGGAAAATGGGCGCACCTACCACCGTTTCAGTGACGGCCACTATGCCCTTCCGAATGATGATCTTGAGCAAGAGCGCCTGGACATCGCAAACCACCTGTGGACCTTGGTCTGGGACGGCGAGCCATGCCTATGCCCAAAAAAAGACGGCGCTAAGCGTGTCCTTGACATCGGTACAGGAACGGGGATATGGGCTCTAGATTACGCCGATGAGCACCCCGACTCGACGGTTATCGGGGTGGATTTGAGCCCCATTCAGCCCGACTATGTCCCGCTGAATTGCGTTTTCGAAGTTGACGACCTTGAGAGAGAATGGGCGTGGTCTGAGCCATTTGACTTCATCTTTTCTCGCAATATGCTTGGCAGTTTTCATAGTTGGGAGTGGATTGTTAGCCAAGCCTTCGATAATCTGGAGCCAGGCGGGTACTTCGAAATCCATGATAACCTCTATCCTATAGAGTGCGATGACGGCACGCTGACGGAGGACATGGCGCTTTTCAAATGGTCGGCGCTTCTTGTTGAGGCCGTAGAGAAGATGGGACGTTCTCTTACCGTCACGTCTAACCTGTCCCAAATCCTTGAGGATGTAGGATTTGAGGACGTGACTGTGACGAAGCAGAAAATGCCTGTCTCACCGTGGCCCAGGGATCACAGGCTACAAGAACTAGGGAACTGGACACAGGCATCACTGCTGCCTGGCATTGAGGGCATGGCCATGGCACTTTTTACCCGTGTTCTTGGCTGGACGCCCGCAGAGGTTCTTGTGTTCTGTGCCCAAGTCAGACGAGATGTAAAGAACCTGGGTATTCATGCATATTGGTATGGATATTCTATCTATGGAAGAAAGCCGATGCTCAAGAAGGAGGTTCGAAAAGATGCACCTAAAGAGATGCCACAGAACAACCCAGAGGAAATACCGGAAGCAGAACCAGAGGATTTGACAAAAACGGACACAACAGAATGATCTCAAATCGATAATGACATTGTAACATTACTCAAAGTTACGGTCGGTTTCGGTAACTTTTCATCACACAGCACATCATCCATGCTGGGCCGATGAAGTATGCCGGCATGATCAGCTCAACCGCCAACCGCCTTTCCAAGGCGTGATGTGGATTAAAAACGACCTGAAGCCGATAGATTGTATCGACTACAGCTCGACTCTGATCAGTTTCACGCCTCCTCCTTCATCAACCGGGCTTTCGCATTCCAAGCAAATCTCAGGTTCACGGTACGTTCTCTGTCGAACCGGGCTGTCTAAGTAATGGAACTTTGACCGAACAATACTCGGCTCGGGCCTGAACTGTGTGCCTTCACTTGTAAAACTATGCTTCTGGTATCTTACTTATAAAGACTTTCCAGTCGTCGGGACACCATCGTGTGACTGGGAGAAGAATGGAGACAGTCACCGTGCTCACACATTCTGACATCAGCACTCTGTATCATTACTGTGATGCTTGACAGGACAGGAGACACTGTGAACTGAACATAGGTCATTCAACTGTTCCTATATTAGATTCGTCTTATGCGACGTCAGCAGCGTTGCAGCAAAGGGTATATATCCTAGGTGGTTTGCCGCATTGAGAGGCCCTGTCAGCTCGATATCCAAGCTGGACGCTTACGAGCAATGAATCCTGATACCCCTATGCGGTCAAAAAATATAGTTTATGTATATTCTGATTTGGTTAGTTAATATGTATCTAAGGTTCGGGCTGCGTCAAGTCCTCACATGATTACGCATCTCAGTCCGTCCCGGCATCGCTGCCTAAACTTCGAGGCTTGCCCAGCGCTGACTGGCGTTTCCAAAGAGTGTGTAGTAACTTTCCTCCTGAAATGACGGTAAATCTACGATGAGACTGTGACCAGCCAAAGAACCGCCTCAATTCGCCGATCTCATATCCCCCTAAGTTTCAAGGACGTTGATGAAACAGGTGGAGCTGTCTTGGTGCCAAGACCAAACAGACTTTATCCCATATTTCAAGCCGGATACTTTACTGTCGTTTTATGACTGCGAAGTGAGCCGGATTTACTCTCTAATATAACTTAAGTCTCCCATTGTTTGTTTACCTTTCTAATAAGGGCTATCATTATGCTGTGTTTATTAGCAATTACATATTTGGCCTTGGCGTCGTGCTCTGCCGCATCAGAGGCCCAAGCGCGGCTTTTGGGGACACGAACATGTCCCTGGACACCCCTTGAGGAGTCAGTATTGGAATGTCCAGTCAAAGACAGAACAACATCAAATGGAGAATATTCGACACAAAAGTCAAACAATGAGACGAGGCCGGATGAGCCTCAAGACTGGACTGGCCCACATGGATGCGCAGGGGACTACTGTCTGTATGCGCACAGAGGCTTTGCGGCCGGAAGGGGGGTTGTCATCATCTCAACGCTGGAAAACCAGCAAAAGTTGAAGGAAATGGGGGAAAAGATCGAAGAACATAGCACAGGCGACCCAGGCTCATCAACCCCTCCATTCCGCATCACCGAGGTGGGCGGCAAAGGATTGGGCATGATCGCCAACAAGACACTCGCGCGAGGGGACATTGTTATGCTGCAGACCCCCGTACTCATCGCCCATCGCGCCTTCATTGAACACACGCCTCCAGCTAAGCAGTATCCTCTTCTTGATGCTGTCGCGAATCTTTTACCTGCACCAGCACGGAAGAGCTTCCTCGGCCAGATGGCACATTTCGGTGGCCATGAGATCGTCGACATAATGCAAACCAATGCTTTCCAGATGGACCTTGGTGGCGGATCCCAAGGCGACGGCCACCACTATGGCAACTTCCCGGAGGTATCACGGTATAACCACGACTGTCGGCCCAATGTCGCCTTCCATATCGGTACCGATGGGCGTCACAAGACCACTGTCGTAAGGCCAGTGAAGCCGGGTGAGGAGCTAACGATATCGTATCTAGACCAGCTCGATGTGCGTTCTTTACGACAGGAACGTGCCAGGATAGCATGGGGGTTCGATTGTGGGTGTTCACAGTGCAGCCTTGCGAAAAGAAAAGCCGCGGCGTCTGATAAACGGTTGGTAGAGATTCAGGATACTGAGAGAAAGCTTTCGGATATCACCGCCAAAGTGACGACGTCCTTGATTGAGAAGTTGTTAAAGCTGTACGAGGAAGAGAGGTTGGAGTCGAAGTTGGCCGGCGCGTATACTTTGGCAGCGCTCAACTTCAATTTGCTTGGAGACAAGAACAAGGCAACCAAGTACGCAAAGCTGGCGGTGGAGGCTGGGGTAATCGAGAACGGGTCGGATGCGCCAGATGTTGAAGCCATGCGGGTGCTGGCAGCTGACCCTAAAAAGCATTTTACATGGAGAGGGAGACTAAATTGAGAAAAGGTGGAGATTTGGAGTGATGTACAAATACCCTGCTGTCGATGAATTTTCGTCCCCAGAATCACATATTAAGATTCTAATCAGGTTCCTTATGAGGAACTTGCCCTATCCTACAGCGACAGGCAGAAAGGACGCGTTGGTCTTGCTGTGCAAATCCACATCCAATATTGGACGCGTCAAAGCTTACAACCTGACTACTAATCTCAAAAAGGCTTGGGCTCCGTTGGAACTATTTGGTCTGGTTGAACTTGTACCAAGTATGCGGGGCGTAGTAGTCTCATAGCGAGCAGTGACAGGTTTTTGGCACAAAATTTAACAAATGAAAGAAGCAATACGAGGTCCCACTCATGACTGCGGTGTCTATGGCGAGAAAGTAAGTCTTCAAAGGCAGGACACAGACTACGGAACAATCATTTAAACAACCGGATAATTTGGCTGTTTAAAAGATGGAGAAAGGTAAATAGTCACAAATTTACCACTACAGCACGTTTCAAGTAATGTTGTATGGGAGGAATTTCTCATACATCTTAACGATTCAAAACGGGCATTTCAACCAAACCCAACTGGAATCACAGAAAAATGCAACTGTATGAATGTGGGCTGCAAAGCGGTGGTATTGTTCTCGTGTGGTGGATGGACGGGTGTCTCACACGACCCGAGCACTCCTAGTGGCCGGCGGCAAGGATCGCGATCAAAGACACAGCCACGAGGGAGGTCTTAATTAGCCCCAGGAACAAGGAGCAAACAAGGCAGCTTGGTAAAGCAGAAATAGGTAAAAGAAGAGCCATTACTGGATGTCCTCATGACCGGATGACAGCGGCCAGAAAACGACGGGTGGTGTGGTGACGGGACCATGGTGCGGGTGGGCCCCGAGCTTCCAGCGCTGCCGGAGAGCCCACTCCGGAGCATTGGCCAATCGATGCGGGGTTTTTCGGGCTGTTTTCCCAACCACCGGGGATGTCAGCCAGTGACGTAAACGTGATGGGACGGTCACGGCTCCACCTACAACTTCCTACGTCGCTGATCTCACAATGTGACATTGCTAAATAACCTTCTTGCCGGCATCGCCCACTTTGCTAGCGACAACTGGCCGCTGGCTAGCCTGGATTTGTCGTGGGGGGTTGATTGCCCTCGAAATTCCTGCCAGGAACCTAAAGCAAGGGCTCTTTTTTTGTAATTGTTCTCGGTTCAGATATGGAGGGGTAAGAGAAGCGCCGCTCAAAGCGCAAAAAGAAATAAGGAAAAAAAAGACCTCCCTTTGAAAACCGTTTCGACCAACAGATGAACATCAAGGCGACGATCCAGGGCGGGTGGGACCAGCAGCCTCGTGTCTTGGGAGCTTGAATCCCATGAAAGCCAGGATGCGCTTTCTGCGCAGACCTGGTTACCGACCGACAAAGGTCCAAGATCTACCTTGCAACGAGGGGGGGATTCGTCCAAGAAATTTCCATTTTCGCATTCCCACCCACACTTACACAGCACTGCTTGCTTGCTTTCCAATGATGTCCAGGTCACCGAGGGATTTCTCAGTCACTTTCCGTACCCGCCCTGGTCACATCGTTGCCATGACTTGCAGACCTTGCCCCATCCACTCGGCTTTTGGGGGGGGGGGGGTTCTAGCCAACCCTCGATTGGACCTTTCTTCTTTCTCGGGCCTGTTGGCGCTTTTCCTCGTCCAAAAAAATGCATTGTCGTCATCAAATTGTCACTAGTTAACAGTATTTATCATAATCTCTTCATCCCCTCCCGCTGTAGTACTCGTAGTCTTTGAGTTGTCATCTGGTCTCCGTCTCTCTCAGGTTATCAAGCTTCATCTACAGTAGGCTGCTCTCGTCCTTCTCAGCTGCCATATAATTCAAAGTCACCACAATGGCGCCGGCAGTACCAGTCTCTGATGCCCTCGCTGGGCTCATCCCACGCTCGGCATCCTCGGATTCAAGTCCGACAAAGACCCTCCCCCTCGCCCTCCGCGACATCTTCATCCGGCAAACCGTTGTGACGGTCACCGCTACCCCTAATACCGACGAGAGCGCATCGGACAACAACCTCAGCGGCGGTGCTATCGCCGGAATCGTCATCGGCTCTATCGCAGGATTCCTCCTGCTCCTGTGGATCATCAAGTCTTGCGGCATGTGGAGCAAGCCGGACGACTGGGCTGAGAAGGATGCCTACCGTGGGAGGTCGCCAGCTTCGCGTCACCACAGAAGACACCACGGCCACGGACACTACCACCATGAGACGTCCCGGTCGCGGCGACCTTCGTACGAAATCAACGAGGTTCGCTACGCGCAGCCCGTCACCTATGAGAAGAGGAGGGCGAGCGCATCACCGAGGGCTCCCGCGCCCGTGTACCACACCAGCCGCAGTAGATCAAGGTACTAGCGCTACTGGTACATCCTGAACTACTATAATTTCCTTGAAGAACGTGATGGAGTTCATGCTGGCGCATGTGGGCATACGAGAAAGAAAGCTGGGTTTGCAGCGGGCAAATGAAGTTGCATGAACGTGACTGTGTGCTTTTTCTGTTATTTTCTTTATCTTTCTCACGAGATTATGATACTCAATTTTGTCATTTCAATTAAGTGTGTATAATAATATGACTAGATACTTGGAAACGATTAAAAGACTTCAATGAAATCGACATCTCAGCCGTACTATCGCCACACTGTGTAGGATTGGCGATATGACCGGAAAGAGCTATTGTACCTGCGTACAAGTATAATCGAGCGCACCAAAAAAGAATCATACTTCATGTGAATGTGTAATCTTCTCTTACGATCCGTGCTCTTAGAAGTCGTGCAAATAGAGCGGCAGCAAACGTCTGCAAAAATATGCATGCGTGGTTCCATGTCAGATACTCGTCGATTGGTAAAATACGAATATTGCTTTCGCAAGTTTAGTTGTAGCAAGCCCCAAGTAGTTGAATGATACAAGGTCCGTAGAACAGAGTCATCAATAATCTAGAGGCTCTTCTGAACAAAGGAATCATTTTGTCGTTGCAGTTCACCCCATTTATACCCTAAAATATTGGTGTAGATCAAGAACAATGTCTAATCTAGAGACTCTACCGATATTCGACGATCAAAAAAACATTAATAAATAGGCACATGTGGCATCATATAATATTGAAGATAAAAAAATGGACTTCCCAAACCAGGCTGAACTATCATAGATAGTAAATCTGGTTTTAAGTAATGCCAACTGGCCACAATGGCTCTAGTACGACGAAACAATTGGCTCATGCAAAATCCTATCTTCCGGACCTCCAAATGATGACTGCAAGTTTGCTCTTTCTCATTCATACATATTCAATAACGGGATGCCAGTGCATACTTATGCTACAGGGAACCTAGAGACCAAAAACCTGCATAGCTGTGATAAGAATGTATTAAACACAAGGCTATCCTCCATCTATCCGAAGGGGATTAGTAGCCTTCTATTGACTGCCTGTGGCCTGTCACCTATCCTCGACTCTTGGAAGATGTCCGTGTACCAAAATAACGCCCCTCATATATCCATAATCATCAGAGACCAGCCGGCCCTTCACCCAGACTTGGTCTTGTTCTTCTGGACCCAGTCGTACCACTTCTTATATTCAGCGTACTCCAAGGCCTCTTTCTTGCCCTGATACCGGACCACCTTGAGCTCGATATCTTGCCATTTTTCCTTGCGCCCAACCCATCCAGCCTTCCGCATAAGGCTCACAAGTGTCTCCTCCTTGGTCCATTCCTGCTCAACGGCGACGTCGGGAAGATAGGTCGCGCCGTAGCGCTTGCCGTGGTAGAAGAAGCTGATGCGCAGGCCGTGCACACCAAGAGTCCAGTCCATGGCATCGTCACAGTCCTCAAAATCGGTTAGGAGGGTCACGCCTACCTCGAGGGAGGGTAGCTCCGACGCCTCGATGGGCGGGAAGCGCATGTCGTGGAGTGCCGAGGTTAGGCTGTAGCTTGACAGCCCATCCTCGAGCTCCTGCGGCTCAAAGGTGCCTATGCAGCCTCGAAGCGAGCGGTGACCCGAACGTGGTGAGATGGTATTCCAAGTCACAAAGAGCGGAGACTCGGTGATGACGGTATCGTCGTCGTCGTCAGCTTCGGCGAGGGAGTTGACGGAGGTCTCGGGGGTCTCGGCGGGCAGCGAGAGGCTGGAGCCGGAGGAGGCGGAGCCCGAGTCACTCGTAGGCTCGGCGAGCCGTTGCAGGGCCGGGAGAAGCTTCTTGGATGCATCCTTGCCATCACCGAGGCCGGGAGACAGGGTCTTGGCGTATTCTGGCCATGACCGTTGGATTTCCTTGAGGGAGAGACCTCGCCGCTTCTCCAAATGCGAAGCCAAAGCCTCGAAACAGTACAGACAGTGTTCCACAGTCGCCATGAGTTCGTTTCAAAGAGGAGGGATTGGGTGGCAAAAGTGGCGTGGTATGTCTCTTAGTAAAATAACAATGGGACGGAAGAGGAGGTTCACAGCGTCCGCAGAGTCGTTCAGGCTGACGGTTGCACAGGATCAGCAGTAGACGATGCGGAGAGGAGCGGTTTGGCACGTTGGAAGTTGGAGAAAGGTTAGAAAACAAGCAAAAGGTACTCGGTAGGTTGGCAGCCATACAGCTTAATGGAAAGTCACTGCTTGAGGATCAGTGGCGTCGCACCTCCAGCTGAACCCCACTTCAGATAACGGAACCCCGCGGTTGGGTGGCAGGGTGGGTTGTGCTTCCATGGATTGTTATGCCATTCATAGAAAGAGTATAAATCCGTGCATAAATTGTATCCATCATCTGTGTTGTGTCTCCCGAGGAAAGATGAACCTTAAGGCAAACGCCAACATTATGTAAGAAGTTCATCGGGTTAAGCACATGAGAGGGAAACGACGATCAAAGCTAAAAATAAAAACCGGGCCGCTCAAATGATTTTCCTGCCTCAGACTACCCATTCATTTGGGCATCTTGGTATCAACGGCACAGGGGTTGGCCAGTTTCGAAACACCTCCTGAACGGGAACGACACTGGTCCGAACACTTTCATCTGGTCCAGCTGTCGAGGTCGCCAGGGAACCGGTCTGTTCTAGCCTCCCACCTTCCAGGTTATTGAAAAAAAAACACTCCCAAATCCCCATCCTCCGGCTAAGCTTCACAATAAAGTACACTGGGGTGAAGACTTGGCAACGCTGGGGTGACAACCTTTAACCCCGTCTTCCCCTGCGGACTTTGCTACCGGAACTTGGTGAAAGCGAGCGGCCTCTTGTATGATCTTCGCTTGCCCCAACCTCGAGCAAGGCTCTGATACGAGGCCTATATAGACTAGTGGGCCGCTCCTACGCGTCTCCCTCGTCGCAGCCCAGTTTCAGACGTTTTTGCCGTTGCTAACGTATTTTCTCCTGCGATCAGCCCTCTTGGACCGCTCTGATCATCCACATCATTACGTTGGCTGAGGCACTGAAGGCCGGGGAAGAGGTGGAGGTCTGGGCCAATGCTTCCTTAATTTTTCATCGGATGAGCTTCTAGGCGAGGCATCTGTTAGCGGGATGACACCCTGGGAAGTCCCTTGTGTCTGCGTGGTTGACTCGATGGCATATTACTTCTTTTGGTGAGGCCACGGCTGGCCCTTGGTCAAGTAACCGATGTCGCGAGCTGTGGCAACGATAGCCAGGGATGGGGCCGGGCGGGGGCCCTGACCGCTGGTCACAACTTGAAGCTCCGGGGCAATGATTGTGAGTTCAAGTCAGATTTTGGATGACAGCAGTCTGGATGACCTGACACCCGTGCGTATGCCAGCTCCCTCCCTATACTTGTCTGATGTATGATGTCGATGGCGATACTTGGCGCAGACCCTGGGCGTTGTGTGTGTCTCGTTAAGATACAAATACCTGCTTTCCCTTCCGGTGTTCTGTTTCTTTTGGACTTGGTATTCAACCAACAAACATTCTCTTACCCGCATCGGACTTTTTTTGTCTTTCTCTTCGTGTACAGAACTTATCTGCTCGTCGCCGGCCGACACTCGTTACAACCAACCAAGACAATAACACCGTCAAAATGAAGTACTCCGTCTTCACTCTTTTCGCCGTTGCTGCCGCTTTCGTCGCTGCTGCTCCCACTGAGCGTATGTTGCTATCCACACAGGATGCAGGAGAATCTAGTGTTAACAAGTTGTACAGAGGTCGAGAAGCGACAGGCTGGCGTGGCAGTCAACGAGGCTGCCATGACGGATGCAAACGGCAACATCATTCCCTTCAGCTCCACCGGTGTCTACCAGGCCAACAAGGAAGCCGGTCTCTAAATCACATTCGGCTCAACTTGAGGGGGATGGGATATAGGTCGTCGATCGGCCCTTTGAGAACGCAACATCATACCACAACCCGCCTGTAACTCCACAATCTGGCGACAAGCTGGGATGGAACTACATGCGGAATAGGCATTATGACAATTCAATTAACGATATTGGCTTTTATTTTTGATCTGGGATCGGGTTTAACGAACAGAGTGACATTTAGTCCTCCGTCCTCTTGAAGCAGATAATACTTTCAATAAACTCGGCTGGCATGCGCAAAAAATGCGCAAAGGCCAGCCTTTTTTTCACGGGACTCATGAGAATTCAATGTGACTCACGTTTGTATCGCGCATTATACTGAGCGGTCATTTTTTATGCATCTGTAGGTCCCTCACGTTCCATCATACTTTATGGAAGGGATCTTCAGAGCACGAAAGTTCCCTGCCGATAAGATGATCCGACTGGTTGCTATTCCTGAACCTGGAGAATATTGGAAAACTGGGAAAGACTTGGTTGTAAGCTTAAACACCGAGAACCCACCAGGAGTGGATGTCCATACAGGGGCGTTGCAACGGGCGACCAAGAAGCAGATGCCTGGGCAGTCTCCATGGGTAGGCGAGATGGGCTGGGGGGTCGTCGTCCGGACAAGCTCAGCCACGATTCATCCTACGAGACCAGCTCCAGCTTGCTTCAGAAAGAGGGAAACCGACCCGCCAAAAGCCTTGGGTATTGCATGGCTATGGGCCAGAAAATTCGACTGCCTGATTCTGGATATGTTTCTAATGGGCTGTAAATTTTCCGCCCAAAACGTGCAGCTTGGTGTTGCTATTCTGTTGGTTGTTGGGGCTTTGCAAACAACATTAGACCCCCTTGCAAGCTCCGCTATTGGTCCGTCCCAGAAGGACTCAAGGGGAGACGGGAATTATTCTGGGAAGGCCATTAGAGTTTGTAAATGATGTTTCGTACGTGTTGGGTCCTGCGTTGGAAGGGGCTGTTCGAACAGCCATGGGCGTTGAGGTCATGTCATCTGGACCATTGGCAACTTCAGAGTCGTTGTCAGAAGGTCGGTTCGAGAAGAAGTGGCTGCCAGTGGAGCTGCTGTCTGGAACTTGGCATTACGGACGTTGGACTGGGCAAACGAAGGCCAAGAATGGCCTTCAGACTCACACGTCAACCTGTCACATAAGAACATGTGCAAGTCGGCCGTCTGAAGTACTTTCCTCGGTGTCGTCCCCTTTGAGAGGGTGCATGAAGATGGGCCGACTTAACAGAAAGACATTGCCGCCTTATGCAGATCAGATAACTTTAACTTGTGCTCATCTTGAGACGAATACTTCAGTGGCCAGCATCATCGGATGCTCTGGCAACCAGATCGAGAAGAAAAGCGGAAGAGGCGTTGAGGGGCCTGTTGATTAAGAGCGACAACGTGGATGTGTTTACTACGAAGGAGTAGGTGCTAAAAACCAAAACGGCAAGGGAACAGAGAGGAAAGACAAGCCATAAGAGCTTGGGCCCCACCAGTCTGCCTCTGCAGTCTGCCTACACTACGGGGTGTTATCCGCACTGTTCCCTACAGGCCTACCATCATAGTCGCACGGTGCCCTAGCCTGGTTCAGGCCTTCGGGCGGGCATCGGACTCGCTTCTCTCTCCTAGCTGGCTTGCTTGTCTCTGCGCCTCTTTTCCCGCTGTCCACCAAAACCTGTGTTAGGTGACCGACGCCCAACAAACTTCCAACGCCAGCGCAATTTTCCGACTCCCCTGCACTGATTGACTTGGCTGACATCCTGGGTCGCTGCATTAGAGACGCAAACACTGGGACTGGTTCCGTCCGGTTGGGCGACAGAGTCACACTGATGCAACCGTGTGGATGGCCAGCCTTAATCAAGCTCGTCGTAACCAGCTTCGTCGACCAACCTTATGACATCTCACCTTTTCCACCGACTAGTGCTCCAAAGATCATGCAAAACTCAACCTCATCTCACCTTAAGCTGCAGCCTTACTGAGTCACTGCCACAATGCGGCCCGCAAGACAACTCAGAGGGCGGGCGCGGGTAGTGTACTTGCACCAGCCAGAGTCCATAGTGTAGGTGAAGGACACGCAGGGACCAGAAGCTGTCTCTCGTCCCTGGCGTCAGCAACAGCAAATGTGGTGCTCGAATTAGTCTCGAGCTAGACCGCTTTCGAACATATTCTCCACCATCAGCCCTGCTGAGAATGCCGTTTGTCTCTTGAGGGCTGGTCAAAGAGACCTCACCACATCATCAAATGGGCCAACAACATTGGCCGATTTATCCACGTTAGACTTAGTCTGGCTCAGCTCGGCACCAGCATCCACTCAACATACCCGCTATTACACCCTCCTCTATCTGTCAGAGGATACCACCTGGGAGCCAAGTGCCAGTGCCCCAAGGCAACCACTTATGCCGCAAAATGACACAATTTCCCAGAGACTTTTCTACGGGGGATTCACAAGTGGAGAGAGTTGATCTATTGTGCTTGCGCAGCCACCACAAGCGCGTCTCAAATAGTCGATATGTGATCCTCCAGGAAGACGACAAGCGCGTAGCGAGATGACCAAGACCAACTCTCGATTTGCTCCACCCTCCACTTGCCCCTCAAGAGCCGCAACTCTGGGATTCGCGTTGCCTTTTCTGTTAAACATAAGCCAGGTTAAGCGAGCTGCTGGGCTGTGAAGCATGGCAATTTGGCGCTGCAGTCCACCCTGACCCAAAGTCCCTCTTCCGGACATCTCTGCGACATCCCTGTCTTGTTTTGACTGTTATTTGCGCATGCGAACAGCCAACCAACAGTTTTTGGCTGTCGTAAGCTCGGCGTGCCTCATTGTCCAAAACTCCCTCCTCTAAGGGACGAGTGGGAAAGCATGCGCTGATTTTGTGACTTGGTTGGCTGGCTAGATCAAAGTCGCCCAATACATCATGGCCAAGTCTCAGCCGCAAACGCCATCCGACGCATCACAGCGATGCGGCTTTCATTCCATTATTCGATCAAACAGCCCGCCCTTGCCTAAGTCGTTGTGGTCGAACGGAAGAAACCCGCGTGGGTGCCGGCAAGAAGGCGTTTAATTTCCCTCATGATCCGAGACCCCAAGTACCCCTAGCTGCCTCTACTATGCTCCAACGAGTCACTACCGATCCCCCATTGCTTCCACCATTCTCTGGATTAACCCAGGGATACTACACGCCTATCACCGAGGTGTGGGCTAGGCTGGGCTGACAGGGGAGGGTTTTGGCGGAAACCTGAGCCCGTCTGCCCAATAGCACCATCGTGGCTGTTCAGCTTCACCGCTTTCAAAAGAAGAATGGCAAAGCGTTTCCCTAAAGCCCGACTGGGCAGCCGATCCGAACAGTCCACAAGCAAGCCATGCCTAGGGGGACTGCTTCTACACAGGGCTTAGTGTCATCTGGTATGCTGCAGCCTGGCAATGGGGGGCTCCTCTTGCCAGCACTCATTTCAGATGTCCCAGCCCACTGGGTGATATGATTTTATATATAGCAATACCGGGCTCATTACCCCATAACAAAGTTCTGACAGCCTAGCTCGCCTCGTCACAGCCTCGCTCACCCCCGCGTCTCTCGGGCCCGGCTCCGATTAAACCCCTGCCCTCTATTTATCGGTCATTTGTTGTCTAAGAGCATCTGTTTATAAACACTTGGGTTCGCCCTTTGTCTAAGCTAGTCCCTCTAAGCCTCAGACAACGTCTTCAGTGCCTACAGACTCAAGCTTCCTAGGAAACTGATCATCACCGAAACATCATCATGGTTCTTCACCGTCAACAAGCCCAGTTCGACAGGGCAAGATGGCGCATGGCGCTATTGGTCCCTTTCTGGATTCTTCAACTCTTGGTACTTCTTGCCGTCATTGGCCTTTTCTCATGGCGCCTATCAGACACTTTAATGAACTGGGATACTGAGGTGGAATCAAAGGGCATGTTCCCTACGGTCGAGGTTGTGTAAGTGGTTATTCATTCCGGTGAGGGTGGCAACAACTAACTCTGACGCAGATGGGAGTCTGTTAACATTGGCTTCTCTTTGATCTGTCTCGTCTCCACGTTTTACGAAGTTTCCAGACTCGCCGCCGAGACATTAACGCCATGGACTATGCTCTTCACCCATGTCCTCAAGTTTGTTTGTTCTTTGGCGACGCTGGCCCTTGACATTGTGGTGTTTGTGCAGAGAAAAGACAGCCATTACTCTGTAATTGGTCTCAGTTTAGACTGCTTTCTCATGTAAGTCTCAAAAACACATTGGCTAAGAAATAAAAGCTTATTGTCTATAGTCTCCTCATCTCCATCCCTGGCGTTTACTCGATCCTGACGTACCACCGACTTTCCAAATACGACGACTACCACTACCCCGTCAACCACAAACCATATGGCTTCAACGACCTCGAGCAAAGCACATCTTACAACAGCCGTCTATCCATTGGCGGACTAAGCTTGAGCGAGCGATCACTCCGACGAGTCTCCACGTCATCTATCAAGAGCGGAAACAGCACGCCTAACGGCCTGCAGCCCCAACAGCAGCAGCAGCAGTTCGAGCCAAAGCCCGTGCAGCGTACGCAGTCACAGTACAACAACGAGCGAGACACGCAATTTGACCGCTACATGATCGAGCGTGCCATGACCAGCGAGTTCGGCTGGCCTAGCAGTCCCGGCAGCGACAACAACCTTGGCCGCAGCGACAGCTTCGTTGGCAGCGGGTCCGTGACAAACGGGAAGGTCGTGACTCGGGAGAGCATGGGACGCGCGCCGAGCTGGGGCAGCTCGCACGTGCTGGTTGCTGTGCCGGAGATGGACGAAGATGACGCCCCTGGTCACGGCGACAGACAGGCCCTGCTGGGTTACAAGAGACAGGACAGCGACGACAGTGATAGAAACGGCAGCCCCTCGTCGTACCAGGCATACAAGCCCCCTTCGACACGCACAGAGGTGCCCAGAATCGAGGTCGAGGAGTCGGACATTACCGGAGGGCATGCCGGGGACTACGAGCGCAAGAGGAAGAGGAGCCAGTGATTGATTGATTTGTTTCTGTTGGTGATTAAAAGGAGGGCACGATTATACCCATGATTTCTTCATTTTTCAATTTCTTCTTTTTCTGTCATGCATCATTTTCTTAGTTCTACGAGCCGGACGGCTTGTGTACAACTATCTTCTACTCGTTACATTATACCACATTGGTACGGCGTTTGAGATCAAGGAAAAAAATAGGGGGAGCGAGGGACGAAAAACGTCCCGAGGCGATTAGCTTGCTCATAGGGTACCCTCGCTTAGAGATGTTTATACAACGAAGCCATTTTCAGATTTTTCTTTCAAATTTTTTGCTCTCCCCCTACCTGCTATGGTTTCGAACCGGGGTGGCTGGTGCTTGAATAGTCAAGAGGTCGGTTTTGCTATTCCGCGCCGTCGTTCCTCCATCGCAGCCACCGAACCCTTTGACGTAGCAAACCCTAACCCGATGAGCGGAGCGGGTGTAAGTTTGTACACGTCACGTTTTCTGTTTTTTATTTTTTTCCTTCGACAAGGCAGATTTTGTCTTTGGCTCTGTCCTAGCGCATAGCCCTATCCCATCACACCCAGCCGGGTACTCACTAGGAGGCACGGCCTACAGGATTCAGAACCGGATGCGAAGGGGGGTAAATTCCTCAGTAGATCCGTCCAAGAGGGGAAAAAAAAAAGGGGGGGGGGGGTTCAGTCCGATGACATTTGCAATGCAGCCGAGGACTCAAAGATGGGTCCAAAGGATTTCGAATGCGAGGCTCTTAACTTTCTGCCTATACTCTTTTGCTTTTTTTTTTTTCCCCCTCTTACCCAAGGATTTTCTTCGAAGGATCAAAGGCTACCAGTAGGAAGGAGTATTTTGGGGCCCCCCCGGGCCGGTGACAGTTTACGGACAGGGTACTATAATGGCCTGCCTAGAAAAACCGGCCGGGGCAAAGATGGAGAATGGAAATGGGCTGTGTCTGCTTACTTTGTAATCCTTCGACGACATCCGGTTCATCGGTAGAGAAATAGGGAGAAGTGGGTTCCCGACACCACGTTTCTTCTGCTTCGTTTCCTTTCTTTTTCTTTTTCACTCTTTCTAGTGTGGTTTTTAGTGTGTTTCGTAGCTTGCTTGGCGGCTTTATTCGGACATCTATTGTTTTTTTTTTTTGTTTTTTTGGTGACTGGTTACTTTGACAGCACAAGGAACTCACTTCCTGTTTTGGGGGAGTTTTTGGTTTCTTCTCTAGCCGTTGTGTTTCCACTGGGAAGACAAATTTGATTCTGCTAGGGGATACACGCATTATCGATATATACAAATATGGTAACGCCATCGAGAGGTTGTTGCTAGTTTCGAGAAAGTTAGTCAAGGGTGGCTCCAAGCTGCTGCTGCTTGTTCTTGCACCCAAGAGCTGAAGTGAGACAATGCTATTCCATTAATCCACTTTTAAATTGTTATATTAATGATTCAATGAGGTGATAGATGCAAGGACGCGTTACTACTTGTGAACTACCTCCCAAATACAGTAGGGCTAAGTATTGATTCAAAACGATCAGCCTGGCGTTCATTGTAGACCTCGAAAAAAATATATATTAGTTTACTGCTCAAACCAAATATATACACAATTATAGCACACTTCGCAAAGTCTTAAAGGCTCCGACGGACATGGTGAAACAACACGCCGAATCTGACAACCCAGTTTGCTTACAGCGATTTTCTATGTACATCACCAGAACCAACCCTCCCTCTATCATGAACGGTCAGTGGCATATTTGCTCAGGGAAATTCGGCATGGGTAGCCGTCCGTAGGATGCGCGGCCCCCGCCTCCACCATGAAAACCCGCTGTCCGCCAACTGCGCTCAAATCAAACTGCTTATCTCCGTCGAGCTCCGCGTATGCATCCTTCATGTCAAGCTCCCTGACGGTGCAAGCCAGAACCGCTTTCACCTCCGTCATTACCAGCTGCTGTCCCACGCACAACCTTGGCCCGTACTCGAAGATCCGCCAGCCGCCCTTGGGGGGATACAGCTCATGTTCCGGGTCCGTCACGAGCCAGCGCTCCGGGATGAACTCGTCCGGCCGCACCCAGCTCTTCGGGTTGCGCCCAATGGACCAATGAAGCATCGTCACGGCGATTCCATCCGTCGGATATTCATTACCCTGGGCGTCTTTTAGCACCAGATCCGGTGAACCCTGACGGATGCCGCCCGCCGGCGGGAAGAGGCGGAGGGATTCCTTGATACAAGCGTTGGTGTAAGGCAGCGAGTTGAGAAGGCTGGGGTTCTCGACGATCTTGGAGGGCGTGGAGGCTACGTCGACGCCAAAGACTTCGTCGTGCTCCGCGCGGATCTTGGCAAGAATTTCAGGACGAGAGTAGATGTTGTGGAAGCAGTACACGATGGTGGCGGCGGACGAGTCGTAGCCCGCGAAGAAGAACATGCGCATGTTGCGGGTCATGACTCGGAGGTAATCTGCGTCCAGAGTCGTGCGGCCCGCGTTTTGAGGCTGCTCGAGCCAGTTTTCGATGGCGCTGTCGAGAACGGACTGGAACTTCTCGTTCTTTTCACGGTTGTGCACTTTGTTCTCTCTGAGTACCTGGAACCGGGCGTTGATCTGCTTCTTGATGTGGTTGTCGAGGATCCTGCCGCCGTTCCAGGTGCGGAACTTGAGGAAGGGGTCAATGCCGGACAGCACGTTCTCGGGCTTATGGGAGGTGAACTTTAGTCGCAACTGTCCCTTCATCGACTCAGCCAGTGGATGCTTCTTCTTTTGGGTGTCGAGGCGTATGTTCAACAACAGTTGGCCAATTACGTCGACGATGAGGTCAAGCGCCAGCGGTTCCAAACGGAACATTTCGCCTTTTCGAACCTGATCCAGTAATCTGTCCCTGAATGTGCAGACACTGTCGATGATAACAGGGACCTCTGCTGTGATGTTCTGGTTACTGAAGCTGGGGCTGAACAGGCTATGAAGGCGCTTCCAGTGGCGGCCGTTGGTATCGAACTGGCTGGGACCACCAGTGATGGGGTGGAACCAGCCGACGAGCATGGCCGGCTTCTGGAAGCCCGCGACGGGGTGGTAGACGGCCTGGTGCGCCATCCCCGGATCAGTAACGACGAGCATCGGATCGGCCATGGGCCATGTGTCTATGTAGAAGGCGCCGTTGGGGTAAGGCTCGGCAAGCTTTGCCAGGGTATAGTTTGCGTGGGCGCCCGGTGGTAAGATGTCAAAGACCTTCTTGGCCTCCAAGAGATTTCCAAAAATGAAGCTGTGAGGGACCACGGGCTGAACTACTGTGAGTGGGATGAAGAAGGCTTTTCAGTGGAGGTAACTTACAAGTCCTTGCTTCCTCAAATCTGCTATCTTTCTGCGATTCTTGACCAACAGTTTGAAAAAGTATGCTACGGAGCCACCGGCGGCCACGAGAATGGCCGCCACGAAAGACCTCATGACCAAGAGGAGAATGCCTTCCATCGTTACCGTGAGCGATGGCAAGCTCGGAATGGCGGGTGTCGCGCGTGCTCTCACGTCAAGACTCCACGATGGTGTTGTCGTTTTATAGATATGATCGCTGGAATGTTGGGAAAAACCAACTAAAGAGACTACAATCGCCGGTCTCTCGCTGCCACGGCGCGCAGAAACACGTCTCTATCGACTGAACGGAGCTTAGATGGCCGAGCTTGAAGCTGGCAAGATCACAAGTCAACAGCGAAGCCGACAGATTTTGAGTTGGCCAAGGTTGGGAGTTATTTCCTGGCCTGGTTGACCGCTGGTGTTAGCCTCCCGAAAGTCTGGCTGGACCCTGGCGCAGGAGCATAAACGCCGCCTAGCAGATGAATTGGGGCCTCGCATTGGCTGTTGCTGCCCCCAATCAAGTCTCCCGTAAATGTAAGGGCCAGGGGTGCTGTTACATTTAGGCACGCTAGGCACCCAAGGTAATGTCATCTCACGTCCCCGCTCCAGGCTGACGGGCCTGATGGCTGCGCCGATAATTCGTCCGATAAAATCAAATCTCGATTATACTTGCGCCTGCGGAAATCCTGCCTGTTCACGACTCCTTCCACCTCTTCAAGGATGATATCTAATAATACTTCCCTAATGTTGTTTATGAACGATAACGCCAACTCCACCAACGCCTCGGTCCAATTTTTGGCATTCATACATCGCCGCGTTCATTCCCCCCTTCAATGTGCGCTTCCCATCCCTACGAAAAAAGACTCTTCGTAACAATCATGTCAACTTGGTAGGGCGTGACTGCCATATGCAATCTGACCGACGTCAAGAATTTGCATGCTTCGAAGAAGTCTGTTTCAAACTCTACTTTGAAAATCATATCTGAACCAGGTCCATATCTGGTCTGGGACATCTTCAGATATCGATAAATGATAAGCGGAAGCTCCGCTCAAAGTCCGGACGAGTGCAATTGCTCAAGGATATGTTGCCTGGTGCAAGAGACTTGCTCTGTCGAAGTAAAGGTGTGACAGATTGGTTTGTGAGGATTTCTGATCCCCTTCTGTGAATTTTCCATTTATGGCTTGGTGGAGTCATAGCTGCAGTTACCTTGGAACGGCACCAGCCAGTCCGACAGCTACAGATGACGTTAAGAATTCAGTGTTGTTATAGACTTGCTTGCAATTTCGGGGCGGTTTCCCCTTGGAAAATCCGTGGCTGTAGGCTTCTCCAAGAACCCTCACATCTGCCGACAAAGTCTCGAGCTGATCCTTTCTGCGGATGACGACAAGCGACTCACTGCGCGACATCATCCAGACCTCGTCACCAGGCTTGGCATCATGGGGAACCAGCACTAGAGCGCCGTGGTCCTGGGTTAGGGCAAGCCGACGGGTTTTATCTTTGACGAAAATGTCAAGGAAGGGGATCTCGGTTTCGGTGAAGGCGGCCATAGGTCCACTGCTCGAGACGGCGTCGGTGAGCAGGTTCCTATCGTCAAGGGCCCAGAACTGACGGAACCCTGCAGGGTCTTCACCGGCACCGATAGCCTTCTCAAAGTCGCCTAGCCCGCTCAAGCCGTTCAATACTGGACTGAGAAATCTGCTGAAAGACTGGATGATCTCGTCTCTGGTGAAGCCCTCGGGGTACTTGTCCGTGGTTGTTTTATTAAGGCTATCGGCTGTGATGGTTCTCATGAGGGTGTTCATGTGATATTCTTCTGACGGACTAGGAGCGCGGATTTTGTAAACGAGGGCGAGGAGCTTGACGAGTGGCAGGAGTTCTTTCATGTATGATAGCTCCTCGGAGATATCAACAATGGTGTCGACATAGGTGCCGCCCAGTTGCACCTGGTCTGACTGGAGATTGCCAACAGGCATGTTGTCATTGGTCGTCGAAAGCTTCATGGTGGTGACTGGGTTTGGTAAAATTGATCAGACAAATGGGGAAATATAAACAAAAGAAGGTTATGCGCTGTAAATGAGTGACAGCAGAGGTTGAGAGATATATATTCTCAGTGAGGTCAAGACTGTCGTCACCGTTTGTACTGGCAGGGTCATACTGGCCTTATCTATAGTAAGACCAGACCAGGCGTTCCGAATTGCCGGAGTGCTGTGGCAGGGATTGACAACACAGATACTTGACAGACGCGCTTGCGCTTGCTTCAGACTTGTCTAGGGCAAATGGGCCGACGCAGCTAGAAAGCTCTCGGTTGCGTAAACCGGCGGGGCGGATTTCCAAGGGAACTAGATGTGGGTGGGTGGGATGGACTAGGTGCCGGGACTGACGGGGCCAAGAGGGCTACGATGTCATGAGTATGGAGACGACAAAAGCTTGACTGTTACGCAAGCGCTGCGTTCATTGTATGGGATGAGCCTCTATACCTTCCTCGGTCATGCAGAATGAACCGACACTGTTGCACTTGTAAAAGGGTCGTCGCTTGGGCTTCCTGGGACTGCCCGAGTCCCTGAAGCCAGAGTGTCATCTGGTTTAGTCAGGTCGCAAGAGTTTGCCATCGAGAAAAGACATGATCGGCGGGGGATGGGGTTGTGGTGATGCCGCGGCTTGGAACACTTGGTCCTCGACAGTAAGGATACCGTATGAAGTGCGACAAGAATTGACATGGCATGGCAGGCCAAGACAAGAGAGGATGGGGGTGGGGAAGACCAAGATTTGGGGAAGAAAAACCTAGCAGAGATGACGTCGAGACGGATTCTCGCGGTTGGCGGGCTCCGATGCATTAGTGCTGTGGTTCTGGAATTACTGGCCAACTCTGTATCAGCTTCAGGGTCCTGTCGTCCAATGTCGGCACAAACACCCCCCAGCTTTAATGGTGCAGGTCCCCTGAATGGATCCGTTACCACAGCACTAAAACAGTGCCTTTTTTTGAGGAACGAAGTCCTTGTTGTCTAGTCCTATGTATGGCATGGCACAGTTTTCTGCGGAACATTCCTGCCAACAAATCAAGTCAAGCATAGTCGTCATGCCAGGGAGATGTACAGTTCCGATCATTCGGCGCCAGGTAGAATCTCGTACTCATCGACGGCCATAGGGATCTGTCATCCCGCGTTGATCACGCCCACACTATCCATCTCCCTTGCAGAGTCGACTGTGGGAGGTTCACGTCTTCCATCTCCAAGAACCACAGCTTGATAAGTAATTGCCCAGCCATTGGCAGAAAATACACGTTCGACTCCATCAATCGCCAAGTATAGTAATCCAACCTTACGATGGTCAAGGTCCTCATCATCATGGCCGATTATGGCCACGATCCCACAGGTCAGCAGCTATCCCGTCATCAGCCAGCCCCTGTCATCCGCCCCGTCTCTCCTCTCTGTTGCTCCCCTAATCCTCCCGTCCCCGTCCCCGTCCCCATGTCCACCATCCCCGCAAACCCCCTTCCAGACCCACGAGGATTCCTTGTAGCAACTTTACCACCATACAACCCCTCCATGACCGAACCTGCGTCGCGAACTGCAAAGCTAATCTCTATCCTGCTTCAATAGAAGTCGCGGTTCCCTACCAGACCTTTAAGGATGCCGGCTTCGATGTAAACTTTGCGACCGAAACGGGCAAAACGCCCCGAGGCGATGGGAAAATGCTCGAGGGCATCTCTCAGAAGATCCTGGTACGATTTATGAACTTTGTTCTCATCTCTGAGCTCTTACTTCCCGGTCCCGTACACATCATCAGCAAACGTTCCGCAATTGTGCATAAAGTGTCCGCAGATCACAAACCCGTTCATCGGGCCCAGTTCCGGCTTTCGCCCATCCAATGGCTTCGAGGTTCGAGCTGACTTTACTATCTATATGCATAGGGTGCCGCCGCTTCAGCGAAGAAGCTATATAATTCTATGGCAGAGTCTCCGGAGATGCAGCAACCCTTGTCATGGTCCGCCCCTGGCTTCACTCTCGACGACTTCGACGTCGTGCACATACCAGGCGGTCATGACAAGGCTGTAAGGCAGCTGATGGACTCAGCTATCGTGCAAAAGCTCTTTGCCGATTACTTCCCCAAGACTAAGAAGCCTAGCAAAAAGATTGTGGCTGCCATCTGTCACGGCCCGCTGGTGCTCTGCAACGCCAAAGGCGAGGACGGAAACAGCGTTTTATACCACTGCACAACTACGGCCCTCCCTGCCTGCTTCGAAGCGTTGTCTTTCCACGGCACCAAACTGTTCATGGGTGACTACTACAAGACATATGGTGCTGGCAGTGAGAACGTTGAGGATTCGGTCAGTTGACTGTTGCCACTGATCATTTTGAAACATAGAGAGTGTGTACTAACAAAACAATAGATGAAAAAGGTGCTCAAGGATCCAAGTCAGTTCAAGAGTAGCTGGCAACCCCACCGACCGTTAGTATACATCATGATACGATCAACCTCTCTTGCTAACGGCTTCTAGTTTTGTTGTGGAAGATACAGAATACAATTACATCAGTGCTCGGTTTCCTCCTGATTCGGAAAAATATTCCGAAATGGTGGTCAACCTCGCTCACTTAGTCCAGAGCTACAAGAGCGTCGACGAGTCGCGCACCACTTAGTTCAATGTTATTCCCAATGAGGCACAATACATTGGAAACTCTTAATGTTAGAAGCAGGAAAATATGCACGTCAACGCCTGGATACGGCAGTGTTATTGCAGAGAATGTCAAGAATGTTTCGTCGGTGGAGAGGGGTCCCTATGTCTTGAGGACTCATCACGGAGAACCGGAGTTGCCAGCGATATAGATATTCTAAGCTTGCCAATGCATGATTGACTCAGTATCTAAGCTTACGAAGCATGCAAATGATTCTGAACATGGCCACTTGCGCTGATGTCACTGACGACTAGCTTGTTGTCGAGAGTCATGACCACTACCCCTCAGCTTCACTCCACATCCAACTGGAGCTTCGAAGGGGGGTTGAGCATAATGCTGGCAATGCAACTGCGGTTCCGCACAGTAAACCATACTGACAGAACTCTATCCCCAACCCACGGACCCTCTGATCGTCTTTGAGTGGCATGACCAAAGTCGCCTCTCACTCCGACATATGCATAATTCTCCTGATGGCTTCGTCGACTCCTCCGACAACAATGCTTGGCTCTGTTCCAACGACGCTGCCCAACGAGTCAACCCAGCCAGCTCCGGTGCGGTCGATCCACGCAGACTGCCAACCTACGGCCCTCGCCCCCAGCGCATCAAACGGGTTCGAGCTGACGAGCCAGATGCTGTCCTCTTTGCCTGACTTTCCTACCTTTTCCGCGAAGTGACTATAGGTCTTGGGAGATGGCTTGAAACATTGCACTTCCTCTACGGTTACCAACTTGCCAGGCCCGAAGACATGGCTCATCCGGGACAGGTCGGGGGACGTCTTCATCGAAGTGCCCACCATGTCATCTGTGCCGTTGGAGAAGATGTATGCGTCTATCGAAGCATTGTTCTCGACGAGCCCCATGGCTGAATTGATCTCTGGGAATGTCTGAAGGCCATTGTAGGCGTCCATGAGACGATCCTCGTCTTCCTTGGAAAGCGACAGCTTCTTTTCCGCGATGGCGTGTTTTAGCGAAGCGCGTGTCAGCTCAGAAAATGAGCGGTAAATGCCTAAGAAAGGTAATCAGTCAACGAATTTTCAGCCGCACTCTAATGGGAGGCAACCAAATGCCACGTCGTCGACATACCCATGCTGTTGGCCCGCCATGTGTACTCGAGCTGATACCTCCTCCACTGCGCAGCCAGCCCGTTGGCGTTCTCGTCGCCGTACAGCTTTGAGAGTTCTGAGGCGACGGATTCGGTGGACAACAACGTGCCGTACAAATCAAATGCAATGACTACTCTTTTCTGTTCCGAAGCCATCTTATTATCTTTGATATTCTTCTGTATTCTCCTTGCCGGCTGAATCAGAGCGGTGCACACGTGCAGTCTGCCTTATTCTAGGTGGAATCTTCGGTTGTGTTCGCCGAATTGCTCACCTGCGGGGGGCTGTGTTTGTCGTCCGAACGCCTAGTTTTCAGGGGGTGGGTTTGCTGTAGCGGCCTAGCTCTCACGATTGCGCGGGGGGAAGCTGGAGCTGGAAACACTCTAAAGCGTTTTTATAAGATCCCCGCAGTTAGCACCGTTCAGCCCTAAAAGCTCAAATAAAAAAACTAGGAATAGCCCAATTGCCTCAAAGTCACGTCGGATCAACGTCATCGACTCTCTTCCATTCTCTCATTTTTCCGCAATATCGAATTCACAACTCACCAGGCCACGAAATCAGTCAATCAGCATGAGGAATTCTGATGAAGAGACGATACAGTTCGAGACGTTTAGAGACTGTCTATCCGCGGCCATTGTGGAGCGCGTGACGAAACCGGCATCTAAGCCCAAGAGACGGGCCAAAAAGACAAAATCGGCCTCGCCGCAAAAGAAGAAATCTCAAAATGAGAATACGGACGAGGCCCCCGTTGACGCGGACGACATGATGGAGTTCAGCTCCTATATCGCTTCGGAGGCCTTTGAATCTTTCCCGGAGGACCTCAAGACCCTTACGCACGTGGCGTACACGGCGGACTCGGCGCTGCAATCCCGCTGCTCGCTGCCGCTGACCGGCTCCGACGTGGCCGATCTCCTACCGACACTCTCCCCGGCCGTCGCCGACTCGCTGGTGGCGTACAACATAATCGACCCGGACCGCCAGGGCTCGCACGAGTTCCTCGCCCCCGTGCTGACCGAGTATGTTTCCGCACTGATCGCGGCGCCGCCGCCCCCGCGGTCGACGAGAGACCAGGCCGAGGGCTGCGAACTGTGCGGCCGCGACTGGATCGGGCTGACGTACCACCATCTCATCCCGCGCATGGTCCACGACAAGGTCGTGAAGCGCGGGTGGCACCGCGAGGACGAGCTGAACAACGTCGCTTGGCTGTGTCGGCTTTGTCACTCCTTCGTGCACCGTTTCGCGGGGCACGAGGACCTGGCGAGGTACTATTACACCGTCGACCTGTTGCTGGAGCAGGACGAGGTCGTGAAGTTTGCGCAGTACGCAAGCAGGGTGCGATGGAAGGGGAGGTAGCGTTTTATCCCCCTTCGCGGCGGTAGCCCTTTCGACGTGGTGAAGGAACGTTTGTTGAGTGTTTTGCCTGTTTTATACCCATCAGCGACGCAGTGCATCCTTCTTTTTTTTTTTTTTTTTTTTTTTTTTTTAGATCGAAACAGCTCGTCATCCATTTACTCTCGTCTCAAATCTGCGTGTCTAAACTGAAGCTGTACCAACAGACTGCACTCCCCCACACTACTTGAATCAGTATTGTATCTCATTTCGATCTCACCGGACGCGCCAGGGCAGTCAGATGTGTTAACCATATAAAGCCGTAGCCGGTGTTGACTTGCTTCATCGTGACCAAAGGAAAAGTGAGTGTGGAAATGGTTATGGAGTCGTGAGATTGGACAAAAGGTTCTGGAAGAGTGGATTGTTATTTAACTTTTCCGTGACTTATAAATGGTGAAATTGAGAGCGAGGTGCTGTAGTGTTTACGAGGTATTGGTATTTGAGATATCATGTGTAGAAGAGAAATTGAAGCAGTCCGTTCCAGAAGTGAGAGGAGGGACAGTGTGCATGCTGGAGGCCATGCTGGGCTTCATATGAGCGCCAGTGCCGGGAATCACGAGGACGAAGTTGTCTTCATGACATTTGGAAGTGCTGAATTGAATTCAATGAGAAGATAATGAAAACATGACTTTGTGCGGATTCATAGCTGCAGGAGAGTGAGGCATGAGTTAGAAAAGCGTCCAAGTAAGGAGGATGCTTGTGAGCCAGCACCATTCCAGCTTACTGCTTCAACTGTGAGATTGATGAGTGAAAATGAATGACAGATGAGGCCTACACTCCTCATCATGAGAGTTACAACTCAATTGTACGGCTGAGACGGTATCGACTCATATGAGCCTGTCGAGGAAATCGTTTGCTAGACGACAGTAGCCAACTTACTTCATTCCTGATACGTCTCAGATACACAGTATACTCAGCGCATGGTTCATAAATTAGCTGCAAGCCATATTATTCGCAATCTCCATGTGTCAAAAGTAAGAAAAACAAAAGTGTCGCCGGTGTGTTTATTCTAACACTCATTTAGCCCTACTGTAAGCCATGTGTGACAGAGGGTATAGCTTCTCAAGTAATGAACATGATGACAAAGGAAGCTACAGTTTCGAATGCAAATGACTCCAACACATAAAAACATCCTTATCTTGCGCAGCCATCCCAGCCAGCATCTAGTGCGGTCCAGTTTGACTCAGTAGCGAAAAATTTCGACACTCACCGAGTGAGGCTCGGTCTGTACCCGGCACTACCACGGCGGGCCGACCGGGCATCCCTGGTTGCAGGTCGATCAAGCCCACATGGGCTGGAAACAAAACCCACTTGAAATTGAATCGAGAGATCAAATCGAGGGTAGTGCCGGGTCTTTTCCCTCTAGGACGCACGGCGGTACCGTCGTGGCTCCATCCAGCCACATGCAAATCGCGCCTGAACGGGTGGCCTGATCCATCGTTCGTTCGTCTTCCATATTGCGCACTTATCTGAGTCTGCCCGGGACGATGATGACTCGATTCCCGTCCAATGAGCGCCATTTTCGCCAACACGCGAGATGGGCACCCGTGCAAAGCCCTTCCGGCTGCGGCAACTCGATATTACAGCAAATGGCAAATGTCTCGCCGTCTGCTGACATTGGTTGACACTGCCGCCCAAGGAGGCCAACAATGTCCAGCTGCTGGACGCCTCCCGCCTGACCCTGGCCCCATCTCGGCTTGTCACACCTGTCAAATAATTAAAAGTGACGCAAGTTGGCCCCTGCTGCAGCCCAGCCTTGGGTTTTGTTGGTGTTTTTTTTTATCCTGTCAAAGAGGCTGTCCAGACCGGCAGATCCAAAATAAAAACTGGGTCCCATCGATCCGTCGCATTCTGTTAGTATCTTTTTTTGCAAGTTTTCCAGTTTTTCCCATCTGCTGGATCTAAGTGAGAACTGACTTAGTACGGCAAACTAGTTCATCAGACTTTTTTTTTATTTTGATTTTTACATCAAACGTGAAATCATTACTTGTTTCTTCATTCCACTTTCACTTCACTGCAAAGCCTTGAGAAATCGTCATGAACACAACCAGACACTGCAGGGTCGACTTTCACAGCAAGGAGAATGAGTGGGCCATCATCGATGAGGAAGAGGAGGAGGAGTTGGAGAGGATGCGACAGAGACGCCAACAGAAGAACGCTAGGTACCTCGTCGCCGGTCTCATCGTCGTTCTCGTCCCGGCTATTTGTGGAGTTGTGTGGTGGTTCTGGTAGGTTTCCCCCTTATTCGGCTGCGGACTGGTCTGACACGCAATATAGGTAAACCCACAGGGCCACAAGGATGAGATCTCTGCGGGGGATAAGATGTATTACCCAGTGACTCGATTACTGTATACGCCTTCAGATGAACGCCATCGAACGAGCGCTATGCATGAACACCGTCAGAACAACCCAAACCATGTGCCGGTATGGAGACCAGCTGCGTGAAGCATCGCACCTCATGCGACCTGACCTGCTCGTCTCGCCCAAAAAAAAAGTCTTCCCTACTTTTCCCCCGGTTTTTCGTCGAGAGATACGCGCCGCCGCCCGTCTTTCCACTCCCGCCCCGTCTCGTGGCTCTTTTCTCGCTGGGCGTGCTTATGCTCTACAGCAGCGATTCCGGCATCGAGCCCGAGATGAGCGATGCCCTTGACAGCCTCGCCCGCCTCCTTCGACTCGGCGGCGGAACCTCCTCCGTCAGCTCCCATCACCATATCCGCACACATCTGCGCCCCTTCGAACGCGACGACGCCCAGAGTCGCGCCGAGCGCCATCGGACCCAGCACGTCGCCGCACTTGGTCTCGATCGTCAGGCCGCGGTCGATAGCGTGCTTCTCGAGGATCTTTCTTTTCCTCCGCGCGTTGTGGATGCGGGCCGCGTCGTACGGGATCATGAGCCAGGTCAGGCCGGCTGTTGCCGCGCCCGCGGCGGTACGAAGTGCTGCTCCCGTCGAGCTGCTCGCTATTTGTCGTACGTAATGTTCCCTCCGGGCTATGAGGGCGTTGTCGTCCATCTGTCGGCATTTGAGGTCGTATGCCTCGGCGTCAAAAGGCATGTTATAAAGAAACAGGAATTCCGAAAACAGGATTTAGAGAATAATAGGAGCAGGATGTAATTTCGTTCTGTCGTGGTTCACCGGGAGATTACGGGCTTCGCTTTGATTTGGCCAAGCGCAGATGAGCTTTGCAAATGCTTCGTTCATATACAGCAGCGAAGCCCTACCGCGTGACATCTCCTGCAGCGGAGCCTCACGGGAGGCAGAGATGTCATTTACGGACGGAGGAATGACGCTAGATAGAACGCATGAATAGCTAAATACACAGCCAAAGTCAGAATAACCTCTCGATAAGGTTGATGAACCTCCCAAGCGAATCGGACGGAAGCTACATGTACATGTGTGCTGTGCTGTGCTGTGCTGTGCTGTGCTGCGCCGCAGCTGTACCCGCGTGCCCCGTTCCCCAGACTCAAACTCCGCCGAGTGCCCATCCTGGCCTTCGGCGCGGTGCATTCGGGTCCGGGGACATCGGGAGAGTGGATGTCCGTGCCCCGGGTGTTACCGGTGTAAAAAAAAAAAAAGGCCCCCAATGAGACAGGGACCAGGGGCGCGGACAGCGGACAGCGGACAGCGGAGACTCGGGGTCCAGATGCAGGAACATAGGACAACGACGTTGAATCCCACGTGCAGCGGGACACTAAAGATGAGCAGAATCCAAACTTAATATCTTTTTCCAGCCATGTTCAGCTTCATGCTGAAAAGTGGCTGAGCGTGATTATTCTATCGTCATTATAAATCTTATTCCCCTTGTATGCAAAAGTGACATTTCCCCTTGGTCATTACGCCTTTTCCCAGATAAATTCATCATAGCAGCAGCAGCAGCAGCAGCAGCAGCTCCAGCGTTACATAGTCCTCAACTCGGTATCTCTCCGGTATGTCCAAGAATGGGCATCAGAGTACACCTGCTTGTAACCGAGCACGCCCTCAACGAGAGAGAGCACAATGGGCGGCGTGACGGAGAATGTTCCGCCTCTGTTCTCTGAAACCAGGACCAGACGGTCGATGATGGCACCTAGACCGAATGCGCATTGGTGGAGCCTGACTTCGACGGCAGGGGGCTGGAATCGCTTATCGTCAGCAAACGAGCGAGATTTCAGTTTCAAGAACGCAACGCAAAAAATGACTTGGGAGGGCACAAGAAAAAGAGGAACGGGGGGGGGGGGGGGAGGGGGTTCTCACCTTGCTGCTGAGCTGGTGGTTTGCCCGGCGCCACTTTTTGAAATAGTCAGATAGGAACTTGAGCGTGCCGCTGTGGCTCCCCTGGATCTCAATCTCGTGGGCGCTCCGGGCGTAGATGAAGAGGTGATACGGCGGCTTGTTGAGCAGGTCGTCTGGACGGGGCAGGGCGTCCACGCGGGGGATGAAATCTGGAGCTCTCGTCGTCGGAGAGGCCAGTGGTCCCCGCCTGTCAGCCGCTAGCGAGAGGTTGGACGTCCGCACGTCCAGGCCCACGTCGGCCCACTCGTCGCCCGGCGACATGGAGTACGGGGGCAGCTGCTTGTCTGAGAAGCAATCCTTAATCTCGCCCGAGAAGAGGGGAAAGAGTTCCGTGGGAATGGTGAGTTGGCGCTTCGGCAGCGAAATGATGAAGCCGCCCCGCTCTTCGGACCATACTGTCGATGCCTGGTCGTCTCGGGAAACCTGCAGAGTTGACTTCTGTGTTAGTTTCGCGCCGTCTGGGAAAATAGAACACTGTCCGCAGATGGATGGGGAGCTCACCTCGATGAATAGTCGCAACCTGCTATATGTGGACTGGAGCTTCTCAAGCAGTTCCTCCGTCCACGCCTCGTTCTTGTCGTCATTGAGAAGTTCTGTCGTGGCCTTGAACCAGGTCTCGACCGTGCCGGCGACAGCAGCAGCCAAGTCACCCTTGTCAGGGTACTCTGCGTCCAGCTCGGCCAGGAGAAGTTGCCAATCCGGCTCAACGTCGATGTCGAGGCCGAGGACTTCCTTCAGGTCTTTGATGGCCTTTCGGAGGGGGCTTTCCTCGTTTGTCCAGTGATCACGGATGGCAGCTTTCACTTTGAGTGGTCTGTAGCTGCTGTTAGTTCCATGTTCCGTTGATTGTGGGGCGTCTCTGCGAGAGCTGGGATGTCTTGGGCAGGTTACTCACAAACTAGCCATGGTTGTAGAATTCGGTTGTTGCAGGATGGTTATTGGTGGTGAATGACTGTTGTGTTTATTCTGTGTATGCTGATGAGTATGAGAACAAAGTCCTCTGCTGTCGAGGGAGTTGTCGATGGTTGATATTGACTTCCCAAGAGCTCCAAGTACAAGGATGTCTTTCAGCATGTGTCAGTCCACAATCCACCCCAGACGCCAAGATGAGCGCAGACCCCAGCTGAAGACGTGGCGTCAGGTACTGTTACTGTTCGTTTCTTTTCCAGGCAACAAGGCGGAGTCCTCGTGCCAACGACAAAACATGGCCCAGAAGCCGTTAGGCGGGTGCAAAAGCGCTCAATAGAGGAAATGAACGACATTGCGGGTATAGGTGCCAGGCAGGTAGCCTGACCATCGGCGAGCAGCGAGTGGGCCTCCCGGGGGGAATCGTGTGTTAGTAAAATGCACGCTGAACATGCCATTTAGGGTAGATCCGTATCATGCAGTGCATATCGGGTTTCAATCCCCCGGGCCAAGCCGGGGGTCGCGGGCTTTTACGGCCAGAACTGACGGTTCGCCGCGGTCCGGTCCGACAGCAAATGAGTAAACACAGCATGATGTCACTGACTCAATGTTCGAATCACTGAGAATAAGAGAAAAGAAAAAGATAGATGACCTAGATATTGTCTCGTGACCCGAAGAATATGCAAAATGTGCATCCAACTTTATCCCCTCATCGGATCCTTTTGAGGCTGGTGACCAAAGGAGTCATAATAATGGTCCCAGTACGGACGAGAAATGGCAAGCTTGGGGCTGTCAACTTTCCCCCCTCCAACCAAGGCATTCCAGCACAATTAGCGCCGATGGTCAACCCCCGCATTTCCCCTCTTTAGCAGTTGTAGCGCCCTCAACCCCTGAAAACGGCCTGAAGCCTGTCTCTGCGCCACCTCTACATTTCAACAAGCTCATGTCCACATGTGGAAGGCACTGGCGAGGGGATCTTGGGCGCTCAAGATAGTGAACATCAAGGTTAGGCGCTAGGCTTACAGCCTCCATACACCCCTCAAAGGGGGAGGCAGAACTATAAAGGCCAAATGGGCTTAATGAAACCGCCAGAGCTAGGATGACAAGTATCCCACGAAGCTTGTGAAGGAGAGCTCTTGTGTGGCTGCATGCCCGCCAAGCTCAATAGGTTGAGGCTACTCGCGATGGGCCAAGCAGCTGAGAAAAGAAGGCTGATTCAGAGAGAGAATGCATTGAGCTAGGTCTCAGCTGGGCAATCTTGTGAATTCCGCATCCAAAGGATAAAAAGGCTGCTTGCGCTCGCGGTATTGGAGCAAATACAGAAACCTCATCAGCGTCATTTCGACACCGAGTACTTTGTCTGCCCTCGTCTGTATACACCACAAAACTGATCCTCACTTAATTTCGCAATGTCTCGTCTTCCTGCTGCAGAGAAGTTGCCCCTTGCACTTCGCAAGAATAGTATGTCGCCGCCGCCTGTAGAGGTGTGGAAGTGAATGAAGCTGGGCATATCCACTAACAATCCTTCAAGTCCGCGACGACTGGGAGAGCAAAAAGGAAGACCTCCAAAAGGAGCTCTCCGAAGTCCTCGGAGCCGAATGGACGCTGAAAGACATCAACCCCAACGAGCTCTACCCCTACGCTGGCGAGGGCTACGGCAAAACGTCCCTCGGCAGCTGCATTGAGCAGTAAGTGCGTCCTGTTCTCCACCTTCGGGCAACTTGCTAACGCTTTTTTTTTTTCCCCCTGCTCGGCAGATACATTTCCTCCGCCATCAGCAACCTCAAGACATATGCGACAAATTATGGAGACGACGGCAAGTCCGAGATCAACTCCATCTGCCACGCCCGATCATTGATCATCGACATTGACGACCGGCCTGATAAGAACCAGCGCGTGACATACTGCGGCGTCGTAGTCAAGGATGGCAAGCTCGTTATCGTCTTCTCAGAGGGAAACCTCGGCACCAACGCTAGCTACGCCATCGACTCGCAGGGTCTCTTAAAAGCCCTCAACGACGCCCCGCCCGCCCCGGGCGCCGGCGCGGCCATGAGCTATGCCGCGCGAACCTCCATTAGGCAGGACTACGACGAGCAGATTGAGGAGACGCGCCAGAAGTTGGCCGACATCCTCGAGAAGCCCGACATTGTGCTCGTGCCCAACTTCGAGTCCAACTTTGCCAAGTTGAAAGAGGAGGGCAGCAAGAAGAAGAGCGAGGTCAGGGATGATTGGGAAAACAACCTCGGCGGCTTCACGAAGAAGTACTTTGAGGGGCTGGTGTACCAGATGGGTTACCAAAAGTTCGAGGACGACGAGCTGCTGCGGGAGGGTTTCAACGAAGCCGTTGAGAAGGGCGAGGTCCACTTCCGCATCGTCGACAAGATGTCGTACGGAACATACGGCGAAGTCGTCCTCGAGAACGGTGCCGTCTATGTCCAAGTAAGTCCGGTCTTTATAGGGAACCTTTTAATGTGTGATTTGTTTACTGACATTTTTTTTTTCCCTAGGCACTAGCGAAGAACTTTGGAACAAACGTCGATTACGCTGCGGAGAAGCTCTTGGATCAGCTCTGAGCGGCCGTCACCATGGCACAGGAGTGCAAAAGTTGACTGTAGTGTAGTAATTAAGAAGTTGTATACGCAGCCCTCAGTATAGTAATCGCAAAGATGGTAAAAATTGTACCTTGTCCCTTGTGTCTTACCATCAACATGAGCTCCTTGTCCATCCTACCTAAAGTACCGCATTTGCAAACCATAGATCAACATCTCCAGGAACATGTATCGGTTACCATTTTGATTCGCACATCTGAGGCATACATAACTTACATGAATAATCATCCAACATAAAAAATAATTCTAATCAGAGGTTCTTGGGAAATCCTTTCAGGAAACAAAACTTGACAGTCAAAGTTACCCTTTCGGGGTAGTGTGGGGTACCATCACAGCTTGTCATTGGCGTCGGGTATCAGCCAGGGAAGCTTTTCACTTGGACGTCAAAAGTCGACGATGAATTCGACATAGTTACAGTTTGATTAAATATATATCCTATCTCGACCGGTGGCACCATCGCCTGGCACTCAGAAGGCGCCTGCACATTTCCACCTCCAACAAAACGCCGAGCAGACCGCCCGTGACCATTCCAGCTGCGTCACCGGCGGTCACGACTCCGAGGCTAAACTCCCGATCGTCCATATCCACATTCTCCTCCATTACTTTGGCAAGGACGTTAATGTACACCAAACCACTCGAGAGTCCGGCCAGAAATGCCAGAAGGAAGGCGCAGTAAGTCGAGACGAGAAAAACGGCGTTGAAGAGGGTGAAAACCGCAACCACGACTAAACTTATCAAACAGGTCCTCAGATCCCGAACTGGGTAGATTGTGACAGAGGACCGGGATACCAGGGTGCCGAGGTGGACGGAGACGCCGTAGGTTGCTGCGAAGCGGGAGAATGTCCCAAAGACCGATCCATCCAGAGTCCGCGCAACACCCTGTTGCAGGAAGAGCAGCGTGGAAGCTGCGAAGAGTGGTAGCATGTTTGACTTGAGCAGGCCGGGAAGAATCTGGAGATTTTTCCGGAAAGATTTCGAACTCGAAGACTCCTGCCCGAACTGGCCAACCCCGAGAAACGAGTGCGTTTCCTCCTCGTCACGCCCATCACCCACATCCCGATGCGTGTGTTTCCGCTTGGTGAGTCTCTGGGGCAGGATGAAGAAATGTGCAATTATCAGAAGAGCTACGAGGTAGTAGGCGCTTCCGGTTGCGCTGCGGAGTACTTTTCCCGCCCTCCGAGTGAGGACGAACGGCCAAACGGCATTGACGACGAGTCCAGCACCGGTGCCGAAACCCCATCCGGTCAAAGCCCGTGTGCCGGAGTGTCCGATCATTCCCAGGCAAGAAACCTCCATCACGGCCGCTAAGACGGAAGCCAATACCGATATCGCAATGCGGATGGGGGGCATGACGTTTGGCGGCGTGTCATCCGCGACCTTTTTGGCAACAAGCCAGCACACAGCAACAATTAGAGGCCGAATCCGACATGGTATGCGGTGGATGACGAAGGGCAGCGACAGCTTCACGGCGACGACCGGGAGCAGCTCGATGAGAGTGACCACGGCCCGGGGGTACGGGACAATGAGGTAGTTCGCCGCATGTATAACGGCTGGCAAAATAGTGTTTGCAAGCCCTGTGTCATTAAAGTATGATCGTGTTAGTGACCCCAAAGCGAGCAGTCGTCGAAATTAGGTGCATCGGAGGCGAAACCTCGAGGCCCGCAAAGTAAAACACTAAAAAAGAAACTTACCTATGGAGGCAAACCCCAAAAGTGCCCGTAACTCGTCAAACGATGTCTTATGTTTCGGCGCCATCACCAAATCGAGGTTCGAAGAGGCAACAAATGGGTTGTCGGAGGTTTTTTTTTTTTTTTTTGTCCCACAAGGTTCAAGGAATGAAAGACACACGCACCCACGGCACATCCACAGCCGAACAGAGACACAGGCGACTCAAAAACGAAAAGACGAAGGAAGTCAAAGTCCCATGGGGTCATAGCCACCCGAGAAAATAATATCAAATGCTGAACAAAACGATCAATTGAAACTCGTCTCGACAACCACGTGGTAGTATAACTGTCGCCAAGCATGGGTGAGACCTCGGAGGGGTCCTGCGCCGGCGAATCGAATCCACCACGTGGGACGGGTCCTGAAATCAATAGGGAAAGGATCTGTTACACAAAGACCCCGTTGTAAGTGTATCTGAGAGAGAGAACCAACAACGCGCAAGTGTTTTGGATGGGAGGGGGGATGTCATTGCTTTCAAAAGTTGATGTGCGCGCGATTGAAATACTCATCGTCGCGATGGCCGAGTTGTACGGACAACCTGCCGTACTTCACGGCGGGTTACACGTCTACCTGTCGCCGTGATGGTTGCCAACCTCAGCAGGATGAAGAAAAGGCTTTCTCAATTATTTGGTGGTTATTCGGGTAGAGAGTCGAAGTCGCGTTTCAACAGCACGACGTCCGATGCTGAGTCCAGGTACAACCACCGGTGGGCACGCCTTGCCCGAGTACGAGCCTCTTTCCGAAAGGTCATCCTTCCAGCCGGGATTCTGATGTGTATTGCAGCAGCCGTCTTCACTAATCTGGTATGTCTGCCAATCTGTGGCTCAATGTTATTTGCTAACGTCAGACAGTATTCATTGGAGGCCGTCTACTTAGTTCATGACGCGAACTCAAGAAGGGCCGTCTCGCGGTCTCAACTCGAAGGCCTCAAGAACGCCGCTAATATCGACGCAGGAGGCCCTCGGAGGCTGAGACTCTTCATGCCTGCCGATGGTCCGCACATCAACCTGTGTAAAACTGTAATGTCTGCCGTGGCCCTCGGGTATCCGATGCCAACCATCCTCAACTGGAACGGGGAGTTCAACCGGCCAGATTGGCACTTTGCGGGCTCACACATCGCCAAGCTGGAATCTCTTTTAGCTGTCATTGACACCCTCTACGCGGAAGATGATGATGTGAACGAGAACGATTTGGTGCTTCTCGTTGACGCGTACGACATCTGGTTCCAGCTCCCGCCGTCTGTCCTCATAGAGCGGTTCCATCGTATCAACCGGGATGCGGATGCTCGTGTAGCAAAGCAGTGGGGGGAACACGGGTACACGCCGGATTTCCCGGTGCCACCTCCCAAACAGCAAATCGTCGTTACCACAGCAAAGGATTGCCAGCCGGATTGGGAGTCAGGGTCCAATCCTCGTTACGAATACTGGCCTGACTCGCCTCTGCCACCGGACTTCTACGGCGAGGGAACAGACAAGGTTCTGCCTTATGCTTTCGATTCAGCTAGGAAGTACAAGAAGATCCGGCCACGATGCGTCAACAGTGGGATGATCATGGGGACCATCGGTGCTCTGAGGGGCGCCTTGCAAAAGTGTAAAGAAAAGGTAGACATGGTCGCCATGAGCGACCGGCAGCTATGGAGTGACCAGGCACTATTTGCAGAGGTTATTGGGGACCAGGAGATGTGGAGGTACTGGATCAGAGGTTTGTTGTCAACATGGAATGGGACTACATCCAATCAAGAGGAACTGCCTCGGGAAGTACGAAGGGTCGCAGATCAAGCTCTCGCCGGGGAGGGCTTCGATTTTGGAATCGGGTTGGACTACGATTTTGCAACGATACCGCCTACCTGCTCGTCCGAAGATGACGGCTTCTTTGTCAGACTCGACGACACAGACGCCGTGATCAAGGAGTCTAAGAAAGCGGGCGTTCCAGGCGGCGTCAGGGTGAAAGGAATCCCTCCCGAGCTGGAACATGAACGGGACCCTTTGCCTGGTCTCAGCTGGGGGAAAGTGCCCCTCTACACCGACTTCTTCTTCGGCACCATCCCTGTCGGCATCCATCACAACGCCTACATATTTGGCCTCAAGCCGTGGAGGTTGGAGCACTGGTGGAACATGACCTGGTACTACCCCCACCTGCGGGAGCTGGTCACGAGTGCTCTGCAAGCGAACAGGAAGCTTATGCCGTTGGCGAGGTTACCACTGAACGGCGACAACGGGAGCGAGATGGTGTATTGGACGTCGAAGGAGGACGAGAAGATGGTGAAGGTGTTTGACAGGTCAAACGAGGAATCAAAGTTTGCCCCGATTAGTTGGGACGGCGTCTGCCAGAAAGGGAATAAGAGATGGTATGACGCTCTTTTTGGCGATGAAAAAGGTCCTCTGGAGATTTGATTTGGAGCGTAGAAGTAAAGATGCATGAGGACTTGTGGTTTGTGATTCTACCAAATTTTATGTCTGTCTATACTATATAATAACACTACAAGGCCTGCGCAGAATATAGCCTGTGCTTTCTCAAACCCACAATCTCTCTTTGACCACAGGGTTATATGAATTCATATATGACTGTTCTCACATAGCTGACAGACTACGTGTAATTCCATTGGGGTGCTAGAAAAATGCACGGCCCAAAACCCACGGCCACCCTCCAATAGCTCATGTAAGCGCTGGACACGACAATATCCATTTATTTGAAGGTGTAGGGCAGTAAAAGCCCCTATAGGCCCGATGGCACAGATGATAAACCATGATTTTAGCACAGAACTGTTACAAGAAGCCGCCCATGTTTTACAGTAACAAAGTGAAAGAGATAATATGAGGGTATCATGATACTAAACCACCAAAGCCAGAACGACAAATAGCGCCTTACAACGTAGCGTTTCTAACGATTCCATTCTCCAGTGACAGCAGAGGCGGCATTTCAGGAGGACTGGCACCATTGCGATATAGCCAGAGCCTCGAGAGATCCTTGACCTTAACGGTAGCCCTCCTGTGACCACCTCTTCTCCTGAAACGTTCTCCATGGACCTCAACTTCGTTGGCAAAGTCTCGACCCATATAAGAAACTGCAAAAGCCTCGCGGGCGTTTTGACCCGCATCTCCTTGACGTCCAATTTGAATCTCACTCTCCATAAACTCATTCGTGTCCGCGGCGCCGATGAAGTCTCCCGTCTCAGGGTCTTTTTCTAGAGGAAACATGCCATCGAGATAGTGCTGGCACAACTGGTGACCCCCACGCTCAGACGCCCTTACAAAGAGGCGGCCAATAAAGCGCGGCATGCTGTGGTTCGCAGTAAGAGATGTACAGAAGTGCAGGACTCCCCATATCGCCACGAAATCCGTTGTGTGGGCGTAGTGCTCGACATGACCGATAGCGCGATCGAGGGCTGCAGTGGAAGACTGAGATGATATCACGGACGATGATTCCTGAGGCAGGCTTGGTGGATGGGCGTGACCGTTTCCAGTTCCGTTAACACCAGCCGAAGCCCGGCGACTGAAACCCGTGGTTACAGGAGAGATGGAAACTGGGCTGCTCGTCATTTCAGCATGGGCCGTCGTAGTCGTGGTAAGGGTCATGGCCGAAAGGTTCCGTTGGGCCAGAGCTTGGGATGCGACGTGACGATGAGGGTTGTTGAAGTGGTTGGCGGCGTTTCCAAAGGTGTACACTTCCAGTTTCGAGAGGAGGTCCTGAGGTAACTCCTGCAAAAGCCAATCCAACACAAGGCCACCTTCAATTCCACCTTGGGAATGCAAAACGAAAACAACCTTGGAATACTGGGGGTTATACAATGTCTCTTTGACGATACGATAGCACATTCGCACATCGTAGGTGGCGTAGCCGAGATTTCTTTGAATCAGGCACTCGACGACATCGAAAAGAATACCCGAAGTCTGATTGTGGATGCCAAGGATAGGGCGCTTAAAGGTAAGGGCCAGACGGTTGAGGTTGTTCTTCATCCAGTGATCGCTGCTTTTGGTTAGCTACCGTTATTGGAGACCGTTTTATTTTGAGTCAACTTACCCAACAGCAACACCATTTAAGAATATCCATTTCTCGTGGGCATGTTGAGGCAACGCTGGCGCATATTTTTCGTCCGAGGTGTAAGTTAGGGTTGGGCCGTTTAGAAGAAGGCAGAGGAGGTGGTTGAGGGCAAAGAAGGCACCCAACGCGAGGGCATCAATCCAAAGGGGAAAGAATATAGTAAGTGGTAGTGCCAGAATGAAGAGAATCTGGAGAATGCACAGAACAACGTGCATGAAGATGCAGAAGAGGTTTTGCCTTGTAAAAGCCAGCTCGTCAAGCTCGCCAGAGTCGGCTGGGGTGATGGGCCAGACAATCCATGGCAGCGCCCATACGTATTGGAAAAAGTAGTAGATGTCGTATGCCAGCAGCTTGTACGGAAAATCGGTGTAGGAGTAATTGATGACGGTGCTGCCGCCAACTTGTGAACCCAAAAACCTAGTCGAACCCATCCTTTCTCTGCGCAGATTCTCGCGTCTCTCGTGTCGTACTCGATGTCGCGCAGACAAAGATGCTCCCAAACCTGGGATGCGAAGGATTCCAGCAACCATGACGACAGCGCTCTTATGAAAGCGAAATTAAAGTACGCTAAAACAGAAGTGAGTGACAGAAAGGGTATTTGATCAAGTGACCAGATTTCCTCACGGGCAGAGTCATTCGCAAAGGAAGAGAAGGTTGGGTGCTCACGAGGCATTATATTCCCCAGAACGAAAGACAGAGGGCACGCCAGTAAGACACCAGCAAACCCCAAGTAAGCAAACCAGGGATCCTAGCACTTCCTTGAGGGAAAATACCCGCTGCCCTCTGGAAAGATTCTCACGTAGACGATGCAGGTGCAGGGCTGAGTTGGCTGGGATTGACGACGGCGTTGTCCTTGGCTGGTCACTGGACCAGGGCACTCGCCAATTAGGGGCAACCGTCAGCACCACCTAGAGGGGGGCATTGGGGGCGCCACCCCGCTGCCGCTGCCTGCCCGTCTTTAGCTTCTATGGGGGCTGAGATGAGCACAAAAGGAGAAGAGCTGCCAGTGAGGTGCATATAGTCAGATCTGAACAGTGCATGGGAGGACATAATGCGAGGCTGTGGGATTTTTTCACCGAAAAGAAGCCAATGGCATGTCAGTAAATCTTATTGCAGGAGTGAAATCGGTATGCCCAGTGCCTAGTGCCTTAGGATTCTAGGGTGCATGTGATTGTTGTCCAGAGATGGTAAAGGGTATCTTAGGCGGGCTTACATACTACGTAGTAGTGCAGGAGAGCTGCTGCTATTGCTGCTGCTGTTGCCGCACAGTAAGTCGATGCGCCAATAGGAGTTGCCTACTGTCGTCATGCTTGACGTTGAGCGCCCAGCCAATCGGCACACCGTATCCGCGGAGTCATCCTCCTAAAATAAGACTGAGGAATTAAGACTTTGCCGTGCTTACGGATGCCTACCTTACTTCTGAGCGTTGAAAGGGCGATGGCGTTGCTGACCGAAATTAATTCAGGCAGCGTCCGTGGCTAAAATGCTGAAGTAAAAGTGGCAGCCTTGAGGACACCCATGGTTTGGGAGCCGCAGGCAGTCAACCTGAGGACCAGGCTTGGTATTCCGGACCTTGAGGTAATAGCCCGTAAGAAAGAGGCTTGGATAAGTGTCTCCTTTGTAGAGTGAGGCTGCGGTATGCGACCCAGCTGAGGCAAAAATCTACTTGCCTATCAGCTCAACTCCCGACGAGAAAGAAATCTCCTACTAATAGGCTATCCAAGTGATGTCCTTCCGTGACCCTGGCAAATCGACACTTATTTACCAAGCTACGAGACAGACTAGTATTAATTCGATACGTCTATACCAGTTAGTATATTGATAGGACACGCTACCTTGGATATGATTATTCGGACATCATAATCACGTCTAATTTATTATGGAATTAAACAAGTTATACAAACTTGGGCGGACGATGAAAGACAATGGCCAGAGACGGGACGAACTGAAGTGGTCCGTGCGCACTGCAACGGATGCTGTGTGGGATGCATGTATTGTTTGGTGGGGCAGTTTGTTGACCAAACATTGAACTTGCACCTTAGCCAGACCATCCCACCAAAGCGACGGCTACGCCAACAGCCCGCCAGACCTAGAACTCACGCTTTTGCCTAGCATAGTTGAAGTAAATTCAAAATGTCGTACCTATCAATTCACTTGGAGCAAATAGCTCTGTCGTGCGAAGGCATCGACTCTCTTCCGTACGTGCTACACCCTCCTATCCCCAAAGCTCAACTGACGCGCGACTAGCTTCCCACCGCCAAAGATCTTCACAAATGCAATGCTATACAACAGCGACATCACTTCGCTAATTCGCGATACCGAAGCCCATGAGCGCGCTCTGTTCTCCGTGCCCCCTCCCCCGGCCCCTGCGACTTCTCAGAACCCAGACCCGAAGCCGAACGGCCGTCGCCAGACCGTCTTTAACGTGGCCTCAGGCGAGGTCACAACTGGCCCTCCGACTGGTAGCAACCGTGGACTAGGAGGCGGCGGACCGCGCCGCCACACAGCCGTGTCTGCGGTGCTGGGAGGTGACCTGCACGACCAACTGCGCCGCGGTGAGCGCCAAGCGGCCAGCAAGGGCGGCGACGTCGATGTAGAGGTCCTCCTGCGTGGCGCGACGAAACTATGCGGCGTATACGCGCTTCCCGGGGCTTTGGAAAGGATCCCCCAGCTGAGGAGTCGCTACGCACACCAGACCAACACGTTGGCGTATTACGAGGCCAAGGTTGCCGAGCACCAGGCCGCACTTGAAAAAATGAACAAGGACCACTGGATGGGCGACGAGGAGGAGCCGGAAGCGGAGGAAGAGGAGGACGAAGATATGATGACCGAGGAGGACCTTAGGGCCGAGGAAGAGATAGTGCGCGAGCTCGACCGCAAGAAGCGCGACCTGCAGCAGCGGCTGAGGGCGATGGACAAGGATTTGGGAGAGTTGCTGAACATGTGAAGAACAGAAAGAACATTCCGGAGTGGCGCTTTATGACGGTTACGAACCATGATACCCAATGCGAAGCTTTCTCGAATGGTGTTACATGTTTTTATACACAGGCGGGGGTCATCATCATCTATATCAAAAGTCTTAACATAACATTCCCTCTTGTCCGTTTCCGCCTTGGGCGCCCTGCTTGGCTGCCACAAGCGTCTCCAAGAACTCGCCAACATCCTGCGCACCGCCAATCTCGTACTTGTTGTTAATGACAAAGTGCGGCACGCCCCTCACGCCCATCCGGTACGCGTCTTCGACCTCCTTGTCGACCTCGGCACCGCCCTTGCCCTGCTCAAGCCAGTTCTTGACTTCCTCCTTCTCGAGCCCACCTCTCGCAGCAGCGTTGATGAGCATGTCCCAGCTCGTGACGTCGCCGTCCTCCTCGAAGTAGCTCTTCATGATGGACTCCATCACGGCGTTCTCAACCTCGGGGCCCTTAGTCTTGGCCAGCTGTATCGTGCGGTGAGCATCGCGAGTGTGACCAATTTTGCCATTGAAGGTGAAGTTGAAGCCCTCAGCGGCTCCGAGCTTCTTCATACGCGCGTGCATCATCTCCAATCTGTCGGCGCCGAAACGTTCAGCCATGCGCTCATTCACCGGGACGCCCTTTTTGGGCGCCGTCGGGTCCAGGTAGTAGGCCTGCCACGTGACGTTGAAGGTGTCCTCCTTGCCGGCAGGGTAGGTCTTCTTGTAGAGATCAATTGCCTTGTTCAGACGAGCTTTGCCCAGGTAGCACTGTTTTTTTCTGTTAGTTGGAAAGATTCCCAGCATGTAAGTGAGATGAAGGTGAGGCTTACGAAAGGGCAGACAGGGTCTGAGATGATTTTAATGTTGAAGTTAGCCATTCTGCTTACTTGCCGTACTGCGCTCATTCGACCTTGTGATTGGATTAGACGACAGGGATACAGGCTGATTATTTTGGAGACTGCGAGTACTTGTGCTTGTATAACAAATTTGGATAGTTGAAAGAGGTAGTGCATACCATCTATTTATGAGATCGATCCGATCTTTAGATGCCGGCGGGACTCCGCCATGTACCGAGGCGTTCTTGATTACCAATCAAGGCGGGACCCGGTCCGGACGGAATCTTTTGGCGACCGGCGGGAGCACTTTGACCAGCAGGTTGCCCCGCCATTATTCAGCCTAGAGAGCCGTAGAAGCGGGACCAGAATAAAAGTTCCGGAACAGTATTGCCGCATGAAAGATTTGTAGTCACGGAGTACGCCGTGTCATTCCAAACCGTTTTGCGGGTTGGTGCACAGCCCAGCTCAAATCTCCGCAGCAATACCAGACCAGACCATCCCTTAAATATACCCAGTAACAAAGCTCCACTAGTCTTACACAAAGAAATGGGGTATCGTCTATTTTTCTTGATTCTTAATCAACCGAGTAGCGCTCCGTTGCCTCTCTCAACCTGTCTTGGTTACGTGAGCGGCGAGACTCGTGAGTCTCCCGCGGGTACCTCCGCCTGTCGTCCCTTCTCCACCTGGAAGGGTAAATCCCATCAGTGCTTCCCGATGAACCGCCGCCATTCGCACTGGGACTTTGAGACCGCCGACGTTTTGGAGCAACATTGGGATATTGCGCGGCGCGGTCCCAGTTCTCTAGCGACATATACGGGCTCCTGAGCCATGCTCTAAGTTCATGAAGCAGCAGCCGAGTGTTCTCCCGTCCCAAAAACTCCTGAATCAGCTCCTCAGCTTGGCCCATAGAGCCTTGCATGTCCACGGTTTTCAGAATCGCTATAATATATTCGAGCAAGAATTCTGCATTGTTGGCTCTGCGGCGCCGAACAGGGTCTGCCTCTAACTGAGGCGCATCGTTGTCGGGAGATAGAAACTCGAATACTTGTAGTTCGCGTCGAAGAAACGTACGAGCGCGCGATACCAACTCCGGGTCGGATGCGAACATCTGTGGCGTCAAGTCCCTGTACCTGGAAATGCGATTCGAGCCAACATGAAGTGAGTACAGCTGGTGGCGATAAACTGTTCGTCGGCGAGTAATTGTTTCATCTTGGGAGGGTGTAAAGCTCCGATATGAGGAGTGTACATCTGGTCGCCTTCGTCGTGGGCGTGCTTGGGAGTAATATCGCCTTTCTGGCTGAGCGGAAGTCGTGTCGTTTGCCGTTTTGGCCTCTTGCGGCCTCTCTGGAGCTTTAAATGTTTTCCATTGCTTGTGGTCGTCGCTGAAATCGTAGTGGACCTCCTTGATCTCTGTTTTACACAGCGGACAAGCTGTTCGCTGACCTAGCCATGTTATAAGGCAGAGATAATCAAAATTGCGGTGGTGGCATGGTTGTGCTTCGCAGCTTTCAGTAACCTGTTCGAGGCAGATGACGCAACAGTCATCGGCCGAAGCGCCCCGCTCAAGTTCCGTTGGTCTTGAAGATATCTCCTGTAACGTGGTCTGCAAAACAGTTGAATGGAGGTCTCGCGTATTCGAGCTATCGCTTCTCACCGCTTCGGGGGACATTCCAGAGACAGATTTAAGTGCAGAATAGAGGATTGGAGAGGTGACATGGTCCCTCAGAACTGAAGGTGTTATGCCAATATTGACGATGGAGCTAATAGCGGTGATTAGTCAGCTGAGGCCTGATTTCCCGATAAGATAAGCCTAGCATACTACTACCACTACCAGGCCGTGTACCTTTCGCGTTTAGTGGTTTCCTCAAAGACGCGTCCCAAACGCGTCTATACTCCACACAAATCCACCAAGGTACCATCAACTACGTACCCTGCACAATTCCTCAAAGCCGACTCTCGCACGACAAACTACACACACTCAATGACGTATACGTCCGGCTGCTAGCATTTATTCCGACATGGACGAGAAGACAAAGGCAGAATACGAGTCGCAGTCCCAGAAACTCCGCGCAGAACTCAAGAGCTGGGAGAGCTCTTGGGCCAAATCCCATGACGGGAAAAAGCCTGGAAGGGATGACATCAAGCGTAACGCTGACATCGGTATGAAGACACTTCAAATGATCTGAAGTTTCGAAAGACTGACGCATGAGCAGCGCAAAAATACAAGCAGTATAACAAAGTACGCGATATTTTGTCGGGAAAGGTCCCCCCTCCTACCAAAGAAGACCAGGAAACAAAAAGAAGAGACGACCCAGCGCCGACAGCGACGCCCTCGAAACGTCACAGACATGTCGAAACCCCCTCAAAGAAAAGATCGAAACTCGAAGATGCAACTTTCGTTAGCACCCCCTCAATGCCCAAGACTTTGTTTAGTCCAGTTGCCCCAAGATCCATAGGCCCGACGCCGCAGCGCGATGGCAGGGTCCTGGGTCTTTTTGACCTGATGGTCGAGCGCGAACTTGGTACACCATCGAGGAAAAATGGGTCGCTTAATACAACCGCTGACTCAAGGCCATTGACAACGCCGAGGAAACGTGCCGCACCCATGGACGAGGAGAGCGATGCCAAACTTGGACGAACTCCCATGTCAACAAGCAAGAGACAGATGCTGGACAGCTTCATGACGCCACTGAAGAACAAAGAAGGAAATGTTTTGGATGCAAGGACACCGACTACAGTTTCAAAATTACAGTTCAGCACGCCGTCTTTCCTCAAGAGACACACTCAGCCACCGCCGACCGAGATCAACGACTTCGCTGCCCCGCCACTCCGCTTACCTAGGAAACCTATGGTTCGTGGCCTCAGCGCCATTGTAGCTAGTCTAAGGAAAGTTGAAGAAGAACAGCTTGACGACGACCTCGAAGCTCTTCGAGAAGCAGAGGGTGCAGAGGCACAGCCAAAGGCATCTTCGAAGCCGACAGAAGATTTACTTGCGGCTGATAGCCAAATACACTTGCCTCTAGGTGGCTTCGACGATGAGGCAATGTACGATAGCCCGGACGAGGAACAGTTAGATCGGGATGGAAAGCCGTTGAGAATATTCAAAAAGAAGGGGCAGAAGCGTACAACAAAACGATCCAATATGAAACCCACCCAGGTCAAAAGACCGTTAGCTACAGTCGAGAACGCGGTACAAGACAACGATGACAACGAGACTGTGCCGGAAACACAGGCCAATGGTATGGCGGATGACCTGCCTGATGAACTGGCAGATATGGAGTCTGACTCTGACTTTGACGATACTTCTTCAAAAGCCAGCGGCGCCAAGAAGACGGAAAAGGTGGGAACAGTCAAAAAGGCCGTTAGAAAGGTGAACGAACTGGCACATGCAAACTTCCGCCGGTTGAAGTTGAAAAATAATGGCGCAAAAGGAGGACCAGGGTACAACAGCAGATTTCGACGGCGGCGCTGATACTATGGTGGCAATTGCATGGAACGGCGTTCTAGCAAGCGAATTCGCGATTTACGGCGTTGATGAGTTTATGCCCAGTATGTCATTATCATTAATCATGAGCAAACTATCTCTCTTGGGGTATAGAAAAACAGCAATCTCGTGCCCTAGTCAACCAAGAAAACGGCTCTTCAAGCGTAGCGCAAGAACAAACAAGTAAAATGTCGCAAAATCGCAGCTGATGGACACCATGAACCAGGACAAACCGGCGGAAAATACGACGCGGTTCAAAAGGAACCGATCTTCATCCGGCATCTCTGCTGGTATTTCGCCGTCCTTCTCTAAAAGCCAGTCCATCTCATCCCAGGCACCTTCATCTTCATCAACCTGGCAGAGTTCCAGCTCTATGAATCTGTTAATCAGATCTTGGCCGCGGTTGATTCGTTGCTGAATCCGACCCAAACAACGTCGTGACTGATCATCTTTGGCTGCCGACAGTATACACTCCCCCTTTCGAACGACGGGCGGCACCGAGTCCTCGATCGTCTGCCTGTAGCCCTCCGATTTATTCTCAAATTCGGAAAGCAGCCACACCACTGCAACGTGATCCTTGAACAGTGTCCACATCCAGCAAAATGCCAGAGCGGCCTGCTGGAGCATGTTTCTCAGTACATCCTGCGTGTCAAGGCCGTGAAGTTGTGCCCCGCAGCAGTTTATCAACGCCTGCTGCCGGTTAAGAATCTCACGGTAGCTGCGCAGACGGGGTGGTTGCGCTTTGTACAAATGAGGGTTCCATTTCTTTGCCCTCTCCTCGAGAACATCTTCAGAATGCCATCGTTCCTGCCAGAAAGAACCCCAGAAGCCGGTAATATTGTCAGAGATTGTCTTTGAGACCGGAATGGCTTGGAACAGCTTCGCTTTCCAGAAGGATGACCAATCTGTCGCTAGCACAACGTGAAGAAGAAAACCGGCCACGTCGCTAGCAAGAAATTCGGGCATTAGCTTCGGCCTCTGCAGTGTTCCCATGATGTCGAACTCTCTAATACGACTACCCAGCCGTGAGGCCGCCGGGGCTCCAGAGGGCTTTCGTGTCGAAGATGTCGAGCTCATGTTTCCCAAGGTTTTGGGTGAGGGAGTTCGCGCAGTTCAAAGGTCGATTCATTCTAGCCATGGTTCTAGCCCGGCGTGGGAGGCAATCCTTTTTGATGTAAAATTATTACAGCATCCACAATACAGGTTATGCATCATAAGCACAACACGCCCGCTGAAGAAAAACAATGTGAGCGCCCTGAATCAGAGTTATGCGCTGGCAGGTATCTAAGCACTGGAGAACGAGTTACTTGTTTGGGGTAATTTCCAGCAATGGGGCGAAGCTGACAGGAAGGCGTCTGAGGTAAGACGGCACCCACATGTAAGCGGCACTTTAACCCAGAATTGGGTTTCCGTCCACCTTATTTGCTCCGAAGAGGCTCGGATGAGGAACAGAAGGATCTACCGACCATCAGCCCTTTGGGCGCCTTTTCAACTGGATTGGGGATGGTCGCACCGCCCTGCAGCGCTCAGTCCGGGTTGGCGGTACCAGGCTATGAACGTTCCCACAGTGATTCCTTTGTACATGACTGTTCCCTCTCTGTCAATCACAAGCAAACTTATAATTGGTCCTGCTTCAAGCCACCCTCTGGAGCATACACAACGGCTTAGTGGATACACTCAAGTAACTGTACCGTAATCTTACTATCACAGCTGTTGAGTTGCGGCTTGCTACCGCCGAATCACTTTAAGTCATTAGGACTAGAAGCGACTCACGGTGTTGCCATAGTAGAGGATATGGTGTATGAAATGTAATTGGTGCCTCTTTGTCTATGCTACTTCTGCTGCCGCTTCCACCGCAGTTACGATGGGAACTTTTTCAGCATCTAATGCTTTGGTCAATACGTCCGTTTGTGTCTGATTTCTGGCCAGTTCTTCCTCGGCCGCGGCATTCAGCCTCTCCCACATCTTCTTTCTCAACTCTAACCCGTCGAGGAACACCTGGTACCACGAAGGTTCGAACGGCGGTAATCGCCTTCCGACCCCGTTCTCGGCGTCGCCCGCCAACGTGCGAAGGGTCTCAAAGTACTCTTCAAAATGAGGATGCACAAGTGAGAATTTGGCATTGTCGCCCTTTTCCGCCACGCGATCGGCCTCCCATTTTGCCTGCTCTTCTGAGGGCGGCAGTCGTGCTCGACCGGACAACACACGCGCCGCAAGGACGGCTTGCCACTCGAAAATCTTGAACGTCAGGCCCGCCGCGACGGCACCGATGAATAACAGCGTGGGGTCGCGGTGGTAAACGACGTGCTGGTAGAGCCCCGTTACGCGATTATTACGGACCTCCACCGAAGGCAGAAAGGGAAGAGTCCAGGTGAAGCCTGTGGCGAAGACGATATTGTCGACGTCTGAAACGGACCTGCCATCGACAAAGTGTACCGTCCGGCCCTCAATACGGGAGATTGTAGCCTGGCGGGAGATGCTGGGATGGTGGAAGGCACCATCGCCGAAGTAGAGGTTTGCTTTGCGGCCGTTTACCACGGAATAAACCGGGAGCTGTGCTGTTTTAACCAGGTCGACTGAGATGTCGGCCCCAGAAACAGAAGCACCGACAACGACGACGCGCTGACGAGGTGAGGTTAGAGACGATTGTCAGCTGCGGAAGGGAAAATGACCAACCTTGCCGCGGAAGTGGTCCTTTCCACGGAAGAGCTTGCTATGTATTACACTGCCAGGGCGAGCTTTTTCAAACTCGTCGAGACCCTCGATCTTGGGGATATAGGGAACCCAGTAGTGTCCTGTCGCGACGACAACTGCGTCAAAATACTCTACCCACCACTCATCCTTCTCCTCGCCTTCCTTTCTAAGGGTCACCTTCCATTCATCGCCAACCTTCTCGGCATGTTCAACGGTGGTGTTGTACGACACGAGATCCTGGTACCCGTTCCGGTTGACGAGGTTTTGGATGTAATCTCTAATAACGGTCCAGTGGCGGAATGGCGTTGTGGGGCCGTGAAGGGCGATCGAGTTCGCGGTGCGCTCCTCCGGGATCGGGCCATCGGTGAAAGACATGGGGATGCTGTCTACATTGGTCTCGAGGTAAGGGTAGATACCGGACTCGGTGAAGCGCGGGGCCGCTTGTTTCGGGGTCTGCGCCGGAAGGACATCCGGGACCCGGATGGGCCTGTCGGCGGTGCGATCGGCGAGGGAGGAGAAATCGGAGAGGTGAGGAGGCTGGGTCTGGTCACCAATCCTGAAGACGTTATGTCAGTGCATGTGAGTGGCCCAGGACGTATCCCGCCTTTCATCCCCGTCTCGTTTCATCTTCTTCCAAGCCATCTCACACAGGTTATCTCATCCGACAGCGGAGTATGCAGCCAATCTGCTCGGGTGGCCGACTTGCCAGCTCCAAATTACTTGGATCGGTTGAATGCATTATGCAGCAGCTTTTTAAAATACCCATCCGGGTGCACAACAGGCTCACGTCTCCATATGACAGACGCGAATGGCTTGATCATAAGCGACAATATGCCCCCCTCGCTGGGGTCCTGAGCCATCAAGGTGTTCGGAATGCCTGCATGCGCACCGAAGGGCCCCCCATGTTTGCGGAACTCCCACGAAACGTTGGAAAGCAAGCAAAGTCCAATGAGAAGAAACAACTCACCAGCAACCTCCCGCCGCCTCTCGGCGCTCGAAAACACGGATGACGTCGAAAGCCTTCTCTTGAGCCAGAGCGTCAATGGTCACGGCCCCTGCAGGCCCCGCGCCAATGACTGCGACCCTTTTGATTGCGCCCATGGTGATGCGCTCAATTGATGCCTACAGAGAAAGTTCAAATAATGTGAAGTATGTAAAAGAGAGATGAAGAAAAGAAAAACCTCAGGAGCTTCAAACGAACAGATAAGCGCAACCGAAGTTTGCCGCTGGCGCCTATAGTGCGAGTCGAGCTACTTTTCAAAAATGTCTCCCGACGGCGCGGATTCGGCTCATGGCGGGGGGGAAGAGGGCAACAGCAGGGGGCAGAGGTCCCCGCTTTAGTGGTTGCCCACCTAGCGAGGTGCAGATTTGGCCCAATCATGCCGTCGCAAACCGCCTGACGGGGTAGTTTTGTAGGGGGGTGCGGGGGGGGGGGGTTGATATCTATGGCGCGATGCGCGAGTAGAAGGTCGCATCTCTGTGCTATTGTTCATATTAGCGCTCGATGGCGTTATCCCGCAAATCGCAAACGTTATCAACCCCGCTGCCCCGGGCGGAGGGGGGTTCTTTGCCGGAGGCCGGTCCGATGTGGGGTATTCGGACGGAAGAAAAATAAACTTTATGGTGGGTAAGGTAAGGACGAGGACTGGACGGCAGACGGCAGACGGCCATCAGGGTTCAATTACATGACGCCATACCGCTCCCCCTCCACCCCTTCTCGAAAAAAAAATAACAGAAAAGGAAATGGGAAAACAAAGGCCTGGGCCTCGACCCTGGATTCCAGGAATTGGCCTATGATTTAATTCTTGACTAACAACCCCATTGACGCACGTCAAAAAGATGGGGGAACCGAAGAGGGAACAGGGATGGCAGAGGCAGGGGGCCGGGATGGTAAAAAGCCCTGAGAGTACCTGGATGGCCAGCCGAAGATAAGGCAATATGAATAAAGACAGTCGCTCTTCTGCCTCTTGAGACGCTGTTGAGGCACCGGTACGATCGACTTCTAGGCCGACATGATGGGTTTGCCGACGGATAAAAGGATGGTGTGCGATACGCCGACTGACCAGTCGGTCATCACGGCAGATGACAAGTTGGAATGGGATATGGAACAGGAGAAGAAGGCGAAGAGGAAGTGGGTTTGAAGTGTCTCCGTCCGAGAGGACATCGGCCACAGCGGGCGCTGACTCCGATTTCCCAGGATCGACATGACGGTGCTGCCGCTCCTCGTCCTCGGCCTCCTCATGTTCCAGCTTGACCGCATGAACCTCGCCAGCGCTCTCACAGCAGGGTTTGCCAGGGATATCGATGTGGGCCAGGATACCATCAACTTGGGAAACCAGCTCATGTTCATGGGCACCGTCGTGCTGGAGATTCCGTGCAATCTCCTTCTACAATGGGTGCGTTTAAGCGTGTAACCCCCTTTACGACCAGGCTCTTCAGAGCTATTGTAACTGACGAAGCGTCCTAGTTCGGCCCACGGAAATGGATATCCCTTCAAATCTTGCTCTTCGGGCTTGTAGGCACTCTCCAGGTTCTTGTCAAGAACCGCGCGGGCTTCCTCGCCATCCGACTGATGCTCGGCCTCGCGGAGGCCGGCTACATCCCTGGGTCAATATATACACTCTCGACATGGTACACGAAGAAGGAGCTGGCCAAGCGCGTCGCAATCTTCATGTTTGGGCAATTCGGCGGTAACGGCCTGAGCCCATTGCTCGCATCAGGGATACTGAAATTGGACCGAAAGCTTGGGCTGACGGGATGGCAATGGCTTTTTCTGCGTAAGACTTCCTGTTTGGTCATTATTTCTTCAAACCAAAAACTCCGAGACATGCTGAACATGTACTGTTTGCAGTTGAGGGCCTTGCAACTCTCGTAGTAGCTCTAATGTTCATCTTCCTCCTCCCCGGCTCTCCCGACACCCCCAAACCGATGGGCAGTCCCGGCATCGTTCGTTTCTCATCAACCGAGCAAGACATCCTCCAAAAGCGCCTCGATTCCGATGGCGACGAAAAGAAGCGCGGCGTTAATGGTATCGAGATCCCCTGGGCCCTTGTTTGGAAGACGGTCAGTCACTACAAACGTTGGCCACATTACATCTCCACCTTCTGTGTGTTCTCGACTTGGTCGCCATTGACGACGTATACCCCTTCGATCATCATGTGAGTCCTTTCTATCCGCATTGCTGGAGACCATTCTGACTTTTTTTTTTTCTTTCTAGGGCACTCGGGTTCGATCGCATCAGCGCCAACGCCCTTGCGGCTGTGGGCGCCACTCTCGCCCTGGGTGTTGTGTTTGCATTTGCAACTTTGAGTGACAGAACAAACAAGAGAGGAGGAGCAGTCCTGCTGGCTCATGTCTGCTATCTGACCATCTTGGTGGTTGCGCGCAGCGTTCATCCGCATGTCGGTAAATGGTCGAGGTGGGCATTGTGGACGGCCATCAACAGCTTTTCAGTGGCCTATCACCCGACGCATAACACCTGGGTACAGGTCAACTGCCGCGAGCCAGGCGAACGAAGCATTGCAATTGCGTAAGTTTCTGCAGCGATAATCCTTAGAGATGCAAGAAATATTGACTCCTGGCTAGTATGTGGGTGATGTCGGCCATCAGCGGTCTGATGGTCGGTTCACAGTTTTTCAGAGGCGGTGATGCGCCGTTGTAAGTATCTTCATCCATATCCGACGACTCACTAAGCTAACAATACAACAGCTACGACAAAGGTCTGTTGACCATGATTATTATGGTTAGCGTCGGTATGGCATTTGCGCTGCTCCAGGAGCTGGTGTATTTCATACACAACAAACGGGTGGCGCAGGGAAAGCACAGGCCGAAAGATGGATCGAAGCCATATGTTTACGTCTTTTGAAGAAGATTCAACGGAAGCACATATTTTACGATGCTATGAAGAGTTTTAAGGGCAAGGAGAAAAGGCACCACAAGTGGCTTGGCGTCAGGCGTTGTTGTGTGCATGAGACGAAGGATAGAAAAAAAGAGAGAAGAGTACTTGATTATAGTTCGCCCTCAGTTCTGTGGGTACGAGAGTTACATAATATGAGAAACATCATTTGTATACAAGATTAACACAGGTTAAATTAGAATTTAAAACTATCGTATATAGCAACTACTTTTCCAAACTGAATCTAACATGTGCTCAGTGAGCGTGGTCGTGGCCGTGAATGTGCTCATCAGAGCGCTTGTTCATGCCAGGCTTTCCAACCCACTCGGTGCCGTGGGCGCGGAGCAGACGAGTGACTTCGCCCATGTTGACACCCAGGGCCTTTTCAATGTACTTTGGCAATTCGGTGTTGTCCCAGTTGCCAGCCATGTCGGCCTTGATAGCGCGGCCATTCTCACCAGCGCCGTAACCATACAGGGTAATGTCAGACGCCGTATGGCCGCCCGTAGACCAGTGAACACCGGCCTTGCTCGCAAGCAAGTTACCAAGCTCTGTGTCAAGATCGCGAGAAGCGAGCAGGGTGTTGACTTCGGCGTCCGTGGCGCTGGCGAGGCCATACTCGGAAAGAATTTCGCTAATAAGGAAGGCCTTCTTGTCGGGGCCCTTGTAGTCCCCCCAGATTTTCATGAGGGCCTCGGTGGAGGCGTTGACCTTTGCAAAGGGCAGCGGGTTGAATCCGTTGAGAGTCAGGCCACCGCACTCGTGGTCTGCGGCGGACATCATCATGGTGTCAGGGTGCTCATCAATCCACTCGCGGACAAAACCCATGACCTCGTTGTAGTGAATAGTGTCGAAGAGATGGGCGGCAGGGTCGTTGGCGTGGCCAGCGTGGTCGATGCGAGAAGCTTCAATCATGAGGAAGTAGCCCTCCTCCTTGCAATGGGTAGCGCGGTGGAGAGAGTTGAGAGCAGTCTCAACCATCTCTAGAAGGGAGGGCTCTTTCTCAGGCTGGCGAGATCGGTCAATCTCATACATCATCTGGCCTAAGGTTCGATGTTAGTTACTCATATCTGAGAACCGGGGAGACCTTGTTAACGTACCATCGTTGAAGAGACCGATGTAAGGGATGTGGATGTCACCAAGACCCTTGTTCAAGGCATCAAAGGCGGAGCGGTTTTGCATGACATGGTAACCATGTTCCTTGGCAAAGCCAAAAAGATCGATCTCATCCGAGCGGCAGGAAGTAGAGTCTGAGTCGGGCTTGAAGTAGCATCGACCACCACCGAGCAGGATGTCGGCAACGGGGCCGAGCGGATGGCCGTAGCCGATCTCATGCTCCGCAATTTTTTCATAAGAGTTACGGTGGGCAGCGTGAGCCGCATAGCCTAATCTCGGGTTAGCCATCATACCAGTATGGTTGGTTGGACTAGCATACATGCAGGGGTAGCGTGGTTAATGGTGCTAGTTACGACCAAACCAGTCTTCATGCCCGCCAACTTTGCTGCTTCAAGAATAGAGCCAACAGGCTCACCATTAGGGTCGACGCCAATGGCTTGTGCGTGTTAGCCGCTGTACTTGAATGTGTTCGCTTCGTGACACTGCTCACCATTGTTGTACGACTTGACACCACATCCAAAAGCAGTGGCAGAGGCGGCGGAGTCCGTAATCAAGTTGTCGCTGGCCAGAGTACGGACGTTGCCGAGAACCTAGAGCGAAATTTAGTACGAAAGCACTCTTAACATGCTTGCTCGAGCTTACCATCTTGTCAGCCGCAAGCTGGATGCTCACGGGAGCTCCGGGGTTCTGACCATTCTGGATCAGGGAGACATAATCACGAGCCATCGTCTGACTTGCCGGGCCGTATCCCTGTGGCCAAGTTTTAGTATGATTACATACAAAGACGTCCAGGTTAAGTACTAACATCAGGAACAATGTAAATGAAGTTCTTGACATCGGGTGCCGAAAGGGCGGTCTGCGCCAGGGCGGCAACGAGAACGGTGGTAGTACGCATCTTGACTCGTGAACCAGTGAAGGTGTGAGTTAGAAAGATGCAGGATCCAGTGAGCTGAACAAGGAAGTAGAGAAATGAGATCCTCAGGGTGGTGGCAAGAGAAATTTCTGCTCAACTATCAAGGTAGCAGAAAACATGGTACAGCCATATAAATACTCAACCTTCATTGCCTTGGCTCCATTTTCTGTAGAGCAGCTCAAATGGTGCATTTGCCGGTTACAACCGTCTAGCACTGCATTCTCGCTTGGCATGACGGATAGCGTTCAATAGTAGCAGCCAGTTTGGGCATGGGGATAGCACTAATTCTCTGTAACCGTTGGAAGGAATTTCCAAGATGTCGATAGGGTAAAGAAGAAGAGAAAAGTTCTAGGATAAAGCTCTTTCGAAGGAATCACAACGAATTGCTCCGTCACCTGCTGCAGATAATCAGCAGCGTACCTGAGAGCCAAGCCGCTTCATCGTCCGGGGTGTGGCTTGGCGACGGGAGAATGATCTCCACTCGTCCCAATGGACGCCACCAGATAGAGAACGTGCTCATTGAGATGTTGGCAGGGAAGCATATTTCAACGTCTTCATCTCCTCGTATGCACCTTGGCTGGCTATTCAAGAGGGGAAGGTGGCATGAGCATTGCAGGCCACGTGCCTCAAGCAACCGTACTCTGATAAGACATCAAGCATCTGACAGGTTTTTGTCCTCGTTAATTAGTTAATTACGGCTAAGCACCCCCGGCTGCCATGTAAATGTCGCCCCAGAGACAATCAGAAATCCGACATACCCTGCAGAGTGCAACGAGGCATGCACAAACCTTCGTTAGCCCCGACGATATGCGCGGCGTATAACAACAGTCACGGTATGCTAGAGGCAGAAAGTCTGAAGGAGCTCCAGCATCTTTCACTTCTCCTGGTAAGCAAACCTATTGTCGAGCGTGCCTTAAACCGAGCGGAAGAAAGCGTCCTAAATTTTGAGGATGCACAGTCTTGTCTATATTTTCATTTGCCCTTAAATCATCGGTACTTCTGCACTGGAAGTGGTTTACTTTTCCTTCTATTTGTTGTAGTAGCCTTCGTCGTGGTTTACCTTGATGTTCAAATCAAATGTTACTTTGTGGTCAGCAATCAGGGAATACTCACCAGCTGCAGCACTTTAGTACGACGCATCTCACAGTGGTGTGTGTGTGTTTTAGACAAAACTGATGTCGACAGCAAGAAACATAATCAAGGCTGAACACTCAAACGATTGGGAAGGTCCTCACAGCTGGTAGAGACTTTTAATTCGGCCTTGTTTGAGGCATCAAAAAAGCCAAGGAAGGTCCTCAGCGACGTTCTGGGGTGATACTCGGCCGAAACATGCCAATAGACAGAGACGTTTGTGGCGTATATGAGTTGGTGTCACGATGTTTGAAAAAGTGACGTGGAAGACAAATACGCATCCAACCATAAGGAGAGTAGATGCAGCGAGGGTGAGGAGGTTGTGGCCGATTTATCTTTGAATGCCCTGACGAGAGGTGGAGATGACAGAAGAAGCACAGATGGCGGGGATGAGTGATTTCGTCCAACGCTTTCAGTGAGTCTTTGGGCCAAGTGCCCCTCAAGCTCCACCTGCTCCAGGTGGTGTAAGCGCTGTTGTGGTGATTGGCTGTCAGCTCTCGGGAGCAGTACAGGGGTGCCCTGGCCTGCCAATTATAACTTCCCGCGCGTCTGCAGTCAACCTCACAAGAAACACACACAAGTAAACCCCTTCTCATCAAAAACGTTCCATTTCCTTCGCCAAATTCTCGTATTAACATAGGAATCAGGTCTAGTAAAGGCGCTTAACCAAACCGTCGGCTCGGGGAACCTGTCCGCCCAATCTGCTAGCTACAGTTACATCCTGGCCGCTAAAGAGGAAGACATCAATTGCATTGGATGAAAATGACCCAACCTGCCCGACCCTCATCTAAACTGTTACATTTATCTTGCCCAGTCGTGATGGGCTGTTTCGAATGCCTTCACAGCCCGGCTCATTGAATGGGTCGCGACCAGCCTAAAAGTTCTGGGCCCTCGAGGACCTTTCTTTTCTGACGTTCAAGTCCAGTCATACAAGATGGAGCTGCACCCACGCGTGCCTCGCGTCGGACTGTGTTCGAAACCCCGTCATCCATCAAGCAATCTTTCCTAGTATCTTCTGTTCATATCGACGACTGTCTTTCTCTCTGCGTCTTTGCTCGATTTCCTTGTGTTTCGCCTTTCAGTTCTTTCTCACGTCATTCTTTGCTTTAATGCCTCGTTTCTGTTCTTGATCTCTGTTGACCACTGCCTTTGTGGCTACGACGAGTTCATCGCTCTTTGTCGAGTGCAAAACAATATATTGTGGATACCAACTTATAATATTCTCTTCTTGACGAAGAGAACCCACGGCATTCTTCGCCAACCCCTACCAAACACCCTTTCCTTCAGCCCTCACAATGCTATCTAGCTTCCGCTTAGCAGACGTCTTGCTCCTCCTCCTCCTGATATCTCAGAACACGCAGGCTGGCCCAGTTAGACGTGCTGAGAAATTGTCAGTATATACCAAATCACTCCAAACTGCCACAATTAACCTCCATTGCAGCTTACGGAGTGACTGGAATTACACTACCAGTGCGGTAGCGAGTACCGCCGACACGACTTTGAGCGTAGCTCCAGATACAACGTATGTTGCTGTCGCCAGCATCAAGAGCTTCCACTTACATAGATACAGGGATCTTATCAATTCTGCCAGCTCCGTAGTAGCTCAGAAAGAAGAAGATGGGCCCACCCCGAGTCCCATCTTTGTAACCCTTGACGACACAACGAGGAGTACACCAGCTGCCACTCAAACCGAAGCCCAGAGTCTTTCCACACCGCCGGTTGAATCTACCTCAGGACCCCAGCCACCGCTTACAACCAGCTCTGAACCAGTATTCCTACCCCCGCCTCTGAGTACGATATCAGTACCTACCAAATTGACATCACTTCCTGGAGAATATGGTTCATCAACAAATACGGAGGATGCAACCAGTGTGCCTCCCACTCTCAGCTCTGTGACGTTGGCCCCATCTGCCACCACGAGTGTCCAGGATGGTTCGTCTCTGCTTCCCACAAACCCCGCGTCCAGCGCGGCTGGCGTTCCTGGTAGTTCCACTTCTCAGGCAACGCCTCTACAATCATCTTTATCCTTTGCCTTTCCTTTTTCGAGTGAAACAGCAGTAGCATCCACAACCACTCTTCTGGAGCAGCCTGCGGCGTCAGCTTCCAGCGCCCCTGTACTGTCCAGCAAAACGAGCGCTGATGTTGAGGCGTCATCGCCTCCGGCTGCAACGCCTGATGAAAGCATTGCCCCAACCAAGACTGCTGTAGCTACTTCCTCGTTATCAGACAACCTCTCATCGGCGTCGTCAACAGCGCCATCTTCATCTCAAACTTCCCCTCCGTCATCGGCCACCCTAAATGTTACAGGAACCCCAAATGCGGGTGTCCCTACAATCGACAGCTCCATCCCCGCTGGAACGGCCACTGTCTCGCCAGACATTGCTGCCATCAATCTCGCTCGCGCCAAGTCCTTCAACAAGCTCTTCGCCAGCCTTACGGAGCAGTCCGCCTGTAGCCTCGGACAAATTGCTTGTGTTGAAAGCAACGTCGGTAAATGCGGTCCAAATGGTGCATTCAACATCGAAAAATGCGGTGCTGGTCTGGCATGTTTCGCTCTCCCGATGAACACAACAGAAGGGGTCATCGTCGGGTGCTATAACCCTGCTGTTGCCAGTAACATCTTGGGAGAGCCTGCCGCAGCACCGGCTCCGGGTTCTTCATCCAGCATTCCTGCTCAAGCTCCGCCAGCGTCCGAGGTGATTTCTGAGGTCACGGCAACGGTGACGCCCATAGTTACCGCAACATCTACAATCCGCATCACTCCTCCCAGTAACCCAAACACAAGTCCGAAAGCTCCAATTGCCACTGCTACATCAACAGTTCTGGTCGCGCCGCCAGAAGTCGCGACCTCGGCGCCAGGTTTTACCACGACAATCATTGTCACTAGAACTGTTCAGCCTGATCCAGAGCCATCTACTACGACAGCGGCAGAGGATGAAAAGCCAACCCTAGAGACAACGCTGACGACATCCACTCGCCGTCGCAGCCGCAGCTCATCATCTGCCGCGGAACCCTCTGCTCCCACAACGTCCAACGGCATCATCGTCACTGACACCCTAACTTTTGCCCCAATTCCGTCAACCGTCCCCACAGTGCCCGTCGTGAAGGTTACTTCTAATCCCGATGTGTTAACGCTCAAAGTGACGGTCACAGAGAAGGAGACTTTAACCGTGACAAAGACGGAGAAGGAGGTCGAGACCATGACCTTGACGGTCACGAAAGTACAATAAGATAGAAGAGGAGCAGAGCGGCGGGAGGCGAAAACTGGCCGAATACCATAATAATACGCTGCCAAAGGCATAGACTCTTCATTTATAGCAATTGTTAGTCACCTCATATAATTTAGGAAGGGAAATAGCGCTGTTTTTTTTTTTTTTATGATTTTCTTTTTGAGAGAATCCGGAACGTTACATCTCCGGTCCAGTTAATACCAGCATTTGCACACCCTCATCCCGGTAATCTCCCTTCTTCTAAGACGGGCTAGATGATTGCTACTGCTGTTTTTCTCTTCGCTTTCTGTTCCTGTTACGCCACCGAAAGCCTCGCTACCGTCGTCATCATGTCCCGTGTAAACGTAATCACTCTTCCGTTGCCATCATAGCCTGTGCTATTGCGGCTTACTAGCTCTCCGCACGTTGGAATTAAACTTCCAGATCAAAATGGGGAGAATTAGGGATAATGTCTCCTTAAAAGCAAAGCCACAAGTATTGTTTTCACATGCAAGTCAATAGCCTAAGAAATGGAGCCAGTAATCGGCTTCTGGTATTGCCCATGGCTATGCTAGTCTATGTGATTCTATGCGAAAACTTCTTGCGCTGTCCAAAAGTCATTGGCACATCCCCGCTTAATTATCCCGTTCCTAATGCAATCCTTTTATGTGTTCGTGTATGTCTGGGCATTAATTGTCCAAAATGCTCGCCCCAAGGCCTTCTGTTCTTAAGTGGCCAACACGTGTGCCTACTAGTCGACTGGGTGCTCAGATGCTGACGTGTGGTAGGTCTGATACGATTGGCAACTCTGGTGTCACTCGTCGAATATCAGGTTTAACGGCCCCCTCACTCGTTGTCTGTCCCGCACTGTTTTTTGCAATCTTTGACACGAACAACCGAACTTCCAGTGTACTTCCCAACGGGCGTTTGGCCGGTGTTGCAGATGAAGAGGAGCGTAGCGTTTCTGAACTAGATATGCTCCTCCTTGAGCTCGCAACTGACAATGGCTCGGGCTGAACTGTATCCGGTAAATGGCAAGACAAAGCCTCAAGGTTACGCTGCTTGGGGACACGGTTTACAGGCTCGATTTCGTCTCCCTCAATCAGAGATCCGAGCCATGCCTCGCGAAAGCATAACCCAAGAGCCAATGACACCTCTCTGGCAACACTGTTGCCGATAACCCTCCACTGGTCCTTTGGTTGACCCAAGATTACCTCGTGATCTCGAAATCCCTGAGCTCGGCGGGCTTCCATGATACTTAACACTCTGTTCTGGCTCCAATGCAAAAGCCGGCCCATCCGCGCATCTGCTGGAGAAGGTGTTGTAGTAACCGTTTGCAAGATCTTGCCCGGGGGGCACCGACCCCATGCACGAGACGAACCCATACTAACCCTTGCGCCCTTTTCAGGAAAAAAGTCTCTCTCGGCCTTCGTCATTGTACCATGTCCATTTTTCCATGCTGTCTGAAAGTTCATACCATATGGCTGCTTAGGGATTACGCTCAACTGATTGCGAAAGTATCTCGTCATCCCATAGGCTAATCTATGGTCAGGAAAAGCGATGCAACAATCTGGTTTACTGTCCATGATATCAGGCAGGTCGGCTGTTGCCTCTTCAGCAGTGACGAACTTGAACGGTGTTGGCATAAAACACCGTTCAACCATCGGCTCGGCATTCGGTAACAAGCCCAGCGTTTTGCTGCGAAAAGTTTTTTCGTGGTGTGAGTGTGAATGCAGTGGCATCTCTGGGAGATTGAATCCTGGCGCCGCGAAGCATAAGAAGACACGACTACGGCTTTGAGGTGAGCCAAATGTCCATGCGTCCAGCAAGGAGAAATGAGCCTGGTAGCCGAGACCAACAATAGCACAAACCAGTTGGCAGAAAACATCCTCATTCCGCTTGCCCAGCGGCTGCACGATCTCTAAGACATTCTCAAGTATGCCGAATTTTGGTCGATATATGTCGATAAACGAGGCAAAAGCTGCAACAAGAGACTGGTTTTTGCGCTGTTCTGGGGTAGCTTTGTCGACAGTTAAACGGGAGAAGCCTGGACAAGGGCTTCCAGCAGAGACGAAGTCCACTAGCCCAATCTTTGGCACCTTGTTGCTAAACTTTCCCTCTAGAGCAAGCCTCTGCATATGGTCGATAGAGCCCGCGAAGGGATGCACAGTACCGGTTGCATTTGCCATGTAGGTATGGATAGCTCTGACGTTGATGTCATTGGCCCATTTCATCTCGACTGCTCCTCCTTCTTCCAAGCCACGGCCGAAATTGCCCCCTCCACAAAAAAGGTCAACCCCTCGAAGCTTGGGAACATGTTTTAAGGGATCAAAACCCTGCCTTAGAGATGCAGGCTTGCCATCCATTGGGATAATCTGTCCTGATGACTGTAGACGGTGGGTGATGAAGAAGGCATTGCCTACGCCCTTCCGGTCGTAGGGAGGCGGTATTAACTCGTTAGGCTGGAAAAACCGTACAAGGCATCTGCCGTGTATAGCATCTGCCTTGAGAGACACGGTGTCGTCGCTGTATAGAAGTTCATTTGGTGGGATATTTGCTTGGGACTCTAATCGGTCTCTTCGATGGAGTAGTCTGAAGGTCAATACTTCTTTGAGTCCTGGAAGTGCTACTAACTCGCAAGGTTCAACATAGTCGGCAGCCTTCTTAAGGTGAACGAGAAGCGTATCGCCGACTTTGTATGGAAACGCTTTTGAATTATGATAGCAGCGTAAGTGAGTCTCCTGAAACGTTACCCACCGGCGTGTGCCAGTAAGATACGTCTGTCGACAGAAGAATTCGGCATTGGTGTCTGATGAGCCTCCCCAATCCATTTGATGAATTGAAAGTACCTCACTTGCTAGGATTTTCGGGTGGCTATCTTTGCAGGAGCAATGATCTGAAAGAAACAGCTCGTTGTTCCAAGGGTACTTCATTATGCCACAGATCGTGTCAACCGGTCTGTAAAGCCAGATAACATCAAAACAAGGTTCCCCGTTCTTCGGGCTGTGGACTTTTTGTACAAGCCCAAACCAGCGGTCGACATCATGGAAGCCAATAGCAACCTCTCTGGCCCAATGCGATTCATTCTTATCATCCCTTGTAGTAGAGATGACATCGCCAGCCCGGATCTCTCGGATGATTTTGTCTCTTCTAATTTGGTCCGCCGAAGTATGAATACTTGGTGATGATTCCAGGTTGTAACTGCGGGATATTGTTTCTCGCAGCTTATCAACTTTGAGACTTGGTCTCAGTGGCTCCATCATGCTGCCAAATGGTAAATGGCTGAAAAGTTGATCAATGTAAGGGGTGACGGTGGTTTTGGGGATCTGGCTGGACTTGCCGTCTCGCGGTGATCGAAGCGAAGACGTGTTGCTTGTGAGGATCAAAGGGAATTTTTCGGAGGCGTCTGTATACGCAGTATAGTCGCGGATCTCCTGCCACAGGTAAATTGACCTGGTTTCATCATGCCCAAGGACCCCATAAGTTTCCTTGTATATGAAGTCCAAGTTCGCAACTATCGCAGTACAAAAGTCTGAACTTGGATGCTGAGCTCGCCAGTGCGTGAAGGCTTTGGAGCCTTGGTGAGTTGTGGATAACCATTTGCTGAATTCGGATCGAAAGTCTCGAAAGACTATGCGTCGATTCTCTGCTACCGCAGCCGAAAGATAGTCAGCAACATGTTTCGCTAAGTCTGCAATCCAGAGAAATCCAGAGTAATATCTTTTGTATTCCGGAGAAGGGCCCTTCAACCGATAGTACACATCACGGCCCTTGTGTTGGCTTGCAACCCTAACATTTAAGCTTGACCGAACCCAAATGTTAGAGCCAACTGTGTGCTCTGAGACACCATAGTTGCCGATTGGTAGCTCTTCAAAAGGGACTTGCCGGATGAAGTACCGAGTCCCTTCGAACGACAGAATGCCATCGATGTACATACGGCTACAGCCAGGCTTAATAGAAAGATGCTGTAAGGGTCGCAATTCGGACGGATATCGCATTTTCTCATAACTTTTGCTCACGCCAGGAACGTAAGGTTCAATGTAAACAGTGAATTGGTCGAGGTTGAATTCGATAAAGCCGTCATGACCATTTCTCAGTGTGCTATGTCTTTCAAGCAAGTTATGGACAGCCTGCCACTCCCTCTCAGGTGGTATAGGTAACTCCTCCCCTTGGTAGAGATATCGTGGTGCGATCAGCGTGCTTTCTGGTATCTCCACAGAAATGTTGGTTGCTGGTTTGAAGTCCGCTGGTAAAAAGACTGTCTGTGGTTGCTCTATATTCTTTCCCATGCTGTCGTTCAGAAGTGATAACCGGGGTAAATCTGTGGGTGTCGAATCGCATTCAGTATCGGTGATGATATTCTCCAGACTTTGAATCATGTCATAGTCCTCAGCCTTAATGAAGTCATCGGTTGTTTCATTATCTGGATCATCCTCGTATTCTCCATTTTCCCAAAAGTCAGGCACAAGGCCGTCTTCATAATCCTCTATGGGACCTTCCATGGTGTTAGGTATTTGCTAAGAAACGAAAAGGTGAAGGAACAAACCGGGCATTTCTTGGCGAATATCGATTCCCGTTATATTCAGATTTCGTTATATTCAGATTTGAAATTGCAGTAGAGAAATGCGGGATGGTGGATTGGGTAGGTGATATGGAGACAGAGAGAGAGAGAGAAAGAGTTCAAGACTAAGTGAGAAAATGATAAAGCAAGTGAGGAGGAAAACGGGAAAAGTGAGAGGTTGAGGAAGGCTGGTGAATTACATTGACGAGGAATAAGCACCAGGTCATAGCTCGATTTCTGTAGAGTGATCAAGAGTCTCTCGTGTTGCTGCGCTGAGATAGTTCCATCAGGAAGGCGATTTGTTGATACAGCAAAGACGGAAAGGATGGCTCAAGTCCTCTGTCACGCAGCAGTACGTCCCACCAGCCAGCTGGGCCCAAAAATGTGATGTATTTGGAAAAGACTGTCTAGATGAGTAAATGGGCTTTTATCCATTTGTCTCATCGGGGTTTCTGTCACACGGACCACTGCATATATCGGGGCATGCATTCAACCCATGCACCCGGCTATTGTTTCCCATATAAAACTAACGGGGATGTCATTTTGTGCATGAAAACCTTCAAATCGGTAATTACCGAATAGACGGTTATATAATCAACCCAATAACCCCTAGACAGTCTCTAATGAATGGAAGCATCTTTTTTTACCCCATAAGTGGTGGGCAAATTGACTGCGTGACAGTTATGAGCCCAGTACCTCATGGTGACAATTACCAATTGAAAAACCGACTTCCAGAAGGGAGCAGTTCAGACTTATGCCATAGACAAGGGCACTCAATTGACGAAGTTACCGACCCATGAGACTTTGGCAGTCAAGTCCACCAAACAAAACATCAATTCCAATCACACAAGGCTGAACGTTGAAGTGTTGAAACATTCAATCACAAAAGAACTTCTGGTCATCAATTCATATCATCAACACTTATCAAAAAATCACAAAAAGTTCATCTCAACTCAGGGGGACTTACCACATCTGAGGAGTTGAACCCAGGACTCTTAACTTGAACCTTATATAAGTTCATGCTCGACCATACCACTGATACGCAGCCAGGAGGGTTGGAATTACGAAACGGAAGAGACACCTAGTTGCTCATTTTATGCCTCTGAAAGCTTCGGGCAGATAAGACGAACAGGTGGTTCACTTTATAGTCTTCGTGTAACGGAACCGATAAGACTTTTTACAAATTGCGAAAACTCCACAACCCTGAATTGAACCCACGAAGGGGAGCTTGCCAGTCTTACGGTCCTTGCGAATAGCTACAAGTTGGGTGGCTAGACCAACTACACTAAACGGCAGGTTCATTAGACAGGGGGGGCGTCTTGCGTTTTGTTGAGAATTGAGGCGTTGAGATTGGCTATATACCCTCAAACCTCTAGGCAACAATCGACAAAATCACCAACTTGAAACAAGAAGTGTCTAGTCACGAACTCAATCTTGGCCACGGCGAAAAATCAACTGCACAACGATCAGAAGAGAGAGACCAGTTCTCTTTTCAAGAGAGATCATGAATTCAACTACGGAAACTGCAAAATACACACAGCGGCTACAGACTGACAGCGACTGGAACCACTGGTTCAACAACTTACAGATGCTGGCAAACGTTCATGAAGTCTGGGACTATGTGAATCCAAAAGGAACCAAGATTAATACTAAGCCAAGATTGGAATTCCCAGACCCAAAAGACCTCAGACAAGAAGAACGAGCAAACTATAGCAACGTTATCAGCTATGGAAAAGCTATCTATCAAGAAGAAAAAGACCAATACAACCAGGTTCGGCGAAGTCTTCTAGAAATTCACAGTTGGATCATGAACACTGTAGCAGCCACTTATATCAGCCAAGTCAGCAAGGAGCAAACAGTCAGGGATATCATAAAAGCTCTTGAAAAACAGCTAGCGCCAGACAACTTTGGGAGACAACAAATGGTATTGGAAAGATATAACAAGCATATGCTATCAATCAAAAGAGCAAAACTTGGAGGATGGCTCATAATCTATCGAGAAATCATGGATGAAGCCCAAACAATCGGAATCCCTGCTCTCAGCGATCCAGTTACTCAAGTCTCTGAGTTCTTGAAAGCAGTCAAGCAAATTGCACCAGATTACTACACATCTGCCTCTTACGACTTCACAAAGCGATACAAGGATGACCCAACCTACAGTTCGATCAGCAAGACTGCTGGAATTGAGCAAGCTAACGATTTCCGCAGTTGGGTGAGAACTTTCCACCCAGACTGGCTGAATGCTGCTTCATTAAAAGACACGAGTTTCGCTACTTGGCAAGGAGAAAACGAACAAGGAATAAAACAGGGGGCAAAACGAGAGCAAAAGTGTGCAGCTTGCCCAAACGAAAGTCACCGATTTGTTGATTGCAAACATGCCAACCCTAAGAAGCGAGGCCCAAACTATCATGAAGATAATCCAGAAAATAAGAAAGCACTGGAAAGATTGAATGAGTATCTCCAGAAGAAACCACACTTAAAGAGAATAGTTGAAAAACTACGAAAAGGGGCAAGCGATCAGCAGTCTCAAAAGTCCCCAGATCGAGCAACATCTTCCTCAAACTGGAGAAACACTACACAATCATCATCCCACTATACTCAAGAAGTGTCTGATGGAGAAGGATCACTCTCATCTTTCGTCACTATCGTCAATCAAGGAGAAGCAAGTCTCTATTCAGGATTCCCACTGTCAGACAGTGTGATAGTAGACTCAGGAACAGGATTCCACATCTGCAACGACTCCTCAAGACTTCATGATCTCGACTACACAGTCACAAAAGACTTCACCACTGGAGGAGGAGATGTACATGCAATTGCGAAAGGCACAATGATCATCAAACCAAACCAAGGCGGCAAATCCAACAACAAGGAGATCAAAGTCAGAAATGTATGGCTTGTGCCTGGATACCCAACATCGCTCCTTGGGACAGAACCGCTGAAGCAAAAAGGGATCATCTTTACAACAGGAATACCGGGTCTTATCGACTCAAAAGGCAGACTTCTATTCAAAACACCAAACCGATATGGTCAATACATTATTGAAGCTGGCCCAGCTCTGCTGAACAATACCTCGTTCAGCAATACCGAGAAGACTGTGAGATTCAGCCCAACCGTAGAAAGGAAACCAACCAAAGGTTTTCAGTCAACAAGACAACCACTCCCAACATCATCAGCAGAAGCCAAGTTGTGGCATGAGAGACTTGGTCATCCAGGCGCTGAGGGACTGGAACAGCTACTTAAAACAGCTCTTGGGATACAGATAAAAGGAATCACAAAAGTGGAATGTGATGCCTGTGCTGTTGGGAAGGCAACTCGCCAAATTTCCCGCAGAAACCCAGACCATTGGCCAACTGCTGTAGGAGATTATCTATCTCTCGACTTCTTTACACTTAGCAAAGCATACAATGGGGAGAAGGTGATCCTGCTGGTCAGCGATGGCTGGTCAGGGTTCTTCTGGATAAGAACTCTTCGTACTCGAAAGGAGGGACTACAAGCTATGACAGAATTAGCAGCATACCTCGAGAGACAGTGCTTTATCAAAATCTCTATTCTACGCCTAGATTGGGAGGTTGCTTTACGCAATGCGTTTGAACTATGGGCAGCTGTGAATGGATATATGATTGAAAGATCAGCTGAGTACACTGGTGCTCAAAACCCAGCAGAAAGAGCTGGAGGTGCTGTGTTTATGATCATGAGAGCACTTCGATTTCAATCTCGCTTTCCTGAATTGATGGCACCAGAGCTGGCAAAAGCAGCAGTTTATCTGTCAAACAGATTGCCTCGAAGACGCCACAAGTGGCAGACACCATTGGGGTTGGTCAACACTTGGCTGAACTCTCATCAACAGTCTACCCACAAGAGGGCTGAAAAGCCACAACTAGCACACTTGAGGCGATATGGCTGCAGAGCTTACCCCTTGACACAAAACTACAAGAGAGGAATAGAAAAGTCAAACAAAACTGCGCCAAGAGCTCATATTGGCTATCTATGTGGTTATGACAGCACAAATATCTACAGAATCTGGATCCCAGCAATAGGAAAAGTCATGAGAACTAGAGACGTTACTTTCGACGAAAACACGCTGTATGATCCAAGGATTGAGGATACCAGCAAGTTAAGCCAAATGGAACTTGAATTCCAGTTCACAGAAATGGATATCCCATTCACAAATCCAATTGAACAAGACCTAGACACAGCTGGCTGGGATGGAGAAGATTTCAGCGATAATATTACCGGGCCACTACCCGCCTCGAATCCAGCCGCTCAAGAAACAACACCGGCAACACCGATGCAGGAGAAAGAATCAGGGGATTTTCAATTACCTACACCCACTTCTCTATCACCAACAGTACAGCTGTCAGATTCTCAAACAACTGAGGGGGTGAGGGAGACTCCAGAAACTCCAGAAGTATCGCCAACTCCAGAACAATCGGATCAAAGTGAGACCATAGAGGAAACCTCAACAGACCGACTCGAACTACACCAGACACCAGTCATAGAATTGGAACCAGAAGAAATCATACCACAAGATTCCTCCACAGTAATCCCAAACATAGCGAGAAGGGGAAGACCTCGTGGCAGCAGAAATCACAACATCTACAATCGATCAGCCCCTCTTGGTCAAACAAATCAACAGCCACCAGAAGCAACAAGATCATCACAAAGACTGAGAAGAGCAAGAGAATCCCACTTCACACTGCAATCTACGGATACAGTAAAAGGAAGAGATCAATGGGATGCATCAGCAGATGATTTAGGCAATCCACACCAAAAGACACTTCCACCAGTTCCAAAGAATTACAGTGAAGCGATCAAACACCAATACAGTCACAAATGGATTGCTGCAATGAATATTGAGAACAGATCACTATGGCAAATGGGCACGTTTGAAATGATTGATCTTGGCAATATTGATCAAGACACTCAGCGAATTATCCCATTGAAGTGGGTATTCACATATAAGGGCAGCAAAGGATATCTCAAGAAGTTCAA